GCATAGGAACAAGCTCGAGTTTACCGTGCATCACCACGGCCAACTGGCGACATGCTGCGATTGCGGGTGGCCGTATGACCGTTGCCTCGAGGGGACGCGCTGCGATCCCGATCATAACGGGCAGCGTCTGTAAGTAGATTTCGTTAGCGGTCGATGCACATGGGTCGAAGATTGACGTTCTTACCTTCATAGCGCCCGCCTTCGTTGTCGTATTCCATCTCGGTCATGGAAGTGGTAGAGTACTGAAGCGGTATTGCCACTCGAAACCCCTTGCAATATGCTGGATTAAGTTCTAGCAGGAGAGTTGCAATAAGAAAGTGATTTGCAGGTTCTTGCGAATGACGCAAAGGAAGCACAAAAGAGAAGAAAGATGAGGTTGATAAAGTGTGAGGACTGGAGAAAAAGTGAGAGAGCGTGCTGGAGAGGAAGAGAGGCAAGTTGAAAATGTAGGCCTCCCGAAATAGGCCTAGCGCGGCCTCCCTGGTGAGCTTCGGAGGCCTGTTCTTGGCACGGGCTAATTAGGTAAGCACCGGCTCAGTTGACCGTAGCCTTTCCCAAAATGGATGGCCCATATACCGCGTATATCAAACTGCTGGCACTGATTGACCGGAATACAATTATTAGGCCTAATAAATCTGGTATCTAACTAACAAACCACCCAGTTACAAATCATTACTCCCTTCTCCGGAACTCCATGGCTGGGAAATAAAGTACATGGGCCCAAATGCCGACTATCTAAACCCTCGCCAACGCCGTTTCGGCCTCGGGGCCTTTGGCTTCGAAACCTCAATGCTCCCTGCCGGGTCAACATCCTTCATATCGTCGGTGCCATTCAGCTGTTCTCTGGGGGCTCCATTGACAAATTCGTCTCCAACTAGATGTCGCAACTCGTCTTCGTCAAGCTCACTTAGCTCTTCGCTCATGCCCCGTAGGACTTCGCGGCCTGTCCATCGTTCTTCGTAGATGGTAGTGCCGACGGGGTCAAATGGCTCCATGTACCACTGAATACCTCCTTGTGCCAATGGCGGCTGGTGGCTATCTTTAAAACTCGCAGGGGGAGTAGGTGGAGCTGCTTGTGCCTCAGGGAAGCCCGGCGGATTGGAGTCGCCGCTTTGGGGATTATTGTCCATCTCGCTTAATACAGCACTATGGACGGTTGGTGGGGTAAATACTGCATGCCGGTCATCGGAGTTTGCGTGTGTTTCGTCGGTAGACTCGAGATTCGTCATTTTCTCACCGTCGTTCTTCTGTCTCATGGCATCAACTTCGGTAGTCACATTAGATAGTAAGTCTTTTGCTGGCTCGACGGTCGTGGCGTCTACCATTTCAATATCTTCACCCTCGTTATCACGGACATTTCCCCCCTCACCACTACTTGCCAAGTCGTTCACCATTGAGACATCCACGCAAGGTTCGCTTTCGTTGGCCGCCGCTTCAATCGAATCATATAAAGACCCCCTTCGAGAGAGGACACTGTTTTCTAACATGAGATCCAGGTCTTTCAATTCCTTTTCAAAAGGTTTGCCGCTCAATTCGCTTTCCTTCCGTAGGGCATCTTCTAGTGCTGGCTGGGATGGGCCTTGATGATTCGTTTCGCGAGTTTGCGTTTCTCTCGTTGCTCCACAGTTAGCTCTGGCGCTCGGCCACTAGCCTGCATTTGAAGTGTAATTCAGCGGTATCTCCTACAGATTCACACCAATTTCTGATGTGAGACATGGGCTAGGTCTCGAGAAAAAGTCGAAACGGATGTATAGGCCCGGTTTTCTAGATTCGAACGGATCGAAAAGTAGCCCTACACGAAAGACCCCTTTTCCATCAAGCCTGTACAAAACGAGTTAATTAAGTTAAGCAATGCCATCCAAACTGAGAGACTTACGCTTGTACTTTCTCGAAGATTGGCCGGAGCAGCGGAGGAATGGGGAAATACACCAAATCAACCAGGTTTCGAAGTGTTTCGGCATCTTTTAACTTCTCATATTCTCGCCTCTTTACCTCGTCGCACAACATCCGAACTTTATCCACGTCCAGATATAACCTATCAGCGAATTCCATGCGCCGTTGCAGTCTCACACTTCCGGTAGGGCCCATTCCAGCAAAATTACGTCTCGTCATTTCCATCGATGAAAACGTTTCTAACTGGAGCTGGAGTCTCTTTAATAATGCAGCGCCCCTTCTAGCTTCTCTTTTCAGTGTCCAGTATTTACAGGCATCCTCTGCATATTGTTTCCTTTGGCGGACAGTAAAACGTTGCAGGGAAGCAATAACGTTATTCAAAATAACCTGGGGTACAACTGGAGCACCGGATGGAAGCTTCCATATTGTTTTTGGAGGCCCAGCTCGTTTGCGCTTATTGCCGCCAACAGTCAAAGTAATGCGCGGAGTAACAGGTCTCTGGTCATCTTCGATACCCTCACCGCCGGGAGACTCCGGTTCCAAAGCAAGAGCAGCTGCCTGGCTGTCGCCCCATCGCCTGCCTTGCATCGTGGTGCGATAGTACTCAATAGCATCAGCTGTAGCGCCTTCTGTGTTGAATTCCCTTCGCCAATCCGGAGGCACATGGCGATCACAGAATGCCTTCAAGCCATTGGAATCCATGATAGCAGGAACTCCGGGGGTAAGCTTCATCTTCAAGTACAGTCGAGCTCGCCTTCCGCACGTTACATGAAACGCAGCAAAACAATTCTTGTTACTACATTGTATACATGCCCCCATCTTCTGGCGGCAGATATAGCAATTTAGCTTCCAGCGGCTCCTCGGGACCTTTTCCACATCTAGCACAGGTTCCATAAGAGACGGGTTTCCGATGGATACCTCGGGGATCCAGACAGCGCACAGGAGATGCGACCATTTCGACGTATTCGTTTGTTTAAAAGCCCCTTCGGTGTTGGGACAAAAGATGCAGGACGGTGATCCACGGCCAATTAGCTGACATTTGCGGCAAAGCCACTGGCCTTCGGGTATATAGGGAACTCCGTAGCATTCTTGGTGCACCGCAAGATCGCAGCCATCACAAAACACAATAGCGTTGGAGTTCTCACAATCTCCATCATCACAAATAGCACATTTGCTATCTTGCTCTTCCCCTGGGCCAGCGTGCTCACCATTAACTGCAGCGGCGGAGCTTGAGCGAGGGCGCTGGGTTTGCGGCGGCTTGGGATTTGGTTTTGGTATCCTCTTTTCGAGCGCATGCCATTCTTTTTCGATTTTGGTCATAGTGATCTCGAATATTGCCGGTTTGATAGGCTCAAATTGATCATTTCTTCGTTGGATGTTGTAGGTCTCTAACCATTTCGCATCTTGTTCGTCCATATCATATTCGACTCGGCCAACTCCATTGTTACCCACCGCGGCATTGATGATGTCTCCATCAGCGGCAGCGGGAGGATCCAGATCCAAATCCTCCTCTACTACATCTTCGGTCATTCGAATTAAACGCCGCTCGTGGCGCAAGAAAATATCGCTCTCTTGGAAACCAACACTCGCCATTGTGCGATCAACATAATTTTGTTGTCCAACCCCCTTTTGCTCAAAAGGTAAGAACGGGTCCTTAAGGACAAATGAGGGCTTGGGAAGAGTGAGTTTTTCACGGGGATTGGGTCCAGGAGGTGGAACAAATTTAGGGGGTTGGGGGGTTGCGACGTTACTGAACGGCATATCACCCCGCCGTGGCCTGCCTGGCCCTCGTCTGAGCGCTGACGAGGACAAGCTAGAATTCTCTCCTTCAACAGCACCGTCACCACTGCTCGTGTCGTGTATCGACCCATTTTGCACGACACCATCCACCTCCTCAGAGCTGAATACGGCTATCTTAGCATCGATATCAAGGTCTGGATGGAATTCTTCCCAACCACGCTCTTCTCTCGGCTTATAACCGTCTCCCTGTGCAACGGCAAGTACTGCTGCAGCGGCGGAGCTGTATCGACGGGCTTGATTCTTTTCACGTTTTGGACGTGCAGAGGCAGGTGGCGTCGCTGGTGGGGGAGGCGGCGGCGGCGGCGGCGGTGGTTGCGGTGGTTTGGGAGGTGCGGTTCGAGGCTTTTCACGCGGGGGCCTACTACGTGAGGCGGCCTTGTTTTGGCTGGAGGAATTCAGAGGGCGTACAGGCGTCTCCGTGCCGTCAATTTCCACGTATCTTCCACCGCCTCCAGGCCCCCCTGGTATATATTTGCGTCGTTTGGGAGGCGGCTCGATGTTGCCATCTTGATCCGTAGTTCGTGGATTCTTCAACTGGGTGCCGACGCGAGGCTTAGCCCGGGAGCCCGAAGGCTTACGCCTCGCAGTGGTAGTCATATGGCGTAGGTCTCCCGTAAGGAACGTGAACACCGGCTTTGTTATCTTTTTAAGGCTAGGGGTGTCGATGGAAGCCCAGGGGGATGTCACTGCTGAGATCAGACATAAAGCTGAACGCTCACCATCGCCCAAGCCTTGATATGTAAGATGGATCCCGCAGACAAGAGGCACGAGGCAGCGCTGGCAACGTCCCTGAGCTGGCCGTCGCGATGCTTCGCGGTGACGGGTTGAAGTGAGGGAAGGGTCATCGTGATGGAGCAGGTTGTGGGCCTAGCCGATTCAGGCAAGGCGCCGATGCCAAGGCTGACTCGGGCTGCTGATTAAGTTCCACGCGCTTCTGCTGCTCTTCGGCCTCAACACCAGCTACAACCAGTGCTCGTATGCCGTTTGAAGCGCTGCGGTGTAAGGATGAGCGGTGCAGGAGATGATCGGTCAGTGTCGTTTTGTCTGTGGCTTTTGGCTCTTGACTGATGTGGCCCGTTTGCTTAGATGGCGTGGTGGTCGTGGCTATGACCCCAATCGGTCGTCGGGCCAGCGACATCACGGGAATTTTCGTGAGCGGTCGATGGGCGGCCACCAGCAGGATCGCCATGGGTATCGAGGGCAAGGCAATGTGATGAATGCGGGCAACGCCTGGAGTGGACCGTTAGGTGGGCCCGCACAAGAACACCACACACCCGTTCGAGGCTTCAACGCAACTGAGTTGAAAGATGCACTCAGAAAAGGTATGCTTTCTCTGGCGCCCTTTACAGGCATGTTACTCATTATGGGGAAAACCTTTAGGCTATCAACCAGCTGGTCCAGGTGGTACGTTCTAAATCCTACAAACGATAACCGACGCGACATGGCTGCTAATGCGGCAGTTTCGAATAGACTCCCAACCTGTCGCCTACAAGTCTAATGGCAAAGATGCAAACAGCATCAGATCGAGTGGACCGTGGGCTTCAAAACGTATGTGTTTCTTCAATGTTGAAAATAAAAGTCTGTGCTGAAAATCGCATCAGCCAATACAATGGTAAACGGCAAGGATTTCTTCCTTGAACTTCGAAAGCAGCTATCCGGGCTTCAGCAAAGCGGAAACGTGGCCGGCGGCTAATAAACGGTCCCTGTTATTGGTAGGGACAAAGTAACGTAAACAAAAGCTCGCCTGGTCTTTTTAAGAGGTTGTCATATTGGCTCTGCCTTTACTCCTACATACGTTACAAGCTCTTGTCTGCATCTATATGATTCTGTGGTAATGCAACGGGAGAACCAATACAAATACCTAAATCATCTCGATCAACTCAGTTCTTTCAATCCGGCTCCATGGAAGCGTGATGCAACACAAGTGTTTTCGCTCAAAGTGCGAGCCGGGAGAATAGGCATCTCCAAGCTAGAATTCACCCGGTAATTTCTTGTATCAGCTCAAACCCTTCATCGATCCTCCCCGCATCAAACATCAACGGATAATGATCGATCGCCGGGTTCTCTCGCCTCCACGATGCAGGATGGAGTTTGGACTGAAACCCCAGACTGCCCGAGCGTGCCTGCGGGCAATCCCTGGCAATTCCCGTCTCGATTCCCGTCTCTACGCACCATGCACCTCGAACTAACTGAAAGATGCCTGTCCACTGACCCGACGATTTAATGCAGACACGCCATGAGTTACACAGCGTATGCCGGCGCTTGGGGCCGCTATTTTTACTGAGCGCATTAGCCTGTCCTGCACCTCAACTTGTGGTCCTGGTGGCCAATGATGGCGGCTGCAGCTCCTGTGGGCTGTCTAAAAATAACCCTGCCACCACAACTCTCTTGTCGCCGCCTTCGAAGGGCAAAACAGCAGCAGACTCCACGGTTCGGGCGCTAAGGAAGACTATTTCACCCAGGGTGGTGATAGCCGCGTCCACTTGGACACCGGCCACGGCGTGGATGGGGCTGTCGGCTCAAGGTTCTCCTGAGTGTTCCTCAGATTTGCTTGTGATGACTCCTGTTTAACTTACTTCTCCCTTAGACGCAAGCCTCGTCCTCTCCATGCGGGTCGGAAAGCGGCCGGCGGCTAAACAAAAGCACCATTGGCTTCACGGCTTCGCGCCACAGCGGACCGTCCGTCAACTCTAAAATCCGTGGGCATGCAGGTCATGAAACCCGTCCGCTGTTCATGAAACAATGTGATGTCCAACGAGCAATAAATAGCAATGCCGTCGATCTAAGCGCTGAGGAGTCGGGAGCACCCGTTCTCGACCAGGTTCTCAAAAAAGGAAACGGTTCGAAATCAAAGTTTCATGATTGACCAAGGCCTCTGGACCGGGTAACCCTGTCCCTTGAGCCGACTAGTAGGACCTAGAGGTATTATCAGCATGGGTGAACAATGGCCGTGACTGATTTATTCCTTGCTAGATGCTTGAGCTTCGGAGACTCGTGCGTGAGCATCCTGGGCCGGTCCTGCAGAGTTCCAATGGTCAAAGGCCGGGGTCACCTCCCGACGGAGGACTTCCCCTCTCGCCACTTGCCTCGACGACTAGGCATGATAACGGTGCATCTGTCTAGGAATGCGGGCACAAGCACCGCAATGCTTTTGCAAAAGCATATTGGCCAGCAGGGAACATAGGCTGCTTGCCAAACCTCAGCGAGGCTCCACCGTGGAGCCGCTCGTTCTGCAGCCATCCATCTAATCAAGGCCGTCCTTCTGGCTGCGACCGCCAGACGACCGCTTACTTACCAATCGTTTCTTGAGGATGTGCTTGACCCAGCGCTTGTGTCTCTGGCCAGCGAAACCCATGCTAGGCAGCCCAAGAGCCAGATCACCCTTCCATTTCCCTCCGCTGCATGCTGTAGCGTCGATTACGACACAACGCCATTCTGCTTTCCTAGCTTCTTTTAAGGCGCCTAGCTACTTACATTCGGCTAGATCAAACGCAAAAAGCCCAGGGTTCATGGTGCCAATTATGGAACTCCCATGCTAGGTCGTCCTAACATGATCTGCAGATGCTTTCAGTGCTAAGGGTCATATAAGACCGCTAAACCCGTCGTCAACGAGCAATATTTTCCGATTTTTTTCATCATTGGCCTACCTCTGGCGAACTTTTAGGCTGAACCAGCTCTCCTTGAACACAGGCGTCATTTTGTTTTATGCCCTGTGAGAAGCCTCGGTGCTGCCTTAAATTATTGCGGCGTAGTAGGGTCATGTCAAGCAAGGCTGCTTTTCACCCGAGCACGCTTGAACCCTCTACATCTTGTGCTCTCTAGTTGCCACTATATATTCTCGTCTCGTCTTTTGCTTTAATATACCTTTTAATTTTAATACCCTTTTCCCTTGCTTATGTGCGCGCCTTCCGAATTATTTACCAAGCATACGATCCTCCGGAATCCAGTCTTTACTGGTAGCAGAAGCCGATTACTTGGCCACTCTGGGTATTGCATTACCTCTGAGAGCACATTGGGTGATCCATTTCCCCAGTACGAGAAAGTGAATCCACCCTTTGTGTCTCTTTTTTGGTGTGCAAGAAGCGCGGAAACTGAAATGCCGAAACAGACGCCCTCACGAGGCCCCAGAAGATCAGCACCATACCCTTCGTCGAAACCGAAAACAGGGACATCGGCAACCTCAAAAGAAATGAATCCTCTTCGTACCTCTGCACCCGCAGCTCCTCATACTCTCAACCCATGGCACGCACCTAGCTCACAACCCCGCCATATCCCACCCCATATCGCGACCTATCCAAGTCGATTATCAGGGGCCGAGCGTTCATCCACTGCTTTACCTACCAGTCCAATGACCCCTAGCAACACTTCGGGTCCCTGGTCACCTCGAGACGACGAGATTCTTCTCGCAGCACGGGCGCAAACTCAAGGTTGGAATCAGATCCAAAAGGAACATTTCCCTAGCAAGTCCTCCAACGCATGTCGGAAACGTTACGAACGGTTGATCGCAAAACGCCGGGGCTCGGATTGGAACGACGAACGTATCGATCGGCTGGCGAATCAATATATGCAAATGCGAGAACAAACTTGGCGTCCACTTGCCGACGCCGTTGGGGAGAACTGGGAAGACGTAGAGAAGCTTGTGAGTCCCTTCATCCAAAACTAATATAGTTTTGCATCTCAAGACTAATGGACTCGAAATAGTGCCTTGAGCGAGGTGCAAGAACGCTTTTGCCCACGTTGGGCCAACACGAGTTACGTCGCGAGCTCCCGGAACGAGAAGGTCGAGGGGGCAGTCATGATAGTCATGATGAGGAGAGACTCAGCATCCATAATCTGCTGCAATGAATATACCCCGAATTATTCGTAACTGTCAGCGTCAAAATACGTGTGTTTAATGTGCAACTTTCTTCTTTTATTCATATGTGCCTCTTTTCGCAGTCATGTCTGACGTTTTGCATTGGGGATGGCCTTTTGCGACTATGCGTTGCATTTTCTTGCATTGTCTTCACTTCCACTGATTGATCTCGCTGTTTTTTTTTTCTTTTGCGACATTGGCATTTAAGGTCCGGAGTTGTTCATTTCTTTTTGAGTCGCGGCTTTTCATCTTTCCGTTTTTTTTTTCTTTTCTTTCTTTCGGTAATAGCCGCATGATGGACTAGAATGAAGTCAAAGTGCTTGCGATATGCATTTCGAGGAGCAAGCAACATGGATCCTTGCATTAACTAGCCAACAATCTACTATTTAGAGAGTATGCAGCATATTCCGTATTGAATTGAGATATGCGCGACGAGTTACTGCAGCTTACCTATATCATAGCTATAACCTAGCGACGGGCGAAGACTAGCGAGTTAACAGTACCCTGAGGTTCGTAGTGAATTATGGTACTTTCAGTCTCCGGGGTGCTTCCCAGCGATAACACTCGACTGGAGCGCGAGAGATGGTCCGGGGCTAGTTGACTAACTAGCCCTTCTAAAGTGGAAGCGTTATGGTGGGATCCATATCGTTGCCTATGACACAAGGCGTTTTTGAACCCGTAAAACTTCCAATCTTGGGTTAGCGGACGACGTCAGATTCTATGCGGCCTAGATTTCAGTGCAGGGTTGGTTTCCTTTTACGGTACCACGGGTGCCTGGACGACAGCTTCGCCGCCCTTAGAGCTCACCTTCATAAGGGCTGGCGTGCTTATATTATCAAACGTGGGATTGTTGCCTAGTAAGAAATTCGGAGGCGAGGCTGATTCGGTGGGGTTGACACCATAGCAAGACTGATTGTCCTAGCCCGGATCTTGATTTCCGAAGCTTCAGGTATGGGAGATGTTCTTGTTGATTGGGACAGCCTCGGTGTAGTATAGGCCGTGAAACTGGGTGCAGTGTGGCGCAGTACCAGCATGAACAGCTCATAGGCAGGTAATCATCAAGCTTCAGGTCAGGTGTCCGGGGCATTAAAACAGTCGACTGTAGGTGGAGCCTCCATCGCCATGCTCAGAGTAGGGCCAGAGGTAGTCTCTATGACGTAAGTTGAAGATTTTGATATATGCTCTAGGAAAACATCCTTGGGATATGCTGTGCCAAAGCAGATATTAGGAGCTGCGCCAGGGGCTCTGACCCTCAAAAGCATTCCAAAAGCTATGGTATACCGCCACAACAGAGTGGGAAACCAAGGAAACTGAGGTTTTGCACTGATTTGCATTACGAACAAAGGAGGCTTCACAGCCATAAGTAAATAGCAAGATAAATGAATAGTTAATCAGTGTATACACAGGGTATACAAAGTGTAGAAATGGGATCGTGAGGTTGTTAATAATGAATTAGGCATTCACCGGTGGTTCCAGGTCTCAATGGTAGTCCCCCTGATAGTTCGGATTTTGTTGCTCGACAACAACCCCATACTGCTGGGAAATACATGGGGCGGGTTTAACAACTGGTCTCAGAGGGCCAAGAGCCAAAAAGCAACAGCGGTTTAGACCTACCACTCCAATAAAGCTGCCCAGAAATGTTTAACGGTATTCCATCTCTGTGGAATGAGCTTCGCAAACGTTCTATCCTCCGGGTTGTTCAGTAATTTGGGTATTGCCATGCGTATAATTGTGGTGAGAATGCAAGATATACTCTGTTAAGGAGCCATACTGGTTTGTTAGGTCTCACCTTATGAATGGAAGTGAAACGTCCATGGACAGCGAGGGAGAAGGGCCGGCATTCCAATCCAGTGGGATATCGGTAATTGTTGGTTTTCAGGATTCGATTCCGGGACCATTTAAATCAAAGTTACTAGCAAAGGGTCGAGTGATACCACGGAGAAATTGCCATAGACAATCAGCAGTTACATTCGTGTTCAGTATAATATAGATGACGCTGAGATGGTATCACTTTCGATGAGTCCCTTTCCAAGTGGGCAATCTGAGCCATGAGGCTGGGTGTTGATTAAGTCGGCCCAACCCAGTCATTAGGACCTAGAATTCCTCCGTCATCAGCGTTAGGGTCAAGTGACCATTTTCTCGTTGCTCGACATTTCAAATCCGTTGTCCAACCAGCTTCGTACATCTCAATTCCCGTCCACCCGATCATTGCTGCATTATCTGTGCACAGATACATAGGCGGCGCAACAATCTCAACATCTCTGAAGCCACGAACATCCAAGAACGAACGGAGAACGTGGCGAAGAAACTGATTTGCAGCCACTCCGCCACTTATGACCAGCGTTTTCACGGGGTTGTCGAGCTGCGCGAGCATCTTTTGATTCTTTCGACGTTCCTTTTTGCTCCAGTTTTCGCTGCCTGCTGGTTGCTTAAGATTTCGTAGGGCGATAACTGTCCTCGAGGCGAGATGCTCAAAGCAGACGCGCATGAATTCCCTTCCCAATGCGACCCGTGCATCGTGGGGAAAATCATCTTCCGCACAGCCCCATTTCACTTTGGAGATCTCGACTTGTTTGTGAGCCGTGGATAACAAGCCTGCAAACGAGAATGCTACTGTGGTCGTTTCGCTGTACGGCATGGTGAAGGTCCAGTTCCACTTTGGGTCCTCATATTTCTCAATCTCTTCTCCGCGGGTAGACGGAGGTTTGTAATTAGTATAATCCGCTTTTCCATTCGGAAAGACGAAAGCCTCCAGAGCTTTGCCGTACATTGTCGTTTTCGATTTCTCAAGATATGACGGCGGCAAAACCACTCGAGCAATCTTATCCAATGCATCTCCAATCGCAATGTCGGCAGTGGAACCAAGGATCTGGTGGTCAACAAGGCCTTTGGAGTGAACGAGCAGTGTATGGCCACCAGAGACTAATATGGACAGAAAAGGGAATTCAACCCCTCTCGCTGAGGCTGCGTGTTTCTGCGCCTCAAGCGCAACAGCCAATCTAGGGGTCAGTAGGTGGGCCTGCATATGGTGCACTCCCACCAAAGGGACCTGCCATGCCACTGATAATCCCTTTGCCGTATTTAATCCAGTGCTCAAACTGGACAGCATCCCAGGCCCCCGAGTAACGGAGATGAAATCTGGTTTTCGCCTACGTACGACGGAGGGTTGATCACCCACGGGCAAAAGGTATACCGACTTGTCATTGCCCTCCTGTTTGGGAGCCGGCGGGAGGTGCCGTAGGGATTTGTGGACTAATTTCGCGAGGTTTTCTTGGTGAGAGTCCAGAGCCACGATGGGGTGAATGCCTTTGTATTCCCGTGAATCAGCGGTGACATTTTCGAGGAAGTGGACGGTGGCGGATGAGCCATGTTTTTCCACAATGGAAACTGAAGAGTCATCACTGAGGGCAATCAAAGTTAGACAAGTGATTCAGAAGCATCTCGGTTTTAAATGGGATAATACCATGACGACTCGATGGCGAGAGTAAGGAGTTGTCGCCGCGAGGCGCAACATATCGAGGGACTTGTGGGAAAGCGGAAAGCTCTGCGGGCCGCTTCGGAGAATAACAGCATTGGAGAATTGAGATGGACGTATGTACAATGAGTACAACAGAGTGCTGGCTCACATTGACACGCCCATAGTCATCATTTCCATACCAAAATGATTAAGAAGTTGGTTCCTCCGCAAGCTGCAGACGCTTTCACAGCCTTCAATTTCTATTTCAGTTGGCCATCTCTTGATGCCAAGCTTCAGCCAGCGCCAGGGCTAAGCAGGACGGGAGGAAAGGCTCATCATGCAACTTTCCAGTCCTTGACTCATGCTTGTTTCTAAGTATATATAACGGGTTACTCTCCCTCACTGACCTCTCCCTATCGATCAAAGACCAACGAGGCTACCGCCTCTTCGGCTTCCGGACAGTAGTGGCCGTCGCTGAGTGATAGGCTACGTTAATGCATTTTGCTTAAGATGACACTTGTGTTTTTGCAAATGAGCATTGATCAATAAAGCCACTTTTTATAATTTAATATCAAGAGAATGGCCGTTCACTCATTTCGTATAGGCTATCAATTCAGGATCCTCATCCGCCCATCAAGCACGCCCACATGACCTAGAGATCCCAGCTCATGGCCACTCCACAGCGCCCACCTATCGTTTCCTTGTCGGGGCAATTCCCCTTGGCACAGATTTCCCCTTAACGCCGATATGTGCTTGTATTCCCGCGCCTGAAGCAAGCTTGATCTTGAACTATAAGCTCCTCCCTGTTGCTGCTGTGGATGCTGGCGAGTGTGGATTCGCGGACGAGGGCTTTGCCGTTCAACATCTTCACCACTTCGAAGAGCCTGATGTGCTTCATATCATTCTCACCGAGGGCGAGCACATGGACAACGTCGACTACCACGAGCTCCCCCAGACCGGGACTGCAGGCGTGGAGCTCCAGCAAGGCGATGAAGATGCACCCCCGGTCCGTTTCTAGCCAAAACCTGGACCATACTTACTGGTGACCGAAATAAGCTATGTTGATTTAGGGCGACAGCAACGGCATAAAGAGGCCGCAGTTAACTCGGCGTCGTGGTGGTCCGGTGCTCATAACCGCATCATCAGAGCCAATTCGTTAACAGGGAGATATCAACCCTCTACGTGTCGATTGCTCGACAACGTTTCTCCGCAACCCCAGCGCTCACGAGAGTCTTGACCATCGCTTCTCCTCCCGACTCATCCTCGCAGACGATCCGTAATATTCATCGGGGTTTTCAATCGGCGTTATACAATGCACTGTCGGCTCTCCGTTGAACTGAATTTTCCTCGTTTCGTTGCTGGCTGCTTTGCTCTTTTTCAGGATGCTCTTTGCCGTGCTAGAATTGGAGTATGTGAAATTCTGCTGCTGGGGCAACGGAGAAAGGTGTCCTTGGCTGATTCTCCTGTTGCGTGCTGTGTTGAGCGCAGTCGGGCTTTGGGGAGAGGGAGAGTGCGGTGTTCTTGGCATGGCCATGGCTGCGGGAGATGGGAGCGAGAGCGATGAGAGGCCGGAGGTGGGCGTGGTGATTTTGAGGGAGAGCTTGGGTTTTGCGACTCGGGTAGCGTACATTTTTGGCGAGGAATAGAGAGAGTAGGTAGAGAATAAACGATAGACCTTGAGAACAGAAGAGGTGGACAAGTCTCAATTAAAGAGAGAGAAACCAAGAAGGCGATCAAACGATGGATCAAAGAGGCGCAGAACTAACAAAACAACAAGGCGCGATATTTTTATATAGTTATTGCTATTTTCGTAGTTACCAATATTAACTAAACGTTGGACCAGCCAACAAATGACACAAAATATGTAAAGAAGAAAGGATTCGACCGAAAAAAGGAGCCCGGTTGAGACGACCGGTTCTCAGAACAGATGCTGGGAGAAGTTTCAGGACCTGATGGTTGTTGGGTTGACGGCTATTTATAGGCAAAAGGCATCTCGACTAGCGCCGTGGAACCCTGCAAGCCGTGCCAATTGTGATGGGATTCTGCAAGTGACAGCATGAGGGGAACGGCTCGTTAGCCTGTCTTCGTCCTGCCATGGATTGTTGGGCAGCCAATGATGCAGCATGTCTTCTGCAAAGAATCAACAGGCATGGTCACACCGCTGGATTGATCCAATGGCATCTTCTCTTGCATCCCAGCAACGGCAGGCAATAAGCTTTGTGGTGCACATCCTTCTATTTTCCCCTCTTTTTGGATTGTAAATATTAGAAATCTTCTGGGCTTGGAGGGGTTAGCTCAACATGTTGCATGGATGGTTGGACTATCATTGGCAGAGAGGTTCTCCTGTGAGGAGAAATGGAAAGGTCCACAGTTGCGCATATGACTGTTGGGCCTCTGTGCTGTCAGGGCTGGAATCTCCTTCCTAGTGAAAGGAAAAATATCAAGCAGGAGCTGATAATTGAGGTAATAATCAAGAGGTATCATTCCTCAACTCTTCTTCAGCATTGGCTTGTGTAGACAGTATGGTAGCAAACCTTGTTGCGTCAAAGGCGGAGATTCAGATCGAGAAGGCAGGGGACTTGCCTACATGCCCATCGCTCATCGCCGATCTGCAGTCTATACCCATGATGACTTGAAATTGCCATGGAGGGTTTGTTAGGACTGAGGTCGAAACATGCTCATATGATAGAATGCCATCTTCAGGAATGCCATTCATCAATCACGCTGGTCTCATAGAGTGTGACCATATCAAGAGATGTGAGAAGATGAGATGCATCTTTCACAATGTCACGCACTTTCTGAATAATTTATATTCTCCATGTTTCAATCATGACAGAGGACCAGATTCCTCAGACTCGAGATCATAAGCCACCCAACAGTTACCACGGCAGTATGCTCCACGCGGTAGTGCTCGTCCAGGACTCCAAAGTAGATAGGATAGAATCAGTGCTGAGTATCGTTTCCATAATTTGAATCGCCCACATTTTCGTCGCACAGAGGAACTTCATATTCACGGGTATCAGGTGCCAGTTTGTCGCTGCAGTTGCCCATCCTCCCAAGCTCAATGCTGTATGAGGGCAAGGGCCACATTTTGCACCAAGAGGATCAATCTTTGAGGTGGCCGGTGGGTTCAGTCCGTAAACCACCTTCAAATAACCCCCACAAGTCGTCTATCGATTCTATCGTTGGATAGCAGTGCCATTATGTTTTTTGGCTCAAACGTTTAGCTAACAAAGCCTCGGCCAAAACGTTTCCAAGCGGCATCGCGGCGACCGGAGCGTATTTCTCCGCCGGACCTGGAGTCCTCCGAGCCGAACACCGTGGGTCAAAAGCTCCATGGGGTTTGGTGGAGTTGAATTTGCCCCGTACTTGCACTCGGCCTGGAAACACTGAGAATCTGGAGAAACAAGAGGCGAGAGAGAATGCACAGCAATTCAATGCGTTTTGAACAATCAATTTGCGACCTCAACAAGGATAAAGAGGCAAATAAATCCTGAAAACACTTGCCATTACTCTGTAGTTATTCCAGATTCACCAGCAAGTCACAACCTCTTCCTCCAGACCTAGGTATCTAGCACCCCATTAAGTTTGCTGATAACCGCGACTTTTGCTGTTTCTCGCCCCCTGTCAGTGGACGCATCCCCGGTTTTCTTTTTTTGGTTTGGTGCCTGTCACCAGCCACATGGCAGCGGATCATGTGATGGCGGCCGTTGGATTGTGATACTCAGCCTGGAGACATGAGCAGCTGGCATTGATGGGGAGGACTAGTAGGAGCTGTCTCTTTTTGATTGACGGCCTTTTCCTCTCTCTGCTCCTCTCAGTGCAGCATCTCCAGTACATGGAAAACTGCAACAGTTTGATGGCAGCAGTTAAGCACCGCCACAACCGCCACCGCTAAAATTAGTCAGGCCCACACAAGAAGACCCGGCTGGATCGGCAGGACGATCCAGTGAAAACTGTTCTTTTGCTGGAGGTGGTTCAAGGAGTGAGCGAAAAAAAAAATAAGTTTCTCATTTTTCTGTCACTTGCTGTTCCTTTTCATCGTGCGCCATCTCCTGCTTCTCAGAGCCTGACCCCTCGTTCAGAGTTGTCTTCTGCCCTTTGGCGGTTCAGTATGATAGCGTTGTGATTGGGACATCCTTTTGTTTCTGTTTCGACAGTCCATTCATTCACTATATCAACTCGTCGCAGCGTGCTTCCTTTTTGATTGACTCTTGTTTGCACTTTCCAAGCTCTGTTTTGCACCTTTTGCTTAGCATTCTTTGGGTGCATAACCCTCACAGTCATTGAACATGGCGCAAGTGAAGGAGGCCATCAAGGCTTCGTTTGTTGGCACGCCGGAGCCCGAATCTCCCCTGTCAACACAGGTCAAATCCCATTTCATGCAACATGCGCGAAAAGATTCTGAAACTGGCGACCTGTATATGATGGAAGAAGATTTCATCAATGCAATTGCTCCAAAGCATGAAAACTATGTAGGTCTGCTCCTCTCTATCAAATGTCTCATTTGGCGTGAACTTCTCACTTTTGGTCCCACATCTGAGGCTAATTGCTGTTTTGTTCTGATCCCTCTAGCACAAAATAAAACGAGAACAGTACGGCATTCTCTTTCAAGTCGCCGACCGCCGACGGGTAGGACGGGTGAATTTAAGCGATTGGGCGGCATTTGAGAGCCTGCTCGCAAAGCCAGATGCCGAGTATGAAATCGCTTTTCGACTATTTGATACTGATGGGACCGGCGCTGTCAAATGCGAGACTATCCAGAAACTGTACAATGAAACAAACAAGGGCGGCGATGCTATCCCTTTCGATTGGAACTCGGAATGGGCCTCTTTGTATACCGGCAGGAAGAAGACGAGGCACGATATGACATATCCCCAGTTTGCGCAAATGCTTCGAGGGCTGCAGGGAGAGCGAATCCGGCAAGCTTTCCACATCTTTGACAAGGACGGAGATGGCTATATCGAACCGGAAGACTTCCAGCGCATCATTCTTCATACAGCAAAGCACAAGCTCTCAGACCACTTGTTGGAAAATTTGCCGACTTTATGCAACATCTCAACCGGCAGCAAGATTTCATATGCCAACGTGCGCGCATTCCAGAATATCATCCGTGAGATGGATATGATTGAATACATCATCAGGAGCGCAATCGGCAAGAGCAAGGACGGCAAAATCACGAGAGCTGATTTCCTGAACGAAGCCGCGCGTGTCACCCGCTTTTCTCTCTTCACCCCAATGGAGGCCGATATCTTGTTCCACTTTGCCGGTCTCGATACACCCTCCGGAAAGCTATCATGGGGTGATTTCACCAAGGTTATTGATTCGTCCTGGCATACGACCACTGCTTTGGGGGCAGAGGCAATCGCCTCAGTATCACAAGCCACGGACAAGGCGGTTACAAAGTCGAAACAACTATTGCACGGCCTCCTCGAATCTGCCCATCACTTCGCCTTGGGAAGTATTGCAGGTGCTTTTGGAGCTTTCATGGTCTATCCAATCGACCTTGTCAAGACGAGAATGCAAAACCAGCGAAGTGCACGTGTTGGCGAAAAGCTATACACCAATTCTATCGATTGCGCTAGAAAGGTCATTCGAAACGAAGGTGTTCTTGGATTGTACTCCGGTGTCGTCCCTCAACTGATTGGCGTTGCTCCTGAAAAGGCCATCAAGCTTACTGTCAACGATTTGGTCCGCGGCAGTTTCACTAATAAAGAGACTGGCGGGATTTGGTGGCCCCACGAAGTGCTTGCCGGAGGTACTGCTGGTGCTTGTCAAGTGGTAAGATAACCTACACTTTTCCCATCTTTTGGTAGGCCTATACTTACGGTTCCGTTAGGTTTTCACAAACCCATTGGAGATTGTTAAAATCCGACTTCAGGTTCAAGGAGAAATTGCGAAATCCGGACAAGCTGCTCCCCGTCGATCCGCCATGTGGATTGTGAAAAACTTGGGTTTGATGGGATTATACAAGGGTGCAAGCGCGTGTCTCCTTCGTGACGGTAAGTGGATGCGGCCTGAGACATCTTAAGATAAAATGATCGCTGACAACAATTGCCAGTTCCCTTCTCCGCCATTTACTTCCCCACGTACGCCCATCTGAAAACGGAGCTTTTCGGCGAATCTGCCACGAAGAAGCTCGGCGTTATTCAGCTGCTTACAGCAGGCGCAATCGCCGGTATGCCTGCTGCCTATTTGACCACTCCATGCGACGTCATCAAGACCCGTCTGCAGGTGGAAGCTCGAAAGGGAGAGACGAAATATACCTCGCTACGTCATTGCGCGACGACAATCATGAAGGAAGAAGGGTTCACGGCCTTCTTCAAGGGAGGGCCTGCACGTATTTTGCGTTCTTCTCCCCAGTTTGGGTTCACACTCGCTGCCTACGAAGTCCTCCAGAAGTTCTTCCCTATGCCTGGAACCGCTCACGAAGAGGTCACTCCTACTGGGTCAATCGAGCCTGGCATCGGCCTTCAGCCTGCCACCGCGCCGTTGCCATATCTCCGCTCACGCAATGCTCTCAAACTCATCCTGGACTTGGACGAGAATTTTGGACGAATCCGGGTCCCTCAGGGTAAAACTTGGCCAGGACTCCCCGGATCTTCAAAGCAGTGAACATTTCTTTCCACACAATTCTTTCGGTTTACCTCCTTGGCTTATTTGGATTTTTCCTGTGCCAAAAGAACAATAGATGTGATATTTAGACTTTTTCAAACAGGCATGGCAGGTTGGAACTTTTTGATATTTTCTTCTGGGATAAAGAGAAAGCACAAAAAGCGCAAGACTTAGATCGACAGCGTTTGTTTTTCAGCGAAGTCCGCCAAAATTTCGGCCGCGATTCCCAGGTGTATTAGACTCGCTCGTTGCTCCCTTAACCCCGTTGGCTGCAATTGTTTTCTTTTCTTTTTTTTCCCTTTGGTCCATTTCGTTTTTGCCGTTACGATATCACGATGCCTGGTTTTGTCTCTCATAATGCCGTTTAATATTGGCCTTTTGCTTTTGACCTAGTACCCCCTGATCGTTTCCTGATACTCCGTGATCAATTCCTTCGACTTCGCGTTCCTTTGCTTTGGGGCCCTCGTCTCTTGGGTGAGATTCGTTTGTGACTCCTGTGTTCTTCCCAAAGGGCGGACATTTTAACAAATATTTTCAAGTATTTTGTGGCACAGAAAGATCATGGCATCTGACGGCATGATTTTTGTCTCTCAGGTGATTTCATCTCAGCGGTCGAGTTTTGTTATAAATTTCACCTTTATTCCTACCTTGAAGCTTCTCTCTTAGCTCTCTCCATCCTGATTTCTTAGCAGTTATCCCAACAGCATAGAGCTTCTCATAGACATAGACTGCGCCTGAATGTCAACAGGTGAGGTCAGCTTGGCTGCCTAACACGTGATATCGCGCCTCGTCAACAAAATCTGCTCCCCCATCACAATGCCATTGTTCACAGCGACATTTAACGTGAAAACTGTCAAATCAAGCGAATCTCGCAATTCTCTTTGCAAGATACACGAGCAATACTGTCCAGGGAACCAAATCCTTCCAAACTGTTCTCTCGACCCTTGCTCCCCAAGAAATCACGGCGGTTAGACCTCCACTCACAGACGGCCCTTATTGATACCCAAATCGGGTATAGTGCAATATCGAAACCACCTTGACCCAAACAGAAGATGCAATTCCGGTGATGATGGCCAGAATTGGGGCTGTCCAAAATGCTGCTTGTGCCCCCCAGTCTCTGCTGGCGCTTTTTCTTTTCACGATGGTCGTGAAAACTTCAAGTCTTTCCCTTCTCTTTGCTTTTCTCCCCGTTCTCGCAGTGCGAACGGTCAGCTTCCTAGGAGGTTTGCCCTTTTTGCGTGGATCGCTAGAGGGTTTGCTGAAGGGACAGTCTTTCGTTTCAATTTCATGATTTGTTAGAAGATGAGTGCTTTAAGCCTGCTAAGAGCCGCCTTGCCGTTGACCGTGCTGGTCATTCCATACTATTTCCCCGTGGCCGCGATTGAGGACCCGACTCCGCTGCAAACGTGCTTTGATTACACGGGGAGGCCGTTGACGAACAATACACAATGCCCGGGATCGAATGCATGCTGTCATTACCTGCATCAGTGCACAGGCAACAACCTTTGTACTCAAGATGACTCTCCAGAGTATGTCAATGCACTATGTGCGGTGAACCCTTGGCGTAACTGCTCGAATATATGTCTATATGGTAAAAATTCCTATTCTCTCTCGATTGTCGTAAGGCATATACTGACCATCGGTCTTTTAGGAGCGGGTTGGAACGGCCTGTTACCCCGCGTGACAAGATGTCCGGACGGCAAGTATTGCTGTGACTCTGACAAGAACTGTTGTGAAAAGGGGGAAGGGATTGAACTAGACGGCAAAGGGAATATAGTCGGCTCCACCAAATCGCAATCAACCCCCTCGCCAACTCAAACGATATCTTCACCGACATCCGGTTTACCGGCCAATGTCACGTCATTCCCAACAGATACCTCCAAACCGATATCGTCCGTGAGCTCTACAGCCTTGCCTTTAGCCGCGAAGATCGGTATAGGAGTTGCCATTGCTTTTAGCGTTCTTTCATGTTTGATTCTATCTGCTATCTACCTTCAACGGCGACGAAGGAGTAGACGTAAATCGATAGAGGTAGCCGAACCCGCTCTGAAACCGGAAGTCCCGCCGCCAGACTATACCAAGTCGTTTTCTCCTCAAGAGATGTCAAATTCGCCGATACCCCAACAGTTTGAGATGCCGGATTATTCGATGCGTGTAGAGCTGGCCGGAGACGTCCCGCCGTATCCTGAACTATACGGTTCGAGGCGGGCCTCCACAATGTCCTCAATAAGAAGAGGCTCTCGCATATGATTTGAAGTTTATAGATTGGGCGTTCGTGACAATTCCATGCATTATACATCATACGTTGATGTTTACAATGTTGTATTTGATTGGTTCCTGGCATTTCAAGACTTGGAGTCTCTTTCTTGCTATTGGAGGATTCTCCGGCTTTTCTTAATATACCACACAGCATCGCATGAAGGAGATATTGACCATTGCAAATTAATCTTTGGAATATAATTGTCGTCTTGAATTCTATCTCTTTCTGCAACTGTAACAGAGGAACTGTCATTGATGGGGACTTTTGGCTTTCATCCCACCACAGGATTCCAGGTGCCTTCATTTGGAGTTCCCACCAAAGACCGGGCGAGTTGATTTGTCAGACCGCCCGTATTCTGGCTCTTGAAGTCCTTGGTTAGACCATGAAAATCCAGGGCAATGGACAGCTTCCAACGTCAAAATGCACGCGGCCTTCGTATTAAATCTGGGCGCGTTGTCTGCATGATCGCGGAACTTGTGCGAAAACATGTGACCGAGGATGGGATGAAGTTAATAAAACGACACCGAAATCCCATTGTTTGAATACTCTCTAAAAACCGAATATTGGCATCTATTGTGGAAAAAAAAATATCATTTTGTATTGAATGCATATCACAATGTCGTCCCAGAACAAGGGCTTTCATGCGATCGTACTAGGAGCATCAGGAATATCTGGCTGGGCGTTTACCAATCAGCTCCTCCAGGATTATCCACGGCCAGGAATATGGGATCGCATAACTGGGCTTACGCGAAAGCCTATGAGCGAGGAAGAATTGTCATATTGGCCGCGCGATGAGAGGTTCACGCTGGCGTCGGGGTTCGATCTGCACAATGATGAGGAGGACGTGTTGAGACAGAAGCTCGAGGACAGAGTCAAGGACGTCGAGAGCCTAACGCATGTGTATTATTTGAGTAGGGTTTCATGAAGTTTGAATGCGGAGAGAATGGAGGTTGAAGATATCCAGAATTAATTGTTTTGATATAGTACAAGATCCCCCCGTTGATTTTAACTGTTCCGACCCTTTCGCCGTGTCCATTAATGCGCTGAGGCGGACTCTCTCGGCGATTGAAAGCCTGGCACCAAACTTGAGATTCGTTCACCTCCAGTATGGCACATTCATATATGGAGTATGTTTCACAAACGATTTCTACCACCCTGTTCCTCTGGTTGAGGATTTGCCGCCTCTGAAGAAACCGCTATGTGATATGCTGCATTACCAAACCTGCACAAACTTCATGGGAGAGTTCTCCAAGGGCAAATCCTGGAGGTGGTGCGAGACGAGGCCGGATGAAATCATTGGTCTGTAAAGCCAATGCGTCATTTCATAGCGGATAGCTAGCTCACAGTTCACAGGGTTTGTTCCTCGAATGAATGCTTATAATGCTGCATATCCAATCGCCATGTATCTTTCATTGTTTGCGCATATCAATGGACAGGGCGCGGAATGTCCGTTTCCCGGGAGCTTTGGCGCCTGGAAAGCGCTATCCAATATAGCTGGAGCAGACATTATTGCAAAAGCAGCCATACATCTGTCATTGCTGGATGAGCCATCGCTTAACGGGGAAGGATATAACGTCGCTTCATCTGCGAGCCCCGCCAATTGGGAGATGACCTGGCCAGCCATTTGCTCCTGGTTCGGGCTTGTTGGAAAGCCGCCTATAGATAATGAGACCGATAAAACCGGTTCACCGGGCCCAGATGAGTACATCAGCATGCACGACACCGAGTACAAGGAGATGGTGGACGTGTTTCGTCTCAAAGGCTGGCCTGTCTCTTCTCCGAGTATGGATGGATCGCCTAATTGGGAGTTAACCAAGTTGAACTTCGATAGACACCTGAGCCTTCAAAAACTGAAATCAACTGGGTTCAAGGACGACGAGGAGCCGGCGGAGAGCTGGATCCGGACTTTTGAACGGATGAGAAAAGCTAAGGTGATCCCGTGACTGCCTTGTATCGGTGACCGTATATTCTTGGTTCGAAAAAGGTTACACTTCAGTCTCCTATATTAATAGAAGCTGGCTGCACGTTTCTTTGGTTGGGGTTCACTGGTATTACTGCTGTTCTCCGTTAAAGTATTCGTAGATGCCGCTTTAATCGAATCGCTATCATTGCGGGAAATGGCCTTGTCGACTGGCAAGGTCTTGCGCTTTGTGCTTGATTCCCTGCCTCCTTCAGCTTGTTCAATTTCTTGTAGGACTATTAGGCAGTTAGCCTCTGGTAGCTAACGAGCAGGATCCCATTTCCTACCTTCTTCCCATTCCCTTTCAGCGACTTCATTCCCTGTCCCAAGCACTTTTCTGACATCAACATCCTCTCCCTTCTGAAGTCTCTCGATCACGTCTCTCAGCACCCTTATTTTCGCTTCCGTGCTCCGGGCGTAATTCGCGTAATCATTCTTGATTTGAACCATTCGAAGGGCTTGCGAGCCTACGAGTATAAACATAACGATAAAATAGGTTGCAGGATTCCATCCCCTTTTCTTAGAGCTACCCTGCTGGCTCCTGTCGCGACGCAGGAACTTTGGGATCATAGCTGTCCATACTGCTGGCTCGGCAATTCGGGGAATATTTGGGCGCGTGGTAAAGCATTGAAAACGAGTAATTGGGCGGATTGACGCTCCATAAATCACTCGAGTCACAACATAAGCGGTTGATCGATTTAAAACGAGCCGGGACGACATTTTCGCGATTTCGCTGTGGTCTTTGATGCTTCTTTGACCATTTTCGGTGTTTTCTGATTTTTTGGGACTGGCTGCCAAGACTTATATCACGTGTAAAGTTACATAAGCAGCGGTTGGCCGAGCAACGCTGTTGGCCAACATCCTAGCAATCTGAACGTCGAATTGAGGCATGTTGCAGCTTGACAGACCAAAGGACACCCTTCTCGACGCCTATTGCTCTCTCTCTCTCTTTAGAGATGTCAAAATTACCCTCAGGCTCACTGGTTGATACAGTGAAAAGCTCCGTTCTGAATCCGGCAAACTGCACCAACGAGACTGTTTCTCTCTTGCGAAAGCTTCTCGCGGCCGCCGATGACGAACTTAAGCCTACACCGCGCAAATATACGAAAGCTGTCAAAGCTACCTCCAATCGTCGGCCAACAAGGGCTGGAACCTCTCGAGCTACTGAAAAAGTAACAGTTTTCCAAGGTCGAGCCGAACCTCCGGTCCCGTCGCTTTCGAGACAAGAACAAATCGCCCTCGCGACTGAGGTATTCAATATTTCGTCAAAGACGCTTTCAGAGCACATCAAGCTCCAACCCCCTCGACCGTTAATTAGAGAGCAGACAAAAAATGCAGCTACGAAAGCTCCGTTGTCCCCTAAAAAGCCGCTACAGCCTACTTCTCCAAACAAAACCACTCGACCAACAGCCGAAATCAAAAAAGCATCCCAACGATTAGATAAACGGAATACTGTGGCCAGCGGTATCTCTACAATTGCAGAGTCCGCCGTATTGGCTTTGTCAAGCCTTCGGCATTTAAAGCAAAGCGAGAGTCAAAAGCGAGAACTAAACCTCCAATTGGAACAAGGGCTTTGTATTTTGGTCGGGAAACTATTCGCTGCTGGCCTTAAGGATATGGCGATTGGTGAATTGCGGATATTGAAAAGCAGAATTAATTCATACTTTGGCGAAGAAAGCTCGAGGAGAACAAGTACTAATGGAAATGGGCCCGAGAAACTGGAGGATCTTGTCCTGATCCCTCAAATTCCGGAAGATGGAATGGTGCTACAACTGTTGATTTCTTTTCAAAATTTAGTAATAAGGGCCATTATCGCTGAGGGTCAGGCACTTACCATACAGAAAACCTTGGATTACCTTATCCTATCCCAGCCTTGCAGTCCCCCTAATTTGATTCTTGCCGCGCATAAAGCTGGTACGATTACGGCAGATAAGGCCGCACAGCAACTACAAGCCCTGTCCAGTACAGTTCTGTCTCTCGCAGCTTTAACAACGCCACCTGCTGAAGGAAACACCTCCGCCACGAAAACTCGGGTCAGGCCCGCCGTGACCGTTGGCCTTCAGATTCTTTCTATGGAAATCAGATGCTTGTGGTGGAAGATTGCTGGACACAAATACGACAGTGATAAGGAGCTATGGAGCCCTCTTGCTAGATACTTCACCGGATTAGCGCGACGTTGTCCAAACATCAAAAAAGCTGATTTTGAAAATATCAAGCAAGCGTTTCTACGGCTTAAATCGAGCTTGAAGTTGAACGGCCACGAAGTCAGGGTTCAAAATCTTAAATCAGTCTCACTATCCATAGTCCTGCGAATTCTTGGGCAGTTGGCATATACGGCCGGTTGCCCTTCCGAGGCAATTGAGTTCTGCAAGGCCGCGGCTGCTTGTCTTACCGCATCACAGCCAATGCAATTGGCCATATGCTGTTGCAAAATCGCCTTCTTTCAGATTGAAATTTCAAAGGGCTCTTTTTCGGGCAATATACAGACGATACAAGCGGCCATAGCTGAAGCAGCGAAGAATTTGAGCGCCCCATTAAAAGGGAATTTGGTTGACCTGGACGAATTATTCATGGAAGCTGCGAAACTTAAGAAGCTGATTATGAAGATGACTGGCATGGTGGTTGAGAGCGTATCATCCGATATCGACGGTTTATGGCTTAGTGTCGTCGAGTATATGGTGAGCTTCGCTCGCTTTCTTAACCGCTATTTGGGCCCGCTCCCTCTCGATGCGGATGCCGATTCTAGGAATCTTTTTATGCAGCGACTCGATGCTTGCAGGAACATTGCTATTGCGGCCATCGACTCCAGTGTAGCATTGGGCAAGATATCCTTGGGTACAGAACGCCCTTCTTGGCGAAGCCTAGAGCCGCTCCTGACCGATTGTTTTGCTCTCCTTAACCGTCTCAATGATCCTTGTATCGGTGACGAGCAGACTTCCAAGAGTGCATCGTCTAGCCTTCTAAGATTATCGAACCTTTATTGGTCCCGGTATGCAACACAAAAAGAAGCAGGAAAATCACCTTTTGAACTTGTTCCCCTCCTTGAGCGGTCAATAAATGCTTTGAGTCATTGCGCGCCGGCAGAGCAGGCTTCTGGCTTCATCCCGATCAAGTTGGAACGACTCGCGACCATTTATTCTGAGGTAGGGCATGAAGGAAAAGCGGAGCTTAATTATTCTTCTTCAATTCGCGCGCATATCAAAGCTGGAGCTTTGACATTTGTTAGCGGCCACTCCGCTCAGAAACCCAATCGTGATATCTGGAAAGCTCCCGAAAGCCCAGCATTTGCGTTGGGCCGTGTGCTCAGTAGCTACATCAAAGCGAGGCTGAAACATGTCCATAGAACTGTTGAGTTTGTATACGATGATGAAACACTTGATGCTGAATGCAGAGCCGCATTGCTTGAACACCAAACAACGATCCTAGCCGAAATATTTGCTGTTAACCCATCGGATACATTATCCCAAGGCCTCGTTTCTGTGATATCCCAACTGCTATCAATATGCCCGTTAGATGGGTTGCCCTATCAACGGTCCAGAGTTGTTCTGTTCACTCTGAGGCTGATTTTGGAATCTACCATAGATCCCCATATTGGTTTTTGCCAACTGCTTGCAAAGGAAGCGCAAGAATGTCTATCTAAACTCCCAAGACTAGCCGCAGGTCAAACTTCGTACCCATATCTAGAAGATCTCACGACTTCGCTTCGACTAACTCTTGGGTTTTACCGTGAAAATTTAACTATAGATGACATGCAAACAGTCGTTCAATCCTGGACCAAAATGTCGCAAACCTGGACAACATGGGAATCGGTAGAAGCAAGAATTTTTGACACCCAAATTTGGATTTCCCAGCTCCGAAGTCTTGTCGACTACTTGGAAGTTAAGGGACATTGGACGCTACAAATAACCGTACTCTCGATTTTCGAAAATGTTCTGGAACTTCAGGAAAAGCGAAATCACTCCCTGCTTGTGACCTCGTTGTCTATGATCGGCCTCCAATTCAGCCGCCTCGGACTCGCTGAGAAAGCTGATGACGCTCTGACCAAGGCGAAAGCACTGATCAAACACCAAGCTATATGTCCATCAGTTGTGGTATTCTGGCATGTTGTCTACGCGGAATATCTCATTGAGACGGGTGACTCGGAGAATAGGTATGGCCCTGAGCCAAATGGCCAACTGGGGTGATACTAGGTATTGACAAATTATTTAGTTTGGAGATTCTCCAGGGCGCTCGAGAGATATTCGATACTAGCTTTGCTAACATCGCCAAAAACTCCATGCGGATACGCAATTTTCTTGACAGGATAGGTATTGACGCGGCATACCTTCTATCGCGGATAACATTTGCCGAAGGAAAGATGGACCAAGCTATCTTTTACGCTAAGAATGCTGTGAAACTAAGCATTAGGCTTTGGGGGAGACTGGAGAAATATGCGGGTTTGAACAAAAAGGGTGATAGTGTTAAGGAAGGGGTTGATACGATTGCCGATAAACTCTCTACTTTGAATCTATCAACTGGCAGCGTGAAACTGGTCAAAGGTTACCGCACAGGAGCTATATACTGGCCTTACTTTTCGTCCCACTGTACTGCCCTGCGACAATTATCCCGGATCTCGGCTTACAATGGTTTGTACCAGGAAGCCGTTTACTACGGACAACTAGCTCTAGATGCAGCCAAAGCTCTCGGAGCAAGTTTCATAGCCGCCTTTATCAAAGCAGAGCTGGGTAGCTACAATATCCGTTGCAACGAACTTGAGAAGGGGCAACAATTACTGGAAGAAGCAAACTCCGATTCTGCTACAGCTGACCGAAGTATTCACAAGATCGCGGTTACTTACCACCTGTCAGCGCTTCACAAATACACCGGCGAGCTTGAAGAGGAATATCAAATGCTTGATGAGTGCAATAAAGCGTTAATGGAGTGTTTTCAGCACGAAAATAACCCATTAGCGTGTCAACTTGATGGGCGGGTTGCCGAAGTTCAGAACAACCTCGAGAAGCTAACAATTGAGACGAAGATGGTTTCTATGCCGCAGAGTAAAGCTAAACGCAACAATCAGCCCAGGAAACCGAACAAACGACCGGAAAAAACCCTTGCTACGAAAACTACTAGAGGACAAGAAATTCTCAGACCGTCCTTGGTCTCACAATTTCGTTGCGAAGTACTTCATCGACAAGTAGCTGCCATGATATCCAGCCAGCGATTCCAAGATGCCTCGGATCTTTTAAACGAAATTGAGAAGCTTCCGATTTCCAAGAATGGCCTGGTGGCCCAGTGCTTACACAGAGCCAGCCTGCACTTGAATGAGGCCGTCCACAAGCTTCTTAGCCACGCGGTTTATTGTGTGCTTCCCGAATCTTGCATCGCCCTCCTCTCAATTCAGACCACGGGTTCAATGAGCAATCAGCCGCCACTTACATCAACTGCGCATGTTTCCAAAACCCCAAAGACTCCTAAACAGTCGGCGTTGGGATCCAAGAAGCCTAGTCGACTTGTTAGGGAAGATTTTACCGACATTCTATCAACAGCCAACCAGTCCCTTCATTCCACTTTCCCATTGGCAGTGACACATGATTCAACTATGAACGTTCACCTTCTTTCTTATTTAACAAGCAGGGTATCAGCTCTTTCATATGCAACCTCGAAAGGCGGCATAGCTGTCGACCCGAGTTGTACCGTGCAATATAAGGGTACTTTTTATCCTTTCTGATATTAATAGAATGTCGACTAACCTTGTTTATAGAGGCTGGGCAAAATTCCGCTTTTCTTCGGGAGCATTGTTTTATCAGCGCAGATAAACAGTTGAGCGCAACTCCGAAGTTGTCAACATGGCCTTTGACTCCAGATACAAGCTCGAATTCAGACTCCTTACAATTTTCTACATTTACAGAAGAGTATATCGACATCCTGCCTGACAAATGGAATGTTATTTCGATCAGTCTGGGAGTTGAACGCAATGAATTTCTAATATCGAAACTTCGTGCACACGAGGCACCATTTATGCTATGCCTTCCTCTCCGGCGGAGCGATTCAGAAGATGATGATGAAACGGGGTTTTCTTTCGAAGACGGGAAACAGGAGCTACAAGAAATTATAAGATTGGCCAATAAAAGCGCCCATGATACCCGTGCTCGCGTGGATAGAAAGGCCAAAAAGGAATGGTGGGCTAACCGAGAAGTTCTGGATACGCGCTTGAAGGATCTACTCCATAATATGGAAAATATATGGTTTGGGGGTTTCCGAGGAATCTTCTCGCAAAAGCCGAAAAACGAAGTTTTGCTGTCACGATTTGTTGAATCATTTGAAAAGACCCTCGATAAACATTTACCGTCGAGGCGTACCACAAGGGGGAAAGCCAAACACCCAAGATTTACGCTTGATCAAAACATTATGGAGCTCTTTGTTAACATAGGAAAGTTATCGGATGAAGATGATCCGGAGGAGTCCGTCATGGATCTTTTGTACTTCGTTGTCGACGCTTTGCAATTCCAGGGTGAAAGGAACGCGTACGATGAGATTGATTTTGATATGATGGTTATTGAAACCCTGGACGCCCTGCGAAGTTACGCTGAGACAGAACGGAGAGAAGAAATCCCCCAAGTTGAGACGCATACGATTCTTATTTTGGATAAAGCACTGCATTCTTTCCCATGGGAGTCACTGGACTGTTTACAAGGGTGCTCCGTGACTAGAATGCCATCGCTCCATTGCTTGCGCGAACGACTGATAAATCTGAAAAACCAGCGAGAAACGGGAGCATTGGCTGGGCTTCAAGTTAATAGACAAAATGGAGCGTATATCCTCAATCCCAGCGGCGACCTCAAATCGACGCAAAATATCTTTCAGGCTCCCCTCTCTGGATTGGATGGTTGGACGAGCATTATCCAGAAGGATCCAAGCGAGGAAGAGTTCAAACAAGCGTTAGAATCTAAGGATATCCTGTTATACTTTGGCCATGGCAGTGGTGCCCAATATATCCGGGGCCGAACTATCAGAAGACTTGATCGTTGCGCGGTTACTTTCTTGATGGGATGCAGCAGCGGGTCGATGACTGAGGCTGGCGAATTCGAACCTTATGGCACGCCTTGGAATTACATGCACGCTGGCTCGTCCGCTTTAGTTGCTACTCTCTGGGATGTCACCGATAAGGATATTGATCGTTTTGCGGAGGGAGTTTTCAAACAGTGGGGTCTATTCCCAGAGCCCGACAAAAATGCTGAATCTTGCTCGTCAAGAAAGAGCACAAGAAAGCCTGGTAAATTGGATAACAATTTGGAATTGGGAGGATCTAGTTCGGTTGGATTAGACACAGCCGTCGCAAGATCGCGAGATGCTTGTATATTGAAGTATTTGAATGGCGCGGCACCGGTTGTGTATGGAGTTCCTGTATTTTTGGGATAGGGGCTCTCGGTTGGCATATGACCCTAGATGGGCTTGGGTGGGATTGGCATACTACAATAGATCAGAGATGCAGCTATAGAAGAATGATACATATTGCTCTTCATCCATCGTTGCCGCTCCAAGTCTTCAATGACATAACTGGTTAATGCCCCGCACTGCCCCCAATTTCCCCTCATCACGCCCCTCAGCCCACTTGCTTGAATCTTTGCTCTTTTGGGATAACCTAGTGTGTCCACCGTTATTTAAGGCCGCGAGTTGCTCTTGTTGCTCTTCAATTGCATTTTCAGCACTCTATTTCGGTTCCCCTTTCTCAGCTACAGCTACAGCTACACGATGTCTGTCGCTACTAAAGCCACTATCGCTTCGTTTGGAGGCAAGCTCCTGAAGCTTAGCCATAATGCCAGCACTACAGGGTGCGAGATGTCTTTCAACCTATACCTCCCACCGCAAGCAGTAAATCAAACTACATCCAAAGTCCCCGTTCTCATCTACCTTTCCGGATTAACGTGCACGGCGGAGAACTGCTCGGAAAAGGGCTTCTTCCAACACGGTGCGAGCAAGAAGGGAATTGCCGTCCTGTATCCCGATACAAGCCCAAGTATGTTTGCAGCTTTCTTGCAGGGGGTTGGTTGCTAATTGATATCCTAGGAGGGCTTAATATCCAAGGTGAAGATGACGCCTACGACTTTGGGTCTGGTGCAGGATTCTACGTCGATGCCACGCAGGCACCTTGGGACAAGGGTTATAAAATGTACAGTTACATAACAGAGGAGCTGCCAAATACTGTCTTTGCCGCATTCCCGCAACTGGATTCGAATCGCGTCAGCATCACAGGGCACAGTATGGGTGGGCATGGAGCTTTGACATTGGTATGATCTGAATTGCCAAATTGATGAACATCACCAAATCAATAACCACTGCAATTGCTAACCAACGACTGTCAAAAGTTCCTTAAGAACCCCGGAAAATACAAGTCAGTGTCCGCCTTTGCACCAATCTGCAACCCTATCAATGCTCCCTGGGGCCAGAAAGCGTTTAGGGGCTATTTTGGAGACGAAAATACACAGAAGTGGAATGAACACGATGCCACGGAGCTGATCAAACAATGGAAGGGTGGCCCATTGGATATTCTCATTGATGTCGTAAGTTTCTCTTTCAAGTTTTACCTTGCACGTTAGCTAAAAGAAAGTGTCACTCGACAGGGCACGGGAGATAATTTTCTCAAGCAAGGCCAACTTCTTCCCGAAAATTTCGCAGAAGCGGCTAAACAGGCAGGTCTTGAGTCCAGTGTTAATATTCGATATCAGCCCGATTATGATCACAGCTATTATACCATGGCTTCGTTTTCAGATGATCATGTTGAGCATGCGGCGAAGTATCTGTTCGCCTAGTATGTCACTATCCCTCCCATCCTGCCAGATCCTGGGCTTAGAGTACTAATTGAGACAGAAGCGATAATGTAAGAATAGCAAAAGCTATGATTTGATATGATTGAGCGGGTTTGGAAGAATTTCATGAGATGTCCTGTATATATGAGAGAGAAAGGGTAGAATTCAAGTCGGTCAACTTTTATTCTTTTTCGACTTGTTAACTAGACATTTGGGCCTGGGCCATGGGCAGTGGCTCTCTCTTATATAATTTTTCATTTGATTAGCATTGCTTATTCAGGGTTTTGAAATCCGTTGGGAAATATCAATGCGACACGAATCCCATCAATCCACCATTCGACCGTTCTATAACCCGCACCTAATTCTTAAACAACTCGCTATCAGAGAAGGCAAACAGAATGACATAGGAACTTCGACGGCCCCTTCTTGGCTCGACTTATACCCAACCCTCCACACAATTCCAAGAAAACCGGAGCACTAGAAGATGTGTTATTCGGACATTAGAATTCCCCTATCACGCCGAAATTGGCAGTATGGTGGTCTATGGCGAATTATGGATTCATCCATTGCAGAATTATGAAGCTTGCAAAAGAATGCGGTTAGGTTATAGGGGAAATCGAAGGATTTCCGGAAGAAGGCCCGTCGAATGATTCGAAAGTTCTAAGGGGGGCGGATCGGAGCAACAATGAGGATACCAATGTGGAACAAGGTCGAAGCAAAGACGCTCAATGTGAATTCTTTTATCTTTTTTGAAATCCGTTGGTATCATGCGCTAAACCGTTGTATAAATGCCTATAATATCATAAAAATGATATGTTCAGCTCTGAAAATTCAAAATATAGCAGATTCAGAAATAGGGGCAAAGCGACAAGCTTCTGCACATACCTGAAAAAAATTACGAAAGCCCTTTGTATCTAACATTTCTAGAGATCCCACGTATTCGTTAACAAGATCGGGCCCCATCCCCAATCCTGGTAGCTCTGTCTCCCTCAACCATCGAACATATTCCGGGCCTGTTTTGCAATATATTTTTTTCTGTAGGGTTGCGGCTTCTCCAAGGACCTGTTTCGCTTGAGCATCCTTGGGGTTGAAAGAAGCATTCATTGGTAATGCCCAACAGAGCGGAGAGAAGCGAGTCATCATATATTGGGTAAAGCCAGGCAAAGCTGGCTGCGAAGGTGCTGCGCCGTTTGCAGGGTTGGGCGCCTGAATAATATCTGGTCCACCCCATAAATTCGACATGCGGGATAAAACGAGGAACGCCATTTTTGCCGTAGGAAAATCGTCGACATCCTTTGAGAAATGTTCAATTGTCGTTATAACAGTTTCAAAAATAGGCTGATTGGCTGTAACGAAGTGTGAGCTTCCCCAAACATAATCTAATTAGGCTAAATAGACACCTACCAGTACTAATGATCACAGTACCAAGATCATTATTCAGGATCATTAGCAAAAAGTTAAGATATTCCCGTTTTAGCTCAGCAAGCTGTATTTCGTCGTCTGTTCCTGTCGTTGGTTCAGAGATTCCGGCAAAGACGCGTTGAAGGAAGGGAGTGAGGAGAGTATCGAGGACGCCATATATTTCAGTTTTGAATCCATAGATGACTTGGTCCAAAAGGCGTAAAAATAGGGCCATTTCGTCTTTCGATGAAGTTTGCGTAAGCAAACCGTCAATCCACCGTGGCAATTGCGGCAGATTCTGTGCGCCCCGAACGCTAACAAGCCGAGAAAATGCGGATCGAGCTGCTGTTCTGATACTAAAGGAAAAGTTTAGAGCTTCCAGGGCTACAAGGGTCGCTTCAGCAACTTGTCCAAATGCATCTGCGACCTCTCGAGCGGGAGGCATAACGTGATGAGACGTTCCCGGAATCCAGTCAGAAAACCCTTTTGCAAGGCCAGCTAAAGCTAGTATATCATGGTGAATCTGTAGCAGTGCACGTTCATCTCGCGATTTTGCAGCCCCGAGGTTTCTCTCCATATCCATGAAGATAGGGTTCATAATCGATTGGGCATAAAAGACTTGTTTGTCCACTGGGATAGACGACGTCGCGCAAATTGTTCCAACAGCTTCAAAAAGGTAAAGCTGATTGTTGAACACTACGTCGGCTGAACCTTCGTGATCCTCGGAAGACATATCCTCGTCCGGCCCTTCGACAGGCACCTCCGCGTGAATAGTGAGAAGGTCGCCCAACGCTTCGATAACAGTCTGAGCGACATTTCCAAGATGATTTCGTAAATGTTTGACTAGACGATGAAACAAATACCAAGATCTCACTTTCACTCTCGCCACTTGATGATGGGCGAGTTGTAGAAACCCTTGCAATACTCCAGGTATAAACTGGATATGGTGTTCGAAAAAAGAACTATACCTGACGCATATTTTCCATAAACTGCAGCTGTGTTGCGGGATGGTTGAACGACCTTATATCGGATTCGACCATCATAAGCATCATCTCGATTAGTCGTTCAGACGCCTGGTTGTTGGGTTTGTTTTTGGTATACAATCCGCCTGATCGGACGGCTAGTTCGCCAAAAAGGAACATTTCATGTAGAGCGAGATCAAGGTCACGCCAATCTAACTGGCCGCCAGACTGTTGTAAGTTCTGGAAAGTTGTTCGTACAACCTCGGTCACAGCATCCATATAAAGTTGCTCGTTTGTGGCCGCAATTAATAGCTGTAAGACATTCAATCGCTTGCGTAGGTCCTGGAATTCCGCTTCGTCGGTCTGATCATCTTCAGTTCCCCACGAGGAAGTCTCATCGTAACGCATTTTCTGGATAATGGCTTTCAAAATAGGTAATAGCATAGAGCTCTGTTGAGGTATAACGGCGGGGTTCTTTCTGGCTACCTTTCGAAAATATGATAGGAGGTCATTCACGCCAGGTATGGCTGTGGAGCATATTTCGTCGTATTCGTCAGAGAAGTAACGGAGTATATGGGGCAGAAATGCTTGCAAGAGGACCTCAGCCTTTTCTTTGGTAGCGTTGTCAGAATCTTCGCTATCGAGAGTTTTCACAATGTCAATAACCGTGATGTTCACCAGCTTAGCCACTGTTTCGGCGAGATCGGTATCGTATTTATATGTAAACCGGTGTTCATGTAATGGAGGGCTCGTAGTAAGCTGAGCGACTATGCTCTCCAGATTCAAATAGACGATCATATCAACTTTATCGGAGGCTTTCATCTTTTTCCCCACGATTTCCGTAAACACATCGATTGCAGCATCCCGAACCTTTTCTCCGCCCTGTCGAAGATCAACATCCTTGGCTTTGGCAAGTTGACGGAATAGAAGGTCAAGCATCGTCTGGTTAACCACCAAGGAGATGTTAATCCAACTGACCCAGCTCCCAATCGCTCTGAGGCACATTTCCGTAATCAAGTCATTTCTATCTTGCCATTGCGAGAGTATATCTTGCCACGAAGTAACCAGCTTTTGAACATCCCTCTCGCGGATGAGATCCTTAAGAGCATTCGCTCTATCTTGCTCCGCTCGAGAGCGCGACACAAGGACATCGCCAATCTCGTCATGAATAGAATTGACAACCCGGAGATAAAAGATTACGCCCATGGTATTATCCCGCAGAGTGCTCTCCGGTCCATTGTATGTTAAGCGTAGGATATCGTCAAAGAAGGTATGCCATTCTGTTGCGTAAAGGGCGGAGAAGAGATAGGTAATCGTCTGGGCAATTTTATTTTGAATGTTCGAAGGGTCCGACTGCGCAGGCCCGTCCGATTTGTACGTTTGCTGTAGGTATGTTAGGAGGTTGTCCCTAATGAAGCCGAGTCCCTGCACATCAACCAGCCCCGTCTGTGTCGCGCTGCTGATAATCTCCAGCGCAACATGGCGTACGACATCTGAGCGCCTGGGGGTTTTTGTGAACAGTGACAAGCAGACCTGCCAACCCGAGGGATCCGCACGGAGCTGGTTAAGATAGTCAAAGGCTTGAGTTTTTAGAGTCTGGTCGGAGGACGGGTTTCCCGCTATTTCAATGGCATTTGCTACCTGGTTGAACGTTGGATTCGGGTCAGCTCCTTTCAACTCGTGGAGGGGTCTGAAAATGCTACAGCGGGGCAAGGAGCGGTTTGACGGCCAACGTCACTGGGAGGAAAAATTGACTTACCTGGTCCTCCATCTTCCCCCAGCTCTGACACAGCACAAGCTCCTCTTTCGAGTCGCTGTAGCGATGGGTGGTACTTCTGGCGTACCGGCTTCAGCCAGGAGAGTTGTGTTGCGGTGAACAGTCACGGTTAATAATGAGGATCATATCACTGGAGATACGGGCATTGCAGGGCCAGAACCAGTTTTTCAAAGGCAAAATACTCGGTCAAAGCAAGCAATCGTCTTCTCGATATTCAGGGAATAGACAGCAAAGACAGGCTATATCTAACAAAAATGGGGAGAGTGATCGTCATCGGTGAAGTGGTACGTTAACCAGTTGACCAACGGCCGCACATTTTCCCATATTTTGGTCACGAGCCATCCGAAGCCCCAATTTCACCAGCTCCGAAATAAGCTTCAACCACCCGGACCTTGGAAGATTGAGATATAAGTTACTCGGTATTTCTCTACTCGACGACTCGCTGTCGCTCTTCTGTCTTGGAGTTTATCGCTAACTAGCTAACGTGCTGACTCTTGCTGCAACACCTGCTTCTCCATCATTTCAAACCCTTCAACAGCCACTCCATACTTATCGAACGCCGCCGGCTGGTATCCATCAGCGATTTTCTCGATGAACTCGTCTTCTTTCCATCTCTTTCCGATCAGGTCCTCGAAGGTTTGACCAGGCGATCTCTCAATGGCCCAAACAGCTTTGTACGCTGCGCCGAGTGCGCAAGCGTTCTCGCCAACATCTAAGCTATAGACTCCTTCCACGCCCCCGAGAACCTCACCCGCAACTTTGGCAATAGCGCGATTACGGGAGCCTCCACCTACCAAGTATACCCGTCGAGGCTGCGCAGGAACACCGTCTTTGGAGCTGTGGACAAGGTCTTTTGAACGGAGGCGGAGTGAAAGCATTTGACTTTCTACAATGGCACGAGCATCGTCCAAAGGACGATCCCAGCCATCAACAGTCTCCTGCAACTCTTTCTTCTTGGGACAGTAGTTGAAATGCCATTCGCCATTGCGGAGATTTGGCACAATCTCGGGTCTAGGAAAGTAAAGCCCCATTTTCATTGGGTCCGTATCAGTCTTCTGACCCGCAACGGCTGTTTCCAACATGACACGATCAAAATTATCCCATGAATTCGATCCTTTCAAGGACCCTATTTTGTCATTTATCGCATCTCTAACCTGCTCGCGAGCAAGTCCTCCGTTTTTATAGCATAGCATGAACATATAGAGACCGGGGGTGGTCGGATGGTTGAAGAAATGGGTGGAAGGATCCGGCTTGTACTCTGGTGTTGACATGAGGAATGTGGTCGACGTTCCTAATGATACCATTGCGTCTAATGGCCTCAAGGGAAGCGCGAGAATCGTCGAGGGATTATCGCCCGTCGACGGCAGGATAGTACACTTCGGATGAAATCCGTATCGCTCAACGAAGTAGTTGTGAATTTTGCCTAGGTGTAACCCGCCATCATGTGGCACATCGCCTAGTTTTCTCTTCAGCTCGTCTGCTCCATATTTGCCGGCACAAAATTTGACCAGATCTTCGTTCCAGCAGTTTTCTTGCATGTCCCACAGATTCATCCCGCAAACGTCGGAGATATCAAAGGGCGCAACCTGGCCTAACAGTACAGATGCTAGGAACGATGAAACAAGTGATATTCTCGACGTTTTCTGGTATTCTTCAGGATGTTTTCTTTGAAATCTCAATATTTGAGGGCCAGTAAACCTCTGAACTCAGACATCAGTAAATCATCTAGCGGCGGCTTTTGGTACCTCTTCTCAATACTCACATGGTGTGCTTTGCTTCCCGTAACCTGGGCTAGTTTCTCCTCATCCCCCAGAAGCGCATCGAACTCATCGCACTCCTTTTGTGTACTCGCATCTTGCCAATTCGGACTATACGGGTATGACAAGGCGGCCGTAAGCTGCTCTTCTAAACTCTTCCCCTTATCGAGCCCCTTCAGTAAGTCCTCCGCCTGCCCATTCCAATACACACTTCCATGCTGCTGTCCCGCTCCGCTGACGCCCTGTACGAGGCTAAAGTCGAGCCCTTGGTCCTTCAATTGCTGCAACACATTATCCAGCGCCTGCAACCACATTGCAACGGGGGCGAAAACCTCATGTTCTGCCTCGTTTGTGAGCACCCCTTTCTTCACATCGAAGCCTTTTGAGTCGACATCGAAATCGAATTTGGCTATGTTGACAACCTTGAGGTCCGATGCGACGACGAGACCTTTGAGCTGCTGGGTCGAGAGGTCGAAGCCGATATATAGAGGCCCTTGTGAAGCCATTTTCGTCACCTAGGTATTTCTATCAAAGAATGGAGAATGTAGTTGACGTTACTTCCTTTCATCTGATCACCAGAAGCTCAGGATTTATAGATTAATTCCCATGCAACCATTCAACATTGAGAGTAAGAAAGCAATGTTCACAACCAAAGCGATCGGCAGACCAGGTTCTGCGCCGGGTAGTGGGAGCACCACAATGATGTCAAAAGAACTTGGCCTTCATCCGGCTTCCTGTAGATCGGCAGCCAAGCATAGTCCCTTAAACAAGCAACCAGGATAAACAGCTACCTGTGCATTTATTAAATATATCAATAGTATATCTGCAGGGCCTTTGTACTGATAGCTTTGAGGTTCGTTGTCCAGCGTACTGCTTGCTGATGCAGGAGGTCACCCACGTGCGATGACGCAATCACGACCTGTTCCTGAGACGGAGACAACCCTAACAAACCAAAGCACATATTTAGACTCTTTGGCCATAAAATGTGAGTTGATGTACTCCGTATGTTCACTGTTGGTGGCTAGTGTGGGTGCAAAGAAAACATGGGGATACTAGTGTCGGTCTCTAGAACTCTTGCAGCGAGACAGGAAAACTGTGGCCTGACATTAAATCCGGAATTCACTCTGGATATTACAGCTTGTGGGTATATTTAAAATCTATCCGAAAGCATTCTAAAACCACCACCTGGGATCATACTTGAAAACGCGGCCTCAGAGAATTTAGCTATCAGAAATGTTATCAAAGAGTCTGCCCATAAAAGCGATTTGTAACTGGAGGTATGTTGGAGTCAACGCCCTTCAAATGCACCAGATCGCATCCAAACTGTCTGAAGGCTTTAGGCCAAATAGTACGGCCAAAAGGATCAAAACCAGTAGCAAGGGATTATGTGTATCTTGCCCAATTAGAGGCAAACGCGCCGTTCAAAATCTAGTTTGCGGACTCATCCCCGTTTACGTACCCCATCCACTTCTAGTTTCGTGCCGGTAGCTGCTTCGGCAACGTTATCCTCCATCTCTGGCTCGGGACTGCTTCGAGGACTGATATCCGCTGCAATGAATTCTTCTGCGAATGTGATCTCTCGCTCAGTGTTTGGTGTAAAGCGCATCTTCAACCGTTTAATGCCTCGGACGCGCGAGCCTACTCGCCCTCGCACCAACTCCTCGATGTGGCGCGTGTGGCCAACGGACCAAGTTTCCGGAACTGCCATCTCTATATCCATGAGGTAGTTTGGCCCTGATTTGACACCTTGGATATCCCGAATCTCGACTTCGCTTCCATTGGGAGTAGTAGCCAAGGCTTTCATGGCTGATTTTCTGACCGAGTCAATCATCTCTTGTTCCACGCCCACATCCGCCAGCTCCAACAGAGACGTCTTTGTATTTCCCCATCCTGCCCTGATAACCATCAACGAGATCAGAAGCCCTCCAACAGGATCCAACCAGGACGCATCTGTAAATACGTGGGCTCCGCCAATTGTCAGGAGGGCAACAATGCTTGTAAGCGAATCAACACGGTGGTGAACAGCGTTGGACGCAAGCACAGATGATTTGCGTTCAATGGCAATTTTCATAGCTAGCAGAAAACACATCATGTTAGTGCATTTGTTTGCTCGGCAATAATTTTAGATTTCAACTTACTTGCACGATACAACCATTCTTTGATCACGATGGATCCTGCAGCCAACCAAGCAGCGTTGATGTTAGGCCCGTGAGCAACATCATGAGAATGGCTATGCCCATGAGAGTGACCATGTCCGAGAAGCCCCAAATGCGCAGCCATATCAGCAATATCTGGGAAAAACTGCACCAGCAAAACTTCAGCAGCATTCAAGCCCATCAAGAAGCCTCCACATAAAAGCAAGCTGCTGACTCCCAACGCGCCTAGTGTTTCTACCTTGCCGTACCCGGTAGGGAACTTCGACGATGGCGGTTTAAGCGACCATGTTACTGTCGCCAGTGTCATGAAATCGGACACCAGATCTGTAAGGGCATGGTACGCGTCGGCTACCAAGGCCTGAGAGTGGAACACATATCCCCCTACACCTTTACCAACCGCCATGCAGAGGTTCGCCAGCAGCCCGATTCGCGTGATGCGGACGCCGGGGTCGCGCTTGTTTTTGGAAACTAAGTATGCAGTATCATGGTGATGGTGATGGTGATGCCCATGACTTCCATGATTTCGGACATGTTGGCACGACATGGCGACTAGAGGCCCGACGAGAGAGGATCGATGAGGTTGGGGGGTGGAAGAGGTCAAGGGACAAGGCTGTGCAATCGTTGCTTTTTGCCCAGGAGCATACGTGCGAACCGACCGTGAAACGAAGGCTGATGGCGGGAAGACACGTTGCCGGATCGAGCTGCAGGATGGTTCTGCGATGTTGTTGGCTCGCGGGACGATTATTCGCTCGTGTGGACGGAGGCTGAACGAAGCTCTGAATTTCACAATTCGGCTTCTGGCACGAGAGCCCAGTTGCGTCAGCGGCATCGCCCCCAAGCGAAAGATACGGCCCAGCGTAAAGCTGGACCGTTGACGATTTCGTGTTTGGTCCTCGAGTCTGCTGTTTCTTTGCTATCTCAGGCCCGAATGATATGTCCTTGTTGAGTAAGCTCTTTTCATGCAGTTTCAACTACCTTGTACCATAGCCTCGGGGAACGATTCGATGCAAGCCAAGCTGCAAACGGCCTGGTTTCAGTATCGACGGATCGTGCCGAGTTCCATGGAGGGAGCCGGTGATGTTTTCCCTTGAAAGATCAATCAAACCCATTGTTGTTCACTACTGACTACAGTCGCGTCGCTGTGACGGCTAACAAACCCTGGGGAAATCTCGGTCGGTGCCATCCATCCGAGTCGAACCACAGAAGTCGCCTTATTACTAACTGACGGAAGTGCAAGGGTTTGTGGCCTCCACCAAGCTTGCATCCTGGTCGAGAGAGCAGCGTTGAGCGACTGTTCCGAATGAAACCTCAGCGTCGATCTTCGAACTGTCACTGGTGTTTCAAGCCGTTTTTTTATTTTTGTCTCCTTCAAGCCCTATAATTAGACTGTTGATACACAGACATTGAGAAGACACAGGATCTCGTCAATTCGTTTTGCGGAATCTCTAGCAAGTTCGATCATGCCTTACTCATGACGAAGCGGCTGAGGATCCCATTCACGGCACCGTTCTCACCGCCAATTATATTCCCTTCATCCGCAAATACACTAACAGGTGCGATTGAGGCCATAACGACTTTTCTCTCCGCCCCTCCATCCCCTTTCCTCAGAGGCATCGACGTCGGCTCGAACGCGCAGACGGTGCTGCTCACTGGCGCGGGCATATCGGTCGCGTCTGGATTATCCGATTACCGTGGTGAAAGAGGAACCTACAGGCGAAACGCATCCTACCGTCCGATCTACTTCCATGAATTCGTGGCCATACATGAAGCGAGAAAACGGTACTGGGCTCGCAGCTTTGTTGGCTATCCCACGTTGCGCGATGCCGGCCCGAATTCCACCCATTCCTGTATCGCCGCGCTCGGAAGAAAAGGATACATTAGCTCCGTTATTACGCAAAATGTGGATTCCTTCCACAATATTGCCCACCCAGATATCCCAGTAGTGGAATTGCATGGATATTTGCGCTCCGTTATCTGTGTCAACTGTCGCCATACGATGCCGAGGGACGAGTTCCAGCAATCACTCCTTACCCTTAACCCTTCATGGGCCGAGTTTCTATGGCGCATGATCGAAGTCGGAGCTTTGAAGACCGATGCCCCTGATGATCGACGGGAAAAAGGCTTGCGGGTGAACCCAGACGGTGATGTAGATATTCCCAACGCTCATTACTCGAATTTCCGTTACCCACCTTGCCCTCGATGTTTGATAACGCCCCCCATTCGGCCAGACGGTACCAAATTGATCGTTGAAGCCGAACCCGATGGAGCGTGGTCACCAAGGTCAAACGCAGGGATCCTGAAGCCTGCTGTTGTCATGTTTGGGGAATCAGTGGATGAGACAACTAAGCTAGCCGCTGAAGAGGCGATCGATGAGGCAGGCAAACTCCTTGTTATGGGAACCAGTTTGGCAACGTTTTCTGCATGGCGCCTGGTCGAAAGGGCGCAACGTCGAGGAATGGCGATTGGCATTCTGAACATGGGAGGTGTCCGCAACGAAGCCGCCTTGTTTGAGGGAGCGAATGAGCATAGCTCGCCGGTAACACGAGTGCGATGCAGTGAGAAGACCGAACTAGTCCTGCCTGAAGTGGTCTCAAGGCTTGAGCAGCTTGGACTGCATTAAACTGGGGAGTTCAAACGGCTCCCAGTGATTTGTATTACCAGGGATAGACCAGAATAGCACACAGATGTAGCAGTTTGACTCTATGAAAATGAAAGCAGTGCATGAGCAATGGATTGGCTGAGGCGCTGGAACTAAAATAGGCACAGGCGCTAACAGTGGGCTGTTCCACATTTAGATATGAAGGCAAGGGCCGTTCGGTTGGCGGGGGGCGTCAGAGCAACATCAACCAGCCGGTATAAAGGCTGACATGGACAATCTTCATTTCACAAACCCTGCTGCCGCAAATTCAGATTCGTGTGTTCGTAACCCAGTCCCCTACTTGGATATTGCATCCTCACTTGTTTCTCCCTCGACTTTCCTTTTCACTCGCAACCCACCTCCGGCGCCTGCGCGATCAAGGCAGAGATTCCCTTCGAGCATCATGGACAAACGACAACAACCCAGTTCGTTTCAACAGTTGGAGAAGGTATTTATTCCACGATTCTCCTGATGGGCAGATTCTGTTCCGATTCTCCCGCTGAACTTGTGCTGACTACCGCTTCAGCTAGGTGAAGGCACATATGCCACTGTACGTCCCAAGCTAAACCCCTCCTCCAAAGGAAAAAAAGGCGTAGTGAGGCTAAACCGGGTCGATTAGGTATTCAAAGGACGTAACCGCCAAACTGGCGAAATGGTCGCGTTGAAGGAGATACACCTTGATTCAGAAGAGGGCACGCCATCAACTGCGATAAGAGAGATCTCGCTCATGAAGGAGCTAAAGCATGAAAACATCGTCTCCTTATACGATGTCATCCACACAGAGAACAAACTCATGCTCGTTTTTGAATACATGGATAGAGATTTGAAAAAGTATATGGACTTACGGGGCGACCGTGGGCAGCTAGATTATCCCACGATCGTGTCCTTCATGCAACAACTTCTGCGTGGTATAGCATTTTGCCACGACAACCGGGTTCTACATCGCGATCTGAAACCTCAGAACCTCCTCATCAACAACAAAGGGCAGCTTAAACTCGCTGATTTTGGTTTGGCGAGAGCGTTTGGCATCCCGGTAAATACTTTCTCGAACGAGGTTGTTACTCTTTGGTATCGTGCACCGGATGTTTTGCTTGGAAGTCGGACATACAACACCAGCATCGATATCTGGTCTGCTGGGTGTATTATGGCGGAAATGTATACTGGTCGCCCTCTTTTCCCCGGCACTACGAATGAAGATCAGCTCCAGAAGATCTTCCGTCTAATGGGCACGCCCTCTGAACGCTCGTGGCCTGGTATCTCTCAGTTTCCAGAGTATAAACCCAACTTCCATGTCTATGCCACTCAGGATTTGCGATTGATCCTTCAGCAAATCGATCAACTCGGCCTGGATCTTCTTAGCCGGATGCTACAGCTCAGACCAGAGATGCGAATCAGTGCAACTGAGGCATTACGACACCCATGGTTTCACGAGTTGAATCAGATGCAGGCGCAGGAGGCCCACCACCAGGCTGCCATTCATCAGCAACAGCAGCAACATTTGGCCGCAGGGTATGGTGCCCCGGGACTCGTTTCGCAGGGTTACTAGCCATTCAGTCTAGGCGCATTCTCAACTTTGATGATTTACAGCGAGGCGTTTGAACCGGTTGTGTGATGCCCTGTTTTTCTCCAATTCTTAGATTCCATGTAAGCCTTGTTTCACCTATCCGTGGGTTCTCAAAATTAATTTCCATGTAATTACTTGATAACTATGGCGGATCGGCTTTCCTATGACTGTGCTACTGCAGCCTTTTATCACCACTCGAAAATCTTCTTTCCCAAAATAAGCCAACGCTAAGGCGACTATCAAACAGTTTGAATGGGCATTTTGACCCTCAGACCCATTATGGAAATATAGTCATTCTGAGAACAAGTTGACAATATAAACATAGCAACTATAGGTATGTTGAGGTTGTTCACTAGTTAGTTACTGCAACTAACCAGTGATTTGGCGACTACCACCAATAACTAGGCCAGTTTGGACTCCTTTGGCAAGCTTCTCAAAACTCATCAAGCTGCCTTATAATAAACAGATTTCGATCTTGCTCAGAATTATGCTAACTGCCTGATGATTTGTAAAAGCTTTTTTATTTACAATGGGATTACCGATTTCACTCCTCTCTCGAATACGGTTGTGGCCATTTTCTTCGCACCACCTCCTCCAGCGAGTACCCATACATAGTCGGTCAATAATAACCTCCACCTTCACATCACCTTTGACTTTTCCATCCACCAAATATGAACAGATCAATGTCTCCAAGAAAATTGAGGAAGAGAGGCTGCCCACATACAAACCAGAGATATACTATCCAGTACAGATAGGTCAGATTCTGAAGGACAGATATCAGATCGTTGGCAAATTAGGCTATGGGGGATCATCCACAGTCTGGCTGTCTCGCGACCTACAGTCAGTGTAATAATGCAGTCCCGTTTGTCAAACAGCACCCGGCTAACCTAGTTAATCAACCAAGGAAATAGCAGCATGTTGTTTTGAAGCTTGGTGTCAACAATTCGAACAAAGCCAATCATGAGCTTGAGATCTATAAGCATCTAGACTCCATTTACCGTCAAGTCAAGCATGTAGGAATGGACTTTTATCGGAAGCTCTATGATTCATTTGCGCTTCCAGGTCCACATGGCACTCATGTTTGTCTCGTTCATCAACCCCTTGGGTTAAGCCTACTGCAGGTCCTTGATCTTCGGCCCACAAAACGCTTGAGCATAGATCTCTTGAAATCCCCTTTACGGCAAATATTGGCTGCAATAAATTTCTTGCACTGTGCGAATCTTGTGCATACAGGTGAGTTAATCTGTCAAATATGCAGCCGGGACTCTATAGCTCATACATATTAGACTTGCAACCACGGAATATGCTTCTTGATATTAATGACCCTACTGTACTTTTATCATATGAAAATTTAGAATTGCAACAGCCTACACCCAGGAAGGTCCTGAAAGATCGCACTATATATATGAGCCGGCGGATTTCGTTTACGCAGGAATTCCCATTGATAACAGACTTTGGTGACGCGCGAATCATGGTCGATGGTACAAAGCTCCCATGGGAAGATGTTATGCCAGACGTCTACAGAGCGCCGGAAATCATTCTCCGGATGCCATGGGACCAGAATATTGATATATGGAGCATAGGCATGGTGGTAACTAGCAATACTCCCTCTTCTCAATTTCATTGAGAATTTTAATGGATACTCATCTAGATCCGTAACTTTAGTGTTGGGATCTTGTTGCGCGCAAAACTCTTTTTCGCGCAAGGAATGAAGAACTGCTTCTTGATGATGCTCTCCACCTTGCAGAAATGATTGCTATTATGGGCCCTCCTCCAAAAAATTCCTGAAACGGAGTGAAGTGTGTAAAATCTGGTGGGATGAAAATGGTATGTGTTCCTCAGTCAGATTTGAAAAAACGGCCAGTGCTAAATGAAATACGCCGAAAGGAGAATGGAGAAATGCTGCTCCCATACCAAGCTATTCACTTGAAGACTTGGCCGATAAATTTGAGGGTGAAGATATAGCAGGCTTTCTCGCATTCCTTCGTCGGATTCTCAAGTGGCTACCGGAAGAGAGGCCTGATACAGAGGAGCTAGTATTTGACCCCTGGCTCATGGAGGGCTTACCAGAATAGGCGTGTCAAAAGTACTGCTTGTATGCACAGTGGCCTGGTAAAGATGCTTTGAAATATTTCTCGGTAGCAGATGTAGTATGTACGGAGTTGCCGCTGTATATTTCGACTTCGTCATGGCGGAGGAGGCAGCTTGATGCACATGCCATACCTTGGGCTGTGTCAAAGTCGAAAAAGGTACGGAATAAAGGCTCGGTGATCCCGATTTCTGGATAGAAAGTTAGATAGTTGACCATATGTTCGCATAACTATAAATTCATCTAGAGATAGCGAGAAATTGCTGTCTTCTCATGTTTAAAGAATAGCAGGTCAGAGATATCTGGTTGAGCCCGGAATGCTACTATCCTGGCATCCAAACTAGTTAATTAGTTAGGGGATGAATTGCTTCTTTTTGGAACAAAATGGTCTTGTCTCCTCAAATTCTTCTTTGGAGCTCCATCTCCATGTTCGCTAACAATTCCTCGCCTCGCCCGCCCTAATGATGACTTCTATAAAACTCTGGAGACGATAAAATCTTCGAAATTGTCTCCTATTGAGATTCAAGCATTGGTTTCCATGGTATGTTGCGCAATGGTACCGAATGATACCAGCCGATACATTCTTGATCAATTATCCCAACACCCTCAATGTACCGTGGAGGAAACGCTTCACTCAATCAAGAATGACTGGTTTGCTTTGGGCCGAAAGTGTAAGGGAAATCGTCACTCCTGGCAATCTAGCTTGTTATTTATCAACTACTGATTGTAATAGTAACTCGGGAGAACCCAATCTCGCCAGAGGTCGAGGCTGCGCTTCTTGAGCGTGATAATCGCCGATGCTGCATTACGGGACTGGATACCAACCTGAAATATACATACATCATTCCTCCGTCAATCGCGAGCGATAGCGATTTGCAAAAAGGAGTAAGCGTACCTACGATCTTTACCTAGCGGGGTTTTTAACGCCTCGTGCACCAGGGACGTCTCCGCCCTCTTATGGATGCTATTATATCTTGTGAAGAGGTTGAGCAGATGTTTGCGTTGCTTCGATCATCAGGCAAGGAACATGAACTCAAAAATCTCTTGCTGTTGTCTCAACCGATTCGATCTTCCTACACCCATGGCCAATTTTCCATACGCAAATCCCCCTATTTGGAAATGGAAGGCATAGATTACAAACTGAATAAACATAGCGTAAGCTCTTCCTAAACTTATATCAACAGTGCTATCGGCATATAGGCTGACTTGCCTAGGATAGTGGGACATGACAGGATTTCCACCAACACGATCCTTACCTGCCGTGCTAGGAGGTCGAGAATCGTCTTATGAGTTTCCAACGACGCCAAATCCCGATACGCACCCATTGCCCGTGAGGCTCCCGTTGCTAATCCATAACGCGATCTCGGTATCCTTGAATTTTGCTAACGTCGAGCGGGAAATGCAAAAAGGCTGGCCAATCACTGAAGGTATGGACCAATTGTCATGCTTCTCAAACGAAAGCCCACTGAACCGTAGAACCTCGAACTCTTGGGAAGAGCACAAGATTCTTACTTCGGGGCTTTTTGCTACTTCTACCGATCTTTATTCGGTTGGCTCTCTATAATTTCATTTATAAATTGACGGAACGCTTTGATCCCCAACAAAAGGGCAGTGACGTCAAATTCCTCCCACTTGGACTATGTCTCAAGAAATGACGACATACCGCAAATGAAGCAAATGCTTTGCTCCTGGTGGAAAAGCATACCTCCATCAATGCACCAAGATTGATTGACTCCGTGGAAATCGATGACAAGCCAGGCTTCAATTTGATGACAATCCTTTTCGGCTACCGATTGGATCAAGTCCACTATCGAACAACATATGAGGAGCGAGAACAGATGGGAAAGGACTTGGCTGAATGCATTGAACAGCTGCGACTCATCCCCAACCAAACGAAATACCTTATTGCTGACACCTTAGGCGGCCCAATCAGTGATCATCGACTGGACGTGTGTGACCTTTGGGGCCCATTTAACTCGATTGCGGATTTCAACGATCGTCTTGTTCGAGATGTCAATGAAGCTAAGAAATGCAAACACGAGTATCCTTTATCTGTTCTCTATGAGAAGAAACATAAAGTTGTTTTCACTCATTCCGACCTAGACATGTCAAACATGGTCGTTCGATCAGGGCGGCTGTATGGGCTTATTGATTTTGAAAATTCCGGATACAAGCCTGAGTATTGGGAGCTAACTTAGGCTTTATGGCGAATGTTGTGTATTAATGAGAAAGGGGAGGTATATTACAGTGCATTTGGGGACAAGTACAAGGAAGAACTCGAAGCGGAGGCATACATTTTATCCAATAGTCCTTTTATCTACTGAAACTATGTATGAAATTCTGGATAAATTAATGATAATGACAATTATTGGCGTGTAACAGCTTTTGGTATTTTGATTTAATCTCAGCGTTTTCGGCCGGTCTCTGTTGATATTAAGAAATACCCATCGCTCATCTAATATATTCTTCGTCTAACTTCCCTACGATGCAAAGTGAGCTCTTTCTTTAAAATTGACGGGAGGATATTCCAACCTTCCAGAGCCCAAGCCGGCATTGGTTATTAATAGTTATTCAGTTAACTAATCAGGTCGTTAATGCTGTTGCCTTGAAATTACCTAACTTCAAGCAGTGTCAAGATGAGCCAAAGAAACGGGACCAACAGGAAACGGATCCGCCAAGTGGAAAGATGTTCGAGGTCTAAAACACCCTTTTGATGCATTTCTCTGGATGGATGAGGCCAGTGTTGCCTAGCTGGCAGGCGTCAAAAAGTTAGCAGTCTGTTGGTCCATAGTCTCACAGAATAAAACTATTTCAATAGCCAAGTGACCTCAGGCATTTTAAGAGATCGGGAAGCCATCATATCATACTGCTTTCTTTCCATGACACGAATATTGCTATTTTGCCTTGCGGAGGAGGCGAAGCCTGTAAGCCAAACCTCCATTGCAACTCGGTTGCCATGCTAATCGAAACATGCAGTTCGCTCGTAAGGTCTTGAACCATGTGTTCCACGATGATGTTAGATGCTTCTATCTGGTAGAATCGAACGTCTGCCCGGCCAGCCGTGAAGGGTTCAAAACAAAACTGCAGGAGGACGAGTACTTCGAGTCCGATTTCATCAACGCCTCCGAAGAACAGTGCAAGAGCTGGGCACTGGAGAAGGAATTTCAGGTCAATTTCATTGAGCAGGATCTCATTGCGATTGTTGACGCGCGGAGCGCTCGAGATGAGACTATATTGATGTGTCACTATAATTATCTGCGAGACCCGGGCGACGGTCTGGAGTTTGGAGACTTCGGCGTGCTCCCGCGGGAGCCCAATGTCTGGTACGACTTTCGCATAGATTACCGCGGAGCTCATATGGTTTGCGTTGCCCTACATTATGTTCCGCCCGACCTCAGCTATCCAGCGTATTTTGGATGCAAGGAGAAATTTACGGATGAGCACGGAGTCTTTGATGTTCAGAAGGCCTTGCGTTATGGTTTAGATCCTGATGGTTCCGAGACTCAAGTAGAGCCATGAATTGATTGGGGTTCTGGGACGATTTAAGATCCCTCTTCTTTGGCAAAGGGTCCTCTGGGTGGCCTGTATGGAGCAGCTGGCTGGTTGATAGCAAGAAGCATATGGTTATTCTTCTGTTTTTCATCTCCATCATCAATATTCCATTCCTCTGATAAAGGAGACTCCCAGAAGCTAATTCGTTAACCGCACTTGGAACTTAATCCATCCTCAAACACTAACTAGCTAGTTATTGACAGGAGCTGGTGACAACTCGACAACCAAATCCATTTCTGAACAATCTAACCACTCTCCATCACAATGTCATCAGGGGCTCCTCCAGTCAACAACCTCCAAGCTCGTGCACAGGATCATTCGCCGTCGCCGCCCCCTCCCGCGCCGGTACCTCTCACTCCAGGCCCTCGTGCTGCGCGACTCCAGCAAATCTTCAACCAGGCATTACTTCACACACTCCGAGCCAATTCCTATTCCAACTTCTCGTCCTGCTTTCCAACTCCGGCGACACACGTTCCTCATAGCCTCGAGTCGGTGTGGAGGCAGCTGAACGCAAAATTGGAGGAGAGCGCGAGGGCCGAATTTGACGATGTGATAAAGGAGAGAGACGTGGTTCGAGGACTGAATGAGCTGGATCGGTTGGTTGGGGAGGCAAGACGGAGGAGGGATAGAGGAGAGGGAGTGGGTAGTGTCGCGTATGTTTTTGAAGCATCGGATTCCTTTTCACTTGTTCTTTGCCTGACCCGATGAGACTATGGATGGAAGGGCTGATTGACAGCGAAAAATCGCAGGCCACACACACTTGGAGCGAGTGAATTATACCAGGCACATCTCGCCTCTTACCTTATCAAAGCGGAGGCATCGTTACATTCAAAGTTAGAAGAGACACAAGAGCAAAATGCGAAGTTGGCAGAGCGAATACAGAGCCAGCGGCAGGAGCTTCGACAGCTGCTTGAGAGCTTGGAAGCTGTCGTTGGAGACGTTGAAGGGGCCGTGAAAGCGATGCAGGAGTTTGATCCCGATGGTAATCTACGCGAAGAGGCTGAGCGCATGGATGCAGAGGTTAGAGCTGTCCAGCAGCGGTGATGCGCATTCGAAGAAGAAATATCAGCCCCAATACGACTCGAGGGAGGCTTTTGAACTACTAAGGGCAAGTTTGGAACACCGATGACTGGCCTGCCGCCTATACCAGCGACCATCATTCGACGCAGGTTGTGCTTCAAAATATGGTATCAATCCTAATCGGAACGTCGCCACCGGAATTTTCAAAATTTACAGCTGTCCAACCTTTGAACTTAGTGAGTTCGGAGTCATTCGACGTCAAGAAGACAGTCTGACCATTGCTAGAAAACAATCTCATCGGGCGCCATACTATATAGTATCTTCTCCAAGTCCTCGCTGGCAACCATGTTATCCTCGACCATGTCTTGCGCGACCTGTACTAACTCCTCTTTCGAGTTTACCAGCAATGTTTCCATCTGACTAGAATCCCCGCAAAGCGTCTTGACCAACGCCTCTTTAAAGGTGCCCTCCTTTTGCTCTCCTGTCAATCCATCCCGCTTTGCTATTGCCGCTCCTCCACGATAATACGTCTCCGCATTTTTAAGCAAGGTCATGGAGTTATCAGCTGCAGGTCCATACTTCCACGGATTCATACCCAGGCGCCAGCGGTACATTTCCACGTCTCCTCTCGCGATATGTATCCTTGGAAGATTTTCACCAGCGTCAGATAGCTTCGACGCTGAAGTTAGGGAGTCCAGTGCCGAGGAAAGGGACTTCCACCGCAGGTCCAACGAATTTTTCAAGTCTTCTGGACCTCCCGGGCTGAAAGTATCCGCAATGGCAGAGTTAAAACCTACCAAGGCCTCCGCTTGACTGCACAAGCCGGCCGGGTCATTTGAAACGTCAAGCCCAACCGTAAAAGCGCTATTGAGCTCGTTTTTATACGTCTCCAAATTAATCTGCCCGTTTCGATATACTACTTCCGTGAACATCGAGATAAATTTGGCGCGTGCCAGTGCAACATCATGTTGCCGATCGGTTCCCTCAGCATAAGCGTTGATTTTTTCCCTCAGCAGGTCGGATGAGTACTCCTCCAGCCAAGCTAGGCTACAGCCGGAATCGTATATCAGCAAACCACAGAGAGTTGCCAATGCTTCGAGCTGGGCTATCGCGGTGTCGACTAGGGTGTTCTTGGTGACGGGCTCTACTACAACAGCCCATTGTTCCTCCGGCATCGATTGCAGACTCGACTCTGGATCAGATGACTGCTCGCTTTTCGGTTGATCAGACATAGCAACTTCCATTGCGTTTGATTGCTCTTGATGTTCTGTGAACTGAAGCTCTTGTATGGCGAGACACCTTTGAAATAGCTCGAGAGCTTCTTGTAGGTATTTTACGGCCTGCTGGGCTCCATGGCTTGAAAGGCGTTTCCCCTCAGCGATAGCTTCTGCTAGACTCGTTAATACCTGAGCTGTGTTAAATAAGACATCTGCATTGTCTTGGTCTTTGCTCAACGCGTCTCTATGGGATTTTAGCGCAATCTGCAAAATTTCGACCATAGGGGCTGGTAGCTGAGTAGCGAGTTTGGCGTGTTGAGTGATCTCATATTGTACCCGCGCCCTGTCGATATGTTATCATTTACAAAAGGTCGCAAGTAGTTGATAGCTCCCTCTCGCAGGGTTTCAAATGAGAGTGAAAACTTACTTATTATACGCCAAGTCAAAAGAATCTGGGTGTTTTCGCAACCCTGTGTCATACGCATCTATCGCTCGCATGAAAAAACGCATGGACTTCACTGCATCCCCGCCACGCCATTTTTCACCGGCTTCCTCAAACTCGACACCCGCTAATCAAGACCACCACTGTTAAACAACTTTATAACAAATATTCGTCATTGGAACTGTGGCGACAACATACCAGCAAGATATCCATCCGCTGTTTCGGGCTCCTGGGTTGAATAAATTAGAATAGGAGAAGTAGAATACGCATGAGAGAAAAAGAGGGAAAACGTTTGTCACGTAAGAGCATTCTTTTTCGACCTTGGAGGTAATTCTTACTGCTTGTTTTGTGTTCTTTTTGGATTTGGTGGCTTTCAGTAATGTTTTGGGCTTTGGCATTGTGAAGTAGCATATGGTACTGTTTTCTCAGAAAAAAGAAAAGGCCAAGTGAGTAAATGATAAGATGTCTGGATTATTATTTCGGGTATTTGACATCGGCTTCCACCACAGCCATGAAGCGAAGGTTGGCGCTGAATTTGGTCTGAAGTCGAAAAGGTGGGATGCTTGGAACATCCGATAAGATTGATAAGATAAGATCAGCCTTGATAAGAAAAGTGTTTTGGAAACTAACTAACTCTAATGAAACTAGTGCCTTGGCGTCTAAAAGGACGCAACTTTAGGTTTTTGGACGTACAGACATAATAACATACATAATAACTACCTCCTCCCATGGGCTACTCCATATATAAAGCGCGCCCTGACAGCCCTGACAGCCCTGACAGCCCTGATATTGGAATTTTTACACTCTCTCTAAGCTCTCATCTCTTCCAATCCATCGTTGTAAAACATCCCTGCAATATGAACGATATGTCTGCTGATAGCAGTGAGCCTGACTTTCCCTTACCGAGGATTCATTCCTGCGACAAAGGTTCAGTTGAGCATGATATCAGCCTGATCATCTAAAATATGCTCCTTTGAGGGGGTCATGATGTAGCCCGCAAAGCTGCATGTCAACTTGCTTATTACCGGGAGCGTAATTTGGATTTTGGACTCTGATCCTACCTTTTACTTTCTATAAAAAAGGGGGGATGGCATCCATGATGTTCTTCACTTCGTGGTCTATGTCATTTTTGACCTGTCGAAGCTACTCTGCTACAACGATACAAAGCAGAATACTTTTGTTCAGCGAATTCTTGAACTTCACAAGATTCCACCAAGGTCGGTTAAGGCTTGGAATGTGTGTTTAAACGGCCCCTCTCCTTTACTACAGACAGCCCCTAATTTCATGTGGGGAGACCGTCGTTTGGTTTCCGACGATATCATATTTGTTAAGCTAATGGATAATTATTAGGGTAGAGGCTTCAGTAAGGCCCCCGTTCTCAGTCCTGTCCAAGCCTTAGGCTAACAGCTGTACAGTCACTGACACGGAGGAAGCCAACCTATCCATATCAAAATGGAGAAAAGGTCTGTCATGAATGGGTGAACTATTCTTCCTTGCAGAGGGTGCTGCAGCCCACATTGATGAAAATCACTAGAAAATTTAGGGGACTTGCTGGAATGGAGCTGGGTCCAGTCGTAAGGGCTGCGACGGTTATCAAAGCTCAGAAGGAGATGGTTTCGCTTCACCCAGAACTGCTTCCCGAGTCTGAAGGGGGTAGTAAGTTTGGAACTTGACTATATACTGTGGTTTCGTTTAGTGCTTTTATCTATGAATCGAAGCTCCATTTTCTCAGGTGAACGCCACGTTGGAAAACAAGGCCTAGAGTTTTGGAGATACCGTACGTGACTAACATGAGGCCGAGACCTTTGCATAGAAGCTTAGATCAGTTTGCGCTGGTTCCTCATGGCCGCTGGGATGAGGTAGAAACTTCACATGCTGCCTTCAGCTCTTTAAATAATACGACAATTCGATATTATAAGTATAAACTGAGCTCAAAAATAGTGATTTAGTAGTCCGAAAATTGCTTAGACGCTTGTGTCGGGAACTCAGCTTAATATTGCAATCGGTTTAACGGGGAGATAAGCTATGCGAGATGTTCAAGTTAGTTCTAGCACCGACTTTCTGGGACCCAAACAACGTCGTGGAGGAACTTCGCGTGACTTTGGTTGGGCTCAAGGACAAGCTCCTGGGAGCCATGCCAGCAATGCACACCACAACGTTTGTGCCAGGCCGACTTCAACAGGCTGAATCCTTGATCTGCCGGCGAGTTTATCAGTGCTTAATAGATGCTATGAGTGCAAGATAAACCTGACGTAGAGCTAGGACGGATGCGAAAGATGCCCAACTGCCAGATGGGGATTAAAGGGATCTAGTCCCAATTGCATTGGTGGCCAGAAGCGCTTCTGTCATCTCCGCAGAAAAATTAATCAACGCAATTCACCAACCATTTGGACTGGACTTGGAAAACATGGGGCGCAGGGATCTGAGCCATCACAATCACACGTGGGTTGAAGGCTGTCTGCTCGTATTCGACTGGAAGTCTGCAGGCGCAATTCCGTGGCCTGCATTCCAGGTGTGCCTGCACGCTTTGCCTGCTACTTCGCTCAAGGGCATGTCATTCATGTCGAATATCTGAGTTTGCGGTGTCTCAAATCACTGCATCTTCGAATCGCCCGAGAGAGTACGTGATGAAGATCAGAATCCATGTCCTGGTGTAACCCGTTACAGAGGGGCAGATGTATACCAGCATGCATACATACGGTATGGTAACGGCTCATCATGACGGGATCGGCACGTGAGCACTCTCTGGGGAAACGGGGCCGATTATCCAATAAGATCGCTCATCCCGTTTCTTGTCATTCACGAGTGACTGCCAGATTACCCGTATTATTAAATCATACCAGGCTTGAAACGCCGTCTTGTTCGACTCGGTCATGGTCGACGTCTTCACAGATTCTGAACAAGGCTGCCCTTGATTCCTGCTTGTCCCTTCGACTTTCTCTCTTGTTCTCAGACGTGGAATATCGCCGTTTCCCACGCAAAACCGCAAATTTCGTCGTTTGGACTGATCTGAACTGGTTCTCCTGTAAGTCGAGACCGGCGTGATGGCTCAGCGGCTACAGTTTTGCAACCCGCCCTTCCCTGCCATTGCCATCTTTATTCCGTGGCGATGCTCTCGTCGGCAGTGTTCCTTTGATTAGTTGACTAACTTGTTCAAAGGGACTTATATTCCCAAGCCAGACTGTACTCGCACAAACAGGCGACAACTCGACAAGCGCTCGGTATCGAACGGTGCGCGATGCAGTTAAGAATGACAAGGCGGCAATCTTTTGAGTCTCAGCGGCCTATAATGGCACCATCGGTATGCCCTTGACACATGTTGCCTTTGACATTATTTGGGTGGAAAGGGGCCATCTCAATGAAGCGCCTATGCTGATTCGTCCGGCATCTTATACGATAACAGCTCACTTCTCAGCGAAACTCTTTGCGTTGTTCCACAATTAGCGACCGGACGGTGGCCAGCGTTGGGACTAGCGATAGCCGATTGAACGAAATCAGGGAGCTAGGCGAAGGCCTCGAGCGCCTTGAAAATAAGCGCCTAAACCAGCAGCGGTTCGTACCCTCCCCGGAGAAGACGGACAATCTCAGCAAACTGGCCCTTGGAGCCAAGCTTGAGCGTGCCTTGAGGCGAAGAATGACCGGTCAGGATGCCGTGATGCGCAAGCCAATCGCGATAGACGAGAAGGAAGCATTGAAAATTGCCGGAGCACCAAACTAAATAATTTGTTATTTTATACCCCCTGATGTGCCTCTTGCATTTGATTGTTTAATCTATTTTGGTTATCCCTTGATCTGGATTGTGACAGTGAATTTTTGTTTTTGTTCAGGCTATCTACCACTCAAATCTTGTTTGTCAAGTCGATGTTTTCGGAGGGAGTTGATAATATGTCCTTTGATCTACTTATGTTGTTGCGATTCTCGATACCAGCTGCGATGCCCATTTGTGATGTTTGTGATGTGCACCCTCCGATACCATCAATTTACCGAATTAATACCTTGAATAAATATAGCTTTGCGTAATTTCGATGTACTAAAAACGTCTATACGCGCCCAAGTCATTGATGCCAACGGGCGTCAAAGGAGCTTCTCGCACTAAGGCTATAACCCTCCGTACGGAATAGGTGTTGCGCAAACCGTCCGTGTCTCTGACCCTGGACGTGGAAACCGGGGCAGAACTACAGATGGCTAAACAGCTCTTCGAAACGAGGCCCAGGTGAAACGTACGACCATGCTTGAAAATTCTAAAAGAGAAAATACTGGCTACAATCCGCCTTGCAAGCGTCCCTTGTCGCTTTTAGCCGCCGGATGGGCAAATTGTGACGCAGAAAATTTTCGTTGATGACAAAGGCGGGCAGGAAGGTGGTGACGGGCGGCAAATTCCCCAATTGATCAACCTTTCTTTCCCTCAATTTTCAGTTTCCACACAACTTCTTCACCACAACAACAACATCACCTCAACCCATCGACGGTGCCATCCAGTTCTTAGACTCCTGCACTCCCACTGCCTGTTCTACATCTGTTCCTTTCTTAGGATTCCCTTAATTTCACATTTCCTGTCGCTTTTGATTCCGCGGCTTTCTCCTTTCGACTCGGTCGTCTACTTTCTGAAGCTTCTCTTTGGCCTGCCTTTTTTACTCCCTAAACACGACCCCCCAGAAAAGCTATCTGTGCATCTTGCTGCGCTCCTTTTTTTCTAAAACACTTTGCGGTCCCGTCCTTAGACACTAGGTATCCGACTCTTGTGAGTTTCCTCTCCGCCCTGATGCTTGCCGTAGCGGCTATCTGAGTCTAAGGCCTTACTAACCCTCCTTTTCATTCCTAGTTTAGAAAGCCCTTAAAAGCTTGATTTATCTGCTTAGCTTTGCGCTGATACTCTCGAGTCCGATTCTACAACCGAGCCAACGTGCTACGCTTACAACCCGTGACTTATAATTAATATTAGACAAATCATTCGAGATGGCAACCGAAGCTGCAACTCACCTCAACGGAACCTACGCCCACCACCAGTCTGGCCCGTACCATACTGATCCCTACCATAATGTTAATGCTTCCGCGCATCATCAGCCGAGTAACGCTTCAACTCCGGCTCCAGCGCAGCAGGAGTCGAAAAGTAATGTCCCAAAGGATGAAGTGGCGTGGTTCTTTGTGGAGCAATATTACACCACCTTGAGCCGTAATCCCGACAAACTCCATCTTTTCTATTCTCGTAAATCTCAGTTTGTGTCTGGAGACGAGGCAGAGAAAGTCAGTGTTGCCGTTGGTCAACATGTAAGTATCAATACCTTCAGGAACGCTTCTGTTAACCAAGTGCTAACAATTTCGCTTGCTTTGCTAGGCCATCCAAGACCGCATCAAGTCACTCGACTATCATGATACCAAAGTGAGAGTTTTGAACGTGGATTCTCAGGCCACCTTCGATAGCATTCTGGTCTCCGTTATCGGAGAGCTTTCGAACAAGTCTGAGCCTCCACGCAAGTTTGTTCAGACCTTTGTCTTGGCCGAACAAAGAAACGGATATTACGTTCTCAATGACATTATTCGTTTCTTGGTCGATGACGACGAAGAAATTATCACAGACGAGCAAGTCCCCGATGAGACTCCCAGTGCTAAAGCCCCCGTGGAGCAAGTGGAGGTCCAGGAAGAGGCTACTCCTGAACAACCGGATAATGGGCGTCAGGCTGATACGGAAGCTGCCGTCCAGGAAGTTGATGAGAAATTGGTGGCTACCGCCAAAGAGCCTGAGCCCAAGACAGAGGAGGCTGAAGCAGCTGTTGAGCCAAAACAAGTCACCGAACCTTCCACTGCGCCTGTGCCCACCACAGCAGAGGCTTTGGAACAAGAGAAGCCCAAGGAGCCAGAACCTACTCCCATTGTGTCACCTTCTAAGGCTGCAACCCCGGTTGTTGAGAAGGAGAACATACCCCCTGTCAAGCCTGCTTCCATGAGCTGGGCATCCATTGCTTCTTCGAACACTAATAAAGCAGCTGCTGTCGCCACGCCAGTTGCTGTACCACATCCTGTTCCAGTTGCACAACCTAGGGCAGCTCCTGTTCCTGCACCCTCTCAGCCAGCCCAGCCAACCGTTCCCGCTAACGGCGAGACTGCGCCAAGCCAGACTTCTTCAAGCTCAGGCTCTGAGTGGCAAACTGCTGGTAGAGGACGGGATGAAAATGTGCTTGCGTATATTAAAAATGTCAATGAGAAGGTCGATGCCGCTCTGCTCAAGCAGACTCTCCAGCGTTTTGGTAAACTTAAATATTTTGACGTGAGCCGCCAGCGGGTAAGTATCGTGGCTAATTTCGGTATTTTCTGTACTATCAGGACACTAACAGGTGATTTACAGAGCTGTGCCTTTGTTGAATTCGCAGATGCCGCTGGCTATAAGGCTGCGGTTGCCGCCAACCCCCATCAGATCGGCACCGAGCGTATTACCGTTGAGGAACGTCGCCCACGACCAAACGCCTATGGAGGCAATGGTAGCTATGGTCCTGGTAGGGGTGGTGCTGGTCGAGGCCGCGGCGATCGTACTGCGAGCCAAGGGCGTGGTGGGTTCCAAAAAGATTCTGGGCGCTTCACCCCTCGAGGCGGTCGTGGCGGAACCATTACTCCTAAAGGTCGACCCCAATCTCAAGCCGCGTGAGTTCGTTGCTTTTCCCGACTTCTGTGACTCGCGACATAATAGACTTGATAAAGTCTGTTATCGTCTTGTAGATTTCCCCGGAAATGCATAGATATGCGTATTCCCGGCATTCGATGCTCGGCTGGTGGGTTTGTTTTATTTACGGAGTCAGTCGGTGATCGCATTTTAAGGTGGTTGGAAAAAGCTTTATGCCCATTTCACTTTGTATTCCTATTTGATTGCTTTAATGTGCCTGTTTCTCTTTTCAGCCCTTTCTGCTGTGGCATGCGTCATTTTATGGATCGTTTGATTTTTATGTTTGCTTGAGATGATCTAGCGAGCATGGGAACACTTTTGTTACGTGCAATATGACTTATTATCTGATGTTCTGGGCGCTTTTGCAGGCATGTTATGTTTTAGTTTTAGTATCAACTATCACTTCCTACTTTTCTGTATTTGCTGGCCTCATACTATTTCTCTCTCTTGTCACCCCGTCCGCTAGTTACTAGCCCGAGCTGATGTCCTTTGTATTATTTCCCCTTGGTGAAATCGTCTGCGAAAAGTGGTTTTTTTACTAGGTTTGATGTACTGGATCAATGGCAATGTAAAGATGATGATAGAATACACTGATACAGGTCAAGAAGCGTCTCTTCACTAGCCAGAGATCATGATATATCTTTACTCCATTTTTCACCAAGCTATCTTGAGGGACAGCGGAGTGGCGTGGAACATGCAGCTGTACTGGAGGATCTTGACTTCTACAGATCCCTGAGCAGGTCATTAGTGCACAATCTCTCTTTCCACTAAACCAGCAAAAAAGATGATCAATGCGTCTTTATGGAGTAGGTGAGGCCGAGTTTTTATACTTCACTCATGGGGAAATCATATCTGGCTATCCAGCCACCCCAGCGGAAGAATCAAGAATGCACAGCATAGATGTATATTCACATCCTTGTAATTCCAAGGCACTTCACTATAAACACATCTTCCAAGTAAAAATGGAGTCAAATGTAAATATGTATCGAATGCTTCCTCCGCCCACCCTAAACAAATAATAAACAAGAAGATAGAAAAATTTACACAGCAGCAAGTTGGATAAAAGTGGGCCATGGAGCAAGCTTCATAAACATATTGTAAGGAAGAGGAGAACATGAAAGGACAGAGGAATCAAAAGTAGATGTCCGCCCACCGTTTGGCATTACGGGTGAGAAAACAAATAGGTAACGGTGCTTTGAAAACAGAGGATCCACCTAAATGCACCGGCTCCATTGGACGTATATGAATAATTATTTTGGTCGGGGGAATATTTTGAATGTTTATATGAAAGGGGCAAAAAATGACAAGAAAATAAAAATCAAAGCAAGAGGCAATGTTTGGAAGACGGTTGCAGAAAGGGCAGGGTTTCCATTGAGTTGTGGATAGCCTAGATCCTGGACACATGGTGTTCATTCCGAAACATGCAAGTCGTTATTTGCAAGTTTTGATTCGGTCGGGTCTCCAGATAATCCTGTTGTGACAGGTGCTTTGGGGACCGGCCTCTCATGTTCGATCACTTGCTTTTCGCCTTTCAAATTCTGAGGTTTTATGCTTGGGCTTGCAATGTTTTCAGTCCTTGTTTCTGCTTGTTTTAGCTTCTCTTTGGTTTCAGCGAGCTCCTTCTGCAATTCTTTGATATAAACAATGGCAAGCTCCACCGTACTCGCTTTGCTGATTGGTTGATGGGATGCAGGTTTGTCCGGAGACCTCGATGTCCCCGCCTCAGCCTTATCCTTCTCCCTACTTTTGTCATTAGTTAAGGAAGGGGGGAGTAAGCCTTCTATTTCTTTAAGAGCTGTGTTGATGCGATTGCGTCGTCCTTGTTCCGCAAGCTTATGATTTGTCCGTTTCGAACTCAGGTTCTCGGCTAGAGTTTCTGGGTAGGTGACTCCTGGGAGCAGCGTTCCTTCGAGAATGTGCTGATAGTTTGACTTTGAAGCTAGGTAAAGTGCTGATGTTTCTGACGAAATGCCTGTAAGAGCCGGTTAGCACAAAGGGGCCATATTAAAGGACTATAAAGTATCCCTACCTTCCCCACGAATTAGAGGCTGTATACTTGGACTGATTTTCGGCCTTAGAGCCGGGCTCATCTGGGACGTGCTCCCGCTTTGTCGTTTTTTAGAAGTTCTTCCTCCTGGCTTTGAATCTGCCCTTTTTAAACCAACAGGGCCCATTGGAGAACCCATGGCGCCAATCTGAGGGCTGGGGGTAACTGAAGTTGTTCCTGAACGACTTGTTTCATTCAGGGATTTCAGAACAGGTGCCTGTTTCGCCGCTAACTTTGGCGTTGGTTCATTCACTTCTGCGAGAGTACTGCTGGTTGAAACAGCAGCATGATCAACATTTGTAGCCGGTTCTGGGAGTGAGATATCTTCCATAGATTCCTCAGGCACATCACAAACCACAACAGAGCCAGGTCTCGAGAACCGATTGCCAGAAGTAGCTTGAGGAGGCTGCCTTTGCAATTTCATCAACGTTGCTGGCGTAGCTGCTTCCCGTGCTCTTATTTCCGAGCTTGACTCTTGAGCCCCCATGAAGGGTGACTTAAAGACACGCGGAAGGGCTGGCGGTGGCATCAATGGCTCGTTTAGCGGCTCTGGTGAAACAGAATCTTGGCCTGAACTTTCAGTACTGCTGCCTTGCTGAGAGCCAGCCTTTCTCAATGCCAGCGACGGATCTTGAGAGATATCCTTATTCCATAAGCGGTTATCAGTGCCGGAGAGGACGGCGGAACCTGGCCGTGACTTTTGGCGACTGCTAGCAGGCCTCATAGAAGGGGACTGTCGCACCAAACGAGCGTTAGGCCTTGATGCGATGGAAGATCTACGCCGATTTCTCCTGATTATCGCAGGGGAGGAAGGGGTCGTATTGGTAGGTAACGGGTGTGTCATTTCTGCATGCGAGGTGATAAAACCCATATCGACTCCTGAAGTTTGGCCAAAAACGAGCCCGTTTCCATTGGAACCATGTGCCTCCAGGGCAGGCGAAGTCAACGGAGTAAGATATTCGCCAGGAGTAGCGTATTCTGGAAACCGAAGTTGCTGTTCTAGTGGGGTCATTGCGGGCGATATCAACGGGGTGAAGGCGCTCTGAAGGATTGAAGAAGATTAATTAGGCGATCACGACTGAATGATCAAAAACCAACTGTGGGGAATGCTCACTGGATCATCGGTGGCTCGAGTATAGGGTTCATAGTGCCGCTGGGTTGCAGAATCTAGCTGAGGGGGATACCGTCCCACACCACCGTGTAACTCGGTGCTGTTCGGTGTAGGTGGGACAAATTGATGTGGTTGCCCAAAGCTTTGTGGCATGATACCTTGTTGAGGCTGCTGCTGTTGTTTTTGAAAATAGACAGACGTTTGATTCACTTGAGACTGCATGCAATTGACTCCCTGCATATCAATAGACCGCATTTGTTCCACAAACGACGTCGGGTATTGGTGGGGTTGAGTCGTTTCGATCCCCTCCATTCCAGTCAACTGAGTATCGTGCACCATAGAAGCCGGCGTTTGCGACGCGGAGGTGGTAATGGCCCGACCATGTTGGTCAACAGCGCTTTCTAGGTCGGCTAGGTCAAACTCGAAGTCAAGGATATTTGAAAAGTCCTCGCCGGAGCCCGAGATCAGAGAGTCTTCCGGCACATGGTCAGACCATGATGCCAGTGAAGGATCTTGGTTCATCGCAAAGGAATGCGCTCGACTGGTCTTTGCTCACGGCAATTCTCGTCGTCTAAGAGAGGGAAATCGGTGAGGGAAAATAGCGATACTTTCACTGGCGGTAGAAGAAGCGAGGGACTGATATAGATTCACTCGACGAAGCGGCGCTCGAGAAAGATCCGGCAGCAATCTGGCAAGAAGAGCACAGAATTGGCATGATCTCTTCCTGTGGGAGGCCGCACGCCAGAGGGATGAAGAGGTCGAAGCGACGCTGAGATGGTGGTGGTGAACCTCGATCGCGGTGGGGACTGAGGGAGAATGCCCGATCGGGGCTAGTGCGGTCCTCGACCAGGTCACCCGGCTGTTTTATTACGGGGGTTCGGTACTAGCGCAACCCTAACGCACTAGTGAACGCTCGACATCCAGCAAAGTTGCTTTTTCCTGTGCGGATTCTGCCTTGTGGCGATCAAGCCAACATGGGGGATGGGCAACTCCGTCCCCGCTGTTTCGAACGCAACTCCGTCGGCGAGCGCTGCCTCGATTTTTCCTGCCCTCAATCCCTGGAAATGTGCCATTATTGGGAGAAACGACCGTTCTGCGTATCTGCGACCAGGTGTTTAGTGAGTTCTCGGACCAGTGGCCCAGATCCCGAAAAGCCAAAACACCACGTTTGTTGGAGGGCGAGCCCAAGAATTGAAAATCGATCCTCCGGGGCCTCAATCAGCCAATGGCGGAACTCCGCTACTAGCCGAAAGTGGCATGGAGATATTGCCTCCTGCAGATGACCACAAGAGGGAGAGAGAGCAGCGGGACATTTTCCAGATTGGATATCAGACTCGCGTTGACTTGCCTGATGTGGCGACAGGAAAAAACGAATTGTCGTCAGAATCGATATTTCTTTTTTGGCCAGCGCTTCGAGCGGTTCAATCTCGAGTCGAATGAACCCATCAGCCCCTGAAAAAATCCCCTTCCAAGTCGCCGGGTTGGATATTAGCTGTTAGCAACAGTTATTTGTGCGACTGCTGGGAGCCAGCCACTTTTACGCGATCCTCGAAACACTTGAAGCAAGCTTCGAAAATTTGTGGAGTTTTCGACTACCCAGCATGCATTTGACACGGTCGAATGAACGTGGCTTTGTCCAAACCGGGCTGATGCCGCAGATTGTCCCACCCCCGGATGCTGTTGGCACCCTGTTCTAAACCAATGACAGCCACCAGCGAGATGAACCCCCTCACTAACGTATGGAAACGGCTAGTTTTCCCGTTGGGACATCTCCCCATGGCTTCCAAGTAAGGAGTGGTGCAAGGCGACCTGATTATTTATATGGGAGATAGCCGCCCAGGCCTGAAACAGGGAGCTTGGGCGCGTTGGGATGTTTCAATGCCATCCAGGGTTGAAGAGCGCCTTGCGCTTGGGGCTCCCAGTAACTAAGGCTTGCTCAGGAATAATTGTATACATAGCCATAACATCACTTAGAGGAATATTATGCACTGAAAGTACTGCGGCACTGATCTGTGGAAAACACAAGGAAGTAAGCCCCAAAAAGAACCTGTAATGGATGCTTGTGATAACCTTGAAGGATGCCTTGCTGAGTTTCATAATTGATTCTGCTCCATTGAGAAGAGTCATCTGCGTGTAACTGGTTGCAAATGGGAAGCTGGGTGAATATTGGTGCTGTTCCATTTCCTTTTTAGAGGTTTGCTTTTGCCTTCCGGTTTGGAGTTGATATCGAGTGGCGTTCAAGCAACTAGACAACTAGTTATGGAGGTAAGGGTATGGAGTAAAGCTATTGAGTAGTTCCATCTATGCAGGCTCAGGGATTTAGCCATCATCTCAGACTTGAACAGGTTGAGCAGTTTGCTCCATGCTCTTGTACCTATTTACCAGCCCACTGATGCGCGAGCTAATTAGTTACCCCGCTAGCGAACTAGATGCACGGATGCCTGAGGATCCCGCATGACGACGATGACAGGCAGACATCACGCCAGACCAAACTAACTGACTCTGTCTCTTGAAATAACTCAGCTTTCGAAACTTATGCCAGCTACCAGAATATCTCTGGCCATGCATATATGAAGCTTCATCTTCCAGACAATTCATTCTGACGCCGCCTTCACTAGTTACCTAGACTCCTTTGTTGCTCCTCGCCTTCCGCAATGCGCCTTGGCGTCCCGGATCAACCGTCCTCTCCTCCCCGCAAGCCGTCGGCTTCGAATCTCAGGGGCTCATCACAACTTTTAGAATCCCATGCCGAATCAGAGTCTTATTTCTTGTCTCGAAGAGACAATATGCAGCGACCGAGTTCGAGGAGTGTAGGTGGGAGAGCCCGGGAGAGTACATATGGAGTACAAAGCTTGGAGGACACTCTCCAGTTACTCGGAGAAGAGTCCCAGTGCCAGCCAGCATTGGATAATTATACTTGTGCGCCAGAAGATGACTCGGATCTCCCGCACCCAGTTCTGCGCAGAATGTCCACCGTGAAGCCAGCCTCTAGCGTTGACCCCGGATCGAGCGACCGGGCCTTTGGGCATGGCCGCTCCGCAGAAGTGGCGCCATCACTCCCGCTGACACCACTGCTCGTTGGTTCTCCCGCCGTAGGATCTATTTCTGGAAGCCCTAAGTCGACATCTACCCGGTCTCTCCGACGTTCGGATGAGATCTCGTTCCTTGACGGAGCTAGCAGCCGTGCTGTCGAGTCCAGCGACGAGGAGCACCCCCACGGCTCAAGTGAGCCACAATTCCACGCTCCACAACTGGTGATGCCAAGTATAAAGATGCCTAGTCGAAGGCCATTTACGGAGAGGGGCAAATCCTTAGGGAGGTTGAAGGTGATGATCGCTGGAAGTCCAAGTAAGTCGATATCTGGATCCCTGCTACCTTCCTAGGCGTCCTACTTACAGACGTATTGCAGATTCGGGCAAAACCTCACTTTTGAGATCCATCGTTCAGAAGTGTGAGGACATCGTGCATGCGGACCCTCTCCCTCAGAACACCGTCCGCCCCGGAAACTCACCGAAAATGAGTCAACGAGACGGAACGAAGCTTCGCCGCGTACGGGCTTACCCTTCAGTGGTGGAAGTCTGTGCAAGTACTAAGCCATACCCAACTTGGTGGTCAGATCTGGAAGACTCGAGGGTTCTACGAAGACGAAAGAGCCTAGGGGATGTTGTATTGGAGCGAAATCTTTGCTTTGTCGATACAGTCAATCCGTGTTCGGATCGAACTGAACAAACCAGCTTAGAGATTCAGTACATGGTTCAGCAGTTTCATAGGGCGACTGCTGCTATCAACTCCACCAATGCTGACCTTCAAGGTTTATTAAGCGGCAATGGAGGGTCTCAAGTCGACGCCATTCTATATCTTATCTGCGAGGGTAAGTGACCTCCCGGTAATTATAACGTAACTAATTTTTGTAACAGACACTATTACTGCTGATATTCAATGCATCAAACGTTTGTCTAGCTTCAGCAATGTGATCCCCTTGATTGCCAAAGCAGATACACTTTCATCAACGCGAATCCACAGCCTGAAAGCTTCTTTTCTCGAAAAAGCGCAAGAACATGGAATTCGAAGTTTCTTTGGGGACTCATGGAGCGATACTGATGTTACTTCCGCTCCTTTCGCTCCGTTCTCGGTTTCGTCGGTAACTACAAACGACGACGAAATGATGGATGCGAGTGTCTTGATGAGCCCAGACTACATGCAACCGTTGGCGCCATCTGAACTTGGGTTTCTCTTAGACAAAATGTTTGACCAAGATAACTTTGCTTGGTTTAGACATTCTGCCGCGAAAAAACTAATACAATCACACAATCTCCGTAAACGTGATCCTGAACAGCGAGCTCCCACCCTCGTTTCGAGCGAATCCGACTGCGCCATCTCCCAGTTTACCTCACCCTTCGCTTCGATATCGCACTCGCAAGTCCTCGACTCACGTCAAAGCCTCGGTCTCTCGGAGTATGCCTTGGCCCGGGTGGCAGACCATACCCGACGGGAAGAAAACTTGGCTCAAGTCCAACTCGCAAAATGGGCAACAGACCTGCAACGCAGCCTTCAGAACGAGAGGAGGCAATATGAGCACCTAGCTCGTACTGAAAGGGCTGCGTGGCTAACCAAACGGCTCGACGAATGCGTCGCGGATGGGACGCTTATTCCACTAGGACAAGTCTCTGCTTACGAGAAGGAAACGGGGGTTTTGACAGTGCAGGGCCACGATGGTCGGCGTCTCCAATACCGCATGGGCGACATGAGTTCTCATGATCCACTGGGATTGATCCAATGGAACCAAGATATGAAACGACGCGGATGGATTATCCTCCAAATTCTTGGTGGGGTAGGCTTTGTAGGAGGACTAGCATTGTGGCTTGCGCGAACATTTGGTATCTCATCACAAGATTTGTCAACCTGGGTTCCCTTACATTGAAGGTGAAGTCAGGTTTAATTTCCAAAGGGTTAGGTGTTGGACACATTTGGTGGCGTTAGTTCTATTTTGTGCATGTACGGGCTGGTGCAGGTGTCGGATATGTCCCATCTTAACATATGGAAGTGCTCTGGTGCATTAGTTGAATTTCATGGTGGAATCTCTCTACATGGTACAGATGAGGCATCTTAATGAAGTTGGGTAAGTTGTTACCTTGTATCCCCGGTTTGTCGCTGGTTGTGCTCGTTGATGCAACATAGTAATGCACTCTTCCACTGTGTATTAGTTATGTATGTACAGTACATTAATGATAGAATTCAACTCATACAAAACCACTTCCACTAGATCTGTTAGGGACTTTGCTCCCATGAACAAGTCCCAGTGCTAACCTTAACATCCGCCCTCAAGTTCTCACAGGGGCGGACGGCGGGGTGGAATTTCGGAAGAAGGTTTCCCCGCCCTTGCGGAGAATGTTCTAGACCTTGGCATTGGGCTCCGCTGGGTGGCGACCAACCAAGAGCATTCATCCGCCGCCGCCCAAAACCTCGCATGGAGCGAATTGTGATAACACCACTCCATACTCTTTGTTTGGATGCCTATGGCAAAGAAAGTCGGATGAGGTTAGATGAATATTCATAATGGTCAGGATGTGGGAAATTTATCTTCACCACACTTCGTAGCAACCAAATACGGTTCACACAGACACTGGGTTTACTCCAGATTGATTTGTGCTGACTATGTTGGGTTTTATGAACTTATCCTCAAGCATGCTCTAAGAACCAAAGGCACTCACAGGTCACCATGAAGCAATAGAACAGGCCATGGAAGTGAGTGCTTTTCTAAGCTAACATCTTGAATACTGCGTCAGGGTTTCCCCAAGAATCAGGGCACATACCTCTGCACAATGTGTAGCCCCAAAGGAATTGAAGATTCCGGATGTATCAAATATCTTGATGTTTGACATTGTATTGAAATTGGGCTTTGTGACTTGTAGGATAACTGAGGCAGTCGGCTGAGGCTGGATACATGATTGCAATCAAACCCAGAGTGAGACTCCTTGTTGTGAGACAATGTGAATGAGAGCAAACAGCCTGGTGGAATGCCGATGTTGTTGTGAGCAGCCGTGAGGCTTTGTTGAGTGAATGGATGGAAGATTTCGTTACCTTGGAAACCAGCGTTCCACTTAGCCCGAACAGGCCTAGTGCGGGATGTTTCGATGGCAAGAGAAAGAGAAGCACTCCATGGAACTCGGTGGAAGATTCGCTTAGGCTCTGCCGCTGTCTCTGGCTGTGAGGAGCTCCAAAAATTTAATCTCTCTGTCCTTCCACTTTCTTCCTCTTCCTCTTCTCTTCTCTCTTCCTATCAACCCTCTCTTCAACGCATCTCTCCCGTTCTTCATCGCGTGAAACATCCCTAGACCTTTGCTTCATTCTCTTTTAGCTTAATGTGAGTATTGCTCTGTCACTACCTTGACTGTACAAGGTCCTTCTGTCAAGCATTGATGTCCCTTGTTAGCTGGACTTCAACTAACTTGCAGCTGCAGAATCGCCATTTCCATACCTCAATCATGGCTTCTGAAACCTTTGAGTTCCAGGCTGAGATCTCTCAGCTTCTCTCCCTCATTATCAACACCGTCTACTCGAACAAAGAGATTTTCCTTCGAGAATTGATCTCCAACTGTTCCGATGCGCTTGACAAGATTCGCTATGAGGCTCTTTCAGACCCAAGCAAGCTTGATTCCAACAAAGATCTCCGCATCGATATCATTCCCAACAAGGAAAACAAGACTCTCACCATCCGGGATACTGGTATTGGTATGACCAAGGCTGTAAGTCATATACCTGTTTCTGAAGGCTTCTATGGCGCATTAAGACTGACAATTCGCAATTGTAGGACCTCGTTAACAACCTTGGTACCATTGCCCGCTCCGGCACCAAGCAATTCATGGAAGCACTCACCGCTGGTGCTGATATTTCTATGATTGGACAATTTGGTGTTGGTTTCTATTCCGCTTATCTCGTCGCAGACAAAGTCACCGTCATTTCGAAGCACAATGACGATGAGCAATATATCTGGGAGTCTAGCGCCGGAGGTACTTTCACATTGACTCAAGACACCGAGGGTGAGCCCCTTGGTCGTGGTTCCAAGATCATCCTTCACCTCAAGGATGAGCAGACCGACTACTTGAATGAGAGCAGAATCAAGGAAGTCGTCAAGAAACACTCCGAATTTATCTCTTATCCTATCTACCTCCACGTCTTGAAGGAAACTGAAACCGAAGTTCCCGATGAGGATGAAGGAGAAACCAAGGCTGAAGACGATGACACCAAGGAGGCTAAGATTGAAGAAGTTGACGACGAGGAAGAAGAGAAGAAGGCCAAGAAGACCAAGAAGGTCAAGGAATCCAAGATTGAAGAAGAGGAACTCAACAAGACCAAACCAATCTGGACCCGTAACCCAGCCGATATCACCCAGGAAGAGTATGGCTCTTTCTACAAAACTCTTTCCAAGTAAGTTATTTCTGAGAAACCCGCAGTTTGGGTTGCACATCAAGTTTCTAACCTGAATTTAGTGACTGGGAGGACCATCTTGCTGTCAAGCACTTCTCCGTTGAGGGCCAGCTCGAATTCCGTGCCATCCTCTTCGTTCCCAAGCGTGCTCCATTCGACCTTTTCGAGACCAAGAAGACCAAGAACAACATCAAACTCTATGTCCGCCGTGTCTTCATTACTGATGATGCCACCGATCTCGTCCCTGAGTGGCTCAGTTTCATCAAGGGTGTCGTCGACTCCGAAGATCTTCCGCTCAACTTGTCTCGTGAGACTCTCCAGCAAAATAAGATCATGAAGGTCATTAAGAAGAACATTGTCAAGAAGTCCCTCGAGCTTTTCAACGAAATCGCTGAGGACCGCGAAAACTTCGACAAGTTTTACAGTGCTTTCAGCAAGAACATCAAGCTCGGTATCCACGAGGACTCCCAGAACCGCCAGAATCTTGCCAAGCTTCTTCGCTACCACTCTACCAAGTCCGGTGATGAGACCACCTCCCTCACTGACTATGTTACCCGTATGCAAGAGCATCAGAAGCAGATGTACTACATCACCGGCGAATCTCTCAAGGCTGTTCAGAAGTCTCCCTTCCTTGACTCGCTCAAGGAGAAGGACTTCGAAGTGTTGTTCCTTGTCGACCCAATTGACGAATATGCCATGACTCAACTCAAAGAATTCGACGGCAAGAAGCTCGTTGATATCACCAAGGACTTCGAACTTGAGGAGACCGAGGAAGAAAAGAAGGCCCGCGAGGCTGAAGAGAAGGAATATGAAGGCCTTGCCAAGACTCTCAAGAACGTCTTGGGCGACAAAGTCGAGAAGGTCGTCGTTTCCCACAAGCTGATCGGTTCTCCTTGCGCTATTCGCACTGGTCAGTTCGGTTGGTCCGCCAACATGGAGCGTATCATGAAGGCGCAGGCCCTCCGTGATACCTCTATGAGCTCCTACATGGCTTCCAAGAAGACTTTCGAAATTTCTCCCCGTTCCGCCATCATCAAGGAGTTGAAGAAGAAGGTCGAGCAGGATGGTGAGAACGACCGCACTGTTAAGTCCATCACCCAGCTCCTCTACGAAACCTCACTTCTTGTCTCTGGTTTCACAATTGACGAGCCCGCTGGCTTCGCTGAGCGCATCCACAAGCTTGTGTCTCTTGGTTTGAACGTTGATGAGGAGGCCGAGACCACCGAGGAAAAGGCTGAAGAAGCTGCCGCTGCTACTGAGGCCACTGGCGAAAGCGCCATGGAAGAGGTTGACTAGATGCTTCTCATGAATGGACGATAACGAATTTTTCCTGGTTTTCTGTTCACTTCGCCGCGTATCAAGAATACACTGGGGTTCGGGATAAAAGCAAGGTCCAGCGGTTATGTTTTTTAAAGTGATGAAATGTTTTTTTTCCTAACTTGATGGTTTTCAATGTATCTTCGATTTGTATTCCTAATCCACTGCTGAGAAGGTGTTTAATGTGCCTTTGGAACTGGAGCCGGAGAATTTCTCTTTGCCTTGATGGATTGCTTTTCTATGCTTCATAGGAGACTGCCTCGATAGGTGCTAGATAGCTCACACAGATCCTATTCAGTTTTTCAAGATCTCTATATCGCCCAGTGCATTATTTTTCTCGCTGTCTGTTTCCTCGTCTTTTCGAGGATGAATCTTGCTGACGTCAGCACAAAGGCCGGTTCAGCCAACCAGAGCGAAGTCTGAGGCCGCTTCTCTCTCAAGTGTTTCAACGTCGAAGACGAAAGATCTCTGGATCATCTCGCTGGGAATCCAGGCGGTTCCCACCAGCGCCTCACTTCGCCACAGCGAAGGATGATCTTGTCATCGTTGTCCCCAACAGACATGGGCAGGGCTCGCCTTGCGATGCAACCCCGTCACCGCCTTTTCGGCTAGGTAGCTGGCTTGCCCCGCGACCCTACTCAAGCGTTTGTTGTGTGCGGGCGATTTTCCACCTGCAGCCTCAGGAACTCTCGACTGCTGAGTGGTGGCTTTGACGATCCGATTGCTGAAGCCCTGTCTTTGGCGGGGTGCCTAGTTGGCGGCCTTCCTGCCTAACTTTTCATTTGCTTGCCTGAAATTTCTTTGCGTCATTGTGCTTGAAAGGACTCGGGCTGATGCAAATCTAGACAAGCTTTTGCAAGAGAATTACAGAGTACATACGATGCGGAGAAAAGCTTCAGTTTCGATTTGATCGTGGGTGACGAGATGCAGGAATTGACCCAGCAATCATGTGCTAACAAATATTACACCCAAGCCCAACCGGTCACAAGATCCTATGCTTTTCCCTTTGGTTTCGGCATTCGAGGGAACACACTCTGTTGCACAAGGTTGAGACACAACAGCAGAGATTCAGAACGACCTCAATGTTCTCCAATAACTATCAATACCCCGCGGATCTTTCACTCGAATGGCCCGGCAATCGACATATTCGGGATGAAACAAATGATTAGAAAAGGAAGAAAAATCCGCCTGCCGCCCGAATATGGCCTGGAATGACGACGATGCAGCTTCTTGAAACCCGGGGAGCAATTCCAATCGAGGGTCCAAATCCCAAGGCGAGTGTCCGTCAACCATTGTGCTCCACATGGTTCATTGTGATGCTTTGTATGTATGTAAAGTACATACACCCATCCATCCCTAGATTTCATACATGTTGAGCCAATTCTTCTACCTTGCTTTGTTTGTTTGGAAAGATCTCAGTACCTACGGGTGCCCGCATGCTGAGAAACCGAAAATTTCCGCTTCTACTGACATCCCCCTTTTAGGCCCCAATGTATGGGTCGATTGGCCGATGGACGTTCCCGTATCTGGAAATTTTGCGGTTAATGGCACAACACTCGGCGTTACCATGTGCCTGCATGGGGCAAGCCATTTACCGGGCTCCATACAAGCATTACTCAAGAGGGTACCTGCTACGACTGACTACTTTTAACGAAGAAGCCAAGTTGTACGCAGACTGGGAACCATCAACGAGTCCGGGCGTCGGAAAAGGTTTCGTGGAGTACTCCGTACCGAAAACAAGACGTCGCGACCAATATTGAAGAGCCACAAGATAAAATCGAGCTTTTGGTGCATTCTCCAATTGCTTCGACTCTCGAGATTGACGACTCGGGCGACTTTGTTCCCCGGTTTTCCATCTGCCAAGTCAATGGCCTTGAGTTGTTGTTCACCACCCGAGCAGACACGCCTCACTTTTCTGACCAAAGCTTTTGCATGTCTTTGAACATCGTCACTGCTGGCGCTTCCAATTGGCTGGCTTTGTTCTCAGGCAGCAAGAGCCAATGAGAATTTTTTCGCTCTGCCGCCTCTTTAAATGCTGCAATCCGCTTGATTGTGTCAACACTTCGAGGCAACCCTTCTTATCATCCAACTTGCCCCGAAATTGGTCACTGCTCCTGCGACAAATGGTGTTCCAAAGAGCAGCCCTCTGAAAGTAATGCCAACTCATATGTTTTCTTTGCAGAATACAATTTTTATTTGTCCTGTTTTCTGACCTAACTTGTGTTGCTTCACAAGTTGTTTGCCATCTTGCACTTCCAGGTGCATCTCATACATATTCACCACAGCACCTACCCATACTCCGCCCAACAAAGATCCCCTTCCTTTGAAGGTGGCTTTTCATCCTATATTCACACTTTATTCATACTCTTGTGTTCTTTTCTAAGCAGCAAAGTTAGGAGTGTTGGCACCGGCTTAGAATATCATCTACGGTGGTGTGGGCTGGCCACATCACTTGGACCAGGCTATTTTTTTTGCTTTTCACAGAGCTTGTATCCTGATAACGCTTGTTTATCAAAACCCTAGCTATTGCTTGTGATATTTTCATTTGCTTGGGAGTGATTTTCCCATTTTTCTTTACTTCAAGAAATGGTTCTCAAGCAAAAGGCGGATCCTGCAAGGAGACCGCACAAGAAGGGAGATGAGGATCCCGGCTATGGCGAGTGGCTACCAGGCGGGAATTTCAAAATTGTTTTCACACAGGATTCGGTGGACTGCTCAACAGGCAATGCACAGACACACAAAGACCATTTCCACGACGAAAGTGGCGTCTTGCAGGGCTCTGGGTCATCGCACTGTCATTACCAGCTCTCCTCCTCCTCACCTTCACTCAGCGCCGACCTTGCAACACCAGCTATGGCAATCTCCATTCCCGCCCAAATGCCGCTAGATGCCGGAAGCCTAGGGCTCCTTCGATCGGCACCCCGCTTCCCCCCTATCACAAAGGCGACTCTCAGTGAACTAGATCTGGACCGTATCATGAGAAATATCAACCTGCGCGTCGACGTGAACTTCTACCGCGATTTACATTTCCGCCCGGTGGAAGGTGAGAAAGGCGAAGAGAGGGATCGTTTAGCAAGGGTTTACTGGGAGGCTATCGCCATTGAAATTGCGATTTATGCGTACCATGCGGCTACTAATAACTCCGAATGTGGTGAATACGGGTATCGAGCGAACAACTTCCAGGGCTTTTTCGAGCCAAGACTGCCTCTGATGCTCGAAACTTTGAAGGACGTGCTCTGGACGCTGGTACCCGAACGCGACCACCAGACCATTGCAGAAAATCTCGATGTCCCTTTTATTATGCAGCAGATCGAAAAGGGTGTTCTGAATCTGGTCAGCTTACTCGAGTGGCTCTCAGCCCTGGTGAAGTCACATTGCGCTCCGATGCGAGATTCGCTAGCAGATCAAATGGTCGACGAAATTCGGGAGGGGAACGAACTGCGGGATCCCCGCAGAACTGTGAATGGGCTAACGATAATGTTCGGGATTTTGGAATCCATGAAGCTTGTCAGTTGCAACGTTTGGGATGAGCATTGCATTGCGGATATGCTGACATGGCAACTTACTTCCTATAGGACGTTGCCAACCATCAAATACGGTCGTTTAGGTTACCCCTAATTGACGACACTGTTCGATTTTTGCAATCTTACTTTTTCCATCGACTTGATGAAAACGCAATGTACGTGGAGGAAGCAAAGAAATGGTTCCATAATGCCTTACGCGAACAAGCCTGCCTTCGACGATGGACACGCGGCTGGACCGAGTGCAATAATGTTGCAGCCGTTTGTCGAGGCTTGACCCCTCTACTTTCGCAATCAGATAGTCCCGCAGGATTCCCGGCGACGTTCAAATTCACCCACTGCCGTCTGTGGATGATGCGCTCGGAGGTGCAAGATTCGATCGCCTTTGAGTTATGCAAGCATGTCTTTGATAAAACGGCCTCGAATCACATCCCCCACATACCCCGAAGTCGAGAGGTCTACTCCACCTTACGGTCTCGCCTATGGTCCATCGTCGAAGGCGACCGCAACGGTGCTATCATCGACGCACAAAAATGGAGAAATAATATCAGCTCCATCGCGCTAGAAATCACGCGCCTAATCTCGAATCTCGAAGCCAGCATAAAACCAGGCGTCACGCTCGATGCAAATGTCTTGTCCTACGTCGAAGGGATGCTCAGGTCCTGTTTTGGACGTCGCTCTCCGCTATTTGAACACTACCGAGAGGTTGTATCTGAACAGCTGGAAAAAGCTACGATGGCCGTGATAGAGCGATACGTGGGCATGTCTTGCTTGGATATGTGTGACGATCAGCACCTACCGCAGCCTGAAGACTATGTGCAACTGGGGCCAAACGACATCGAGAGCATAGGCAAACGGCTCGCCCATCTCTGCGTGCTGCATTGGCGCGTGTGGGGGCCGATCCTGTATTTCGCAAATTCGGGTCAATCTGGCCTTGACAGCTGACGCATCGGGTGGACGGTTGAGGGCGATGGGCCGTTCCGCTTGAGGTTTGTTTTGCCTTCCAGTATAGACTCTGCGTGTGCCTAAAAATTCGCATCTTTTTGCATTGAGTTTTGATGTTTTGAATGCTGCAAAGTGACGTGCTTTGTTCTCTTTCTTGTCAACATCTGGTGTCACACAATAATCTTCTTTATGAAGAGGGTGATCTGTGAATTTCTGTTTCATCATAGAATGCCTCAACCCAAACTCTTTCCCGCTGCTTCCTGGCGAACTTTTGTGAGACTTCAGGATTATGAACAAGTAGTAAATGCCAATTAAAAAAATATATATATTTCAGTTGACACTCCATGGTTGTAAGCTCAGTTGGCTTATCTTGAGAAGCCTGACTGTCACGTGCTCCACCAAGGTCTTCATCATCGGTGCTGATGTTTTGAAAATGTCAAACTGTCCTCACCCAGCGGAGCTCTCTTTAAATGTATGGTTTGTACATATGCTTTCACTGTTCAAGGCGTCGCAACCCCAGCAAATCCTGGTGTAAGCCTACCTTTATGAGCTGAGAAATTAGCTGCACCTCTTGAGAAAGTAACATAGTGGTGAAATTGCGCAATCAGATATCCAATTTCACAGCCTGAGGAGGCTCCTGATTCCGTTGAATAATGCACTCTCTACACAATTATACCAGAAAAGAATGCGAGTCTCGTCCCCGTGCCTGTCCCGTCTTAATTGGCTTTCTTCGCTCAAAGCGGCCCAGCTCCAACGGATCGCGTTCTTGACTGGCATATCATCGTCGGGAACAAAACCCGTCCTGGTTGAGCGTTTGACCAAGGCGTTATTGTCACCTGCTGGTGTCCAGGACGGTAGCGCCCGAGAAAAGCGAGAGGATGTGGCGGGCGGTGGACGGCGAAATGAAGAGGATGGGAGACTGAGCATTCTAAGCATTGATATGGGCATTCGAAATCTAGCGTATGCGCATATGCTCGTGGATCCAGAGAAGAGCAAGGAGAACAATAATTACCAATTCACATCCCTACGGTCTCCTGTGTTGAACGCATGGAACCGGCTGGTGATATCGGAGTTTTCCTCCCCTTCAGCCTCTCATGTCGATGTCTCAGCACCAGTGGCACTGCTAAATGGTGGAACTACTTGCCGCAGCACTACGGCGAAGTCGAAACGGCGCTCTCAACGTTCAGAAGAGGAGGAAGAGGCGGCAGTGGGTGAAGGTCAAAGATTTACAGGTGAAAAAGAGTCTTTTGCTCCGGACCTCTATGCCTCTCACGCGTACACTCTCGTTACCTCGCTGCTCGGAACTTACCGGCCCACGCACGTGCTCATCGAGCGACAGCGATTTCGCACCGGTGGAGGAAGTGCGGTGCAAGAGTGGACTATCCGTGTGGGCGTTTTTGAAGGAATGCTCTATGCGGTGCTTCACACGCTGCGAATGGAATCAAAGATGGCCGGTGGGCTGGGAGTCATGGTGCAGGGAATTGAGCCGCAGAGGGTGGCGAGGTATTGGATGGAGACTGACCCTGTAATGGAGTTGAAAGTTGCTGGGAAAAAGAAGAAAGCGACGTCGAAAGACGGGAAGAAGGCGAAGATCGATTTAGTAGGCAGGTGGATTTCATCTTTGGGGATGGACCATGCGGGTGGAATACCTGCGAAAATTGCCATTGCGGCGGATAGTCAGGCGAAGGAAACGGGGACTGCGTATCTAAGCAAATGGGCGAAGACGAAAGGGGGTTCAAAGGTGGTTGCAGGGTTGAATGGGATGTCCTCATCCACATTTACAGGACGGTCTTCGAGATCTGACAAGGACGCACCAAACGGTGATGATCCTGATCATAAGTCTGATACGGCGGTGATGGCCCCGTCCCCAGTCGATATTGGTAAACTGGATGATCTCGCGGACTGCCTTCTCCAGGGTCTCGCGTGGCTGGAGTGGCAGAGGACGAAGGAACGCATCGCGGTGGAGGGTATTGATGCGGTGTCAGGTATACGAGCAAAGGGGTTGAAGTGAATACACGCCTATAACCACCTACCTTTGGAGTCGTTCGATGTTGGCAAATCAACCACAGGGTCGTTACATGCCTGTCGAAATGTTGGATTCAGGACCTCGCAAAGAAGACAAAGTCCCCTGTTCCTCGCCGTCTCAAGGCAGGACCCGCAGATGCAGTGAACCCGAGGAGTCATCATCCCGAGAAACGAGTCCCGAGAAACGAGTCCGCGTTTATGGTGGGAAAGTGAAAGGATTCAAGGATAGTGTCCTATGATCCTATCGTCCATTCTCAATGTACACATGTGAAGCATTTGCTTGATTGTCGATCAGGGGAAGTTCCCAGGAATGGCTGCATCTTCACTGTCAATCCCACAATAATCCATGTGATTTTGGCACGAGTTGTCGACGCTTTCGTCCACCCCATTGGGCTGAGAATACGAAGGATACATACCCCTGAGGAGGCGCATGGATCAAGGGAACAAACAGCAGTCTGTTGGTTGTGAAGGTATTTGGAGGATTGTTCCATCTTTCTCAGCACAATTTCGTTTCTTCCGCGCCTTACTTTGGTTGAATTGTCCAGTTTTGAAGCCCATCGAGGGGTTCTAATCATGATGCCGTCATAATTCTAGAGACTTTTGGTCTGTCGAAGCGAAATAGGTTCACAGACGTGAATAGATATCTAAATATTACACATAGAATTGCAAGTGGAGGAAAAAAAGGTTCCCAAATAGGGGCTGCAATGCTGGCGATCAGCATGCAGAACGAATCGAATAATTGAGCTCCATAATAGTGGTGGCTCGACATCAAGGCACCTTTGGCCCGTAAGAAAGAAAAAAACCAGGGGTTTCAAAGGAGGTAAACCGCGAGGTTGAGTGGAATTGTCCTCTCAAGAAGTCTAATCCAGGCAATGCGTAGGATGATGCAGGTCAGATAACTCCAGAATCAAAAGACACCCCTTTCTCCCTGTTCGCTTAGCATTGAAAGGTTTAGTAGCCAGTTGGCAGGGGTGTCCTGGTCACGGAGCCGGTGCCAGGCAAAACGGTGGTGGATGGGATGGTTCCGTTTTGGTAAGGGGGGCTTGGAATAGTTGGGATCGTGGTGATCACTGGCGGTTCGTTCAAGGTCGGAAGTGGTGGGAGGTTGGGCAATTCAGGTTCCTCACCGTCAGTGGGCTGGGGTTCTGAAGGGGCGGTCTGGAAGATGGTGGATTAGCACTCCGTGGACTAAGCATTTTTAACAAAACAGACATAGAACTCACAACAGTGACGGTTTCTTTAGCAGTAACAGTCTCCTTGACTGTGACGGTAACTGGCACGCAAGTAGCTCCGCCGTTGCCGCCATTACCGCCGTTGCCCTGTTCACCACCAGGTGCATTATCGGTGGGATACAGAGTAACCGTTTTTGTGGTGGTTGAAGTGGTCGAGATGGTTGTTGTAGCGGAGGTGGTGGGCTCGCCACCACCGTTGCCCCCTTCTGGAGCAGTTGCCTGGGGAGTCTATGCAGCAGTAAAGTCAGTGCCATGCGCACACAAAGATAATAAGTAATCCTAAACGATTAACTCACTTCAGGGCAAGGGCGGGTGACAGTCCTGGTCACCACAGTCTTCGAGGGTCCACCGCCCAGTGTGTATGTAACAGTGAGAGTCTCCATGGACACAGGTCGGGTTTGCGAAGGCTGTGGATTGGGAGCACCGGTACCTGGAAATGTGGGGACTGGAATGTCGGTGGTGGGAGCAGGAGTGGTATCAGGGTCAGTTGGAGTCGCAGTTGGAACTGCAGTTGGAGCTCCAGTTCCAGGAGGGAACAAGGGAACAGGGTGCACAGTCACGTATTTGACGTCGGATTTGGACTCCTCAGCATTGCGACGGAGAGGGAAGCGGAATGGGCTTGCTTCTCCCACGGCTGCTAGGGCAGCAACAAGGACAATTGAGGTCTTGAGCTGCATTTCGATGGAAGGGATGTGTCGTAACAACGGATGTATTTGGGAAAGGAGTGACTGGGTATTGTTTGCAAAGGCTCTTGGATATATCTATGGGGAGAAAAGACTCAACCCGGGGTGCTGAAAAGCTGTGATGGGCGAAATCAATTCGCGTGCAAAAGAGCGACTTGGGAAAAAAAGACTGGAATTGCCTCCGTCAAGGGCAATATACAAGAGGGCAAAAGAGCGTGAGAGCAAACAGCTGAGGGATGTCAAGAGGGAAGAGAAGAGAGAGAAAGGAAGAAAGACATGCTCAGGGGGGAGGGATGCGGTGGGGATATAATAAGAGCGAGTTCCACATGCTGAGGCTGACATCGAACTAAGAAAATGGGATAATTTAAGAAGACGGCAGAGCAAAAAACCCATTGACCAGGGCCGCCATTATTCAGAACCACGATTGTCTTCTTTTTTGTCCGAGAACCCTGTCCTTGGAGAATAGCAATCAAGGCTTCTGTGATACTGCGGCCTCTTCCGCCGCCCTGTCCACAGGCGAAACAGAAATTCCATTTCAAAAACAGCCTGTTTGGTCGAAACGTGGTGATGCGGTCTCCCCCTCCACGCGCATCTTGCCGGCTGCAGCCCGCAGCGATTCGCCCGTCCCCTTCACTAACGAACAGGAGACATGGTTCCTTGCATGAAGCGGTGGAGCGTGGCCAAGCCCATTCCGACCGCCGGCATGAAGCCAGAACGTCATGCCGGCCCGTTTCTGAGATGATGGGAACGCGAACCGTGTGGACGAGCCAATCCGGCCACCGCCTGGCGTTGATCGGCTCATCTTAAAACGATCCCAAGAGATTGCAAGGGACCACCTCCGATGAAGCTCGACTTTAGCGTCAAATCAGAAATGGGCTGTCGAAGCGCAACAATGATTTCGCTCGGGCGCTGAGAATGACAGTGGGAATTGGGGTTAATTCGTGGTGCGACATCGTTAGCTTTGCCTGTTGCTTTGTCTAACTTATTGATGTCCGATGGTGTCTTGCTAATTGAATGGCTCTGCGGAGTGTGATTACTAGGGAACCACGTCTGTCCACGACCTGAGGCCGATGGTTGCCCGACTTGATAGTTAACTAGCCAGTTAGCTATTACTGGTGTGATGATAATGCTGATGGTTCAGCTCACCCGATGCCATCCATGTCAGCATCAACGTGGCAGCGGGAATTATCAGTCGAAGAGACGGCTCACCACTCTGTCTGCCTTGACTGGGGCAAATTTAGATTTGGGTGCGCCCAAATGCTCCTTGACAAGCTCTCTTCTAGAGGCAGAGGTGGCAGTGCTCCTTTCACTACTCCGTACTCCACAGGCTAATATCTACGGAGTAGACTGATGGTGTTCCATAAAATTGGGACAGAACATCGTTAGCATCTCATCGACTGATGATGGAGCATAATTCATCATGGTTATTCAACAAGCTCATGCCTGCGACATCCTTTCTAGTCACGCAACGGAAGAATCAATGCATGCTCTTTTTCGACACCTGGATCGTCGAATCCCCTTCTTGCTGACTTCGACCTCATCTCAAACGGTCGCCATCACTGATCAACACTTAACTGCACGATTCCAGGTCAATGCGTCAATTATCTGCTACATTGCCCCGGATTTGTGCTTTTTGAACGCTCCCCTGTTGAACTATAAAGTCAAGCCTAAATCTTAATATCTATAGGGCACAAGTCTCTAGGAAACAACATTACATGTAACTACACAAGGAATTGGCCGAAATATTTCAATACTCGCAGTTGCGGGATTCTGCTCACAGTGCAACATTTGCCAATGGATCACTTGTCACATACTTTTATATGCAGTCCTCCGTGCCTTTCCATGAAGATCTTCAGGCGGGCCGAAACTGCGTGAGACAGCTTGATTGCGTGTCGCGCTTGTGGATCAGTGCCTTGATTACTCTTCTCTTCTCTATGGAGTATCCGTCCCTGGTGAATAACGCGAAAGTTCTCAATAGCCGATCTGTACGGAGGTCGCCGCCATATGTTTTGGTCCTTCAGTATAGGGGCCTTCTCCCAAGCCGCGCTGCTTAGCGGTCCTTAACTTGTAGGGCTGCAGATACCAACCAAGATCACCCCTAAACTCAAGCCTGCGAACGCCCGAAAGTGTGGATCCAAGGGGACCAATATTTATGGCGGCGACCTCCGTATCCAGGAAAGATACAAGCCCCTTCAGCAAGGGGATATAACATGGATGGGAACACACATACATCCATATCTCCAAAACTTACTCTGATATACCTTCGTCCATGACAGTCAGTTGCCGGACTACTTTGTTGTATGAGGCCTGTTATTATTACTCCACCGCATCTCATTTGCCGGACGATACTCCAGAAAATTCTACAAGGACCTCCAATTTATTCTGCCTCCAATTCTCTATGTCGCAGCTTCTGCCACATTGGGATGCGGAGCTTCTGTTTTCTCTTTATGTGCTGTCCAGAGACTCCACTGTCTCCAGCACTGCATTTTCGCCCGAATTCTAAATCTGCTTGGGAAACTGTCAGATGCAGGCTTGCAGCAGGAAGATAACCTGTGCAACAAAATGATTTATGCTGTGCGGCTCCATTAGCTTTGTGTCTTTTCCAGAAGGTTGTACCTAATACCGGGACTGACGGTTACAGATAAGGAACACAGCGGGGATTTCTAGGGGCGCAAGATGTGACTTGAGTGTTTTAAGCTAATGACTGCAATTTATCATCGAAAAGTAGCTCCCTTGATGTATGTAGTCATAAGCGTCATCTGCTGGTATATCGGGACATGCTCGAAATCTAGGTCAGCTTCAGCAGGATTCCGACCTTCAAACCCCGCCCACTCCAATTGTATCCCTTCCGCGATTTTACTACATGATGCCCGTAACTATTGTCGCACCAGGTTCGGATCCTCCGTTTTCTGTTGAAAGGCCACCCGCGTTGTATGTCTTGCCTCAAACCCGCTCTCCGCATCATGTCCAAAGCCACCCCATCACCAAATCCCCTCCACGTTCTCCGCCAACGATACCAAACAGCTCTGCACGAATTCACCACGTCTCCAAAATCCTTCGAAATCCTCGACACCATCGGCCGTCCGCACATTATCCCATCCACACGAAGCACGCTCTACGTCCTTGACTCCTCCTTCAACCCGCCCACCCGCGCTCATCTACACATCGCAAAATCCGCCCTTCTAACCGACCACCACAATGATCTGTCAACGGTTAGGTTACTCCTTCTGCTGGCGACTCAGAATGCAGACAAGCCCTCCAAACCAGCCCTGTTTGAAGACCGGCTGGTCATGATGAACCTGTTCGCCAGAGACTTGCAAGATGCACTTGTTTCCGAGGCATCTACTACCTCAACTGCCGACGAGACAGTTCCGCCTATTGACATTGGTGTCACCAACTTGCCCTACTTTATCGACAAAGCCGTGGCCATATCTTCATCTCGAACTTACCCCGCAGATTTGGAGCAAGTTCACCTGACGGGGTATGATACTTTGGTTCGGATATTCGACCCCAAATATTACCCGCCCGATCATACGCTGCAGCCATTGGCGCCGTTCCTCGGACAGCATCGGTTGCGGGTCACGTTACGGCCGGATGATGAATGGGGTGGAAGAGACGAGCAGAGGAAGTTCTTGGTCGATTTGGCGGGTGGGACAATGGAGGAGATTGGTGGGAGGAGGGAATGGGCTGAGAGGATCGAGATTGTTGAGGGGAGAAAGGAGGGGGATGAAGTTGTTAGTTCGACAAAGGCGAGGCAAGAGGCTGGTAAAGGAAATGTGGAAGCCCTGCGGTGTTTGGTCACGGAGAGAGTGAAGGACTGGGTGGTCGGGGAGGGGTTATATAGAGCTTGACGGGCGCGGATAATAAGCATCGTGATGTAAAACGAGGTTTGATGGAAAAAAGTAGTCCGTATCATACAGTATGGCCTAGATCCAAATATACGCCGAATCCCTTATGCTCCGTGTGCGATGCCATCATAAACCGGTCAGCCTCTCGAACGCCATACCTTTAACAATTCCAGATCGAGCAAAGATGCAGCTTAATTACCCTGCTTATAGGCTCTTCCCATCATCGTCTTCTTCCTTCCTTTTCCCAGAAATATACACAATCCCCCCACTGACCAGGTTCATCAATCCCACGCCCATCGCCGTCCCTCTGACCGCCCCTCTCACACTCCATTTATTCCTCAGCGACTGCTTCCTGCGCCCAGCAAGGAGAACGTATAGTCCTGACCAAGCCGCATTGATACCCGCAGCATCTTCTTTGTACCCAAGGAGATTGATGTAGCTAGTGAACAGCAGGGCCGGCGGGAAAACCATGGGGAGGGGTTGGAAAGGGCGCATGTGAAGGGCGGTTACGAATGTCGCAAGTAAAGTAGGCGGGAAAGATGACTCTGTAATGAAAAAGAAACGGATGTTGTTAGATACCGAAGGAACTGGTACGCGGATCAAACGGGAAGAGGGTAGATAATACGGCTCAATGGCCATGGGACCCTAGAAAATCACTGGATTTGGCGGCGTACCTCCCCATGCACGAGCATATTGCATGAATGACTTCTTCGCCTGCTCTGGCCCTGCGCTGCTCGTCCCCATTGGACCTGTGTTCGGCATCTTTTGGTCCAGTTATCCGCCCGGCACGCGGGTGTTCGGAGCTGGGATGGTAGCTAATCTCTAGGATTTTCAAGAGAAAGGAGAGCCCGAATGAAGAACCCAACTACTCCGTAGCAGTGGCTCAATTGAGTCAAAGAAGTGAGAAGATGTATGAAAAGCGTGTTTTGGTGTCTCTACACCAAGGTCAAGGGCACTATGACGCCGTTAGTTAGCCAATCAGAGAGGGTCCAGACGGGCTTCAAGTTTGAGTCGGCTTCAAGCCACGTTGGAAATCCCATTGAGCGACTCGTGGATCTTCGAAGAAAAGCCAGAACTAAATAACACTTTTATTGTTCTCGTCTCGAGTGCAAAATCAGCCCGAAAATACTTGCCTCTGCGACAATCACGTGATATCGCCGGTGCGAGTTGGTTCGTTTCGCCCGATTCCAGATATCAAACGGCCATCATCGCGACCGAGGAGCCCGGGTACCAAGCCATCGCCGTTCGCTCGTGTCTTGCTCCTTCAACGACTTTCATTCCACGGACCAAAAGGCTTCGGGCCTCTGGTTTCCCTAGTCGAGCTCCTTAACGAGCCCGACCAAACGCCCAGGAGTCTTTTCCCGTCACTCTTCCCCGCCCTTGCCCGCTAACTTCACATCCGTCTTCGGCAGAGGTATGTCATCAGCATCAGCATCCGGCGCGGATGCAAAAAATGGAGCGTCGGCAAGATCCAGAGAGCATAAACAGGGCAACCAAGAACGCAAGTACACACCTGATCAGAAGGCTGCGGTGATTCGAGTACGAAAATGCTCAGCCACAGCGTTCTACGAGATTTTGGCGATAGAGAGGACTGCGACAGAATCAGAGATTAAGAAGGCGTATCGGAAGCTCAGTCTTTTAACGCACCCGGATAAAAACGGGTATGATGGTGCAGATGAAGCTTTCAAGAGTATGGCACTCCCTTCCTTGCATCTAGATATACCGGAGATTTGCCTGCATTTTGTGACGGCGAATGCTAATTTGAGCCTCTTTAGTGGTGTCGCGCGCTTTCCAAATACTCTCCGATCCGGATAAGAAATCCAAGTACGATAAGTTCGGGGGGGATCCAGAGAATAGATTTTCTGGAGCGTCGGCATCAGGTTCCTCGCCTTTTAGTGGCTTTGGTGGCTTTCCTCAGGGGCGACCGATGTACGACGATGAGATATCGCCTGAAGAGCTGTTCAACCGGTTCTTTGGAGGCGGTGGGTTCGGCGGCGGTTTTGGAGGGGGCGGCTTTGGACCTTTCGGTAGGTAGACGGAGGTGGTTATTCTTCTTCGCATTTTGCTGACACCGGTACCAGGGGGAGGCATGTTCGATGCCGGTCCATCATTCGTGTTCAACATGGGCGGTGGGCCAGGAATCCGTGTACATCAATTTGGAGGCGCACGGCCGCGAAGGAGACCGCGCGACGCGAACCAGCAATCCGAGGGAGCTTCTCCAGGCGGATTTTCCCTGTCACAGTTCCTTCCCCTCATACTACTATTCCTATTCCCGCTCATCTCCTCTTTATTCTCGAGTTCGACTCCTTCCGGCCCTTCTTTCCGCTTCGACACCGCTTCGCCACCACATACTCTACATAGAACGACTCCGAAATTAAAAATAAATTACTACCTTAATCCGACAGAAGTTGAAGACTATAGTTCACGTAAACTACGACAGCTCGATCAGAAGGTGGAAGTAAACTACGTGTCGAATCTACGGTACGAATGTGAGAACGAAGTCCGCACGAGGGACCGCATGGTACAAGACGCACAAGGCTGGTTCTTCCCGGATGTAGAGAAGATGAAAAAAGCCCGGCAACTAGAGCTACGGAGCTGTAAGAAGCTCGAGTCTTTGAATTTTTGATTTGTTTGCTGATGCCTTTTCTGCTTTCTCCGTTGATTACCCCCGCTTGGTACGAGTATAGACATTATATTCATGTGAGAGAACTCTGGCGTTTTGCGGATAGCATATAAATTGCCTCTTGGGCTTCAAAGTAATGTTTTAATGTTATGTATATTGATAAAGGTCTGGCTTGTGTTAATCAAAATAAGCAGCTTTCAGTGCTGGGTAGGATTACCCCAGGCAGTGCAGTTTATGTCCTTTGCTTTAGCGGAGCTTTTCCAATAACAATCCTTCAACTACTCTGGATTCTATTCAGAATTATGTTTATTGATGTGTTGCTGTAGAAATCTTTACCGTCTGATGTAACCACTGACCAGGCACGATTTATAAATAGCAGCTTAGTTAATCAGTCAACGACAGGCAATCATCAGCTTCCATCAATTGCATGGCCCAACTGACCATACTAGCAGAATTACTTATTCACGCTGTTTGTGCCGGTGCTTGCAATGCTTCTTGGTTGTCTGAAATAAAGGACTGCCAGCTCACTCATGCCACCTAACTAGCAGTGATGGACGACCATGTTGATATAGAAAAGGTGAAACTTCCCGATAATGAAGAAGCAAGGATGGCGCAAAGCGTCCGTGCTCTGCGTACTCGAATGAACCATACTAACTTGAGCTTTTCCTAGGCTCGGAGTAAGCGTCTTGCGAAGCTTGACTCCCAGAGACCTGCTTCATCCCAAGAAGGTGCTGTTTCACAACCGGGGAACAGCCCTCAACCTGCCCCTCCAGATCCATCAGACTCTAGTGTTCCGCATACAGGACGACCCCAGATAAATATTTCTCGCTCGTCACAAGGAAGCATGGGCCCATCCGGCGATGGAACTCCGCAGATTCGAGTTAACAGGAACACGGCTCAGAGACCGGAAGAGACCTCCGAAGCGTTCGAGGACCGCACCCTAAGTGCCATCTTTAAGGTTACGTGAATGAAGGGCAGCCCAAAGATATTCATGGCCCAGAAGCTCATATACCTCCCGGGCGTACGCCAGGATCTGGATGAGCAAAGGACAGCCCATTCGAATGAGTACGGCAGTTTTGGAACAGGCGTTGCTAGAGGCGGGGTCTAATACAGATAGGAAGAAGCCACTGGAATACTTGCTTTCGTGTTGGAAACGGGTCATGAGATTGTACAAAGGCTTCAAAAAGACAAAACCAAATGACCCAAAATACGAAGTTGTGAAGGAAGCTAGGAGATTATGCTTGAGTTACTGCATATTCGCTGCTACGATGCCAGAGATGTTCGGGTAAGGTCATTTTGATGTAGTGATATGAGGAATGGATATTAACGAGCGTCTTAGACTCGATACACCGCACTCATCGCCTCTCAAACCTCACCTACTACAGGAGCCAGATTGCAACCTAGGTCTATGCCATGATTTCCTTTCTGAAGCACTTCAACGCGCTGAGGAGGACGACACGATTATACCCGCATTTGTCAGCGCTGTGGAAGAGATGAGCCGCGATGCTTCAACCATGACTTTGAACGATGATTATAAACCACATATGATGGTATGTTTTTAATTCCTCCTACAACCGACAATTAACTTTAACACCTCATAGGCTTTGCGCAGACTTGTTCGATTCCCCGCTTTGGCCGTTGCTATCACAGAATCCCCTACTTTCAATTTGGACGTAGGGGCGGATAAGTTTGAAACTGCGACCCTTTTAGGGCCATGGTTTAAGATGTCCCCATTGCAGAAAGAAATAACAATGTCGTACTTTTCGAGCCCGAAAACACGGGACCAAGGCTCCATAATCAGTGCACAGCGAGCGATGAGGATGACTCAACAACTCCACAGTTCAGACCTCCTTGATATCATTAATCATCTTGTTAGGGCTTCAAAAGCAGCCAGAGAGCGTGTCTTAGATTGGTTTGCGGCGTCTGTCAATATCAATCATAAGCGCAGGGCTCTGCAAACAAATCCTGAAGAAGTTTCAACTGACGGTTTCATGTTCAACATTACGACATGCCTTGATCAATTATGCGAGCCTTTTATGGATGCAGCATTCACCAAGGTAAAGGTGTCCTTATATCTTCAAACTTTAAACTAATTTGTTTAGATTGATAGAATCGATTTAAACTACCTCAGAAGGAATCCACGGGTGCAAATAAAGGACGAAACTAAAATAAACGCGGACCAAAAGGCTTCCGACGAGTTCTACTCCGAAACCTTAGAGGGCGAGTCGAATTTCATCAGTGAAATCTTTTTCTTGACAGTTGCTGCCCATCATTATGGAAGCGAGTCATTGACCACATTAATGGAGCAACTTGAGAAAGACCTGCGTCACATGCAGGCTCAAATAGACAAGTTTGAGAGCGAAAGGCCTAAATGGGCTGGAAATCCTGCGCAAGCCAGACTATTTGAAGAGGCTTTGAAGAAATACAAGGACAGATTGGATTTTGGCCTTGCTTTCAAATATAGTCTCCAGGGCCTTTTACTGGATGAGCTCTGGCAAACGCGATCTATGCAGTTCATGAGATATGTCATTGTCTGGATGCTAAGGGTTGTTTCCGGTCGCGATTTTCCCAAGGAACCACTTGAGTTACCGCTGCCTGCAACCGAACCTGATGCTTTTAAGTGTCTCCCAGAATATTTTTTGGACGATGTCGTGAGCAACTTTAAATTTATCATGTGGAATATGCCTCAAATTGTCACCTCGACCCAGGGAGATGAACTGATAATGCTCTGTATAACTTTCCTGCAAAGCTCAGAGTACATCAAAAATCCGTATCTCAAAGCGGGATTGATCACCATTTTGTTTTGCGGGACATGGCGTCGACCCAATGGGGCCAGAGGAGCTCTTGTTGACCTCCTTAATTCTATGCCATTTGCTAACAAGCACCTCCTCCACGCTTTGCTGAAATTTTATATAGAGGCCGAATTTACCGGTACACATACCCAATTCTTCGATAAATTCAATATTCGGTTGGAAATCTTTCAGATCATTAAATGCATTTGGCCGAACGCAATCTATCGAGATCAATTGTCGAATGAAGCGCAGAAAAATTCGGAGTTCTTCGTTCGCTTCGTGAATTTACTTTTGAATGACGTTACATTTGTGCTGGACGAATCATTCACGGCATTTTTAGCAATTCACGACACGCAAGTTTCCCTGAGACAAGGAGGAGATGAAATGGATGAGAATCAGCGCCAGGAAAAGGAAGAACAATTAGCGGCAGCCCAAGGCAGAGCCAAAAGCTACATGCAACTGACTAATGAGACCGTAACTATGCTTAAACTATTCACAGAAGCCCTAGCGGATTCTTTTACTATGCCTGAGATCGTGCAGCGCCTAGCTGATATGTTGAATTACAATTTGGATGCTATGGTTGGACCGAAGAGCGCGAATCTGCGCGTGGACAATCTGGAATCGTACCACTTCCGTCCTCGGGCACTGTTAAGCGAAATTGTGGACGTATATTTGAACTTGATGGGGAAAGATAACTTCATTCTTGCTGTTGCGCGAGACGGACGATCTTATAAACCGGCAAATTTTGATAAGGCGGCGGAGATTCTCAACAAATGGGCACTCAAACCCCAGGATGATATGATCAAGTGGGATAAACTAAAGGCCCAAGTTAAGAAAGCAAAGGAAGCAGATGACCAGGCCGAGGAAGATTTGGGAGAGATCCCGGACGAGTTCCTAGGTTCGCTCCTACATCGACCAATTCAAGCTACAAAGCGATTACTGATGTGTTTTCTAGATCCCCTAATGTTCACGCTGATGGAAGACCCTGTAGTACTTCCGAGTTCCAAAGTTTCCATCGACCGCTCGACTATCCGGTCGCATCTCCTGAGCGATCCGAATGACCCCTTCAATCGAGCTCCTCTTAAAATCGAAGATGTTCTTCCGGGTGAGTGGTGGCTAATGGACGGGGCCAAATATTTCTGACTGACTGCTCTAAATTACAATAGATACGGATCTAAAGGCCAAAATTGAAGCTTTTAAAACCGAGAGGAAGGCTGCAAAGCTGGCGGTGACGAAGCCTACGACAGGGAATCCGGACGCAATGGATACAACCCCAGGATAAGGCACACACGTGGTTGGAAATCAAAACCTTCACTACTCGTCAAGGGCTTGGATATATTTTACAATTCCCTTTCCATAGCAACTGAATGACCGAGTCTCCCACCCGCTATTAACCAGGTTGTCTCAAGCGGTGCCCTCGGCTTGATCTTGAGTATCCTTTTTCCAAACCAGGTTCACATCAGGTGTATTCTGATCACAATCAGGAGATTATTCCCAATCCCAATAAAACAATATATAATTGGCAGCAAATTGTCCAAATAAGGTCTTTTTAGTTCTTCTCGCACGAGTGTATTTCCGCTACCGTTAACAAATGGAGGTTCAATTTAGACTCTGTAAATCAGCACACTAAGAAAGACTCCTGTCTGTTGTTGTTGATGGTTCTCGACGACAACCACAATTTGGAATAATATCAAGAGCATACACGAGTTCAGCACGGTTTATCCGAGGTACTCGAAACCAGTTGCGTTTGGTCAAGGCTTGTTTTAGGAATACTCAATCGCAATATCCAATTAACTTAAGTGTTACTTTTATACCGAATTGTCATTCGATAGAGTATGGCACAGGATGCACAGAAAGAAGGAAAAGGCAAGGTTAAAGATGTCAAATGGGTTGTAGGCATTTGCCTATTGCCATGAGGTGCCTACTTCGCCGCTCGCCTAGAAGCAATTGCGTGAAAGACGCTACCATCGTAAACACCACGGATGTCCTCCTTTTTTAATTTTCCGTCTTCCGGCCATAGAAGAATGTACGTTGCTAGCCCTGTTTTCAAAATCAGTTACCTTTTCCCTTGTGCCCATGAGTTATTTTGGCTTGTTGTGAAACGGGCCTTACATTCAAAAAAGGCACCAAACCAGCCAATTGGGTCTGCAATCAATCGCTGACCCTTGAGCGCATAGGCTAACTGCCATAGAGACATGGAGTCATTGCCATCTGCATATTTGGAGAAAATGTCTTCAAACTTCTGTGGGATAAACCTCCCTTCAGTGTCGTAAACACCTGTGTCGCTCCCATGCTTACATTTGTGGATATTCGCAATATATATTCGGAAAAAGGGGTCAGGCAGCCAAGAGTTGACCGTTGGATATGAAAAGTTTCCATGGACGATGAACACCGCAAGCAGGGATAGCAAAAATCCGAACCCGAGCTTCCAGAATCCTCTGAATGTGTCCGATGGGTATATAACCCCGTCACCGTCGAAGTCAAAGAAGTTGCAGTGTTGTTGCAATACCTTCATAGAAAATTATCAGCACAACCCCAAGGCTAGTGAAACGGCAGCCATTGGCTAATTGAATAGCTAGTTACCGTTTGGTTCGAATGGCGAGCAGCCCAATCATTAGCCGTTGTCCCTCTGGGTGATTCCCGACTCGCCGCAATGTTTACGCGCGCAGTACCTACCAGCAAGACGTTAGAGAATGTCAACTCAGATTGTCAATTAAACATACCTGGGTCGGGTAGCTGCTTTTCATTCCTCGATAGGCGGAACGGCTTCCTCTCCCGAGTTACAGGAACGGAGGAGACCGATGTAGGAATGTAGGCGCTCTCCAGAGCTTCGCTGTACGAAGCCCGGCTCGTCTCAACTGCCCTGTGAGGCTGACTGATAGGTTTCGTATCCATTTTCCTGCCTTCTGCGTTTGAAGCTGCTGAAATCTCTAGACGGCAACAGACTCAGCATCTCTTCCTCTCCTTTTGAACTTTCTATGCAATGACGTCATGGGGTAATTGATACTTGGAAAGCTAAGGTCAATCGTAACTAGGTAAGACCATCGGCGGGTTCGCCTTGTGAACGGGGTCCAAAACGGATATCGGGACAATTAGGAACACAGGGAGCGGAATAGCCACGTCGAATGGGGTGATTATCACAAAGGACAGCATGCTTCTATTGATTGTTATATTCCGCTCGCTTTGTTAATTAGGGCAGCACGGTGCCTCGTTGACAGTCGCTTTCCCCAGTCCTTCTTGCGTCCCCCAATCCCAGTTTCCGGACATTGCAGCAGTGCGAGGGGCATAGGCCGAGGCACCCCTGTGGTAAGCTCTTTATAACCACCACATCCATCGTACAGGCAGATAGTCTGGCGAAACGGTGGAAAGTCCGCCTGCTTTGGCCTGACAAACCAGGATAGGAGAATTAGAATTTGTGGAATTCAATTGATACCGGATGCACGATCACGGTAGCCAACAGTCGCTTGACAGTCGAGGTCAGTGTTGGTATGGGCAATGGCATCCTGGTCTCGATTCTGGCCTGGCTAAAATTCGGAGGCTCTTGCGCCGTTGTTTTATGAAATTGACACTTAAGCTCTCGTTTGCTTTGTTGGAAGCCGTCTGCCCTTCAGATGTTGTGGCATGAGCCATGGTGAACGATGTAGTTCTCATGGACGAGGTTGACCTCTTTCCCTCGCACGTGATGGCTGATCAACCTCAAGGCTCGAACCTCGTTGAACTACTGCATTCTCCGTGATTTCAAGCATCGCTAGCCTATATAACTATGACATGACTAGAAGTAGGAAAGTCCTACCTGAATTTCTAACCCTCTTCCAGGATATTCATAGTCAGAGATTGCTTGGGAAAGCTCGTCGAGATCCTGTTGCGAGCTGACAACTGGTTTGTAGCCGTTTCAAAGCCCCGTAGTTACCAAATGCCACGAAGATGCTAACGATGTCTGAAGCGATGGGGAAGAAATTAAGACTTACAATCTATGGTTTCCCCTCTACACTCTAGTGTATGGATACCGGAAGGAGTCGGCAGCATATTTCCGTCAAAATCAGGCGTAGGAGCAACTAGCTTCCATATCATTGCCAGTATCATTATTTCTGGCTCTCGCTCTGAGACGCAATCTAGGCCCTACCTGGCTTGTTGTAGTATTCGATTTTGTGACGTAAAACTCTCGACAAACTCGCCAGAAAGCTTGCAACTTGAATCTACGCGTACCTGGTACAGCTGCTACTTTAGCTATCCAACACCTCAGATCATGTATGGCGATCAAGGCATATTATGTAGGTGCCAAAGCGTTTCCCCCCCTGAAATATCTTGAACTCCGCTAAACGGGGGCCTTGTCCGGAAACCAGGCTTGTGATATGCAACGGAAAGGCTCTCCATTCTGATATCACCTTGCATTTTTTATATGGAAATGCGTCGCAATTGAACATATAGAGTGTTTCTACACTCTATTTACTCTAAATGGACGATCAAAGTATGGGGTACTTGGCCTTTCTGACGTCAAATACGGCTATCTCGGCTCTCTGAGGAATTTATATCAATGGACTGACTACCGCGAGTTTTCTGTTTTCATTCACTCGGAGAAAGGGATTGTTCACCACTATATTTTGGGAATTGCATCGTATTGAATCCAAGATGTCCTCGAAAGAAGACGCGGCAAAGATCATAAGCGAGATCTCCTCCCAAAACATCGATGAGCTTGTACGGGGCTCTACTTTCACGAATGAGGTAGAGGAAGTAAGTTAGAACCCTATCAATTGGAAATACCAGAATCCAACTGAAGGCCCGACTTTATTAGTCTATTCGAGGCCACATCCATTCAGAGTTGGATGCATGGTTCCTTTTCAGAAAATTAGCGGGAGATTGTGCTCGCGCCAATATCTCCCTGCACGGCTTTGCTATGTGCGCTCAGACCGCCCAGAAGAGCTTCATGTGTCCTATAGATGTTAATCAATGATATATTCCAATACAGGCTCTGGGAGAGATGCGCTGCAGAATCTTTTATCGAGGCGCACTGGCTTGAGAAGTATCTCATCCAACGCGGAGGGCGTTCCAGGCCAACCGCAATTGCCGCTCCAAAGTGTGAGTGGCCAGACAGCCCCGTCGAACCTGTCCGCCCGGTCAAAGAAGCCTTGGAGACACACAAGTCGCTTCTGGAGGACCTTGAGCGGCTGTGCTCACTAGCTGATAACATGCCTTAACAGAAACTATTGAGTCACGCTTCCTTCATAAAAAGACAAAGCATGTGAAAGACATGGCAGATTTACTACAGCAAACTGTACGGGTCTCGAAACAGCCGGGCCATGGAATTTATCATTTAGATCGGGAGTTGAGAAAGCACAAGGGTATTGTGCCTTGGTCGTGTGCAAATGATTCGGACCACGTTGAGGATGTCGTCGCAAAGGTTACCGAAAGCATGGAGCACATGTGAAGGAAACTACACAAGAATGTTGAGATGGCTGAGAGTAAGAAATTGAGGAATCATAATCATAACTCGGCAGTTCGATGTTTGGAGACGCAAGTGTTGCCTTCCCAGATTATAGAACTACCACATCCTCTCCAGTGAATAAAAGTTGTCGAAAAAGCTCAGGCGACTCTGCAGAATTGCGTCGAAATTGGCCTTCGTTTCTATCCAAGCCAAATGGCTTTTCTACTTTTGAAGGAAATAGTTGAATCAACATTAGAAGACGGGGCATGTGTAACATGAAATATTCAGGGACATACAAAGGATCTCCTTGCAATGTTACCTACTTTGCTATGTTAACCTTTTGTTCAAGATTATATGCCATGTATGACATTCAAATAAGATCATCTGCTCTCGTATATGATCCATAAGAGAGCTGTATTACCTAGTGAATAAGAAAAATCACCACCGCATCATGTTGAACACAAACCCCAAGAATGAAAGCCGAGGAGCATTATAAATAAAAGCAAAAGAAGACCAAATGCCATGTTAAATCACCAACGCCGATGTTGAGATCGTGGGTATTCTGTTTGCTTTTGCCGTGCCACCTGTCATGATAAAAAACCAACCGAACCAGCTATGTATGCATGTTGAAACATTCCCCTTTTAATTCCCACGCCCGTTACATGAAAAGTCATCTCAATCGTAATGTATGGACGATCGCTTTTGTAGCGGGACATCGGAGGACATAAGAAATTTATTTAGAGTACTTTTGGCGGAAGTATTTGGCAGCATTCACCATGTTGATGAGAGCAGCCTTCGTCTCCGCCCACTGTCTGGTCTTGAGACCACAGTCGGGATCAATCCAGAGTTGATCTGGTCGGAGATACTGAAGCATCTCCTCAATTCGATCCCTGATTTCTTGCTCACTTGGAACACGGGGAGAGTGAATATCGTAAACACCAGGACCAATGTGGCGAGGATACTTCTCATCAACGAAGACCTTGAGCAACTTGGCATCACTTTTGCTGTTTTCGATACTGAGAACATCAGCATCGAGCGCAGCGATGGCGTGGAAGAAATCCTGGAATTCGGAGTAGCAGAAGTGAGAATGAATTTGGGTGCTATCCTCAACACCGGAGGTGGCGAGGCGGAAGGCCTTGACGGCCCATTTGAGGTAGTCATCGCGTTCCTTGCCGGTTCTGAGTGGAAGACCTTCACGGAGAGCTGGTTCATCGACTTGGATGACGTAGATTCCGGCTGCTTCCAAGTCGACGACCTCGTCACGGAGAGCGAGAGCGAGCTGTTGAGCCTGGATAGACTGGTGGATATCATCACGAGGGAAAGACCAACGTAAGCAAGTAATTGGACCAGTAAGCATTCCTTTCATTGGCTTCTTAGAAATCGAAGCGGCATATTTGGACTCTTTAACGGTCATTGGCGCAGGCCGAGAAATATCGCCAACGATAATTGGAGGACGAACGCATCGAGAACCGTAGCTTTGAACCCAGGCGTGTGTGGTGAAGACATAGCCGGTCAGCCTCTCGCCAAAGTATTGAACCATGTCGTTACGTTCGGGTTCACCGTGGACAAAAACATCCAGGTCCAATTCCTCCTGGATCTTAACCACGTCTTGAATTTCCTTTTCAATGAATTGTTCATATTCTTGTGCAGAGATATCACCCTTGGTAAATTTATTCCTCTGGACACGGATTTCGGAGGTCTGAGGGAAGGAACCAATGGTGGTAGTTGGGAACAATGGGAGACCAAGGTGTTTCTGTTGTTGGCTGATACGCTCAGGGAAGGCAGACTTGCGGTTGTGCATTTCTTCGGTTACAGCACCTTGTCTTTCCTTGACCTTTGGATCATTGGTACGTTTGGATGAAGCACGAGCCTGAATAGACTTGGCATTGGCTTCGAGTTGTTCGCGGACGGCGGCAGGGCCCTCAGTGACAGCCTTGGCAATGACGACGAGTTCGGTGGCCTTCTCAACGGCAAAGCTGAACCAGTCACGGACTTCAGGGTCAAGCTTTTTCTCGCTCTCAAGTGTGTGAGGAGTGTGAAGGAGTGAACTGGAAGAGGCGACGATGACTCGATCCTTGCCTAATTTTTGAATAGCAAGTTCAACAATTTCGATCGCTCTCTTGAAATTGGTTTTCCAGATGTTACGGCCATCAACGACACCAGCGGACAATGTCTGGTTAGGTGCAAGTGCTCCGATAACCGTTTCAAGCTGTTCAGGGTTGCGAACGAGGTCAACGTGGATGGCGTACAGATTTTTGAGATGGGATAGGACATCGATGTTGTGCACAATGTCTCCGAAATAGGTAGCCAAGACAAGACGCGGAGCTTTGTCACCAAGACCACCGAGCTTCTCATAAGCTGGCTTGAAAGCAGCCTTGGCCTTGGCCGCTAGATCAAAGACAAGTACTGGCTCGTCGATCTGGACGGTCTCAGCGCCCGCTTCTTTGAGTTGGATCAAAAGTTGCTCATAGAGAGGCAAAAGCTTTTCTAAGAGAGAGATAGGCTCCACGGACTGGCCACGATCAGCCTTTGCGAGAACAAGGAAAGACACGGGACCAAGAATGACTGGGCGAGTGTTGAGGCCAGCCTCCTTTGCCTCCTTGAACTCTATGACGGGCTTTGGGGTGGAGGAGAGCTTGAATTCCTGGTTGTCCTGGAGGGTTGGCTTGACGTAGTGGTAGTTGGAGTCAAACCATTTCACCATTTCCTATCAAGTCTTAGTATATCAAACATGCAGCTACGGAACAAGTGAACCTACCAAACTAGGAACATCAACAGCAGGCTCGCCATCCTTGGCGGGTCTCTGTAGACCACGTCCCATGGCAAAATATTCATCAAGTTGGTGGAGCCCATACTTGGAATATCTTTCAGGGATGACCTAATTGACGTGCAAAGATTAGCATCCATGGTACATTGCATCGAGACGTGAGAGGGTGACATACTCCGAAGAGCTGAATGTGGTCAAGGACTTGGTCATAGAAAGCAAAGTCATTGCTTGGGAATGAGGTTGACACCAGCATCCTTTTGGATTTTCCAGTGCTCCAATCTCAAGCGCTTGCCCTCATTCAAGAGATCATCACGGGAAATCTTTCCTCCCCAGTATGCCTCAGTGGGCCTTCTTCACGTCACGTAGGCGTCCCATACGAGGGAAACCGAGAATAGAGCTGAGTTCACCGTTAGTAACGTCTCAACGAGAAGATCAAGAAGCCATTAGGATATCCTACGATTGGACCACTTCGAAGATGTGGCATCAGAAACGAGGGTCGAGGGGTAAGGAGAGGATCAAGAGGAGGAAAGCGTGAGCTTCGCAAAAGTGCGAAGACAATTGATTCGCACAATCAATTTGTGGGGGAAGAGAAGAGGTGAGGGAGAGGGAGTGGTGCGGATGAGAGAAGAAGAGGAAGAGGAAGAAGAAGAAGAAGAAGAAGAAGAAGAAGAGGAGGGGAGGGGGAGAAGGGAAGATATTTTCTGGGGTTGCAACGCTGTTTTTTTGGAGGGGCAGTGCGGTATCGTATTGCTGCATTCCGAACAGGGCTGCTGTATTGCTGTATCGGAGCATTTCAACGACAGTACGGATTAGTCATCCAGCTGAAGCGAGGCTGCAGGCTCTGATTGGCCAGGAAGACGGGACGAAAATCACGCAATTATGCAGCATTAGTCAGCGGGCTTGGCGTTTGATATCAATCCAACAAATGCAATTTCTAGTCCAGGACTGTCGCTGCGACTGCTATCATGGAATTGATGCGAACAATTCGATTCAATATGAACTTGTCAAGATAGTGGACTGAGTAGCACAACACTATGTTTTTTATGCGAGGGTGGTTCCCAGCGGAGCCAACATACTCCATTCGGAGACAGGGAGCAACCAACAGGCGTCTATGGTTACGCTTTCCAACATGGTTGGAACATTTTGTTTGCCTTACAGCTGCTCCTTCCAATTCCCAGTGCTTCCTCATTCCGACAGTAAACATGCTTCCACTGCACATAGACTAGCGTTATCGCTGTAGATCGCCCTGTTTAGAGGGCATGTTGCGCACATCATCCGTTGGCTCGAGCAGAGTATCAGTGTCATTGCAAGTATTTCGCACAGCCCTTGGTCGGTAACATGGGTTTTCTTCCTTGCCCTCGATTTCAGCGCGACGTCGACACAAATGCAAAAGAACAGCGTCGTCGCAGTGGCTCCACTTTGGACGTCCCCTTCGACGCTTCCGAGGACTCAAACTTGGACGAACGGGCCCTCCAGATCATATTCGGCCCTTCTAACATCACAATGACACCGCCGGCGACAGCACCTCCAGTATCCGGCGCGTTAACGGACGTGAAAAATAGAAAGGAGAGCAAGATCAGCCTGTCCCGCTTATCCCATAGACTTCGTGAAAAGTTTTCGCGCGAATCTCGACTGACAAAAAGACCTTTGTCGAGTATCTCCACGATTGAAGTAGAAAATGGTGAAGAAGTTGGGAGCTCCGGCGACGTAGTAAGTGCCTCGACAAGTATCCTCGCAAATATAGCCGCTAGTGACGGCGGCTATGATAGCGATGCCCGTAATATCCTAACACCGCAAATTGTTGCGCAGCTAGCAGCTGGGCCACACGGTACCAGCTCAAATCGGCCTCACCGTATACTTGACCCGGTTGAAGATGAATGGGAAGCATCTCAAGCGTCGCATCAACTGGGTTACGATGGCACCGCCCAAGGATCCTCTGACCTGAGATTGTCAGTTTCTTCCTTCGAAGATGCAGCCACACCAAGATACTCTGAGCAGATTTTTCCACCTCTGGGCGATACTATCGAGCGCGACATAGGGAGCGGCGAGCCGGACGTACATAGTCGTGAGGCTGAAATCCCAGAGTTCTCAACCCCAACTCGAACATCGAACTTTGCTGGCGAAGATAACGATCACGCTTCGCTCAAGGTTGTAGACAGAACTACCATTCTAGCCTGGCCGTTTGAAACCCTAAAGGAGAACGGTAAGGGTTGATCGCTCCAGTTCCCACCAAAGCGAAGTCTCCGCTAATATGATATAACGTGGTAGAGTCGCCATGCAGTGGTAAACTATCAACGAGCATGAGGGGAGCTTTACCAAACGGTCAACACACCAAAAGAAGCATTAGTTTTTTGAACGGTGAGCCTCAGAATATTTATGCATCATTGAGCAATCAAGAGGATCCTCTGGTGGAAGGCGTCAAAGGGAGGCCAGAATATAAGAATCCTCGTCTAGGCATGGATTTCAACCTGACAGAACTTGAAGAGTCCGGGAGCAAGTACTCAACTGACAATGGCGATTCGTGTGAAGGGGGCCAAATTCCAAAAGCTTCCTCATCCCCTGAACTACACATCCCTCGGGTTCGTCCGCGTCAGTCTACTATTCAATTAGAGCAAGAAGAGCTTCCAAACCAAACGAAAACTTCCGCAAATCTCATTCAAAGTCGGTTCATCGAGAATCTCGAAGACGTTTTCGTCGATAACTGTAATGACACTCGCGACACGAACAACGACCCGCTTAGGGTCGAAACGAGGAAAACCAGCCAAGGTTGGTTGTCGGGGGGAAAAAGGGTCGGATATAACTATGATTTTGTGCTCGGCCATAACTCTCCCCCACAGATCCAGGGCGACTCCACGAATTCATATGGTCCGCCAGACATAAAAGCGAGTGAGGCTCGAGAAGAAGACCTCAAAAAAGAAACTAAATTGGATACAGCTTCGATCGGGTTTCAGGAACCTGCAGATACGGGCTTGCAACGCTCAGACAGGAAAAGTCATGGGCTATTTCCACGCTTTAGCGATTTCATGAAAAGCAGGAGGAGGCATTTATCAAGCAGTGAATCCGCTCTGACGGACGCGATGTTATGTGAGGCTCGGGGTTCCAACCTTCATATGCCGCCCGATGAGAATGACAGTACGACTTGTAATGGTAAAAATAGGCAATTCTTGGGGAAATGGAAAAGGCGGTCCATTTCTGATAACACCGGCCGCCAGTCCTCAATGCGCAAATCACGCCACGATAAAAAACCGGTCCATCCAGAAGAAAACGGATCGAGGATGGTGACACACCAAACCGATACTGGCACCTCTGAACACTCGCAGGCGGATTGTGAGCTTATAGCACCGCAACCGGGTGCCGGGCTCGGTTTCTGCGGAGTGTCGCCCGCTGATTTACTCCGCGCAATGGAGCAGCGGATATTGGCAAATGATGATCTCATAGTCAACCCCAGTGAGCCAGATTCTGCTGAAGCCTGGTCAAAGATCTACGAGAGTTGTGTAGAAAATCCTGCAAATGAGGCGCTGTCAATCGGCTCAAGGGACTCCAACCATGCGGATTACGCTCGAACGGTGCATGACGGTATGGTGAGCTCGGCTAGCTCAGGCGCGTTGACCCGTGCACAATATGGTTGGACAATTCATGGAGCCCTAGAAGAGAGTACGAGTTCGGACAGTACGGATTTGCGTGAATCCACGGTCCAATTTAAAGAAGCACAGCTTGCCGCCGAGATAAAGACCCGTGAGTGCCTTCTTAAGTTGGTAAACGATACGCTGGGACGGTGATATTTCAGCTGGGAAATGATACGCGTTTGGGGTGATGGGTTTGAATCTCGTAGGGAGGTTTTAAACAATGTGGATGTGAAGGACTCGACAAAGACTCAAAACGGATAGAGAGTGAGGAGGGATGGAACGATAAGTATCATTCGGGTCACTGCTGTATATAGATACACTTTGTATCAGCCAAAACCGGGAAAGGACGCATCGTTTTCTGCATGATAGGTGGTAGAGGATGGAATTATTAGGTCATTTCTTTTGCTTTTTAGTGCTCCTCTCGCTCATAGCACTGAGAACACTGGCGCTGCGTTTATGGGAGACACCGTTGGGATTTTTTGTCGCAGCTCCAGCATCCTCCATATCCGTGGTTTTTGAGTCATCGAGTTGTTGCGCGCCGTTTGGATTGTCGCTCTCTACGGCGTTTGTAACTTGCGCCTGCTCCGTATTTGATGGTTCGTCCTCGACATGCTGTATTCCGTCTTTCTCCCGTTCCTTCCGCTCCCTCTCCTCTTTAGCAGCCTCCAATATTCGGATTTCTGCTTCAACTTTCTCGGCGAACTTCCTCGCATCGAGCAGCACATTCACGGACTGTATCAGCTTCTCGAATTCCTTACACACCTTTTCCGTGGGCATAAATAAGCGTGGCGGAATGTCTAGTTCCGTAAGCGCCGCCGCAATCTTCTGTGATTGAATGTTTGATTTTGCCTGTGTGAGCTTTTGGGCTTTATCGTTGCGGAACTGGACCCCAGAGGTGAGGCGATCGTGGTGGGATACACCATATTTGGCTTCTTCAGCCGGGGTGAGAATTCGGATGCTGGGTTGTTGGGCTGCCGCCGCTGCGCCGCCTTTCTTGGTTGATTGTGCTGAGGTTGCCGCTGGGGTCTCTGGACGGCTCTCGCGGGCGCTCTGGGTGCCACTTTGGGCAGCCGCTTGGCCTACTGGACTGGGTGCACCTTGCTCTGGGCCGAGAAGCGAGCGGCGCTTCTTGTTCTTATCTGCCTGTAGGAGAGATTGTAGCAGTTGTGCCAAGCCGTGACTGGACTGGTACATTGTGGTGTTGCTAGTGCTCATAGGAGCATCCAAACGAGCATAAAGCTCCTTGCGTTCTTCGATGAAGCTCTGCTCCTGTGCCACGATCCTTTTCAACTCTTCGAGTAACAATGCTTCCTCTTGAACTTCTTCTTTACTTCGATCGAATTGTACAATGGCCAGCTCCTTGCGTTGCCTTTCCCGCTCCGGGTTAAATTTCATCATCGTTTCGTAAAGGTTGAATTCTGACTGTGACATTTCAGAAAGAGGGTGCTCGATCGCCAGCATCTTCCCAGCAACAGTATAATATCGTGATTTCATCTCCTCCATTGTTCGTGGTTTAGACGCGGCTACTAACGCTGTTGAATTCGATTCGGATTCAGGAATTTTGGGTTGATAGTCATAACGGTCTGCTATGAGGACCCATCTCAAATCGAATTCCTCGACGAGGTCCATCAGATAATCTGTTTCTTCTCGTCTCCAAAAATCACTTTGAAGGTACTTGTCATATTCTTCGTCCGTATATCTGCGCGGTATCTGGGGCTTGACATTATACTTGGCAAAAGAGTACTCCTCTGCTTTCGTGTCCGCCTGCAGCGTCTCCTTGTTGGCACCGTTGATATCTGTATCTGGAGGTTCTCCGGTCGGTGTTAGGTTCTTAGGAGGAGCCTTTCTCTGCCAGTGGCGTAAAACAAGGTTGTCAGATCTAGCGGCGTTGGTGAAAGCGGCGATTTCCCTAAGTTGCGAAATGAAATAAGCCCTATTCGCACTATCTTCCATATTCAGCGATTCTGAGAGTGTAGAACATACCACGGCCTCACTTTAAGCTTGCTTGCCCATTTTCTCCGGCCTTTGTATTTATTTTCAGTCAAGGCGATTGGAGGAGCTTTGTCTCCAAGCAGCGCATATAGCTCTCGATTGTAACCTTCTATACAACGGTCAGGCACTCGGGGAGATTTGTGTATTCCGGCTCAGATACTTACCGGGCCGTTTAGGTTCTGCGATTTTCTGCTTTTTGGCTGGTCTGGGCTGGCTCTCTTGGGGAAGATCCAGCATATCGCGAATGTCTGCGGCCGCCATGGTTGCGGTGCAAGTCGGGGACGAATCACCAAACACGCGTCAGCTATAGTGTCAGAAGAAGTATGCTTTGAAAGCTGAGGTAGCTGATGAAGGAGATCCTGGTTGATTTCCGGCGTTGATGGCGATGGGAAGAGCATTTGAACGCCCGAGCGAGGGAGAGGCGTGATTGGCCGGGTTGCGGCTAGGCTGGTCCCGTCCTCCAAACAAGACACAATTCCCCTTAAAACCACTTTTCCTGACATCGTCTCTCGCAAGCAACGCCGGGGATACAATTCGAGAAGCAGTTGCTGTTTTCTTACTGAGTTCTGGGGTAGGCGCTTTGATATTTGGCTCAATGGCGTTGTCACGGTCGCAGCCATCGTGGCTGTCGACGCTCTTCACTCTCACAGCTATCCTCATGCTGGCCACACCTTCGCACGCACTCTACTTCTACATATTTGGCCGCGAACCCAAATGCTTTTATGAGGAGCTACCGCGTGGAACATTAGTCGTTGGTGAGTAGATACTGATTGTCTCTTCCTCCGGCTCCTCCGCTCCAACAGCGCTACCAGCATCTTGCATGCCAGGGCTAACAGTTGTCACCCAGGCACATACAAAGCTGAATCCTATGACGACAAGTCCACTACCTACATCTCCAATCCCAATCTTGGTATCACAATCACAGTCGAAGAGACATTTGACAATGACCACCGTGTCGTATCCCAACGGGGCACCGACCAGGGCCGATTTACCTTCTCCGCCGCGGACTCTGGCCAGCACAGAATTTGCTACACTCCTGAACATGGATCAAACGGTGGATGGTTCTCTACTAGTGGGGCAGTGAAGCTCACGGTTGATATCACAACTGGCGAATCAAGCAAGTTGGAAACCGAAGATAAAGGCAAGATGGAGGATTTGGCGGCGCGTGTCAAGACACTCAATGCCCGAATGCAGGATATTCGCCGTGAACAAGTTTTCCAGAGAGTAGGTTGATTACTTTTCCTCACGATGATATATTTAACTGCCAAAAGGCATTTGCTGTGCAATGATATCCGAGTCCTTTTTTCTAATCTCCCTTTCCTCGAATAGGAACGAGAAGCCTTGTTTCGTGATCAATCCGAAGCGACCAACTCCCGCGTCGTGCGCTGGGCACTTATTCAACTCGCCGTACTATCCGTAACTTGCGTCTGGCAACTGTCCCATCTTCGATCATTCTTCATTAAACAAAAGCTTACATGACCTAGACGATGGATACGACATAATGGTTCATTTCTCTCTGGCTGTTTTCTTATACTGTTTAATCAGAGATGGTGTTTGCTGCTAGCATAGGGGAACAGAAGGGTAGAAATATATATTTTTTTCATTTCCAATCCGTGCTTAATTTCATTGTCTCCTTAATCTTGTATCTTAAGGATTCCATTTCGGAGGCATAGGGGTGTCTGTGAATGAAGCTTTATGCCCCAAGCTTTTCATAGAGTCTGCCCCTTCTTTCCCGAACCAAGTGTAAAAGAGTGATTTCAAAAATGATAGCAAGTAATTTCCTACGTCAGATTTATAGTAAAAAAAAAAGCGTTCATTCAAATTAAAAAAGGACTAAACTCCCTCAGCTATCCTTAGAAAGGGTATCAAGCAAGTAAGCAAGCAACTCCCCAGTCTGCCCAGAGCTCTCTTCAATATGCCTCCCGCCATTCTTCCCAAGCCGCCGTCATTGTATTTAAAGGGGGGCCCTGTTTGACGCCAACAATACTGGTTAGTGTCTGTGAATGGATCCTAGTACGTGAGCAAGATAGACCAACCTATATTCAAACCACCCTTAGCTCCGTGTCACAGACCCGCTTCCCACCAACTCAAAAAAGGCTTCATAACAACCCGCAGAGAAAGAAAACACGACAACTTTTCTTCAAGCAAACTTGTTAAAGTCTGCACGTCCTTCCTGGCGGATTCGGCCTAGGCGATATGGTGAGGCAGGCCGCTGCCGTTCCAGAGAAGGAGGGCTCTCTGAGATTGATGGAACAGGGCTTCCTTCTGCCCTTTGCTTCCCCTTAAGGCTGGCTGGCGTTCTAGGTCTTGAGGAAGCTTGGCTCATGGGAGAGCTTGGACGAAAATTCTCAAAAAAGTTGGAAAGTCTCCTTGGTTGTGGTTCTGTGCTTGGACCTCCATGCGAAACCCAGTTTCCTTGGATGTCTGTTTCAATGGGAAACGGGCTTGTTATTGACTGTGGCAGCTCGGAGGATAGTTCAGAAAGCAGACCTTCAATGTGAGCTTGATCACGCTCAGACTGGCTATTGTTATAAATCAGTTCGTCTGTTTCGTCGGGAGTCTCATCTAATTCGCCGGTACTGAGGAAGCAGCCATAATCTCTCGAACCGATTGCCGATCGACGACGATTATTCTTCTCCATGATCAATTCTGCCGTCAGTTCCAACTGAAAAGGACTGGGTTTTCGAGGAATTTTGCCATCTCCAGTCAAGGTCTGGACTTTCGGATAAGTTAGGTTGATACCTTCAGACGTCCGTCTTCGCAATACTATTGCTAAGTGCTGTTCATCGTTATGAATATTCGAAGCTAAATCAGCAGATCGACGGGCTGATGGATCAAAGAAATTTCGAAATAGGCGCTTTATCTTTCGACAGAGCTTGTCGCAAGAGCTTTGGGTTAGGGGTTCCGATAGGGCTTTGTTTGCCTGCTCCATTCTCTGAAAAGCTTCTTCAATTCTGGTTTGAAGCGCTGCCGCTGATTTGGCTGATGTTGCATGATTGAGGGCCGCTGCAGAAGAGCTCGATTGCGATGGTGGAGGTAAAGAATCTGGTTGTGAAACTGGTTGTGAGGTTTGCGGCGAAACCAGCGGTGAGATTGGCTGCAAGGTTGGCTGTGAGACAACACGCTTTCTCAAGGGTGACATCTTTGTTCGTTCTAAAGGCAGATTGCAGACAAAGGGGACCAAGGAGGCTTGATATAAGAACAGAAACTTGCTGAAAAAACAAGCAGCTAGTTTTGAGGAAGAAAAATGTTCATCAGAATGAAGCAAATGAGGGATCAAAAGGCAGTATAAACAAGAGGACTGGATAGTGAAACGAAGGAGGCAGAGACGGATGAGGGAGAGTGAGAAAGGCTGACAATCGCGTGAAATGAGAGCACAAGAGTTACAAGACAAAATAGACGCGAAAAAGGCAAGCAGCTCAGAGCTCAAGTAGCAACCAAAACAAGCCCCTCCACCAAGAGGAGAAAGACATCCTTCCCTCACGTGCCCGGGTATTGCCCTAATTTGTTTCTAGCCTATACTCCCTGGATATAGGACCTGCAGGCTCCATATCACAGTTCAATTGAACCTACAGTATATTAAACTGGATCATTCGAAAGGCAAAAGTCTCGGATACGCAGAGATATCGAAGCACCCGATTATGGCCAGGCTTTATACATTGCAACTTTTAGGGCCAAAGACTAAGGAGTCAGGACAATCATGTTACGACTGATTATAACATCAGAGACCCGTTGAAGACCGATCTTATAAAGTCTAGCTTTTGATATGCTAGGCTCCAAAGGCTAGAACTGAAAAATGAAGAGATACCATCCAAGCATCTCCAAAAGCCCTGTGGCAGCAAAGAAGCAAAGGAGCATAGCAGCACTATGAGCCCAGGCGAACTTAAAGCATCAGACCGAAACACCTCATTCTCCGGTGTAGAGGAAATCCATGAGCCAGCCCGCCACTTCCATGGGGAAGTTCCACATAACAGTCTACCTGGTATCAAAATGAAAATGAAATGCATATACATTTCGGCAAGCGGCCACCTCTAATAGCAGGAAGATAATCGCAGTTAGTTCCAGAGGCCTCTCTGTTTTCCGATCAGGCGTCTAGTCAGTTCATCAGAATGAGCTGTTGGTTGGGATGAGGTTGAACGGGAGCGGGATAAACAATAGTCCGATCACCTGGCCAGATCCATTGAGCGAAGTTGTAATTATCCCAGAAGTGTCTAATTTCATAGAAGCAATGTAAGCATTGATAGCTAACTGATGATTCTCCCAGCAATAAAAAAACGGAGTTCATCGTCAACAATGCTCCTTGACAGAACAGATAAAGTAGGGAGAGGGTCCTGGCCGAGGTAACCAGACGTTGAAGTGGAGGACTCAGCGCCTTCAGGTGGCTCGGGAGTCGGTACTACCATCGTTCCCTAAGTGGGTTTCGCGCCTGCAGCAATCGCCGATAGACATCGTCGGAAGAAATTGACTAGAATCCCATAAATCATTGCATTGCTCTCGATAGGTGAATCCATCCTACAATAATCCAAATTCTCCAAGATAGGGAATCCCTGTATTAGCCATGCCATACTCCCTTACCGGACGGAACGTCCTCATCACTGGTGGCTCGCGGTGAGGGCCTACCCCGCCTCCTAACGTGGGACACTGTCGCTGATACGAAGACAATTGCGTTGTTTGAATAGGGGACTGGGAGCTGCGGTAGCTGAGCGGTTTGCTGCAGAAGGCTCCAATGTGGCTATCAACTACGTCTCCAGCGAGGATAGAGCTACCGCGCTTGCAACGCAGCTCAAGCAGGATCACAATATCAAAGCAATAACCTTGCAGGGAGTATGTTGGCACCTATGATGTACGATGTCTATGCGATGCTTTCAATAGCTAACCGGCTGGATTGCAGGATGTCAGCTCTCGCGTCAACTGCGAGAACTTGGTGAAGCAGACGATTGAGCAGCTAGGCGGATTGGACATCATAATTTCAAACGCTGTATGGTCTCCAAGCCACCTTCCTATGAATCTGGCTAACAATTGGAAACAAGGGCTGGACCAGAGTTTCGAATTTCGCCGACCTCGATGCATTGACCGATGATGAGTGGGATAGGGTTTGCAATGCCCCAAAGCATCGATTATTATTGAATTATCGCTCATCACTATTTCCTAGTGCTGGACAACAAACGTGAAAGCAAACTTGCATCTCTTCAGGGCCGCGAAGCCGACTTTGGATGCCAACCCAGATGGCGGCGCTTTCATCATAACTTCGTCCACAGCAGTAGGTTTTCGGGGTATTCGGTTACATTCAAAGCATGCTCGTTAATCACCCCCCGAATAGGGTATTGTCCCAGGCGGTAGCAGTATGGCGTATTCTGTGAGCAAGGCAGCCGGTGAGTACCGTAATCGTGAAAGGCTTCTCTCTCGAAATGCTCACACTGTTCAAGGCTTGCATTTGATGAAGGCCCTAGCAACCACGCAAGGTTCTAAAATCCGTGTCAACGCTGTGCTCCCTGGCCTTATTCTTACCGAATGGGTAAGGCATACCGAACCATTTACTTTTAGCATGTAATAACCCAATATCAGGGGCAACGATTTCCGAAAGAGGTCATTCAAGGATATGAACAGAAAGTGCCATTGAAGCATGTCGTAAGTGAAATAACCACACAGGCACTATGCCGTTTTGCTCACTGAAACGGTAGCCTGGCATCGACGACTGCGCGGACATGTTCATTTCGATCTCGAAAAACAACTCCATGACCGGCCAACAGATCCAAGTTGGTAAGTAACCGCGGCCCGGAAGCCATATAGCAATATACCCGTACTAAAAGACGCCGTAGACTCTGGATACGCGATTTAATGATCATAAGAAAGCACAAATCTTGATCAAAGGGGTTTGGTGCTTGACTCGAGTAACAGAGATGTGCTCATTCCTTTATCGTGTATGGGACACCGAAACTGCATCTTTTCCCATCACTTTAGCGGCGCATAGAAACAAGAAATTGGCTGAATATGTGAATTTTCTCCCTGTGCAAGAGGCCCCATTACTTTGGCTTTAAGGGCACCAGCATAGGCCCCCCTACATTTGTCGCCTTCCACTTTTATTTGATTGATCCGAACCAATTTGCTGTCACTTGTGAGAACATATAATGGTCGATCCTTGTTCGTCATCGACGAATCACCTGGTATCGCAAAAGGTATCCCAGGTTCCAAGGATGACAAAGGTGCGAGAATAGAATCTGGTTCAATATTCTCCAAGTCCGTGAGGATGATCCGTTTTTGTAAAGGAGGGTCAACGGACTGTGAAGTCTCTGAGATTGTAGCATAGTTCCACAAAGACCCTAAGACTTTGTGATGTCGATATATTCGATCCCACGGCCATGACGACCAGTCGATATGGCGGTCCTCGGGGCGGATTTTGGCAGCATGTCTCAGAGCGCTCTCAGGTACAACTACAGATTGCACAAGCGGTGCTAATGGCGGGACAAACAGACGATTCCGAATCCCATTGACAAGCATCTCCGCGCCTTTCTCGGCGGCAACCTTTATGAGGCTCTGCACGTCGTACGATCCTGGCCTAGGGACGTCGAACCGGGTTTGATCAAGTATCATGCCATGATCAAACCTAGATTCATGGAGCGTCTGTAATGTAATTCCGGTACTTTTCTCCCCGGCTAAGAGGGTATGGTGAATTGGGGCCGGGCCTCGAAAGCTGTAGCATTGTCAGAGCATGCAATGATCCAACAGCCAGGAAAAAAGAAGCTTACTCCGGCAACAAGGACGGATGGATGTTAAGCCCACCGTATTTAGCGGCTCCCAGGATTCGAGGCGGGATAAAAAGGCCAAACGAAACTGCCACAATCAGGTTACACGGGGTCTGATGTGGTTGGGGTGGCTATTCAACGCTGGAGTTAGGCGTGTCAAAGGGTAAAAGCCGGTGTTTCTGGCCATCTTCTTACTTTCCATCCAGTAAATGTATCTATTTCATGTACCGGAAGACCAAGATTCTCCGCGGCAGCTTTGATTGGAACTAGAGAAGCAGATGATCAATTCAACGCCGCAAAGATCTCAGCATGCAGAGAAACCTCTAACCTTCACGTATTTTCTTCAAGCCACGGCCAAACCGCTTTCCAGGTCTACACACAACATCTATGGAGGCAATTGTCTCTGGAGACTTGCTATATTCGGCCTGGAGTGCATTTAATGAAGCAATGCTGATCTCGTCTGATCCACAGAAAAGGATCCGGAGCGGCTCGCTTGATTTGGTCGAAGACCACCGGGATTGTATCCGCCCACAAAAAAAGTGCCGTTGACTCGAATTGAAGAAACGGGAGCTCCGAGTGAGAAGCATCCTGCCGCACCAGCAATAGCCACCAGTCCTTTCGCCGCCGTCTATCAACGGAGAGCTTCAGGATACTGTCCCGAAACGCCCAAGCAAAAGTGGTGTTTGGCCTGTTTGACAGTGATGCAAACAGTAACTAGTTACCACAAACCAACATACATCTGGATCCAACGATGATGCGGAGTCGACAAGAAGGAAGATGTTGATATCGCAATAACAAGGCAACATGCCATGCCTCCAAATGATTTCCCTCTAGTTACCCCTGCTCATCCCGCCTTTCTCGCTATCTATAACCCATCGCTAGGCGCCACAGATGAGACCCTCCATGACCAGATCGTCTACTGCTATTCGAAATCAAGTCGCTCAAGGGTGTCCAGGAGGGCACGGGCGGCCAGTGATAATGGAGACGACGAAAAAATCCAGGAAGATGAAAACGAGAGACTGCGCCAGATAGGCCTGGCTCAGGGCATGGTGAGCTTTGCCAAGTGGGTAGTAACATCTTCCAGTCGTAGCTGTCAGTCAAGGCGCGAATAGCTAAGTCTAGCACTAGAACGTTTTCGAATGGAGAGTCAGTCGACACCGTGGAGACTGAGAAGTCACGCATTATTTTGCATGAGCTCGAGCCAAACTGGTGGATACTTGCGGTAAGCTATTCGACCTGTTCGCAAGTCACAACCTAACCCAGTTTATAGCGCATCGACTTGACGCGTTTGGCTTCCGAGCCTTCGATTCCGACGGAACAACCCTCGAATGTGGAATCGACGTCCGCTCCGCCGGTTGAATATTCGTCACGAGAAGTGTCTCCGCCGTACCTACTTCGACAGCAACTTCAAAAGGCACATTCTATATTTTTGCTACATCACGCATCATCGCTCGACTCACTCTACAACAGTCTCCCGAGAGAGGGATTTTATAAGATACTAGATCGATTTTGGACAAAATTTGTCTTAAATTGGGATGTCCTCCTTCACGGAAATCCCGCCGTAGAAATCCTCAACGGTATAAAACTTGCGGGATGCGGGGAACTTGGTATAGGAGTTGGAGAAGAGGAATGGGGAAGTGGGGAGCGAGAAGTATTAGAGGGTTTTGTATCCAGGACCGACGGCTTGGTTGATATGATACTTTCGCGTTTTGGCGACCCTGAACCCAACGAGGGCGAGAAAGAGGTCAAAAAGGAGGCAGGCAATGCCTTGAGCGAAAGCCTTGGGTTGGGTGGTGGTACGCATCCTGCGCCCTCAGATGGCGTTGTATTCTTGGGCACTGGAAAAATCGCTGCGCCTTCGCTTTTAAGCGTATCACAGTGGATGGAATGGATATATCGGTACGGCGAGAGCGCCTATGGCGTAAAAGATGACCCGAGGTCCGCCAGGCGTCGCAACAGAAGAAGGGAGTTTTCGTCGGTCTCTGTGACTCGAGGGTCTCGTCCTAGACCGAGCTCCCATTCGCGGTCAAAATCGGCTTCAATGGACCTGAGCCCGAATCGACGTTTCTCGCCAGGCATCCCACCGCCCCTTGTTGTCAGTCCTGGCCCTCCGCAAGCGAGAGATGGACCATGGCCACTTGGCTCTGAAGGCGCGAAACCACCCGAGGCAAGGCCGAACTCGCCGGCTTTGAGCACAGAAACGTTCATGAAAATGATCACCCTTGGTTATGGTTCTGCCTGGGGCGGTTCCTCAAGAGGTTTGTTGGCACATCCTCGGGTGAACATATTACGGTTCGGAATGGGCGATAGTTCGAATAGGGATACTTCACCCCTGGACACTAGTTCTACGGAACGGGGTGGTCTACTTGCTCAGCTGGATGGATCTCAGGGAAAGTTCATCATCGGTTTGAGAGTTAACCTTGAGAATGAAGACTCAGATTGCGATAATAACGAAGCGCCTGGCGAATCTCGGGAAGATCAAGCAGCAGAAGTAAAAAGCAAATCGATCAAGATAACATCGCGAACCCTGAATGTCAATGTCATCGAGGGTGGATCGATTGCTCCAAAAACGCTACGAGTTGTAGTCTACCTGGTAAAAGATCCGGGCTTCTTTCAGCTATGATTTACTAACCAATTAATTAGTTTCAGCCGTTTATGTTTACATTTCTTTTCGACCCCGAATCGCCAACCCTATCCTCTCCCACTTTCTACCGTAGTCTGCACCATCAACTGGGCCCTTTGCAGAAACCCTTACTCTCTTCCACCTGCCCTTCGAAAGCAGCCCAACGACTTTCTCACCACAGTTTATATCACGGTTTCAAAGGAAATGAAGTTTCGCAACAGCATATATACGATGTCGTCTCGGACCCATCAAATCACACCGTCCGCGCTTCCCTGCCGAACATTCCTGAACCTGGGTCTTTGGCTAACGAACCGGATTCGTGGAGCCGAGTCGAGGCTCTAAACGTCCATACGCAGATTTTAAACACGTTTATTGAAACCAGATTTCGCACTTCAGAGATTGAGCGCACCTGCAAAACTAGTCGCGGTTGGTGGGTGCTCTGGATGAGACTGAACGACAGCTGCGCGCGCCCCAACTCTCGCGACACTCAAGGCTCAAGCGAGGAAGCGACTGCATCAACACCACCGAAAGAAGCCTTTCTCATCTGCAGGACCAGTGACTCCTCCGCCTCGGGCCAGGCCGCAAATAAAGGATTATTTCGAAACATCGCCGGTAGCTTGGGAGATACGCAGAAGAGTTGGATTGCGCCGGGGAAGCTCGCAGAAGGGATCGGGCTCGATGCCAAAAGGTATATAGAGACGCTATTAAGTTTGAACCGATAGTTGAGAACGGCCTGAAGAGGCCACTTTTGAGCTCTATCTATATCTTCGTAGCCAATTGCGACGTGGGCAGTGAAAACAGTTTTTAATATCAAAAGGGGACAATTGCTGAACCGGCACTGTTTCCAACAATCACCAGGTACAATGTGAGCATCCCAAGAGATGAGTGTGTCTACTGCTTTGTCTTGATGGATATTTTTCATCCAACCTTTACCACTTCACGCCGGAATTGCACCAGCGGAGAATCTTCGTGTCACTACCTTACATTCACCACATTAACCGATAAATCACTCTACGCTTCGAAGTCGTCCGGATTGACGGCGTGTAAATCAGTTAAATCACCAAATTTGGTCAAAAGCCAGCCAGATATCGAAGGACGAAGGAGGACAGTTGTGGCTTGCATGAATAACGATGTACCCCGCCCCTTCTTGAGCCCGGGCTTTTTTGTATGGGCGTGAGATGCGAGCCGATTGCTGGAATGTATGTGCTCTGTAGTTTTGGACCAGGATTCCGTAATCTTTCCGTGCTGTTCGAGGGACGGAACGGGAATGGAAGAAAAAGAGGTACATGTGCTTGCCATATTGTCCATGGGAGTCGTATTTTGAACTCAGACTGTCACATTTTCAACTGTAGTAGAACAACGAACCGGTCTTGATAACGAGGGGACATTAAGGTTGTTCGCGCAAGCCATGATCTACAGTGGCTTTCGACCCGATGAACAAGAGTGAAAGAGGGCAGGACCATCACGACTCACCATCTCAGCCTGTCTGCAGAAAAAAAGAAAAAGACAAAGTGGACGAAGGAGAGATTCCAAACAAAAGCAAGACAATCTGCGACTTCAACCATCGGTTATTGGCAGGACTTTGCACGAGGAGCAACCGCCCACGGAGAGAGGAGCGCTGGTTGATAAAACCACGCAACTGTTCTCGTGCTGTATCTCCTACAGCGCGGGAGATCGAGGGGAGACCACATCAGCCATCGTCACGCCCTGCTAGTTATACCGGATCGAGCACTCCCAGCCGATTCTCTGCGTTCATCAGTTACCCAGCGCTTCGTGTCTGCGGGGAACAGCGGCCATTCTTTCGATCTTGTCGAATCCCACTTCGCCAGGAGAGCGACTCGCAGCGGTATTATCATTCATGCAAAGATGACATGGATGAAACTGCAACAAAAATGGCTCGATCGCTTCTTTTTTTCTCCCATGCTGAGCGACGAATTGGAAACGACGCTCGTATTTCGGTCTCTCCTGATAGGCTGGCGGGATGCAGACCAAGGTGCCAACAGAGACGAGAAGAGAAGAAGATTGGTGACATGGCAGCGGGTTTGACAAGGGGAGAATGCCCTCTTCTCGCTCGGATTCCAATTGTCAGGTCTTGACCGTTTGGTGTTGACGTGGGCTGAGGATGCTTGCTTGGGGGAAAAAACGGCTCATTCTTTTAATGCTGATCATATAAAATAAAGAAAAGGGATTGCTGTGTCTGAATCTATGCAGATTGACAAACAAACCTCGCTGCGCACTGGTCAGGTCGCTGGTGATCAGCGCTGGGCAAAAGTGCAGGCAAAAGACTCGTGGCTCTGGGATTAAGGCTGACGGCCATCGCGTTCAATCCCTGCCACACGAATCCGAGCTTTTCATGTTACCAGGTACCCGTGATCTTTGGCTGTCGTGCCAGGGGGCCGTGTTGCGAATTGCACTGTGCAGACTCTCAGACTCGACTGGGAGCATTGCGATGACGCTTTTGTCCCAGAATGCAAATGCTGTGGCATGGCGACTGATCCCGCTCCCCCGTCATCTTTCGAGTCGCAAGGTATCACAGAGACGTCGACACATTCCGGTGCGAGTCTGCCCACATCATGGCCGTGTTGACTATTGCAACGGCCCTCTCCAAACGGTCGCAACCTGCTTTCAACCCTGCCACTTGCTAGCGAAATCATGGACTCTAGCATCCAAGAGCGTGCTGACCTGCCTTGAACAGTGCAAATCCTCTCTTTTAGGTTCCTGTGCCGACGTCAGGGTGGATGCAGGAACAGGGAGAGCGTTCAAAGACGGGAATCTGGACCGATCCGCAGCGGAGCAAGCAAAAGCGAATTTGGATTGGGGGAGCCGGCACCTGGCATCACAAAAAGAAGGAAACGGTAGCGAATCAACCGTCCAGAGTCTGGCGGCGAGGAGACAGACTGGCTCTTCTCCATCGATCCCGGCCACTGTGAGTGGGCAAATTTCTCTTGCTAGACGAATATCAATGCGACCCCCCAAAAGGCCAAAATAATTAGAATTTTCGTGATTCTGGGCCTTCCCACCAAGCTAACCATGGGTTCTCGAAGCTACTATTAATATTGACCGTTTTGAGGCACGAGAAGGCAAAAGATGCGTTTGACAGGCACTGGTGAGAGAGGAACGGTTTGCTTCCATTGTTCGCATGCAGTGCAGCTCGTCGGAGAGCAACAGTGGCTCTCCTTTGCTCAAAGACGGACGAGAATAGCAGCATCAAGCGCAGGCAGAAGTGTTTGGCAATCTGTGAGGATGAGTCGGGACCAGACCCAGCGGAAGTCGCTGAATAATGAATTTCTTTTCCCGGGACTGCTGAGATGGATTTGTGGATTCTTTTTCTTTTCATTTTTCCATTTTTTCTTTGGCCCTTGTTAACTTTTCGTCATCCTCTGGCTCTGGTGGCCCCTGTGCTGAGGCGGCGGCGGCGACGGCATTTACTGATGCACACGGGAAACGAAGACAAAAAGAACCAGCCTCCAGATATCCCGAACGCTCGGGCGTAGCTAGCTTCGTGTGCCTAACTAGATTGCTTGAGACATTAAAATAGAAGAATTGGTTATCATTCCCGCCATTCCCCAGATCCTACTTCGTCTTCCTCCATCACCGCCTCTTCTCGTCCACCAACGGGTCCCCTGCAGGCAACGAACAGCGTCAGGAATCAACGGCCGTCTCTCCTTGGCCAGCTGCAGCACGGCGAAAGCTTGCTTGTTGAGTTGTAAGTGGCTGCTCCTCTTTTCCGCCCAATCGCCAGCATCACCGTCGTTTCCTCGCACTGTTGCAATTTCACCCTTGTTGCCCGACATCTTGGGCTTGGCTGGAGTGTGTATTCCGAGCAACCTGGAGCCAACGGGAGAGCCGGAGACTGAGAGACTGAGAGAGGGAGAGTGATCGAGGCGGTAACCAAGGCAGCCGGAAAGTCGAACTGTCGGGTTGTTCTTGCACCACCCCAGACCGGCCGTCCATCGTTCTCGGTTGCAGTCCTTTTAGACAGCTGCCCGTCCTCTCTCTGGCTCACATCCACGGCGATTTCTCTTCTGTCAATGCCAAAGCCACAGAGGAGAATAGCGCATGCTAACAGATCTACGTCTCTACGACCGTTCAGGCACCCGAACACGCAGCTCTGCTTGCTGCCCCCTGGTCTCGTTCCTCCATACCAATCGACTCTCTACTGACACCTCCAATCCCGATGGAACCCGTGCACGTGTGGTGATGACTTGACCAGAGCGCAATTGACGAGACACACTGAGAGAGCGCGTGTGCCGTGCAGAGACGACACAAGGGACGGAGAGCAAGACGAACAAGGGCCACACTACCTGACACTTGACGTCTCCACGCTCTGTCGCAGAGATCCAACGCCCTCTTCACGCGTGCCAGCCCCCTTGTTTGGGCTTCCTGAGCCTTCGTTACATTTGGCGCCACGTATTAACCGCTTAGCATCCTTGACGGGGCTCTAAGCGCTGCACTGACATCACCACCCGCACATCCCTCCTGATAAACATCCATCCGTGCCCCGTGCGCGTCCATTTCCCAATCGACTCTGCATCATAAGCACAGAATCAAGGACCCCGATCTCCTCCTTCGTACGACTTCTCTACGCCGATTCAGATATGATCCTCTTGTCGCATCTATCCAGAACAAACAACTGCGAAGGCGAAGAGTCGAAAATGGAACCTTTACAGTCAAACTACGCGTCGAACTCTGTCCCTGAATCACCTCTGTCCACCGTGTCGTCTTATCCCGCTTCGCCAGTTGCATCACTCTTCTCCGCGAAACATAACAGATTCCCTAGTTCTGTATCATCGCTCGCTTCGTCTCCAGGGATTGGAGTCCCTGCAGATCAATGCCCGCCAACCATACTAGAGGGTGTCCAGGAGGAAGAACCCTTGGATCCCGATTATAGTATTGTCGATGAAGATAACTACTTTCGTAGGTTTGACACGAGACGAAAGCTCGATCAGTTCCTGGCGCTAACTCTTTTGACATTAGCCGATTTCAATGATATTCACGCCGACGACCAGGTCGATGGAAGCGGACGCGCCTCCTTTGAACAGAACTATGATCTATCCGATGAACTTGCGGGCGTAACGCGTTCACCAAAGAAACGGAGACCCGATAGCAACTCTTTGCGGGGTATTTCGCGTATCAGCAGTCGGATCTCCTCGATTTCTTCGAGATGGAAACAAAGACAGGTCTCTGACACTGCAGCTGCATTGGAGAAATATGATGAATCACTAAGATCACGAGCCAACTCAGCCACCTCTGCTCTCGCAACTCCCTTGGCCAGTTCTTTCTCTGCAAGGCAAAGCCAAATATCCAACTCGCCCGCAAGGACGATCCTTGAGGAAAGTCTGCAAGAGGCGGGCATTGCACCTCTCGACATTGAGAAGGCCAATCGAGAAGCCACGATTGAGCGTGAACCGCAAGCAACCACTCCTCTGCTCCCACCGGTGATGATCGACCTGCCCAACGCTGAAAACGAGGAATTGATTCATTCGCCGCTGCAATCGCCTACCGTGGCTGAAACCACGAATTCTATAATTGCTGATTCGCCCATAGAAATACAGCGCGCGAATGGGCTATTGTCGCCTCCCTTGTCTACGCAGCCATCTTTAACGTCCATCAGTCGGCAAATTGCATCCTCGCGACCATATGGAGCAGAAATATCTCCTATCACCATGCTCAACACGGAAGATGAATGGTCTTGCAAACTGGGCCATGCCAATTTCACGATTCACCCGAAACCGTATATTCCTGAATTCTGTACACTTGACGCGTTCGAGGAACACCGATCGAATTGGAATCTTGCCCGCTGCAATTACGCGAAACACCTTGTACGGACTGGTGAACACTATGGCGTCACATCCAACATCTATCGCTTTACCGAGGAGAAATGGGACTTTACTGATAGCCAATGGAGAGTCAATCACAACATCGTCCTCGCCAATCTGACAGATCACAACGGCAATCCGCTTTCCCTGAGCAAGTCAAATGCCCATCCCGGAGAATCGGTCAAGATGCCTCCCTTTCTCGATAAGTCGAAATTCCCTGATCTTGGCGACGAAGACATTGTTGGGCCTATGTCGGTTGCACCTGCACAGCCACAGCTATCGACTCAAAGCAAGTCGCACCGCAAGAGATCGTTCTTCAAATTCTTACAAGATATATTTTCTTCTCGTGACTCAACATAAGAGACCGGAGCTATTTATTTCGAGCTACCCTACCTTTCAACACGCCTTGTACAAGATAACGTTTATTGTAATTTACGAACCCCTTCTATTCTGACCTGGAGTCATGTCTTCTCCTGCCCTATAATATCTCTCATGACCTACGTTCCTTGACGATACCCAATGATGAAATGACGCTCCTTTTTTATATTTTGTTCATCATGGAATTTTGATCTTCATGACACTCCTTTAATACACTCCTTTTCTTTTATACCCTAGGCTTCTAGGCATTATGATTTATTTTACGAAGCCAGCCTTGTCTTGTTTTTCCTGTTTTTCTTCTTCTTTTTCTCCCTTGTGGTTCCTCGCGTATAGATATTCGGCGTGGCTTTTCCCGAATTATTGCGTCCCCAATTTGAACGGTCAGAACAACAAGGGAGGCCATCTGCAGCGCAGCTTTAAGGCCTGTGGCCTCTACTTTTCGTCCACCATAGTTTGATCCAGTTTATTCGACTTTCAACGCAGCTTTTCATAGCAAATCCGGCGGACGGCTTATATGCGTCCAACCCCATGCATACGCGTATGAAATATGCACTGGGACCACCTTCGTGCTGATTTGCTTTCTCTGATTTCCCCTCTTATCTTACATTGTATTGTCTCCGTGCTATGATTTATAACCATGCAGGCGGGGTATCGTGTTTGTGGGGAGATGCATTGAATGGAAAAAAAAAAGCAAGGCTACTTGAAAAAGTTATTGTGTATCACAGCATTTGCGGTATGGTTATATTTATGTACTCGATATAGAGAGAATTGGCGACCATAGACTACGGAATTGATATATGTGCATTTTTCAAGTCTTTTATCATCTCCCAGAGAGCCAAGGAAAAGGTTCAGTGGGAGTGTGCTCTTTGTTGACGTGCCCTTTTAGTATAGAAGTAATGCATGCACTCCTCCTGAATATATATCCTGATTGACCGAATTTAAAGCCAGTTTCCGCCATAATGTCTAGACCGTTCTTTGTCCCTTGCGCGCGCAGACCAAAAAGGGCACGGGGATTATAACCGCGCGGCATGCACTTACTACATCAACAGATTCAGAAACAGACCAGACGCGCTGCTGCCCCAAGGCGTAACAAAGGGATCTTCAAAAAAAACCTTTTGGAAATAAACACACGGTGTTCCGAGCAACCGCCGCGGGGGGAGGGTGGAGGGCGGAAGAGGGGATCGAAAAACCATAGCCCGTTGGTTTCGTCTTGGCGTGTCACACCTTTTCTGTCTATGTTCATCTAATGAATATCGTACTAATCAGGCCAGATTGAGTAAATCTGTGCCACCAAGTGTCCACTTGAATAAAAGATTCATCATCATTTCGAAAAGCCTTTACTCCGCCATCCGTACTCCGTATGCTCCTCATGAAACCGTGGGATTCATATCCCAACAATGCTAATATCTTTGCAAACCGAGTTCTTTCGGCCGCCCCCCCCTACCTATATCCAATGCCGCGCCCATATCTCTCTAGCGGTGGGATCCCCTTCGAATTGGAAATCCACATGGATAATATCTTTGAAGCCTTCGGAGATTTGCGGTTCTTGGAACCGCCGAGTGAAATCTCCAAACGCAATGCCGGGAAGAAGAGTGCGGTTTTCGGGGTTTAGAGACTCCTAATGGAGACAAGAGGAGGGTAAGTTTAAGCTTCCTTCTGTAATGCGATTTGATCGGAAGAAGGATAAACGAAACACAAGCATCTGTGACAATTTTTGGTGGGAAGCACGAGTGCGACATACAATTTTTGGGTTCGCAGCGCGAACCGCATTGTTATGTTTGCATATACTTTGCGGAGTTGACAACCTTATGCAGCGAATCGGCACGTTGTACTTTTTAGCCAATTCTATCCAATGGGCCCGTGTTTCAGGGTCTGCATTGGTGTTGTCTGTTTAAAACGTAAAGAGCCGCTGGTCAACCACACTTGAATATGGGATTTAAGGGTCTCGATGGCATACCGACGGCAACGGATTTTCCGCCTTTTAAATACTCGTCGGCAACTTTCAAACATTTGGAACGCTGATGCAGGCCACTTCGTCAGTGAAGCTAGCAAATAGAGTGATATCTACCTTGGGAAGGCATAAGATTAAACGATGCTTACAGTTTTGAGGACATCTTGGTTCACTCGCTCGTATTCCAACGGTTGAAGATATCTCCAATAGAATGTTGATTCTCCCGCACCCGGACTCGCGCAGAATATTACGAGCTCCTGGCCATCGGATTTGACAAATGGGAGGGACGCTTAGAATGTAGTCAGCAACAGTAACACAAATCCCCCAAGCGCACACGGGATAGAGGCAATGATTCAATAAGCGAAAGCGCAACCATTTGGGCACTTACTCGTTGTGTTATCTCGGATATAGGTTTTCGGATCAAAGACTTCAACTGGTTGAGGAGGCTCTCCCCGAAAGAACTCCTCTGGTGTTTTAAATTGCAAGCCGATGTTCGACGCGAAATTGCTATCGACAGCTTAGCAAGCCGTAGCACATTACCCACGCGTCTTGAATTTCATACCGGTCGACGCAGGAATGGTCACCACTGCGTCCTGCTGCATCACCAACAAATATGGAGCCTTCCAAGTCGAGTGCATCTTCAAAGTCCAAATCATAATCATCCAGGAACATCTTCCACATGCCTGTTTGGGGTTTTCGAAAATTGTCATACTCCGTTGCAGCATATACGCTCAGCGGCACACCCAGCGCATTCATCACCGATGTAACCTTCGCTTTGAAGATAGACAAACTTTTGGGCTCACCAAGGGTATTCTTGCCGGCCTTCTTCAAGGCAACCTTTTTTTGATTCGTTACCATGACGATTTGATACCTAGATATGTAGTTTTCCTGTCAGTCGTGACAGGTTCGCTTTTCAAAGACAGTAAAATGGCAGACGGACCCCTCTGAGTGTAATTCCTTTATCCTGCCCGGGACCCGGTGATCCCACCATTTCCAATCGTGTTCATCCCTTGGGAATCTGTTTCCTGACTTGGTTGTAATCACAGTTTGGTCCTTTCGACAAAGATTTCTGCGTTAGAGCCGAAGGAGCCATCCAAATCGGGGCTAGCACTGACGTACAAGGTCGAAAGCTGCAATGCGCTGCAGTCTGGCCGGAGTGGTAGTCTTTGCGTCCGGTTGCTTTGAAGGTCCCTTCGAGTATGTCGCAACCAGGCAACTATTATCAACGACACGCCATGAGATGCGCTGGATTGTTGAAGAGACAGGTTTCTGTGAACGAGGTGTGAAGAAGTTGGTGACGGCCTCACCTGTCGAAAGTTAATCGTAAGGCACATTAACTTTATGATAGTACTCACTTGTGGTCGTGGACGTGATCTTCCTCCTCGTAGCTGGTGGCGGAGATATCTCTTTCTGCCCAAGGATGGAGGTGAATGTTGGTCGAGTGCGCTTTTCGCGGGCCATTCTGACAAACCCTCGACCGGCAAGCTGGTTTCTCGCGAGCGACCATGCGCATGTACGATACGGGGTTAAGAGGAGCCTCATATGCTCTGACGGTGCAGTGGTGAATCCTAGACGCATTTCTTTGGGAGACGCGACGTGCCCCAGTAGCAAAGCGCCAGGTCACGTGCACCTGCGGTTCTATTAAGCATCGAGATGTGACCGAGTTTGCACCGGCCGAGTTGTTTGAATCCCAGAGATATTTCAAGAAGAGGTAACGGCCAAAGATATAGCTGACGCAGAATTGCGGGTTGGCGTGTTGGCAGCATGATCGTGGTTATATCAACTCCCTCCAACCGCGTGCATAAGAGAGATCTTATGCCGGAGACAAAACCATCCCTATGGGGCGTTACGGGAGTGAGTAGAAATCTACGAGATCCAACCATGTTAAGGATGGAGACGACGGTCATGAGTGCATTTCTCAAGTCGATTGATGGCATATGTATATACGCAACTTTGAGTAGCGGCAGCAGTCCAAAAGATCCGCTAATGGCAATAATCATATATTTCGGGCTTCTAGCTTGACTCCCTTTTAATTAAAGGTTTCTGCGAACAGGAGCGCCTTTCCCTTCCCATTGTTTGATGGCTATTTTGGCCAGAGACCGATATAATTCCACCAATTCGATCTATAGACTTGGCTAGAAATCACAAGCCAGGTTCTCGAGGCTCATTTGACCCTTGTATCTAGGGAAAGCCTGTCTGCGGGTTCGAGTTTCACAGCAGATTTGAGATGCTCTTTTAGTCCCAACAGTCGTTGCGATGCCGCTTTCATCAAGTCAGGATTGCCGCTATCTTGGACGGTAATCGACGCTTGGAGTATGTATCCGCCGCTTGGGTCTAGAGGAACCATTGCCTCAAGGGGCGGGAGGTGGGAAAAGGGCGTCCGGCTGGGTTGCTCGTGGGCCGGGAAATTCAGGACCCGGTGAAGCTGTATTACTGTGCCGTCGAGGATGAATATGTCACCCTCTAAAACGTATTCCGACACATAGCTATAGTAATCGGTTAGCTGTGCACGCGCAAAATCAGAAATAGAATAGGAGGAAAGTTAGGGGCATACTCATAACCCCAGGCATCCATCACAGGGGTGAGCTCGCCATAAGGGATCTTAGAAGTACTCATCAACCTCGATGTCACCGCAGAGCCCGTGCCGGCATCTGGGATATCCCGAAACTCTATCCTCCATGATTGATTCGAGGCATCATATGTGTTTTGGCGCTGGCGCTCACTAGCTGTTCCACCCATCGCAACATCATCATTACTGGTAGCGGGCGCAGCAAAATCAGTAGCATTCACGGTGCCCACGGCTTTGACAAAGTAAAGGCCACCATTAAGCAGTTTGTTTAGTCTCTGGACTTCAGGCGCCTGGACATCTTGGCTACCTCCAGGCCGGGGTCTTAAAAAGCCCGGTTTTCTGTAGGGCTTGAATATCAGGTGTCGTTCATGGATGCGGTTTGGTTGCATGGCCGTAACGCCAGCAAGCTGCTGCAAAAGGTCACCATGTTGAGCAGCGGGGACTGAAGCAAAGAGAGAGTGTTCATGCATGTGATCCACCTGTAGTCTGCGAGGGTGCTGTCGGTGGTACGATTCTCCTCTGGGAGGTCCCCGGAGAGAGGGAAGCAAGAAACAGGAAAAGCGCGCGGTTCCCCGGAAGACAGGAGGTCCGAACAGAGCAGAATAACGGGGTCCAGTGTGAGCCCTACGAGATCGCAGCCAATTGGAGAGTGGCCAGGCAGAGATAAGGGTGCAGCCAGCGCTCTGGCATCTGACAAGCCGGACGGACAAATGCCTGCGGGGAAATTGAGTTCCGGAGCTCCAAGCACTGGAGCGTTGATCTCCTCGGAGTATGGACACCAATGAGACGGCGATATTCACATGCGGCGACTGCTCAAGGAGACGTGCACAACACTCCAGTCCTCCACGGGCGGGTGATCGAAGAGTCGAGGAGAAGGGATATCTTAACTTCTTGCAAATGAATTCACCGACGCGCTTTGTATCCCCAAAAGGGAACACAGCCGCCCAAAAAGGCGCCGTCGGAAGAACGTTCCTCCAGCTTACAAAGAAGCTTATTTAAGCTCACGTCCAGGTCGGCAACGGGCCAATGAGAGCCCGCCAATTGATGACATAACGCGGCGAAAGCTGGGTGGAAAGATAAGGTTATCGCCGCAAAGAGCAGGTTTAGGCTAATCTTCCGCCGAGCAACGGGCTCCCGGCTTATTCTCGTGCTCGGAGCAGATCGAAATGGCACCACAACCGCTTATCTGGTGGCAAGATCTCCGTCTTTTTTGCGTGCGGACGCTTTTTCCACTTGTCATTGCGGTTGCTAATCTGATCCACCCCGTGGCTTATCAAGCTGGAAGCTGCGGATTATTTCTACAAACCGACTTCCCACACTCGCACAATCCCAAAAACCCCGAGAAAAGAGCACCATCCAGGCATCACCAACGGACACGACGATCTCCCCAACCACAATTTCAACGTTGAGAAGACGGCTTCCCTGCCATTCACCACAGCGACAACTATTTCCCTTGCAACAATCTCCTCAATCCCACAACCCTCACATTCTGCACCAAAGGCCGTTTCTAACAATGCGTGTGACTGGTGTTCTACGGCAAGCCGCGGCTGCCAGGACTCCTTTGATCAGATTCGTTGGCAAGCGGGCAACTCCAGGTATGCATTCCCTCGATTCTCAATGCCCACTGGCCTGATTCAACAAATACTGACGTGATCTCGACAGAGAGCACCGACAATGCTCCTCGAGTTCACCCCGCCTCTCCCACCAATGAACTGCCAGACTCCTTCATGAAATACCGCTCGCGAGCCCAGCAGCACGGCCCGTTGAACAGCCCCTCTCGATCTCCTTCATACGGCTTCATTGGCGGTTTCTCAGGAGCGTCATTGGGCCCAGTCCAGCCCAAGCAAGGCGAATACTTTGACCGAAACGATCTCCCCGCACGCTTCCGGAGGGTGCCATGGACTCAAGCAGAAATTGAGGCTGTTGAGACCGGTGGAGCCAGTTTGTTCGCGTAAAGAAAAAGCGAAACAAAGCCCAGTAGCACTCGCTGCGCGATGCCTGTGGGACAAATCTTATTCAAAGATTTGAAGCGTATTTTCGAATCATCGAGTTTTGACAACATCTTGGTCTCAACACTTCCTCTATTCCCTCCCAAACTCGGCCCAGCCGCCTCTTTTGCGGTTGGAGGGCGACTCTCAACTCGTTTCCTCCTTGTGACATGAGCATTAGCCTTTGCGCTCATCTCACTCCTTCATCGCCTCCTCTCCCTTTCTCCCTCCTTCGCTCAGTTTGGGTTACAAATGGGACACGAATTCTAACCTTTTTTAACGGGAATTATATATCTTGAACGGCGCTGGTGGTTGCGATCTTGTGTTCTATTATCTCAGCGGATCAAAGCGATTGCTGTAACTTGTATGTACTATGAAATTTCTTTTTCTAGCACATGGCTTTTTGCAGTGTTTATGGCCATTGCATGTACTGGAGCTGGCCTTGTTATATCAGGTACTGTAGCTACTTGTGCATTTTGCAAATCAATTAAAGCCATTTTACCACATAAGTATATCTGTAGGTCTTACAATATGTTATGGTCTTGATTGTTCAAGTGGTGCATTCCAATTCCACACGGTAAAGCAAAACATTGCCCAGCAATTTGAGAACTGTAACTAACTAACTACACCTAACACCTTCCCCTTCAAAGGGATTCCTTCACATCTACATCCGAGTCCTTATTTCGAGGTCTTTCAATGCATAATGTCTCCCAGTCCGATAAGCATCCGAGAAGTCGATGACATAGGCGCGCTCAAAGCAACATACCTAATTTCATCGCCGGAGGCTTCGGCTGGTACACCACCAGTCACTATCGTCGTATGTTCTCGTCCCTTTTCATGAGGTTTCTAAATGGGCATCGACCCCATACGCAATGTCTATCGCAATGTTCTTGCATGTTTGAAATTGCATAGTCTGTTACACTGCGCATATGCCTGTTGTCAACTCCATCACATCACTTATCTTTCCTTTATCAGGTGTTGATACCCAAACCGTATCTTTCTAGCTACGCGCTGTCCAAATAGCATCTCTGCCTATTTGACATTCTGTTATGCACGATAACAAGATGCTAACTTCTCCAAGGAGCCTTCCTTACAACGGACGTCCACACCCTATTTGACCGCTGTGTTAAATGCTTTTCTCCCCGTGGGATATCCGCATAGTGTCAGTGGAGATTATCTTGAGTATGTCTCCCAGATTGGATGGGATCCAATTTCGTTTTATAGAAGGATCACTCCGCTATCCCATCAATATATGGAATTATATGCTTTTGCTCAAGAAAGGGTGCTGATCGGACCTATTTCGTCGAAGATACCAAATCTATGTATGTTGAACCCGTGGCATAGAAAGCCACGTTCTACCACCGACTTTAGCTAATAATGGCCTACCCCTTTATCCAGGACTCGCTTCAAGCGTTTTCAAGCTCAATCGCGGGACTACTGTCTTCCAGAGCCGTTTTGCAAGGTACTCCAGTTCAAATTCCCAGTCACCTCCAGAGGAGGATCTCAAGACCCCTTTAAGATAACTAGTGAATGAGGATACTTAACTTCGTGTAGGAGTCGGGGTTGGTGATGCGACTGCCTCTCCAACGGCTGCTCTGCTCCTGAATGTCCTACAAGAGAGCATGGGCCGAATAGCAACTATTCTTTTTGCCCATCGACTAGGTACGTCTCTTGAGCCAGAATGCAAAATGTATAGGCTTGCGGCGGACATTTTCAATGACTCAGCCATTGTCATGGACTGTTTATCACCCATGTTTCCGAAACCGATGAGGGTTGGGGTTCTGAGTCTCTCAAGCGTGTTGAGAGCGATGTGCGGTGTGGCTGCTGGAAGCTCAAAGGCTAGCTTGAGTGCGCATTTTGCGAGATGGGGTAATTTAGCAGAGCTAAATGCGGTATGTTTGTCAGTCCTCTTACAACATGAAGACAAATTCTCACTTCGAAACTCCCTGGTGCTTACTCTGTCTTGTGTTGAAAACGTATAGAAAGATTCAAGCCAAGAGACCGTGATATCGTTGATGGGAATGCTAGTAAGACCGATTTTAGGCTTTCTCGAGTCAATCAGTGGGCTGATTCTTACTCAACAGGTTGGAAGCCTCGTTGTATCGCGCGTCACTTCTACCTTAGCTACTTGGGCAGCGTTGATACTGCTACTAACAATACATATCACCACCAATTACTTCGCTGTCCGGGCAGTCAATATGACAACCCTGAATCGACAGCGAGCGAATATAGTATTTTCAACTATTTTTGACGAAAACCGGACCTTAACTCCCAGCCAAGCAGCACATCAGGAACGGATCTTCGAACGAGATGGAGTTTTGCGCTGGAAAGCGTCACCAGCGAGCCTGGGCTCGTGCCGTATAGGAGTGTCATTCCAGTACATGGTCCAGCTCATAGCCTCATCCGAGAGCTGCACCAGCGATGGACAATCAATTGTTGCAGCGCTTTTGCATCTTTTTGAGCGGGAAGAATACATCCTCTGGTTCAATCCGACTAGGAAACGTGGAGCAATCGTCTTAAAAACCAATGCTACTGCGGCTTCGCAACTAAAAGCTTGGAGCCATGCTCTCATAGTTGCACAGATTTTGAGACTGGGTGAATGGAAGAGCAAAACCGGGATCGACCAGTTTATTCTTCAGCCCGCCACCAGGGCTCACGGCTTAGTGTTGCTAATCCTACGGGAGACGTTGACAGAACACTCGGAGAATTTTGACGCTCGACTCGAGCGTCTTAGGAATGCGGGATGGGATGTTGATATACCATCGCTGCAGACGAAGCCAGGGAGACGGTTTGATATTCGCAAGCAAGAGTAGCAGTACTAGCCCCATTACGAACAAGGAGAGGGTCAAACGATGCGCCGGGCACAATCACCTCAATCCTTATAGATTCCGCCCATCCCAGTCCTCTCTGGAACCCCATCCTGTATACAAGTCGGCATCACAAATTAAGCATTGCTTAAACTATATTATCTTGGTGCCATGCACAGAGTCCAAAGAAAATAAGGCACGTCTTTCTGGACGGCTTATGAAACATTTCAGAACATAGTAATCCAAACCATACCACAACGGGGCTGCGCTTGGGGGTTCTATGGGAGTAACACATATAGAGATTGTTAACGAAACTCGCGTCAATAAGTCTCTCACTTGATAGGCATATCGGTTTGTGTTCAAGTATAGAGAGAGAGAGAGAGAGAGAGAGAGCGATTGATAGCAGTAGTATGGCTAACTATATAGCCTGCAAAGGTTCTATTAGGGAACGGTAGAAGTATTCGACGGGTATAAGGCAGCTTCTGCACTCAGCCGGAAAAAGAGTATGCCGGTCGTTCTCCTATAACGACTCGACCTTTTCAAGAAACCGAAATGATATCCTCAACAAACTATGCCTAGAACTGCCTTCCACGACCCCAATCCACACTTCATTCGATATCGCCCGGGTATCTGACCAGCACATCAATTCAGCATCTTGATCGTTGAAGTCACAAGGGGCCAATTCGGCCATTTTCACGTGACAAATCAGCCGCGAGCAGGTTCAACCGCGGATAAAGTGACATTTGTCTCACTTGTCACATTCACCCATTTCTCAAGGATATGGCTGTTTTGTCAAGGACAAGGGCAATCGAATATGTCTGGAGATCTTTCGGGGCGTTCTCTGCTCTGGCAAGGTGGTATTTGATCGTTCCCTGTAGGTCTGTGCTCGGAATCCTCAATTTTATCCCTCGATCTCCGTTCTCGTTCCTCTTTGAAAGCAGTTGGTGACCTTCCTCAGTGTATATTTTCCCAGTGGAGTTAACATGAGCCGATCGAAACGGGAGAGGTCATTCCCCTCTCTAGCCCCCTCTTCTTCGCTCCGTCGACGTTATTCTTCTGCCTGTTACCTTGACAGGGTTGCTAGGTGGAGATAGTCACAATGTCACTTTGGAAACCTGAAAATACGAATCAAAGAAACGCAACATTTAAGCGCCCTTTCGGGTTAGGAAAATGGGAAAACTAAAAAAGAGTATCACGACGATTTGAGTCCGTCAATTGTGCAAACGGTGGGCCCCGTTTCCTGTGCCTGCTCCGCTCAAGAACGGCTGCAACAGATTACAACCCTTGAGATTCATCTCTCAGGCCAGGTCTGGCTGTGACAGGGTATCGCAATATATATGCAGAATGCCGTCTCGTGAATAACCCAGCGAAGTTCCGCGAGTTTCGACACCTAATAAATCTCTCACGAGATATGTGCGTGGGATAATGAGCCCAACAAAGGTCGAGGCCAATTGCGTCCTCCCTGTTGAAGAGCGGTGGTGCCTCAATAATAGACAAAGAAATATAACAGGTTCAGAGGACTGTTTGTTCTAACAGGGGAACGGGAGAAAGAGTATGCATTCCCGGCTTGGCCATGAAGTTGGAGGTTTGTTGGAGACAAAGAAGCACCAGAAATGATTGCATTTCCTGGTTTCCAACGTTATCGGCTTCCCGGCATCATAGACTGCCAACTCCATCGTGCGAGGTGTTTCAGCGATTCCTGGTTTCTGCGGATAGCCATTCTTATGAAGAGCAGACACAGTGTCGAAGCTTCCAGGTTCCATCCAGTTTTTCGATTCTCTTGTTATTATTGGCATTCAGCTCTGACGACGGTTTTTAACGACCCGAGTTACCAACCTAGTCGAATTTTGGCACATGCTGAAAAGCATTGGTCCCCGTTGCAAGAAAAGGCAAAGAGAAGGATGTCTACCTTCGAGAACCCAGTCCCATTTCCTTCCAGTGTGCCAGGGGAGCTAGAGCTAACCCTTTTCAAGTATCCCTGGCCTTCGATGATTGTTCTGTGGGGCTACACAGAATGGATCCTTGCTGGCATGCAAAGAGGAGACCCAAAATCACAAAAGCCAGAATTGCAGCACCACCAAATTCTCTTGACAGTCCGGAGTAAACCCAGGCTGTTGACATATCAATTAATCCTGACACGTTTTACACCCCAGTTTAACATTCCTTCTTTGGCATTAAGGCCTCCTCTCCCCTGCTGACTAGCCTAGGAGAATTTGTCTTCTCCATCCAATAATAACAAACCGCACAAGGAGTTCTATTCTTATTCTAAAATGCCGTCTTCGATGGGCTGGCTTTCGTTATCCTTGCAATTTCAAGAGAAGCAGTTCAATCCTGAGAAAGTCAAGAGCCTCGGTTAGTATGGATGAAGCTGGGCGATCTCAATGCCGCCAGGAGATCCCGTCGTTCCGGCTTGATTTTGGTGATTTGATACCCCGAGATGATTCTTTCAAAACGATACTGAGATATATACGAACTGAGCTGATACCGTGCGGGAGACAAACCTTCGTATACTCCGCCCGGCCCCAAGTGGATTTCCATACAAAGTAATAAAAATGATGACTTTGTTTGTACGGAATAATGAAGCGGGAAGGTCGGAAGGGAAGCGAAGGTTCCACTAATAATCACAATAATATGGCAAACTGCAGCCGTCAAGACGCATCGCTGCATGAAATAAATCACGTTGTTGTTCGTGGATTCTCTTCACCGTGGGTCCAATTCCCTCTGGGTTGCGATATTTTCGTCCGTCCCACCACCAAAAGGCCTTTTCACTTTCGATAAGCAGTGAATGCTCAATTGATTCCCACAGTTGCGGCAATTGACGGCTTTTTCAACGGATTCCGTGAAGACCTTTGACTGAGGAAAGCAATCCACAGGGAGTCCCCATTTCGACTGGTTATCCGCTGCTAGAGAAGGAAAGGAGAGAAGTGGCTGCAGAATGCCAGTCCGCATCAAACAACCAACCACCCCTTTGGCAAGCCTCTCAGGGGCCAGCATAACCAAGACCAGGGAAAAATAATCGAGCAATATTGTGGGTCTTGCCAGCACCAATTAGGTCAGAGTAGCAGGTATTGAGAAGAAAACATCCATGCAGCATCCGTGGTGGCTCGATTCGAGAAGATACGTAGGGAGAAGAGCACGATGCAGGAAGGCCAATTGCGTCACCAGCTTGAAGATTGCGAAGAGGCCCTCGAGTCAAACATCTTTAGTTTAGTCATTACCAATTTGCCATTAGAGATTAGAGTGAAATGCCGCACAGGGAGGCTTACCATGTCAAGAGACATGGACAGGCGATCCCCAGATGGAAGAGTACTTGGCTTAGCCAGGGACCCCAAAGGCTGGGATTGCGCATATCAACGACAACATTGATTATTGATATGTTTTGATTTCCGCGGGACCTTGGCCGAAGTCTGTTATTCTTCTCAAGCCTGAAAGCTCGACTGACTCGCGCATATCAATCAAAGCAAGCTCAAAATGTTTTGGACGTGCCACCTACCCCAGAATTCCCCCGGGGGGAATGGTATTCTCTGTCGAAGTATCCCGTTATCAAAAGAGGCGAATTGCAGGTAAATTAGGTTGAGTTGGGGCGGGATCAGGTTTTGGCAAGTCGTCAACGTCCGCAAATGTATGTCCCTGACCATCCCATGGTCAAGTCTGACCACCCCAAGAGCCTTTTCCAACAAGGTTAGGGTGCTTGATCATCCGTTTGGACACGGATCCTCCGCCGACCCTCCGTTGGAGTATCTGCGGCCCTCTTATCTCTCCTCTGGTACGAGTCAAGTGACTCCGAAGTTTTTCCCTAGAAAACTTCGGTCCAAATTCTCCAATGATGTTGAGGCGAGCACTGTAAAGAAAAGGCAAGGCACGGAGATTCCTTCAACGGACGCGGACGCGGACTGGGTCTGGACTGGATCCAGGGAAAAGGCTTTGGAAGGACATATTCGAAGATGGAACAGAAAAGATAAACACTTCTTGGAAAATGAGCCAATGATGTCGGAACATTCTTTCTAACAGTTTTTTTCCAATGTGGGTTTTGATTCAGCCTTAGGAAAATTGTAGGTATGGACTGCGTACCAGGGCCTGGATCGGCGGCCTTGGTGCTCTGTCTCTGCTTCAAAGGGCAGGCTATTCTCGGGAAAGGACAGCAGCAAGTTGCTGTCGACGAACGACGTCTCAGCACTGGTGGCGATATTGCGGGACTCTTCGGCTGGGAAGAAGTCGAGTTTTATTCCAGCAAAAATCGCCAGCAAAAAGAAATTATGAGTGGGGGTCCTGATCTGGAAGGCTTCTAGAAGGAAGCGTGGGAGGGCCGTGGAATGTTACGCGGCCAAGCGTGTAATCTACCTCGAGTTCGTATTACGGAAACACACTGACTTGATTTCGCTCTTTATTACGGTACAGTGACATGCAGGTACTTCTGGAGTCTCTGAACCAGCCATTTTGTGCAGTGAAAGAAAGGCCGTTTAAGCTCAGAGTTCAATCGACGACTGGATGTTCAGCTGTCCTGCAGCGCTGGGAAACAAGCATGTCCTCTTGGGCCTTGGACTCTTCAAACAAAGAAAATCTCCGGCGCTTGGCGAACTTTCACGGCTGTCCATGATATCATTAAGCGCAAAGGCGGTGGAGGCTGCTTTCAAATTAGAAATTGGAAAGAAAGAGAGCTTGCCGAAGACGATGACTCGACAGATGTCGTTGAAAGGGCGTGTGTTTGCGCACGAGTTGCAAGTGTCGGCAGAGTGTGGTGGACCTCCATAAACCAACCACACAGGAACGAGTCACGGCAAATCAGTGGAGTGGGCTCAAAAGTTGAAGTTGCCGAGTCTGGCGCTGTTGGCGATGCAGCTTCACCCGCAAATCCAAAGCCATGTGTGCTTTCGTGACTCGTTTTCTGAGAATGCGTGCTCGGAGAACGTGCTTTGGAAGCCCGAATTCTGATGTGTCCCAACGTGGTTTGCGTAGGCATCTGAATGGCGTATTCAATGGGCTCTGTTCCAAGAAACATGGACCATGGCCCACGACGATCATAACATTGCTAATAACAAATTGCTTTTGCATTATGTTGGAGGTGATCCTTTTACCTCGGTTTGCATTTCCGCCCTATCGGGTGAGAGCTCGACTGCGAGGCCAGAGATGGGGATGTCTGGAGTTTTGGAGCTTCAAGAGTCAAGATGCGCAAGAAGAATTCTTCTTGACCATCAAGCATACGTTAGCTCACTTTTCTTTTTCTTTTTGCCCTCCGCCGGGTGTGCATGCAAAATATTGGGTCAATACGAGCTGCGGCTTTGTGTCACACCTGGGCGTTTTCTGGAATGAATTTGTTTGGACGACGATCGGTTTTCTGAACCCGAGCTCTTTGTTGCATGGTTATTCTTGAGAGGATTCATTACTGATGAGAAAAAGGGCAAAAAGGCGTCAACTCGCTAGCGGGACGAGGAGAGAGAGGCTCAAGCCCAAGGGCCTGAACGTATATCGCTCAACGGCCGAAATTGGAAAGCTATCACGCTGCTAGCCTCGAGGATCTCTCGGGCCCCAAAAACGGCGAGCTTGTTTGCTCCCCGAACAGCATTCAAGGGTCAGCCAGGAAGATGCAGATGCATGCGCGCTAACTAACAACTACGAGAGAGCTCTCGTCAGCAGGCCCTCTTGTGATCAGCAGGTTTCACGGTTCAATTGCGGGGAAAGCAAGCCTCAAAACGGCAAACGGAAAGCTGTCTTGAGCCCAAGAATTTCCTTCCTATCATCAGTGATAAGTCATTCTCGACAGGGCGCCGTTTGGCAATGTGGTCACAGATTCCCCTACTCCACCACTGGATTAGAGCTCTCTCCATCTGGTCGTCGATCTTCTGAAAGCCTGGAAATGTCCGGACCAAGGACAACAAGCGTTGGAAATCCCATGTGTTCCTCGATTGTTGCCCCGTTTTAATACAATTGTCTCCGTGTGCTGATCAGTTGGAAACCGGCACGGTTGGGATGGTTCCAGCAAGGAGTCGCATTCCAGGGTTGTGAAGGGGAAATAAAACGGTTGATCCGGATGAGACCCCAACCTTTTTGAGGCTGATGGTGATGAGGATGACAAGAATAGCTTCCAATGGCACATCAATTTGTGGGATAGTCATGAACATATGTAACAAATATTAATCCCGAGGAGTGTCTTGTTTCTCATCCACACCCGCCAATCCCGCAAATGAAGCAATTTCACGCGGCTATACGGAACATTCAGATAATGTGACACCTCACATTTGGCCCCTGGATCCGGGGTGATGGTCACCTGTTTGTGAGCGAATTCAGCAGCAAAAAAAGCCCAATAGATAATATACTATGTGCAGCGATCCCCAATCTCCGTCGTCGCCGTTTTTACTCTTGCCGATCAAGCGTGGGCTTATGTAGTTATAATATTGGAATCTCGACCAATAATTGGGGGAAGTGTTCTTTCGCTGAAGTCCCTGCATTCGAGTCCTCGATCCTCATAATCTGAAGAGGGCAATCCCCGTAGAACTCTCGGGTTTATCTGAAACGGTAGTTAGTTCGGGAAGGTCAAGGGAATGGTGAAGCTGGGGTAGCCCTCCTCGACAAGAGCCAAAGGCAAGTGGCAGGCTTGGGGGGCCAGGGGAGGAGAGGAGGGGTCGACCGATCTCGGGGCGTTTGTTTGGGGTTCGGAGTTGTCCGCGACAGGGAATCGAATCGATCATCCAAGGACTGACGACCTCGTAGTTTTGCCTCGCGCGATTGTAAAAGGGCGTTGGCATCTTGTAGTGGCTTGGACCCTTGGGGCTTGCCGCTTCTCTCTCTCGCTGGATGTCACTCGGTTATCTTACGCCGTACGGAACACACGCTGTACGGTACGCTGGTCACGGCGGTTTGGTACCGGTACCTTGGCGTCTAGGCCGTATTCGGCAAGGCGCATGCAGGCTGCACGAAAAGAAGCTGGATGGAAGGAAATCGAAGGAGCATAACGCACTTTAGCTCTGCTGGGATGCGGCTAGTCCCAGTTCGGCTGGCTTGTTGTCGCTCCGCTTGGCCAGGGCCCCCTTCTGTCGCACATCCCGGTCGGCGAAGGGTTCACGATCAAGCCTGGCGTCGATGTTGAGAAAGCGCCGAGTCCAGCCCCCTTTGAAATTCCATATTGATCGGACACAACACACCTACACGCACTCACTTATTGTACTGAGGGTTGCTGATGTCCATTTCAAAAGGGCGTGTTCGAAAGAGTCATGCGAGTCAGCGAATCATACTCGCTGTCCATTTAACCGCTCACGGTTTGCGCCCCGCGAGTTTCACGAGCTAGTTTTGCATCGTGGGCTGTCCTTGGCCAATAATGGAAATATGATTGATCCACCGGCAGTTCGATTCCAGTAAAAGCCATTGCCGTCCACTCCAGCCCAAAATATCCGGTTGAAGAGCTAGAATATGCAGTCGGTTGCTGAAGACTCCATAGACTTGCTCGAACTCGCGATTATTTTGATCAGTCGGGAATTTGTCACAGGAGCAATTTCGTCTTGGAAGGGAAAATGGTCCGATCCAGATTTCGTCGGCGGCTAGATCTGCAGCGAATGAATCGTGGATGGGTGTTGAGCGACGTGCTGGACCGACCAGGGAGCAGAAACGATAGTTGTGTGGATTGCCCAGATTGCCAGATTTCCGATCTCCCGAATCCTTGTTCACGGAGCCTTGTCCGCAGAAAAAAATATGTACATACCTTGCTGGCCTTGTTCCCTGGGACCCTTTACGATTAGAATGTGATTCCTCGCGTGAGCTGACAGGCCAGTATGATTCGATGAAGAAGAGGCAGCAGAGCTGGACCAAGTCGAAGAGGAATAAATCTCAGTCCAACTCTTCTCCTGGGAGAGAACGGATCTTCAGGAACTGCGTGTTACACTTCGCGCCAGACATGAGGCCCCCCCCAACCACCCAGTATTGCAATATCATAGGCCCGGCACAGGGCAAAACGGATGGTGTTGCCACCTGCGCCAGAAAAAAAAAAGCAGCATCCGCCCAGGTCAATTCCTCTCGTTTGCTGCAGATAATTAGGACAAGAAAAAGGAACAATCCATGATGTGATAGGGCTCGCCCTTTTTGCCCTTCTAGAAACTCCATAATACATGGCCCAGAAGCATCGCTAGCCAGGCCGATTTGATGCAGGGCATTTCATAAAAGCCGAAACCATCTGCCCTTTTTCGTCTCCCTTTTCGTTTCTCTTTTTTCGCCCTTCCGGCATCAAGTCGTGCTTTTCTCGCCCGTCGCCTTGCTCTCCCACTCTTAGTAATAGGCCTGGCTCAAAATTCGCCCTTGGACTTTGGCTGGGGAGCGGGATTAGCTCTGGAATCGAACTATCAACTTAGTAAATTCAAAGTTGGAGGACAATCCCTGGGTCTGTTTGACCCGCTTGCCGTCATCGTCGAGACTCTTTTTTCGCCCTTTGCGAAGTCGGGATTGCGCGAGTATATGGGCTTGCCGGCCGCCCTGGACGAAGCAGCCTGTGAGTTCTGCAGCTGTTTCTCTTGTGCATCGCTACTGTTTGTCCACATCATACAGCCTCTCTCTCTCTCTCTCTCTCTCCCCCTTGCATCTTCTCTCCCTGGAAATCGTCTTTCTTTCGGACTCCACTTCTCTCGTCTTACTTTTTCTTCTTTTTCTTTCTTCCTCTCGCCCATCCACCCGGTCCCCACTGCGGACAAGGTATCGATACCAGGGAGACCAGTCCCGCAGTACCAGATACACCACTCGCACTGTATTGCGCTACCCAAACCTTTGTCACTGGTACTTGTCCTCCATCTCCTCTTCTCTTTGCCTTTGGATTATCATCATTATTCCTCTTCGTCCCCGGCTTTTTCTGTGACTCTGTGACTCTGTGGCTCCTCTTGTGATCCGTCCCAGAACTATATCCCCAGCAGCATTTCCACAATCCCGGCGTGCCATCTACCTTGTTACTCACTCTTCGCATTTTTAATTAGTATACCGGCTTTATCATCCCAACCCTGCCTGCAACTCACCGCCCGGGGTCCCAACTATCTCTCCCCCGAGGCCGCCAGTCTGACCGGGTCCTCGTCCTCGTCCTTACCACCTGTTTCCACTCTTATTTCAACTGCCCACGGCGCTCAGCATTTTCTCCCTTGCCGGGCCTTTCTCCCATCTTTACAACTTCCTCTCGAGCCGTGGCATTCCTCCCACTGGACATTTTATTTCCCAAGATTCCTCATTCGTGCGGAGGCCGGCATCCATTCCTGCGCTTCCGGCGGCTACCTGCTTGCCGCTGTACCATCCTGCTTGTGACTCGGCATCGAGTGGACCAAACCGGAATCCCCGCAAGTCCAACAAGCAAGCTGCAGCACAGCAAACTTGGGGCAGTCTAGATCGGCGGTGCGACAATCGCGGACAGCACGCGTTGACTCTTTCAACTTGTCCGTGGGCGTTGGCACTCCCCTACATAGCTCCCCCAGCGGCACTCCCTTTTTGTCTGTCCTCCCGCCCTCTGAAAGCACGTTTGTATCTTCAACATCGCCAACGGTGGAGTCGTCATACGGGATCGTTCGTGCACACGGGGTGGAAGGAACGAGGAGAGTTTGGAGGGAGATCAGAGCCAGATCAAGGGACGCTGGATCCAAGCGTGAGTCGCTGAGGGGGATGATTTCAGGACGGCCTCGACGCTCCTGGGATCATACGCCTGAGTCTTCTCCCCATCACTCGCCATTACCCTCAGACTCTGACTCGGATCACGAGGAAAGAATGGAAAGTTGGGGTCCCTCGAGACCTCTAAGCATAGCCGTCCCTGGAACCCAGCTCGCTCGCCCGACGTTGGAAGATGTGCTCGCCGATCGATCGCCGCCGCCATACACCCTCAGCGCCTTCACCGCATACCTGTCCCAGAACCACTGTCTAGAAACGTTAGAATTCATCAAAGCCGCCGATCTCTATCGCACATACTACCACAGGCCCGAGCGGAACGACACCCCCGAAGGGCATGCTCAACGACTGCGGTTCCACTGGAATCGGATCATCAACACGTACATCGTGCCCGGCGCAGCGCGAGAAATCAATATCTCCAGCACCGTCCGGGATGCCCTGCTCAGCCATTCTCAATCGTCCCGTCCACCCCACCCAGACGTCCTCCAGGCAGCCGTTCGACGAATGCGCGACCTGATGGACGAGTCGATATTCCTCGTCTTTCTCAACAGCCGCTCCCCGACACAACAGCCACCTCCGCGCGTCTCCTACCAGTACCCTCAAAATATCGCGATGGAGGAAACGCGCATCAACCGCCACGCATCCATCCGACGACAGATCTCCCCCGAAGCCTCCTATGCCGTCCCTCGCTCGTCGGGCTTCTCGTCGCAGCCCACATCCGCCTCCAACACCAGCTCGTTGAGTAGCTCCGCCTACCGCTCATCGCCCCACGGGTACACAAGTGGCGACTCGGTTTCGGGCAGCCTGACAGACGATTCGAGTAGTGTTCCGTCGAGTCCGGGGACTGGAGCCCCAATGACGCCACCAACGACCCCCCCTGGCAGCAACATGCACAGTCCTCGAAGCCGGTCGGATAAAGGCTGGAAAAAAATGGGAATGAAGCTCGGGTGGAAGAAGTGAGCAATTGAAGGAGAATCGGGGCGTTGGAGTTGGTGCTCTCGTCCGGAAGAGCTGTGCGAGCTTCTTGGCCCCCTCCCTGTCCGTCGCGGATGCTGGAGAACGAACAAGACACCCCGCAACCAGCATCCAACGCAACAATCGACAATCAACTATCCCGATGTTGCCCGCCGTTCTTATCCTCTCTCTCTCTCTCTCTCTCTATCAAACATCCCTGTCGATCGACCACATCGCTCCTCGGAACACCTCCGCTACGACTCCTACTTGATGAGATGCACGAACACCTGGATCATCGTGTTGTAATTGGGCGTTGCATGTTTTCTTATGTTGGCTTTTTGTTCATTTTGCACTGAAAGGCGTTTATACCCACTGCGTTATTGCTGTTCGCTCTGAGCATCGAGTGTTTGCTTTATCCTTTTTCTCTGCTGTTCTTACCTGTCTTCCCCCTCGTGCCAGGCAACGAAGTGGGAGAGTTATCCATGTCCCTTCCGGTCAGTGTTCTTCAGAGCAAGCGACTCGATAACGCGATGCGATGCGGAAAGACCGCGTCCCCGTTTTTCTTCTTTTACTGCTCTTTGACAAAGACTTTTTTTTTATAGAGGTGATGACTCGTTTTATCCTTTCTACCATCTATGTCGGTTGAGATGCATCTTTCTCGCACCTGGTGATATGGCGACTCATATGCATTCTCTGTACAGTACCACTCTACTTTGATATTGCATCCATGTATATCTATTGTCTAATGAGCATGAATGTATACATGAATCATTCAGCATTCAATTCGTTACCAGCTTCTGTCAATGGTAAATAGCACCTAGTGCCCTCGTAAATACTTTCAACTGACACAAATGTCGGAAGTCGCCATCGCCTTAAAGCCTCTTTAGTCTTTTCCCTTTTGGTTGAAAATAGATTGATAATATTAACTTAATAAATTTCTTGCAAGTTGCTTGCTCGCTGAGTTTCGCTGCTCTAGGTACAATATTCTACCAGGAAAAAGTAGTCCATCAGTCAAGGAAAAGTCAGGGACCAAAAAGCCAACAAAGGGAGCACAGATAAAGAGATATGTTCACAGCTCGAAAAACGCCACAGAACAAAGGAGATAAGACCTTGGGGGAATCGGACACAGATATCAAGACATAAGTGAGGCAAACGACGCATGGCTTTGGACTCTGGAGAAAATTCGTTCCGTTGGTACCACGCCCGTATGGCCACTTTTCTCGGCTTCAAGACTCCCTTTTAGTCGAAATTGCATTTGTTGAGAAGTAGGGTCAAGGAAAAATGGAAACATGACTATGTTCACCTGCCTAAGAGCAGTTTTGCACTTCGCAGCGTCCCAGAGTAAATATATACCACATGGAGTGCGAAATACGAAACGCAACCCACTTGGGTTGTTTCTCGTCGAATCTTGCGCCATGGCCCAACGTAAAAAGCTGAACGGCTCACTTAGTAGAAAGGATCGAAACGGCCTGAAAACGCTCGCGGAGAAGAGTGTAGACCTCGTAGTTGCATGGTGAGAATCCCGAGGGAGTCGAATCTGAATGTACGGGGTCGAAGCAAGCGACCCTGTAAAGCTTGTGGAAGATCAGGATATTATCCTCCATGGTATTCGTAACGGAGGGTTTGAGATATTAATATAGATAATAAGAAAAGACAAGCGCTCAAGAAATTAAAAGGTGAACAGAGATTTTGAAACCATCGTCAGCCGTGTCGTTAGAACGTGTTCCTGCGCGAAAAACCAAGTGGAAGGAAAAAAGAAAAGGATAAGGCTCCATAGATATGGAAGAACGGAGCTCTTTCATAGTCTCTACAGTAATATGTCACCAAATCCGGGCTATTTTGCGAAATGGTCTAGAAATTCAACCTAGAAATTTGTAAGCAGTGGCGCTCAAAGGCCTGCAAAGGTAAGACTCACCACAGCACAAAACTTTCATCACTTTTTGCACAAAAGTAGGTTCGGGTTCAGGGGTCCGCCGAGCTTGCTGTTGAACCTGAGGGCTGTTCGTTGTGCTATTGACTGGGTTGGTGATCCGGCTCGGAAGGTGTGCATTTGAATTCTGGAACTGAGCCTGTGTTGAAGCTGCAGCTGTTGCATCGAGACCCCCCACCGCTCCGTTTGGACGTTTGACTTGCGGCCCGCCTAATGCGTTTGGCCGCTCTCGCGCTTGTTTCCCAGCTCCTGGTTTCGCAGGAGACGGGGGTGGGGGCTGCGCGGCGTTTAAACGGTCAGCGGTGATTCCGGGTCTTTGAGGATGAGGGCCTCTTGCCGCTGAAGCTCCATGAATCTCCCGAGCGGATGAATTGGGCATTGCGTTGCCTGTGTGCAAGTGGTGTTGGGGAGGGTAGGACTTAGACGCCTCCCAGCCTCGACCGCCATTTAGCTTCATCCAATCGTACTCTCCATCTTCCACGTCACCGGTGTTCTTTAATGCCTGGGTGAAGAGATCGCGCAAGTAGTCGTAATCAGGGGTATCTTCAAAACCAAGGTTCCGAACATACGTAAGATACTTGTTAAATTCCTCTGGTCCCCGCGTTAGTATTCGATATAGTGGATGAAGTATAACGGCTTAATGATAAGTACCTGGATATCCTTCGCAAAGATCCTTGACAGCAGTTGTTTGTTTTTTCTCTCCAATTTTTTCATACTTTTGTTTATTAGTAGCAGCCTTCAATCCTTGCCATGGTAAACCACCGCGGAGAAAGTACATGAAGACATGGCCAAGTGCTTCGAGATCATCCCGACGAGACTGTTCTCTGCCAAGATGGGTATTGATACTCATGTAGCGTGCAGTACCAGATAGCGATTTACGTTCACGGTAAGGAATATGTTGTTTTGTTTTTGGGTCCCTGTATTGCTTTGCCATACCAAAATCGACGACATGAATCACATTGGCAGCCTTTGAAGCAGGTCTGCCAATTAAAAAGTTGTCTGGTTTGATATCGCGATAGATAAGGTTCTTTTCATGAATTGTTTGGACTCTCGATAGCTGATTACTTAGTTAGCAACATACATGTATTCTGTTGGATGGGGGCAGCAATACCATTTGTTTTGCCACCATTACAACAGTTTTTATAGAGAATCTTCGATTGCAATGGTCGAAAAGATCCTCCAGGCTAGGGCCTAAGAGGTCAATAACGAGGATATTGTGGAGGCCTTCTTGGCCAAAATAGTATACATTAGGAATGCCGGCTATAACCTAGTTAGCCAAACCTAACAGTGGGTATTGCAATTAACTTACGGCAACCAACGAGGATCTTGTAGGTTCGATACTCATCTCGGAGTTGAGGGGCGTCACTCTTTCGCGGTTCCTATAGTGTGGTTAGCCACTTTGGTTACGTTATGTTGCAGGACGGTTTGCTTGATCGGCACATACAAACTTGATAGCAACTTGTTGATTATTCAGAAGATTGGTGCCTTCAAAAATAACCCCAAAGGAGCCTTCACCAATCTTCTTTCCCACCCGATAATGTACCCCGACGACGTTCGAGGAAGAGGACGTCATCTCGATCGCTTAATTGGCACAAAATCGTGATGTGAGAGCAGCAATGGATTAAGTATGGATGATGGCACGTCGATGGGCCAGAGGAGGATGGGGAGAGACCGTTGTTTTCTGCAGCGCTTGTTAAATCAAGAATTGCGTAAAAAGAACAATAAGATTATTCACTTTCACCCAACATTTGATATACAGGGTGAAAAAGAAAAAGGCGGCACAGCTTACAGTTGATTTTGTTAGTTTCCGGCCACATTCACGAGCGACTTTTCAGGTGACTGTTATACAAGATGTCGATGGCAGTGCAAACAAGGTTCCAACAGGACCAAGCAATTATCAGACTCAAAGAGAGAGTGATTTTTTATTTGAAAGAGCCCAAAAAAGCGTGCGGATAACAGATCAAGCTCGAATGTTGAGAGCGGGAAGGAGGTGAGCGCCAGAAGGGAAAGGATTCGTTGGGGGTGTGCGATCCGGGGGTCGAAGCGAGGAGAAAGGCGAAGTACTGGGAGGCGGAAGGGAGAAAGGGAACGGAGCAAGAGGAGAACGAGACGGCGGGCAGTCAATGACAGTCGTGGTGCGATGAGGAGCTGCACTGGGGATCACCTCTGCAGGCGGGAAACGAAGTGCCAGAAGGAGAGACAAAAGGCTGGCGAGCAGAATTGGAGTTCAGGGCAGCCAGTTCGCCCAGAAAGCAGACGTGGATCGTATTTTGCGTATCGTGTGTTTCTGTCGTGACGCCCAAGCCCACGGCGTAAGATTGGGGAATCGGCCTGGATGCGCAGGGGGGTGCGCTGTATCGCGACGTCCCGTACATTGTCGTTACCAGCTTACGGAAACGGGGCTGCTTCCTCAGCCACTCCCGTTTCATCCCTAACGTCGCATTAAGTAAGCACCTCACCATCTCTTCAGCGAGCAACTCCAGGACGACTTGGAGACATGTTGATCGCGAGCGCCTGAAACATTGCTGTGCACCCGCTGTTTCCATGGCTTGCAAAAGCTCGCACCCAGTGGCCCTAGCGATTGTGAACCCCGTTGTTCCTCGTCCACGAGTGGTGATTGGGTTCTCCCTGCAGCTCTGGGAGCGATTTGCATTGGTGTGTTTTGCCCTCTGTACTCCTGTCGGAAGCGCCATCTCAAGGATTGGCAGATTTGGTTGACTGGATACAATGGGAGGGATGTGATGAGGGCTGCTTTGATACAGACAGCCTACAGGTTGCTACATGCATGGGAGGCTCGTCCGCATGATCAGCCGTGAAGAAACAGAGGATTGGATAATACTGAATGCACCCCGCGAGTGGGTGCTCCTCGTCCGGCAGGCATTGCTCTGAGAATGCAAGTGGCTTCAATAGGCTGTGTTCTCAGTTCTGGGAGATCGATATTGTTGACTATCTAAACAATGGCGCTTAAGTGAAAAGACTTGGCGAGGGTATAGCTTCCGGCATATCACTTTCGCTGTTAAAGCAACATCTTTCGCAAGTTGCAATCTACTAGCTTTCAACTAGTCTAACCTAGCCGTCATTCCGAGTACTTAAATCATAGTCCACGATCCAGCATGGGTAAAAATGATTGCAGGTCGGTATGAGGGCGCTCAAGCTTGCACATCCTCTGCTTCGCTTCCAAGCTCTTCTTGGACCAGATTCCTGCCACCGCCTTGATCCTCATTACCATAATTGTCATCTTCTTCATCACTACTAGAGCCGCTCCCGTCACTATCTCCGTCGCTTCCAGGGTCATAGTCCTCTTCCTCCTCATCTTCCTGGTCTTCAAGCTCACGCTGCGCTTTTTGCAATTCGGATTCTTCTTCTCCACCATGACCTTCCTGGGTTTCGCCTTTCTCGCCGTTGATATTGAGGTTTTTGGCGCGTCGAGCTTCTGCCATGCTAGCATCCTGAAGACTATGATTTTTGATATACGAATCAATCCCCGGATAATCGGCCTGATCAATCATGGAAAGTTCGAACTCCTGGGTATGGTCGGGATTTGTAGACGAACGGGTTAAAATGTTAAGATTGAAAGTCCTTTGAAGGACAGAAGTATACGAAACTGATTCAATGTTGTCGAAAGCGAAAAATATGAGAGGTTTCTTAAAGCCAAAGAATATGCCGGTAGAGAGGAAGAATAGATAGCCTAGGTTGAAGGTGTCAAATCAAGTCAGATACGAGGGACTTTGGACTCTACCGACCTTCCTTGCTGCCACGGAATGCTTTGACGTGAAATGCCTTTTCTCCCTTACGATGAGGCTCTGGAATAGCACTCGCAAACAACTTTTCACTGGGACAAATGACCTTTGTATGCTTCAACTTCTCATTCAAAGCACTCTGGAGATAACTTGAATACGTCTCCGCCAAACTGGCGCCTTCCATAGCAGGGGTGCCCGAGCCTAGGAACGCCGTCCGCGGTGGCCCGTCAGGGACCGTCCAAACAATCGTTTCGTAAACGGGTTCTCCAGCTTTAGGTGCTGATATTCCATCATTTCCTTGGGGTATTACGCAAAAGTTAAACTGCCTCTGAGACTTTTCCGGCACTGGAAGACATAGAACATGCTCTACATGTTGATATCAGCATGGCGTGTCGAAAAACAGATGGAATCATAACAGACAGTAAAAACTCACGAATCTTTGAAAAAGGGACTCCGAATTCTATCATATTCAGAGCCTGGTTTCTCGCCCTAAGATACTCAACGTTCCCCGGCGAACGTGTGATCTCCAACTGCAACTTCTTCCGTTGGGGCACAGCAAATGACATATCTTGCACGTAAATCTGCAAATCGGCATCCTCGCTCACCCCAGCCATCGCGGGCGAAGAGCGCGCGGAATCATTTCCATTGGCAATCTTCCGTTTCTTGGGTGCGGGACCCTCGGCGACAACAGTCTGTGAGCGCACCGGCGTAGGCTGCGCTGACGCCGTCGATTGACTGGCGTCTTGGAGGTCGGAGGTGTACTTTGCGATATCTTCGAAGAGGGGACGTAGCCCAGGTGCGTTTCCTAAAGATGCATCCGGGCGTGTGATTAGCTTCTGGGAGGCCATTCGCGTCTGTTTCGTCCAAAGGGGACTTTCATGTCGGGGAAAAAGGGGAACTTACCAATAGCCTGATAAATCCTCTGCTGCAAAGGTTGGTTGGGCCCAAATGCCTTGTTAATGATTTGGCTATTATTTACACTTATAAAGCTCATTTTGAACAATCGCAATTGAGGGGGCTAAGGATATCTGATAGGGAGAAGATGGGAATGGGGTCGTGGGTGAACTTGGGAAAATCCTGACAACCAACGCGTCTAAAAATCCAATCAATGGCGATGAACGTGCTTTTCGCATCTCACAATTACAATCCAAAAAAATTTGTCTAACATGGATATGCCCCCCAGTTTTTCACTGGGCTTGCTAGAGATCAATGTACACAAATCCCTATACGTTGCTATCTTCGCATTTCGACCCAGCTTTCTACACAATGCATACCCACAAAGGAAAACTGTTGAATGTAATATGTGGATTTCTACTCTTATGATACAGCACTCAATCGTACAAAAGTACACCCAAATCCTCAAACGCCAACAGAAAAGCCGCTTCAAGCAGAAGAGGGAGAGGCATTAGTTGCTGTGCCCTGTAGCTTGGCCGCCATGAACTTTTCTATGAAACTGGCAGTGTCTCCAGAAAGCACATAATTGCCGTCTTCGTCTTTTGCTTCCTCACGCTGCTTGGCTTTTTCTTCCAGCTGCTTATGGATATACTCTGCTTTGGGCGTCAGGAGTTTTCTGCTCTTTAACCAGGCTTGGTATGCATCCTCCTCCTGCTTCTTCGCTATAAAATCAGGGTCATGACGCGTTCGGAAAGCGGAGAATTTGTTTCTTAGCTCGTCTATCAAGGTTTCTGGCATGGGGAACGATTGGAGCGAGGGAACATATGTTTTCGCTTCGACTTCGATGCGTAATGTATCATTCGGCCCGTCTGTGTGATTGGGAGCCTCCGATTCTGGCCACGGGATCTCAACGTCCAGCCCTGAGATGTAACGGGTGTGTCTGGGAGTGGTTGACCCGTAAGGTCGATCGAGGAACGGTCCACCGCCATATGCGTTCTTAACCACCACGTCTTTGACAATCCCAGTGGAGGGATCCTCGAGAGGTACAACAAGTCGCACATCGCTAATCGGAACAGGCACAGGATATGGTCTGAATGGCCGCTTGTCGGTATCCCCGCTCAATGCGAACCGGGGGAACTCCACGTCATACTTGGGAAAAGAACAGTGTCAATAGTCATCACTCAGAATCACGGTGTCCCGTTAGTAGCACCTACAATATTGATACCCTCAACCGCAACAGTCTCAGTCTCAGAATCGACGTTCAGTACTTTTCCAATTTTGCCCTTGTCTGCGCCTCTCACCAGACACACTCGATCCCCGGCCGCAATCGTGATGTATTTCGTCCTGGCTTCCGGAAGAATTTTAGGCATCCGGAGCCTTGTAGTCGAGATTGTGCCATATAACCCACTGCGCTTTCCAACGTCTCTTTTTGGCGCTAACGGGCCACGCATCCAATCGTCCCGCCGGTTCCTCCGCTCCTCCAACGCTTCATCGAGCAGACTCCGTTGAAGCGCAGTTTTCTCGCGAAGAATGGACTGCAACTCTTCGTGGCGGTTTTTAGAGGCCTCGATCCGCGCCTTTCGTTTGGCCTGGTTAGTGGCAAGAACTGAACGCCTTATTACTTTCTGCATTTTCGCTGGAGATGAACACCAATGGTTAGAAAGGCCCTCGCTCTTCTTGCATCCCCTTCAATTGCGGGTGGAAGTTTTACCAAAAAAAATGATTACATAACCATTATGGCTGCTTACTTAACCAGCGCGCCAATGAACTCATGTCCAATCAATGTGAGAGCCAAGGCCTGTTCATGAAGGTCTTGGCGGACTTCTTATTTTCCAGAACACTACACAAGCATCAAGGCAGGACAGAAAGCTCATACCGAATCGCAATTCTAGCCAAATAATGTTACATTTAATTCAGAAAAAGTCCATAGATAACTGGAGAAGCGAAAACCCCATAAGAAACGCTCTTCTTTTCTAGGCCCATCCAACGCCCCTTCCTTGTTTGCAAGGAAACTATCAAGACTCAATCTAGTAACCTGCTTCTCACAAAATAAAATTCTCAACGGGTCTCATGAGCCATTCGTCTGGTATGATGTCGATAGAAGTTGCCCTTGCCGCTGGATCCCACGTCAAAATCTTTCGTACAAACCGGAGGAACTGGTCTTTCTCTTCTCCAGGGGGTATTGTTGTAACAAACTCCTCAAAGGATGTGTTTGGTATCGGAGGTTCGGATATCCAATTTCCTACTTAGGGTGAGGAATATTATTCCAATTTCTAGTGAAAGAAAGATAGTCAGGCTTACCTTCCGAATCAAAATAGGTTGAGAATAGCGGGCTTTGACGGATTATTTCCAGCGGCGGAGGACCAAGATATCCTATGTACTGCGCCAGGGCCAATGGGAGGACATATTGACCATGAGCACGATCTATTGGATCAAAAAGGTTCTTGCCTTCCAAAAGCTCAAGCGTCTATATTCAAAAGGCTCGGTAAGGCTTTCTCCTTGAATTCCAAGAGGTAACTCACCATGACACCGATTGACCATATATCAACCGCATATCCCCAAGGGAGCTGCAAAAGCACCTCTGGGGCACGATATAAATCGGACATCCACCAGTCTTTATTTGTCTGCCCTTCAACTAACCGCATTTGACCAAAATCTGTAAGGATAGGGTGACCGGAGAGTTCTAACATGGTGGGTCGAGATCTATAGATAGGAGTAGTTCCATCACCAGTGACTACTGGGATACTTGGGCTCTGAGACTCTTGATCCTCAACATCTCTAAGACTGGTGTCATCGTCGATTTCCATCAGAATATTCTGAGGTGAAAGGTCTATTAATCCATCGTAAGTATGGAAACTCGTTCACGGAGCATGTTCCAAGCAGCTTACCAGTGTGTGCAACGCCGCAAGTTGCATGTAGCCAGTTCACCGAGAAGAATAGACGGTGTATCAAGGATTTTACTAGAAGCTTTGGCAAAATTGCATTAGGGAATGTCTCCTGTAATGTGCGGAGGCTATTGCCTTTGGGTTTAGAAGCAATGCAGTAATGGCAGCCAGAAGAGCCGTCAATCTTGAAGATATCTTGTGCAAGGCGTGTAAAATCAAGTCCAGGGTGATCTTTCACAGCAAACTTGCTCAACCGGCGGAGCATGTTGATTTCATTAAGGACGGGAGAGGTTTCGGCATTGTCAACTTGAATGCAAATCTTCAATGAGGTATACTCCTTTGCTCTAGATTTATGTTAGCTAACAAAATTATGGTAAGTTCAGAGCGAGTTGACACCTCTCATCCCAAGCGAGCCAAACAGTGGAGTACGCGCCGTACCCAAGTTTCGCTATACTTCGATACCGATTGTTGAAAACCTGCCCAATTTCGACTGGGTAGTAATGTTTTTTATGGTAAAAAGGAAGGGTCCGTTCTTCAATTGCCTGACCATTGGCCATTGTGTGAACCCATCGAGGGTATGGCCGAGGAGCTCGAACCCAACGTGATAGGACAATCAAAGGACGTGGTAATGGAGTGAGAATATGCATCTTTATTACTCCGTAGAATGTCTGTCCTTTCGTTCCCTAGCTCCGTGGTGAAGCTGGAGACATCACGTTGGCGGTTCGCTTTTTGGCTAACGATGGAGGTGTCACCTATCGCGTCGACCCTATGTAGTTAACCAAGTCAGTCGGCTGCACATGATGACTAGGTAACGAGGAGGTTGACTGAGCTATATCGATGGATATTTGCTACTGTATCAACTCCAGCGGAGAATGGATAACAGTTTAGATACCTAACTAACCAAGTAGTTAACTACATTGCTCGCCGCTATATACTTATTGGTCAAGATTTCCCACTGCCCTCTTCCTCCGGATTTCTGGATTTCTACCGAGTATGTAGGGAAGAACTACTCTGTGCCTGTTCGATAATTATTCACCGCTATATCTCTAGTTAGTCGTTGACTAATTTTACAATGCCATGCATACGCGTATGATACATCAGTGGATACACCACGAATTATACCAAGGAATCATTCAGCGTGCAGCGCCTAGCTACAGCTTTGCAATGTGATTTGCGAGATGGAGTCTTCTCTTTGTTAGGCTGGTTAGAAAACGGAAATAGGTATTGGCGGGCTGGACACTTTTTGGAGGAGGAAGAGGGTCCACTGCGGTGGTCGCGCTTGGGTGCCTATCAATGTGTCTTAATTCTCTCCCTCAAGGAGCATACTGCATGTCTCGGCCCCCTATAAAAATTCCCGGAAACCTTTTGTCTGATCTCAAGATTCTCGATTGCTAACACTCCTGTCAATTTGAGTATACATAGGAATGTTGTCTAAACCCCGGATTTGGCGTGGGGTACGAGACGCTTTGGTCAATAATCACTTGGTGACCAGTACGTAGTTGGTCGTCAACCTAGATTTTGAGGTTAGGGTTCATGTACAGGATTTTCAGGAAAAAAAATAAACAAACAAATACTCCGTACCCAAAATAAGCCGGATTCAGATGCCCCAAACTCGCATGCCTATGGACGGAGGCAGTCTTCAACTTTTCCTGCGTGTTCAGATAATGAAGTGTTCTTGACCTGTCCACCCAGAATATCACCAATCTCACCAGGTTTTCAGTACCAGAAGCGTCTCGAGACAGAATTGTTCAATCTGGATGTATTATCCAGCTTGCGTCCACAAGATCACGACCATTGTGGCGGTGCGCTATCAGCCTCGTGGTTTCGTTTCACGCCACTTTTCCCAGTGCGCCTTCGCGACCAGGGTCAGAAAAGCAAATGTGATGGGATTCCCATTCCGCAAAAGCTTGAACTGAAACATAATTAATATTGCAAAGAAGCGGGCTATTTGATGTTTTTTGGCTGGGATGCCGACATGTCCGGGACGGCAAGTCTCCGCAACCTGGTGCACCGCCACAAGCCACGGGGATATGAACACAGCCAGCAAGGACGAAGCATGAGGTCCTCAGTCGGGATTCAGAGGTTTCAGAAGGGAAAAAGGGACTAGCAATCAGTCTTCAAGCCTCGCCAGATGCAGCTTCATCATTGGGCGAATTTGTTTCTCAGCGGACAATGGTCGCCGTGTTGCATGTGGGGGATGATCGCTCTCCTCCGGCGAAGTCTGAGCTCTAGGCTTGGGTTGAGAAGGCGGCTGCATTGCTGTTGTCACACTCCGTTTGCCGAGCCCTGGAGTCGTCTCGCTCCATCGAAATTGCCTTTGTAGCCACGAGCTTCACAGAAGCCGGCCTTTTGTAATCCAAGTGTTGTTCCAGTGACAGTGAATTGCGCCTGACTGTGGCATGCAACCCTAGGATTGTGCGATCCTCGCCCAGACTTTTCCAGCAAGACTGGGCCTGGAAGTGTGAACTCGTGACTCAGTGTCCTCTATCAACAGGTACCCAGACTTGGGGGATTGTCGGTGTTGATCATGGTGTCAGCCGCGCGAGAAGGCTTTGGTTGCTTAGTTACTGTGCAGCAAGGAAATCTCTGTTTCAGCGATTCGAAAGCAAGCGCCCTTGCCATTTAGCAGTGCTTCGTGCCAACGGCGTCCTCCGTCACGGTAATAGCTACAGACAAACCTGGTTTCCCAGCAAGCTTAAACGCCAGTGTATGAATGGTCAGACACAGGGAACGATACAGCCTAGTCTCCGGCTGAGTCCCCGTCAAAGCCGGGGATTCTGTAGTTGAAAAAGTGCCTTGGCTACCCATTCACTTGTCTGCTGCTGGAAAATACCATGAGCACCGCGTCAAGCTCCGTCGAACAGTGAATTCGCAGCCTGTGATGAGGCATTACCCAGGGCAACGCAGAGTGCATGTATCATACGGGCTGGTGGTGACTCCTGTATGGTCCACTTTCATCATTCATTGGCCAAAGCATGCAAATTGACCCAAACGGTCTTAGATTCAAAACCAACCGTAACTAACTTAGGTAAACCTGGCGTGCCTTTTGCCTGCTGGCCCTTCTCAAAACCTCTCCCCATTATTATTCTTCAAACATCCTCTCTCCATCTTCTCTTCTTGAGCTCAGCTTCTTTCATCCTCCTCATCTTTCATTATCCAACTCGTTCTTTCTCAAACCATCCTCTTGGTGCTTCATCTTCCTTTCGTCATCCATTCTCCCTCTGGCTCTTTTCCACTCCCTCAGCCTTCTCCCCTTAGTGACCTGCTACAAGCAACCGTGAACAGTATGTCAACCTCAATCCACCCCTGCCAACCAGCTTTTTGGGGCTCCTCTGGCTTCGGCACTTGATGCAGCTGCCCTCTCTTTGAAGAAATTCATCTCCTCAGCATTTTCAACTGTTGATCCTTGCTTTCAAACTCACTTGTCTAACCTCACTTCTGTTGTGCAGATGGCTGAGATCCGACGAAAGCTTGTGATTGTTGGTGACGGTGCTTGTGGAAAGACTTGTCTTTTGATGTAAGTGCTTTCCGCTCATCTTTGCTATCAGAAATGACGCTAGTGTGTTATGAGGCATCCCGATAGCTAATAGATGACGTGATGTCCAGTGTGTTCTCCAAGGGCACTTTCCCTGAGGTTGGCATTCCCATTCAGACTGCTCTATAGTGTTCCAGCTGCTTAATCCCATCGCGTCTATCTCCTTGCCTTCGTCGACACCCTTTCCACAGGCGTACAATACCTGCCACCGTGCACTGGTCTTGGGTCGAAGACGACTGACAAGCCGATTTTCTACAGGTCTACGTCCCAACCGTCTTCGAAAACTACGTTGCTGATGTCGAAGTCGATGGGAAACATGTCGAGCTCGCCCTTTGGGATACTGCTGGACAGGAAGACTACGACCGTCTTCGCCCCCTCTCCTACCCAGATTCCCACGTGATTCTCATCTGCTTCGCCATTGATTCTCCAGACTCTTTGGACAACGTTCAGGAGAAGGTGAGATTACCGTTGCCCGGTCATGATGGTAGAAATGTATACTGACGTGGAATCACAGTGGATCTCTGAAGTTCTTCACTTCTGCTCTGGCCACCCTATCATTCTTGTTGGGTGCAAGAAGGATTTGCGTCACGACCCCCGCACTATCGAAGAATTGCACAAGACTTCTCAGAAGCCAGTCACTCCCGAGCAGGTATGTTCAACCTTTCGAGTCTCTTTGACTTTGCATTCCGATACTAATCTCCAAATTCAGGGTGAGGAAATCCGCAAGAAGATCGGTGCTTACAAATACCTCGAATGCTCTGCCAGAACCGGCGACGGTGTCCGTGAAGTTTTCGAATGCGCCACCCGTGCTGCCCTTTTGGCAAAGACCGAGAAAAAGAAGCCCCGCTGCCGGATCTTGTAAACTTTCGTTTCGATCATACCGGATGGCCATTTGCATCAGCTCGCTGACAAGGGACAAGCGTTATGGTAGCCGAAATCGCCATGTCTGAATAGCTTTATTCCATGGTTTGCTCCGCCATATCTACATTGAGACCTTGTGCATCATTGCAATCACTGGCAAGCGTGCTCAATGTGATCAGCTGACTGCAATTTGGTCGATTCTTTTCGTTTTCTTGCGGAGTATGTCTCTAGAAATGTTCTTGCTTATTGGCATTAGGACTGGTTCAATTTTCGGTTGTTCGGCTCATGACTACCCCAGCTGTGCAACTGTGGGATGGGAGGACCTCGAGTTATTTTCCGCCACCTGGTAGCTTCCAAGAAAAAGACTGCGATACATGAGGCGATTGTGTTTTCCTTTTTCTGTGTTTTGACTCTTTGGGTTTGCTCGGCTCAAATTAGGTCTCTGGAGAAGCGAAGACACAGTCAATCATCGGGTCCACCGTGACGATTAACCACCGCCTCGTCATAGTGTCGCATCGCTATCCTACAGACTTGGCGTTATGGCTCTTTTTGCTCTTATATCTCCCAGTCTAGGAACTCTTGTGATTACCACTTTTCAACTTCTTGATTCCTCAGACCTCCCTTTAATAATACACATAAGAAGATTGGACCCCCGTTTAGGCCATGTCTTTTTGCTAGCTACGATTCCCCCAGTCAACCTATGTTTCTGATCCGTACTCCTTATGCCCCCGTCTGTGTTTTGCTTTTTAATTCCCTTTTTTCCTTCTTTTCCCTTCTGATTTGTTCTCTGGTTTGTTTCGTTGCCCATTATCCCCAAGGTGTATTAGCTCTTTTCCTATCCGGCGTATACAATAGTGAGTGATAATTATCCTTTTCTCTGACTGCTCCTCGCTCGCGGTTTATCTGGATACTCTCGTAGATGGTCAACTTTCTACCCTCGTAGCCAAAGAAGGAACACAATCCGAAGGCGTCTTCATCCAGCCGAGACCAGTGGAGAGGTGCAATTACGTGTACCTGAGCCAAGCCTTGAGTTATGGCGAGCATTAACTACCTGGGTCCGGGCACGATTGACGTTTTTGAAAGGAATAGCAAGTGACAAAATTTGTAAACTCGTACTTCTCCTTCAACGCGCGTTGCCCGTGATTGCATTTCCAAGTCAGGATCAAACAGAAGCTCGCATTTGGCAAATCATCAAGCCGAAGAGGGCACCCGATAAAAGGTGGGTTGCTGTGATAAACATACCCATGCCTTTTTGAAGATGATGCATCTTGCTTTTGAACTTTTCCCATGTGAACGACCTTTTGTAACTTTTATCCTTGACCACCCATCTGCAGGGGATCAAGCTTCAATTTCAGCGAACGAATAATGGCCCAGTTATTACAGCGCAAAGCACCTATTTGACGCCATCGAATACGATTCGTTGCCCTCAAGATTATTAGGTGAGACAGCGCACTGAGATCACGGAGAATTTTCGGTGCTTTGATGATCTGTCTGCCACGGAGCCGATATGAAACGTTCACGGTCATGTTTGAAGATGGTCTGGAGATGTTGTTACTCTTTTTACTTTTGAAGTTTTTTTTTATCATGCAAATAGTAAACCCCCGTGTAGTTAACTAATTGGATGAAGCTTGACGGCACCCATGATCCTGTATGAGAGCTGTCTGGAGAGCTGACACAAGTTTTAAGCCGCCATGAAGCTCATGATGGTTTTATCGAAGGCGGAGACCGGGTAAAACACTCGCTTAGAAGAAGTGCAAGTTTTGGGCGCATCAAATATTCTTTCTCTTCTTGATACGTTCCGGGCAAGGAGATTTGCCTGGCTGGTACGCAAGGTGTCAAAGAGTAACCAAATGAACCTATGAGATAGATGTGAAGTCGTGTTCATCTAGCTGAGCAACGGCCCTACATACTCTGCTTTCTTCCCATTCCAGCTCGAATATCCTTCCAGGGGCTCCCATTGCACTAGAAACCGGTCCGCGATAGGAAGTACAAGTTTGCCGGACAGGCTCAAGGTCGTAACACGCGCCCAAGACTCCACGAAGATGGTTCGTAGATACCTTCTTCTTGATCCCTTGCTGCGGCGCAATTTATCGGGTTTTTCAAAGGGTGGCGGGCTAAGGACGAGAAGCCAGCTGAGAAAGCGCAATATCCTCGCTGCGACGATCACGCACACCGCTATCCCGGGCCCATTGGTCAAAATCAAGTCTGGACATGTCGTGGGACGCGATTGTGCGGGATTCAATCGTATCTGGTCGGCATGTTTGCCCCGGAGCACCTGGAAACATGCCCAGAGGCAGTGGAGGGTCGAGAACGGGGCGGTCAGGAAGCTCTGATGCACGTTTCTCGCTTTGGGGACGGTGACGATCTCATGGTCCGTTTGCAGATTCAAATGGCCGTTGCGTTTCTTCGTCCGTGGAGCTATCATGCTCCCCTTTGAAAATCGAGCCCCGGTGGATGGGTCAAACATGCTGAGTTTGTGCTCAAATTCAGAGGCTTTCCTTGCGCTAAACAAATCCCCGGAGCTGACTAGATAGGTGCGTTTCGAGTATATCTCGGGATCCAGGCGGGCATATCTCAGCATCGAGAGCATTTCTTCGGTATGACCGCCACTGCCCAGGACAACCAGAAGGTGTATTGCACGGCGTGATTTGGCATGCTTGGTCGAAGCATTCTGAAGACGCACCAGGTGGATCTATATAGGAATTTAGATAGAAGATTCAAGGGGCGAAAAGTAAACTCACATACCAACGAGAGAGTAAAGAATATGGCTAAACCAACTACTACGAGAATAGCTGTAGCGGCGGATGCCGAAGCCAGCATCTCGCAGCTCCCTGATAAGCTCCAGAGCAGACGCAATAGTAAAAGCTCGCTAAGGATGGCTAGCTACAGGCAGCATCTACTCCAGAGGCAATATGTTTCCTTGCTGTGTGGATGAACGGTTCCAAAGGTCGATGAGGGAAGAGCATAGAAATCCCAAGGGCTTTAGAATTGCTTTCCTGTTATTCCCCTAAATGCATTATTGTTGTCATGGAGCCAACGGGGGAAAAGAGCATCTCCAGTAAGGTTAGTTTACTCGTTGAGTCGTTGGTGTGTTGATCCGGCGATTAGACTGAGCTTAACTCCTCAAAATTTCGCATCTTCGAAGATCAGGTTTTGTGTTTATTTACATCTAATCGCCCTATCCTGGTTACGTTCCCCCGCGTGCTCGGTGCCATGGCGCCCTTTTTTAAAAAGCGTTTGCAATGTTTTTATTGCGGTTCTCGATCAGCACAGTTGCAAAAAAGCGCGATCCGCCAGTGGCAGTGTCGCGAATGTCAGGCAGTAAACTATCTGGACGAGGTAAGTTCAGTCAGGCTGATGCCGCCCGTCTCGTCGCATCGAGCGTAGATTCAGAGACAAAGGCTGACTTGGCCATTTGGGCTCTCATAGAATGGCGAAATAACAGATCCTCCTGTCACCGAAGCATCCTCTGAATCCCAACCGCCTCAATACGCCCAGCCCGTTTCTCGCGCTCAACTCGATCAGTCCTCGGATCGGTCGATATTCTGCTCGACGTGTTTGAAAAATCAATATCTCCTAACGCAGACCTTGGCTTCCTATCTTCCGCCGCAATCACACCCTGAGTATGAAGTATACGAAGCGTCCTACCCGGCCTACCGACAAAGTTTGGAAGACCGATACCCGCAAGTATGCGAAAATTGCGAGCCAAGGGTTATCTCGCGGATCAAACGTGCGGGCTATGAAGCAAAAGCAGATCATCTACGGCGGATGATGGAACGAAGCAGGGGCGGGAGAACTGTGCGGAACAAGCGAAAATGGAGATGGAGGAGTCTGTTGGTGTCGACCGGTGCTGTGGCATTCTGGGCAAGTGTTGCTGGTCAACTGGCTTGGGATATCATCGGATTTATGGCCGATACTACTGTGGCCACGGAAAATCAACAACGAATACAATTATCAAAGTCTCTTCTCCGATCCTGCTTGAAAGAAGGTCAGAAACACGGGGTCATGCCGATTCAATGCGCTTTGGCCTTGCAGCCATATGCCGGGCTGGCACTGATTCTGGGAGTGCTTTCGCTGTGGTGGAATCCAAAGCTTCGCCACAAGGTCGAGGGACGGTCCGGGCGCATAAGTGGAGCGCGTGAATATTATCGCATCCAGATCGTCGTGCTGGTAGTGAGGTTTGTTGCTTGGACTGTGCTACAGGATGCTTCTATCACTGGCCTCAATCCCAAGCTGGTGCCTGCCGTCCATAGTTTTATGGCTATCTTGATAATAGTCGTAAGTCATTTGGTGTTCTTTTGTTGATATCACCCGTTTCCTGACAGCTAATCTTTATGCAGACGACAATTGCCTCAAGGGCAGCCATTCGATTCTCCATCAAACCGCTTGTTTCCTGGAATGACAATATAGGATCTTTAATATCCAAACGCAATGGAGACGCAGAGCTCTCGTCGCAGAGTTTCTCGAATCCACAGTCGTCAAGCATCAGCCTGAGCCAAAGCCTGCCGCGGTTTCCAGTTGCCAATCTCGCTCCAGCCCCCGCTCATGTCAATGCCTTGGGTCCTGAATCGTATATTCCTCCAACGCCTCCTCCGGACATGGTTGTCGATTCCGACGCCATGGATTGGACTCCCTCTCAACAAACACTACAGCCGACTTTCCATATTAGTCGCAACCAACCTGAGCCTGATGCACCGCCTATACACCCGTCTCCGTTTCGTGGACAACTACCTGCGGCGCCTAAACCACTCTCCTGGCAGCTCCGCAACCCAGAACGTCAGCCTATAGTTAAGTCGATCGAAAACAAACCGAACCCCTTCCATACGGCCCCCATTTTACACCCGTCATCAAACATACCACAACAAAATCAAATTGCGACGAAATCAACCGACATGGTGATGGCACCACCGAGATTCTTCCCTCCAAACGACCTCAAGGCAGAGACTGGCTTGGAAAGTTTATTCGACAAAGCCTTTTCAATCGCAGAAAGCCCAAAGACCGAGAGACGGTCAATGTCGAAGATGCCTGATCGTGGGCCGATAATCAATAAACCTCTTCATATTATAAAGAGTATCTTTTTGGTTGTGTGCTTGGGATTATGGGTTGGATCGCAGTCTCTTGCTTTACCCAAAAACACCACTGAAACAGTGGTGTTAGGCCTTAGCTTTCTCGTGACTGGATTCTCTCTTCTTGAATTGTTGATGAGGCCGATGATGCACTGGAAGATGATTGACATCTTTCTGTCTTTGGCCGAGCTGGTTGGCTGCGTTTACCTGGCTTTGGTCCGGGCTGGCCAATTTGGAGATCCAACGGCCTTTGATAAAGCCGGACCCTATCTGGTGGCGTTTTTGACAGGACAAGAAATGTTTGGCCTCCGGTCCATGTTTAGTGCGTCGAGGCCGGTGGTCGCCGCAAAGATGCCGATCAAACAAGAGATCAAACGGCCAACTTCACCCCCCTTGCTGTCATGTTCTCTTTCGACCTCCAGCGGCGAACGAACTCCAACCCGATCATCCTTCATCTCAGCTCCGGCGCTGGCCAACAAGTCTCGCAGCTCGCCGTCCAAAAGACAGCCACAGAGTTTCAAAGCTCCCAGCATCCCTCAGCCCTTGGACCCAAGCTCAAGTTTCCTCAACCGACAGAATACCTTCACTCCACTCGCGAAACCTGAATATCCACTGTCTCTTCCAAACTCATTCTCTGGCCTGGCCCAATCGCAGCTCCTCTCATCGTCCTTTGGATCCACAGAGCGTTTTATGTCACCCGCGTCCACTGCATCTGTCACCTCGACGGAATATGATGCATCTACCATCTCAGAGCCCCCTTCTCCTATATTATCTACCCGCCATCGAACGCCAGGCCCGTCGATAACTAGTCTCAGTCTAGATGACAGCCCAATACCCATGAAGAATATTCCACCAACCCCGCGATATTCGCTGCGAAGTCGCCGGCGTTGATCATGTCTCTCCTCTTTCCCTCACTGCTTTCCTTTGATTAGCGTTCGTGCCCAATGTTAGTAGATGATTCTTTTCTATGTTGTTATGATTCTACCGGATCGGAGTTATTATAGAAGATACCGTAATGTTTTTCCCAGAGGGGACCTTTCTCTTGCGGTTCCTTGGGGTCTGCACGTTGACCGGCAAGTGTCAATATCGAGCTTTCGAAGAGCTAAATATCCATTCCCTGTAATATGTATATATATATACAAAGAGTAATATTCCACATCTCCGTCTAATCGTCGCCGTCTCTGGCAGTGTCTCGATCAAGCCAAGACCCCATGAGAACACCCAAGACGCCCAAAGACGCAGATACGAACATCAACCCCAAGCTGAAACCCTTCGGCGACCATGCTTCATGCTAAGAACAAGCTAATGAATGAGAGCCAGCCCAAATGTCTGTGCGGCAGAGTGCAGCTATGCACTTGAATCCGATGTTCAGATTCTGTCCCTCGAACCGGGAGTGTGGCGGGTATCTCGATGATGTCCTTTCAGGTGCTCTTGACTGAGCGACCGCGGTGCTCGCAGAAAACCTGCCCTCTGAGGCTTGGTTACGGAGGAGTCAGCTTCATTTTTTCTATCCAGAGACATGATACCTCGATAGGGCGGCATCTCCTGAAGCCTTAGCCCAAAATATGTTTGGCAGCTCTTCCTCCAACCTGCTACTTGGGAGGTTCTGCACGGGCTACCATTGGACGGGAAGGCTGATACGGTTACCAGGAAATGAAGGGCAGTTTTATAAAAAGATCGTTTCGCCATTAAGACTGCTTGCTGAGCTACTATTCTAGCCCGCTAGACATGTCCCTTCTCTCTCCCTCCTCTCTTTGTCACAGCATCATCACTATTAGCTACAGGTTCAATGGAATCTCCATGCTATCGAATGCCGCCGATCAACTCAACTTGACCACCATTCACGGCGCTTTGCTGATATGGCAGACCTGTTCAATGCGCTAGATACTCGATGGTTTTTCTCTCGAAATCGCGATGACGACGAGGACGGTGAGAGTGACAGTGACTCCGTGGGGAGGTGCAGTTCGGATCTGGGAGATGGGTTCTGCATGTCGAAAAAGAAGTGTAGGGGCTCAGAACGCTCCTTTTAATGAATTGTCGAATTAACTCAAGTTCTGTTTAAAAGGTCCTGGTATCATGACGAAGAATGGTTGCCCAGAGGGCTCTGATGAAGTTCAAGTGAGCTCTACATTTCTCGAATCTTATTGCCTTAGCTTTTCTTCGGCTGATACTGATCAGCTCCCTCTGAAATGCAAACTATGCTAACTTGATAAACAGTGCTGTGTTTTTCGCGATTGCACCGTACCAGAGGGCCGGGGACTTTGCAAGGGTATAAAGCATACTAAGTGCTCTGGAGGGCAGTTTTTCTCAGGGACGGACCAAGTACGACGCTCTGGCTGCTATGTTGTCACTAAGGATGAAGAAAATCCTTTGCGATTGACCATTATTTCATGTAGTCTCGACCATGCCCGGGTTCCGATGACAACCAATGTTGTGTCAAAGACAAAGATATATCCTCTCCAGCACCCAGCCCGGCAGAGACTTCTGAAGACCGGCAGACCACAGTGACTGAAACTTCCTCGCTTTCCTTGACGACGCCATCTCCACCACCGCCATCGAGTGATCCGCCAACTTTAATAAGCTCTTCGTCTTCGGATTTTTCCATTTCGCCCACGATAACCACTACATCTAGTTTAACAACGTCCCTTTCGACTACGCCAACCTCAGTGAATTCTCCCTCTCCCTCCCCTTCCTCCTCTGCCTCTTCGTCTATCTCTTCGTCCGCCTCTCCACCCGCCTCCCCGTCCTCCCGACCCCAAACAATATCCCTTACATCGTCTCCGCCATCCGAATCCACTGTTGATTCAGCCCCATCAAACTCGAACGCAGAACTATCTAGAGGCCAAATTGGCGGTATAGCAGCCGGCTCCGTTACTGCTACAATAGCCATAGTCTTTCTTCTATTATACCTCCTCATGTACCGCGCCCGGTCTAGGTATAACGAAAAATTAGCCCGAGAAAACGCTTTTTACCGGAATATGATGCCACCCGAATTACCAGACTCTAGTGGCGGAACGAGTAGATTTGTTTCAAACCCTTACGCAATTGGAAGTGCTACGGCATTTGGAGCCAAATTGAGGCCTGCGGATGTGGGTATGGGAATCCAAACAATTCCCGAAAACGATACGGAGTTCCCGGGAGGCGCTGTTATTTCTGCACCTATAACAACCAGCAGAAATAGTCGAAGATACGAGCTCGAATCAGGACCGGCGTATCGGACGTACAGGTCACGTCCGGCCGTCCTGGCTGCTGAGTTGGATGGCTCACCTATTGAAATCGTGGAAGAGAAGCAGTTTGTATAAAGTTAAAGAAGCAAGGTGCAAAAAAAGATCAGTCAAACCAACTGATTTTAATGGGGGAATGTAAATCCCCCCTGCATCGAGCTTTTAATTGATATGTATATAATTCAGATTCATACCCGGCGCCATATAGATCCTAGTCGCTTTTGAGCATCTACAAAAAGAACTTGAATAAGAGTCCTTGCGATATGAATTTTAGCTTATGAATAACTATCAAGGAGCTCAAGGTATGTTAAATACGCTAGCACCATCTTTATGCTCTATTTTACTATCATGTGCCATTTTCAATCCTGTGTTTCCCAAACTAAAGTTTTCAAAATGCGACCCGGAAGACGATAAATCTTTTGTGTTCCCTAAAATGTGCATCGAAATCGTCAAATCAAGGATGCATATTCATCTACTGTTGCGACTGAGGTGGCATGCCCGTAGGGTGCGTAGGAACGGTTCTAGCCAGACGCGGAAGAAGGTTCTTTGCGGTTTCCCTGGCATTTTGGGCCATCAACGCATCGACGATAACGAGCGCGGCCATGGCTTCAACGATAGGTACTGCGCGTGGCACAACGCACGGATCATGGCGTCCTTTGGCTTCCAGAGTACCCTCTTCAAATGCATAGGTGGCTGTCGTTTGAGCCTGGCCAATAGTCGCTGGTGGCTTGAATGCTACGCGGAAGTATATTGATGCGCCATTGGAAATACCTCCCTGGATACCACCGCTATTGTTTGTTTTAGTAGTAAGATGTTGGGTAGTGCCGTTGCCGCCAGTCGCCTCTTTTGTGGCGACAACAAACGGATCGTTATGGATTGATCCTGGCACCTCGCAGCCTGCGAAACCTGACCCAATCTCAAATCCTTTTGTCGCCGGGATACTCAACATGGCATGAGCAAGTTTGCCTTCGAGCTTATCGAAGCAAGGCTCCCCCAACCCAACAGGGACATTGCGAATAACACAGGTTACTGTCCCTCCAATGCTGTCCTGACGGTCACGGAAGTGTTCGATTAATTTAGTCATGCGTTGAGCTGCTTCGGTATTGGGGCATCTGATCGGAACGAAGGAGTCCACTGTCTTCCTGTCAATAGTTTCGATGAGTTTCAGAAATTCTGGATTTGTAGAGGCACTTGGGTATTCGGGTGTGGGTGGGAATAGGTGTTCGTTTCCAACAGAGGATACGAATGAGACGATCTCAACATTATGGGAAAGTCGCAGGTACTTTTCCGCAATTGCGCCGGCAGCCACACGACCTTGGAAAACACCAGTGAGCACCTCTCGATTCACACACAACAATAGAACATATCATCGACCTACCTATGGTTTCTCTCGCACTACTTCTCCCGCCACCGCTACTAGCCTTGACGCCATATTTTTCCAAGTAGGTGAAGTCCGCATGGCTGGGCCGGGGGTACATATCCATGGTTTTATTTCCATAGTCTTTGGGTCTTTGGTCCTCATTTCTCACAACCATACCAATAGGTGTTCCTAATGTGATGCCAAATTCAGTACCAGATTGGATTTCCACTTTATCTTTCTCGTTTCTGGGTGTCGTTAGAGCGCTTTGGCCGGGTCTTCGGCGGGTCATTTGGGGTTGAATGTCCTCTTCTGTGAGCTCCATTCCTGGCGGACAGCCGTCGACAATGCAGCCGACAGAGCGGCAGTGGGATTCACCATAGCTGTAGTCATCAGAATAATGGACAGAATATTGAAAGGGAATATATCGCATACGTGGTGACCCTAAAATATTCTCCGAAGGTCGACATGGTTTGGTGGGGCAGCTCTTCCTAGATCAAGGGTAATGCGATTGACAGTGATGAATTAGGCCTGTCGTCTGGCGAGGCGTAGAGAGAATGGCAATGGCTTTCTTATCGCCAGCTCGGTTTGAAACTGCTCTCAGAACTTGTCTTCACGAGCGAAAATCAGCTGGGGGGCTTTGCTTGCTCGAGAGCTCCGATATCGACGGCCTCGATGAGTCAGCTGCATTCCAGCCTTTCCCAGACAGGACTAGCTCCCGCTGTCCGCTTCGGCGGCTCTCGCAGCTCCGCCGAGAAAAAATATCTCCGCCCGCCAGAATTCCACCCTCGACTTCCTCCCTTCCTCCAGCCCAGGTCAAATGCTCCCGTTACGCCAATCGCATTGGCATTCACCTCCAAGACTTGCAGCGCGATGTATACCCAGACCAGGGCATCTACGGGCTAATTCACCTCGTCAGCAGCGCCTTCATCTCGGGCCTTCTTTCCAGTCTGCGGTGCAAAGCGCCGAACATCAGATATACCGTTCCGTTAGCACCGATCCACATGTCAACCTCGCAATTGAAAACTACCTCTACAGTCACAGCCCTGATAATTCAAAAGTCCTCTTCCTGTACGTGAACCGCCCAAGTGTTATCATCGGAAGAAACCAGATACCATGGCTTGAAATGGACCTACACCTCCTCAATCGAAACCGACCCGTGAAGAATGCCACTGATAAAGAAAGACCTCCGCTTGCCTTGCTGCGACGCAGATCTGGCGGCGGGACCGTATTCCATGATGAAGGAAACATCAATTACAGCGTCATTTCCCCCAAGTCAGAATTCCATCGCGATAGGCATGCCGAAATGGTCGTTAGGGCTCTACATAAAATTGGGGCAGCTAATACAAGTGTCAATACCCGCCATGATATTGTCATGAGCCGAGATTCCCCTGTTCCACCTCCGAAACAGGTTGTTCCAACGAGGACAGACGATATTGAGAGTCCGCCCGTTGAGACAACACCCAACGCTCTTAAGATTTCTGGCTCAGCATACAAACTATCAAGGTTTAGGGCATTGCACCATGGCACGTGCTTAATTGATTCTCCGAATATCAATTCGATTGGAGCTATTCTGAGCTCCCCTGCTCGGCCGTACTTATATGCGAAAGGCGTTGACAGCGTGAGGTCTCCAGTTGGCAATATCTCATCGACTCTACCTGGTTTACCGGGAAAGGATATAATGCAAGCGCTGGCCCTCAGGATTATGGAAGAATTCACTTTGCTCTATAACTCTGATCGAAACTGCCTAATGAAGGTTCAGGAGCAGCACGATGAACCCTATCTTTTTTCTCATGGTAATTGGGCGGTGGGTGCGGTCGATAAGAGTACTATTTATGGTATAGATCAGATTGAAGCCGACATTCATGAATACGAGGTACGCTGCATCTTCCTGCAACCGACTGCACCCCTAGGTAACTGCTAAATGCCTGTCGTGCAGTCAATGGATTGGACATACAAACCATCCCCTCGATTCACATTTTCTACCCATCCCACAAAGGAAGACCCGCGGCCAAGGCCGGACCTGCCAACCCATCTGCATCCTTCGGTACGTATACACCCACTTCTTGATCCATTTGATTGAGGCCTATGCGAAGACTCTACTCACCAACCCCGTTTTCCACCATTGGACCCAGACTCGCGTTTCCCTACATGTAAAACAAGGGCTAATAGTCGAAAACCACGTCTCCATGTCCGCCGACCCCGAACGAGCAGATATCCAGGCTCGAGTGGTCCACCAGCATCTCGACAAGAGACCGCTTCATGAAATTTCAGACTGGCACTCTGTGCTCAAACACGTCACATATGCATTTGATTCGGAACAAGATCTGACGAATCTTGCTGAATGGCTCAACAGCAAACTTGGTCGGTGATGTGTTGGCAGCGCCCAATACTCGAGAAGTGTTCTGTCCTGCATCTTTCTTTTGACTGGGGCTGCCTGCCCGCTGTCTCGCATCCACAATGCGCATACGGCGTAAATTACCATACCCTCGAGGTATGCTCATGCATATACCAGGGTGAAAGACCCCTACTTTGCGGTATTTTCTCGCGTTTCCTCTCCTTTTTGTTTCTCTAAACTTCGTTTTGATACGGATTTGAGTGAATTTCGATGCAATACTATAGACAGCCTTGGCGTACAAACCCTTTCCAAGTTAGACAAGACGTAATATAGAAGAAAACGAAATAGACGAATTCGATAGATATGTTTTCCAACATCCTACGTCTCCTTGAAACCCTCGCCTTTTTCTCCGCTGATCGCCACGGAACCCCGGGTTCTTGGCATGTGCAAGTCGGGACCAGCCTGCAGGCAACAACACAAAACAGGGATGCCCGAAACGTCCGATAAGAAGATGGCTGGGGTTCCGTAGGGGAAAGGCGGCTAGAGCCGTGAAATCCCAAAAACTATCCTCCGTCGACAATACCGAAAAGAAACTGCCATAAAATTCCCAATCAAATTGCCACCGCAATAGTACGTACACCTGCCTATAAATATTCCTAATATTCCATGCCATGCAAATGTGAAGAAATGCGCAAAAATGTATCAATAATCAATATCTGACCTACGTCAATCCACGTCGGGAGAGCTGCTTTTCGCCCCTAGAGAGCCGTCATTGCTTCGTCTCCCATCATCGTCATCGTCGTCGTCATCGAGTCCGTCTCCGTCTCCTGCATTTACAACTCGCAGTTTCTCCTTTGGTACTGTAAACGTGACTTGCACCACCCGGCCCTGCGCGGCTGCTTCCACATCCCAATCTTCATCCTCATCTTCGTCATGGTAGTCGATTGTATCCGGGGAAGATGTGCTCCTGCCGCTGCCAGTCCCGCTCTCGAACGATAGCGTACCATCCAACGTTTTTCTCCGGAGCACCGTAGATCTCTCAGCAGGTGATGGCTTGGCATCCCAGTCTTTTGCACCCTTCTTACGTCTCAAAACGGAAGAATTCGTGCTGACGGCTCTTCGTGGCAGCTTTGCGCCACTATCTGGGGTGCCAAAAGAGTCCTCTTGAGCACTGTGGAAACTTTTTGTCGGGCTGGAACTTATACTTCGCTCCAAGCTGGGAGCCAGATTTGAGTCTAGGGAATTGGTCCTGGCATTTTCCGGTTTCTTCGCCAAACTGAGCGCGCGACGAACGGATCCAACCCATTCTCGGGCCTTGGTTTTATTTTGAATTGGCGGATCTCGTCTTTCAGACGGAAGTAAGGAGCTAGCCCCAACTCCAAACGGCGATCCAGTTTCTCTCTGCCCGCAAACTTCAGTAGTCGGTGTTGGTTGTAAAGCTTGGGGGATAAACATCAGATCATTGGCTAGCAAATGTGGAGGAGGATATTCAATGTAATGTTTGGTATCCTTCGCTTCACATAATGGGTCAGATAAAGGTAGATTCTGGCGAGACCGGAAGGCGGGCGTTTGGGTAGTAACCAGGTTCAATCCCATTGAGGCCGTCCCATAAGATGACGCCGATATTGACGAATTTGAAGATTCAGAGAGATTAGATAAAGTCCGGTCAGTTTTGTCTGCTAGTTGACGACGACGTCTGTGGATATCGTTTATCGACATATTATTAGATGCAAGACTATGCCTCCATTCCAATTTCGCGTCGTCTCCGAGCCGAGACGGAATCATTGGAGGTGGAAGGCAGGCTTTAACCGGTGAAGGGGGGTCTTTGAAAGGATCTGACATTATCGAACTCTGACTATGCCTCTTTGCCTCCCTTGAGCGTAATGATTGGATTTGGGCCTTGGAACTTTCCTCGTACTCTTCTCCTTCCTCGATGGGATGAATGTTGCAAAATGTCGAAGTCCTTCGCAGGTCATCGGATAATGTTGCCGGTTGATACGTCCTTGAATGCATTCCTCTTTTTGACCCACGCATGGGTACATCAACCAACAGGCCCGTTCTCTCTGCCATAGATCCACCATTTTCATCGTCATTCTTATTTTCAGCATCGGCACCACAACCATCGTCATGCGCATTAAATCCTGTTTGCTTTCGATTCACCTGCACCATGGGCTGATATAATCCGCCAGGCGTTTCGTCAACACTTACATGAGGTCGTTCAGCACCAAGAGCTAAATTTCGGAGTTCTTGCTCACGAACTCTTCTATGGGCTCGTTGGTGACGGGTCCGAGCACAAAATAAAACGATCACTCCTGTAACGGCAGCGGATACGCCGACCCCTAGACCGACGCCAAGGCCAGCCTTTTGGCCCGGAGAAGAGAGCGGTCCTGAACTATCCTTTGAAGAATCGATCTTTTCAAGGGGGATGTAGGTCGTAACCCATGCTTCAGAGGTAACATTGAAAAGGTATAGCCGTGAATTGTCTTGAGGTTCCAAGTTTGACCGTTTTGTGGACCCCGAGATCTCATAACCACCAACCACAGCCATGATTCCGCCAGGAAGCATTGCAGCCCCGTGGCCAAATATGCCAGCAGTGGGTAGATTGCGGACTGCATCTTCAGGGATGGACCAAGTCCACTCCCCCGAACCTCCATACGCTTCACCTAGTTGAAGAATTGCAAGCTGCGGCTGAGCAGGGACAGAAATATCCCCGACCCAGCCACCAAATACAACGAGCTTATCTCCATTTGGAGACAGAACAGCTGTATGGCCTGACCGTGGCTCAATTCCTTGGACGTATTGTGCATCTATTTGCGCAGGTAGCGGCGTAGGAGGGGGCTGAATTGAAATGTAGCTCCAACTGCGCTCAGGCAATGAAAATAGCGCAATTCGCGACATGTTAAGAAAAGCGTTCTGGGTATGACCACCTAGGAGTGCAAAACTCTGTTGTGGCAGTTGCTTCCCGGACGACGAATTTGAGTATGCCGGGAGAAGTGGCGTCATGCTGAAACCGGCTTCTTCGACTGGCGGGGATAAATTCGATGAAATAGAGTATTCATAATAGTTATTATCGAGAGACTGTCCAGGACGCAAAGAGATCATAGTCCTAGAATAATCAGCCGACGAAATCCAGGACTGCTCGTTGACATCGACCGTTGGACACATTCCACCGAAAATATAGACTTCCGAGACCGTCTCCCTTTCTGAATCTGGGAACGCGAACCCGGCGGCTAGGTAATTTGGGCCGGATAAATCCATCTCCTCATTATCTCCACCCTGCTTCACAAATGACTTTGACCAAGTCCCGTTGGCACCAAATCCATCTGCACCAGGCACAAAACGCCACACCTCAGCCAGGCCTGAACGACAGTCACCTGCGTAGACCACCGGGAGACCGGCATTATTTGGGATAGGAACAATATTCCTAACGCCAGGTTCGGGTAAAAAGGATGATGCACCGATCAGGTCCACAAAATGCGGTGCTGATACATCAAATCGAGCTGATAGGTCCAATGCTCGTAGCCGAAGTTCACTAGAGCCGGAAGCCTTGGGCGAGAGGATATATGCCAGGGAGTCATTGTCCCGCGAAGGAGCCCATACGTAAGATGGGTTATAGGGTAAGTTGGCGATAGTGCTGGAAGCCAGCCCGACAGAAAGCTGGATTAAAACCCCGATGCGAATGGCTTTGACCATGACGGTTACAGAGAGATTCTCGTTGCGTTACTCTGCAATATCAAACCATTGTTGCGCGGCGTCGAACGCTCAGTTTAGGTCGATTAAATGGGCCAATTAGACAACCGCCAGCCTGTCTCTCGAGAGTGAAGATAAAGAAACAAGCGCCTTTCAATATCAATCGGGCCACAACAGTTCATCACGGCATGTTCCAATGAAATTCGAAGCGGGGCATCGAGAAGAGGGATCTCTGCAGATGTAGGCAGTGGACAACGCCAACCCACTTTTCTTTGAGCGGACGGCCGCAGGTTCAGCCGGGTGATGGTGGAACATGGGTTCATCAACAGTCCAATTGTTTGCTGTCAACAACGGCAGCGAGATGTTGCGCGGCAACGAGAACGCCAAGACACCCGCTTGAACGGTGGGGCTTCGGAGCCACATAGGCCCGAAGTGCTTATGTAACAATGACGCAACTGCGGGCCGTGCTGTTGAAGCCGCCCGCATCGCTTCGTTTGAGCAGATGATCTCGTCTGGATGGCGCATTAACCATCAGTGGCAAAACGATTCATGGTACTAGGGAATACGTTGGAGATGGGAAGGTGGTGTGATGTCTAGCCCACTCCTCCACGAAAGTAGGTCGGAAATCTTGGTTTTCATAGCACCATCAAGGCCGATATTGTAGGTGCCTCGTCGCTGTGGCGCTACAGGCGTACGTACGCACGCATGTTGCTGTTTGATGCCGATTAGGAGTCACCAACTTTTGGTATTGGTTGGGGGTGTTCCCATTCCAGCCGCCTCTTGCCCGATTCCCCTTCTGCTTACCCGAGCTGCCGTTGAATGTGTACCGTTAAACAAAGCTTCCGTCACGGCCCGTCCAGTATTTCCCCGTTAAGCTGTGCTCGATGCGGAGAACTGTCCGCTGAAAATCCTCCCGATGCCGTGATGATTGACTTGAACACTGGGTTTCTTCAGAGCGTTCTCTGGTGAACCTTATTGTGGTTCTTATGCAAGGGCCGGATTCGATTATCCACTCAGGAATTCACGGGGGTATAATTTATCATCATCGCACCTCAACCAACGACTCATCGTACAGGATTGGGAATAGGGTACGAGAGTTCGGGGTACCATTATGTAGTATACGTCCATGGAGCAATGGGGTTGGTCAGCCACGCGCCACTCCGGCTGATTTGAGAGCTTTCTCCCAAAGAATAATCCCTCTCGAAGGTACATCTTCCATCCGGCAGCACCCTTTTGATCGTTAGATCCGGGTATTGGGGTACAGAACCCAGGCCATTTCGCCCGGTCCAGGCAGGGCATGTGCACCGCCAACAAATTTGCATGTGGACTTGGATGTACCAAGCATCGTCGTATCCAATCGTTTCCTGTATTTTGTTTGCTTCTCGACAGCCCTGGAGCCTGGCATGGCTTGTCAGGGCTGAATCTCAGCAAACTGGGTGTCGTCCACGCCCCCAAGCTTGCCATGAATCTGACTCAAGCGGAAGAACGGCATTGTTTAGCTTCGAGGCCAGTCCTCTTTTTTCTTTGGAATCGACACAAGTACTCCGTACTGTCGGCATTTCAATCCCTGGGCTGCAGAAGTTGGCCGCACGATCAAAAGCAAAGCTTCGTTTCTGGCCGCAACCAGGATGTCGAACGCTCCCGGGCTTGTCAGAAACTTGGCAAGCGTCCGTGCTGGGGGACTGGACCCGCCAATTCATTTTCAGTGGGCGGTTGAACCGCCAAAAAAACAAAAGACGGGACGAGGCCCAAACTCGACTGGGCGGGACGCTTGTCTCGGTCGGGTCTAGCGCCGACGTGCGATACGGACATGCACCTAGCGTGGTAATTTACTCAACATGGACCCGTTCTCTTGGGGCATGGGAGATTGGGATGGGCCCGTGTGCGTGCTCTGACTCTGATATATGAACAGCACCTCAGTATCTCTGGGCCAAACTCCTCAAAGCAAATACGGGGAGTGCAAAGCTAAATTATCTCACTTGGAAAATCCCCAGACACACAACAGCCTGTGTGTGTTGTTTCGCTAAAACTACTTGGTTCCATGTGTTTGATATTGCAAAGGGTCAAACCCCCTTTCCCTCTAGCTGTTACTAGTGTTACATGCCAATACTATTCTTACTAGCGGCACATGGATGCATGTTTCCACGTCAACATCGGCCAATCACAGCCGGCCATACAGTACTAGCCCGCCGTACTGACGGAGATCGATACACACAGAACGTGTAATCCCCTCCAAGAGAACAGACCATCCGCAGACGGAAAAAGTACATCAGGATTCAGATTGCCCACTCTTAGTTTCTGGACCTCACTGCTGCTTGATTTTCACGTTGAACCGGGATCCCCCCCCTCCAGCTTTCCATTGTCAATTATCTGATCCCTTCGCATATCATCTTGCATCTTTGTATAGTTATACCGTCGACCGTGCCGTACCCTGATTGTGCCCTGCCGACAATTTCCACGACCAACGGTGCCCAAGGAGGCTCCCTAGCCAGCACCGCTTAACCCAGCCCACTCTCCCGTTATACTTCTTCGCTTGACACCCATTTTGTTGTATGCCGATCTCGATTCAATCGTCCGTCACTTTTCGTCCGTTGGCGGAATCAAAACATTGGGATCTACTACAGCTCCCAACTAGACTCGACCTGCGTGCGATGGACTCCGAAGCGCTTCCTAGCTATTGAGTGCAGGAAGCACGCAGAGACAACAATTGTGGAAATGAGGACCAAAATAAATATCCTTTGCGGGTAATATCGTGTCTGGTGGCAGCGGATCTGTTCCTACCGGCCTTTCCCCCCTTCATCCCCCGGGTCGTCGCCCCTGGATCAGGCATTGAATGGACACTGGCGTAGAACGGACAAGCTCCCGGCACATCAGCAGCATGGACCAACGATCATCTTCCTCCAAGAAGACGGGTGATGAATGGGATGGCCGAGGCAGATCCCGAAGGCAGCAATCTTCTCGCCACTCTCGCAGTGAGTCGGAGAACAAGGCCTTGGATGCTTCCCAGGGAAGCCAGTCCAAATGGCAGTCGTCAATCATGAGTCCTATCTCAAGACAGATATCCAATACTTTAACGAGGCAGAGAAGCCTGCAGGCTGAATCACGGCCGGAAGAACGTAGGGGTTTGCCTCAGAAATTTAACTTATTTCCGTACCGTCCTCATTCCTCCAACACGTCGAGACCGCCCTCAACCAGCACTTCATCGAGTTCTCTCCGTTCGTTAATGGATCCGAATAGTGGTGATACGCGTTCTGACAGTCGCCCGGGTTCGACGGTAGGTCCGTCACCTAACCCAAGCACCCCGAGAGCCGCGGAAGGAAGCCACCCTGCACCACTGAGCCCTCTATCGGAAGTCCCACCTTCTTCGCGTCACGACATGTCGACGAATCTGCCCGTATATCCTGACCAGTCCTACGCCGTCCTGCAAAGACAACAATACCCTACGCCCTACCCGCCGCCACTCCTTCGCTCACGTAGTTCTTATCCTTCACAGCACACCTGGTCGTCACAATCATCAGGTCATACCTGGGCTCCAGATAATAACGACCGTTCACAAAGTTCACGGACGGCAGGTAACACGCCTATATCTAGCCCCGGACTTTTTTCAGCCCAATTCTCTACATCTATGGGGTCCGAAGATGGCCGTGCTCATCGGTCATTACTTCATCCCACCCACCTACAAGAGCCGAAAGAGTAAGCTTATCTTCTTCATCCTTTCTCTCTTCGACTTCTTATACTACTTACTAACGTCAGAGTTGTGAATTAGAACGCACACCGCTGAGGTCGACCGCGACGTACTCACAGGGAATAAACTTATCAATGAGTATGAAATTCTTGATGAACTAGGCCGAGGAGAACACGGCAAAGTTAAGCTGGGCCGCCATATGAAAACCGGCCAGAGAGTCGCGATCAAGATCGTTCAACGCTATTCGAAAAGACGCCGGTTGGGGAAACTCGGGAATCCTGAGGATAAAGTGAAGAAAGAAGTAGCGATTCTCAAGAAAGCTCGTCATCCGAACGTTGTGAGCCTGCTTGAGGTTATTGATGATCCAAATCAGCAGAAGGTCTACATCGTGCTAGAATACGTGGAGAATGGTGAAATCATTTGGCGCAAGAAGGGACTTCGAGAAATTGTGACTGCTGATAAACGTCGGCTAAGCCGGGAAAAACAGGGCATCGCTGAGTCTGCATCTTTCCTTGAGGATAGTTTACAATATGTTAAGACGATGCAAAGGCGCCGGCAGCGCAGAGAAATTATCCACAAGAAGAAACAGTCGGCATCAACGCGAATGGCTGGGATTCCAGCATGGAGTTTGGAACATGGAGGTGAATCTGATGATGAGTATGGCCCCGAGTACACGATGCCTTGTCTACCGGTTTCTGCGGACCAGGAACGCCTAACCACCGCAATCTCGCCAAGTCATTCTGTATCGTCTACCAGTGAGTTTGAAAAACGAATGCGCGAATCTGCTCTTGCTGCTGTTGAAGGAAGTATGTACGGAGCCTATGCCTCGGATCCTTCTTTGGAACGACGCTTCAGTATCGCATCAAATATTCTATCTTGCCAGTCGTCCGAGTCAGATTGGCCGTCCGACGACGACGATATGGCATACGTTCCATGCCTAACTATCTCTGAAGCACGTTCGGCTTTTCGAGACGCTGTCTTGGGTCTTGAGTATCTCCATTATCAGGGTATTATACACCGGGATATCAAGCCGGCCAACCTCTTAGTTACATCAGATCACGTTGTCAAAATATCAGACTTTGGTGTTTCCTATCTTGGGCGGCCGATTCGGGATGATGAGGAAGAACAAATAGCTGAAACCGATGCCGCTGAGTTGGATGATGCGCGTGAACTTTCAAAGACCGTTGGAACGCCAGCCTTCTATGCACCCGAACTTTGTTACACTGGAACCGAATTCGAGGACAAAATTGGCAAGGTTCCTAGGATTACAGGCGCTATAGACGTTTGGTCGTTGGGTGTCACTCTCTACGGAATGATCTTCGGGAGACTTCCTTTCCTTGCGGACGATGAGTACGGTCTATTCCACAACATTGTAAAGGCCGACGTATTCATTCCAAGGCAGCGCCTGAAACCAATTGAAGCCGAGCCCTATTCTACTCAGATGCCGACGGTCATGAATAGCAATAAACGAACAGAAGAAGAGCTTGTTTATGAATCGATTGACGATGAACTCAGGGATCTCTTCAAACGCCTTCTTGAAAAGGACCCTACGAAGCGGATCACCTTGAAAGAAATCAAGCACCACCCTTGGGTCCTTCGAGACATACAAGATCCCAAGAGGCTGGATTGAACGAACTGACCCTGGGTACCAGAGCAAAGGCAAGAGGATTGAAGTTTCCAACGAGGAAGTCACACGGGCTGTCACGAAATTGCCGTTCATTGAGCGAGTAAAGTCCAACGTCGCAAGATGGGGAGGTAATATTTTTGGTCGTTCAAGGGAAAGTCGAAAAAGAGCCCCCAGCTCTGTGACTTCCATTGATGGTCAGTCTACTTCATCGTCCAGCAGCATGGCTGTTGGCAAAGAAATACTCCGGGAATTACGACGATCGAGCTTGCGAGGCGATGAAGACGCTACACGGATACCCAGGATTGCAAGGGAAGGCGAGCACCCATTGTCTCAGAGTGTGGTCGCAAGCCCTGTCTTTGAAGACGGAACTGATTATTTTAGCCAAAGTCGCAGGCAAACTAGCGGGAATCGCACTCCAAGTCGCGACCACAGGCCAAACTTACCTGGACGGAGCACGTCGACCTTTTCCAATGCCCCTTCGATCAAAACAATTCGACCGGCGAGGCATGAGCTCATTTCACCCCGGCGGGACTCGTCACCCCCACATACTTTCGAAAGCAGCGCGAGTTCTAACGTCAGTGGAATATTCGGAGGAGCGGGACTAAAACTCACCAAAAGTTGGCAAATCGGTGAAAGACGTCGGGAAAAATCGCCCTTTTCAGACCGAGCTTCCTTCGATGGCGATGGGCATGGTTCACCAAGCGTTGCTGTTAGCACTGCTTCCGCAACTGGTCATGTGGAAACCCCTAATATTCGGGACCCTACACTGGTTTCCCCCGATTCCAATGAAGACTGGAATGCCACTGTGCGGCCAGTCGGTCGCCATCGAAGAAGCGTGTCGCACCAGTGTGTTGAAGAGGCTCCACCATATTCTTCTAGATTGACACAGGATTCGCTACATTGGCACCGCATGCAAGGAGATATGAATCTTCGAGTAAATACGGGATTGGTCTTTAAGCAGAATAATGATCGGGAGCAAATGTACGCCTCGAGGGAAACCGACTCTGACCAAGCAGCGAAGGAGCAAGTAGATGCATACAAGCAACCTCCTTCCAGGCCGATGACCTCCCCTCCTTCTGCAGTCACTGTGTCTTCGTCGTCGGCAGATGATTTCACAAGTGGAATGTCTTATTGCGCGTCCCATCCGAGCATACCGTCAGTTGTGTCCGGGGCATCATCTCTTTCGAATGATGGCTCCCATCTATATTCTGGGGTACATGACAAGGACCCTGACAAGGTACCGCCCTTACTCCGAACTGGAGAGACCGTCACGAATGCAAAGAGTACGTATGAACGGCCGCATGAAGATGAGTTAAGGTATGATTGCGACGACGAGGATGACGGCGAAAGCAGCGATGAAGGCATCACCTTTGGCAGGAAAAGGTCAAAATCGGCTGGCGACAAGTCGAAAAACGACTACATGAGACCATGAATATTACTCCTTGTTTCTTCGCAGTGGGCATGTAATGAAAAACCTATGTTTTATAACTTTGCAGCTGTGTATACATCGGCATTTCCTGGCCCTTTCTCAGTGCTTTTCAGGACCATGCTACCCGTTGTTCAATTTCCGGCCCCAGTCCGCACACCTACACTTTTTTGAAATTTGCTCAAGCGTTTTACAACATAGGGACGAGCATAATTAGGCGGGATTCTTTGTTTTTGTTTCCCTTTTTCTCAGTGAATTCTTTCATTCCTCAATTCACGTCGATAAAGGCTCAAGATCCCGGGCGACTTCGAGTTCTTTTTTTTTTTTATTTTTACTTTTATTCCTGATGGATTCTTATCGTCTCTTATATTCTATCTTTATTTTCCTGGAAAAGACAAAGACGGTTGGGGTGGGTTATCTGGTATTTACTTGGACTTGGAGCATCTTAAAGGGTTGGTCATTACTCGGCTCTGTTTTGTCCATGGGGCATTCGGCATCTGGCATTTTGGATACCTTTGCAATTACCATGTTTATATACAATTGGGGGCATTTGGTAAATAATAATTTTGAACGCTGTCCTACCAGGCTACGCAGGTATAAAAGCCGCTTTGACGTCTAGCTAAAGTGCATTTTGCCCATTTGGAACCCTGTTGTAGCCAACTATCGGCACGGAAGAGCATCGCCTTTCTCCATGTGGATTCGCCGGGCTGAGGCAGGTCCATGATCAACAAAGAATTTCGCTTGTATCATTATTAGGTTTGCTTCCTGCGAGGCTTCTCGGGCTGATCTGCTTTCTTAAGCCTCAGGGCGGTAGGTCGTTTCTGAGCCAGGATTTTCATGTGTTTCTATTTATAGCCGTGACGCTCGTGTGCGAAATTTGGCGTTAGGCCTTGATAGGAGGGCAGCTCAGTTTGATGGGCTGCGAGATCGCAGGTGAATTAACCAGATTATCAGCCTTTTTACAGAGAGGGAGAAGCACTCAGCGGAAGAGTATCGACCAGATTCAAGTAGGAAATCCAAGTATAAACATGATTCGGTTGAGGATGCCTCTTTACCTCTTCCTTATCGACTAAAACGTGTATTTGTGGCTGCTTTAGAGGCGTGAAACTTCTCTACTTTTGTCATGGGCTTCAGGATATAGCGACTGAGTGTGCCAGAGATAAATTTCCTGTATGCTCTTTGGAGGTGCACGTAGTTCCTCTTCTCGCCGTGGGCTTGATTCAAATCCGCACCGAGTGTGCTGGGCGAGAAAGAGTCAGTTTAGCGCCTGAATATTGCATATATCAGGGGACAGAGTGATCGATGGCGGCCTTTGCCCAAGTTCTAGTGAAAGAGACTCGCATCTGCAGTTGAATACCGACAATGAAATGGTGCTCTCCCCGCGGTGCTCTCCAACAATGAACAGCAGTGTTGTCCGGCCGCAGAGTCGCAAGTTGCTCCCTGCATCAGCTGCATGAATGCAAGTGGCAGGGCTGTCTGGCCCCCAATCGAATGCTGCTGCTTGCTCCTGTTCTTTGGCCCAGTCCAGCCGCGGATCGTGTTCGAGCAGCTTGAGCGTCGGGACGTGCTGAGTCGGCCAGCTCGCATCTCTCCTTTTTGCAACTGTTGAATATGTTGAACGTCCTGTGCGATCCCGGTTAATCTCCGCGTTGCTGTCGACAGGGCACTTGTCGTGTTTTAGGCATAGCGGGGTGTCTTTTTCACCTCGCAAACACCAACTTCCTGTCGCTCTTCACAGCATCAACATCGTGCCGCCCGCCGCTTCACCTCGTCGCTCAGCTGTCTCGTATGTTGTTCTGCCTCCCTGAAACGTCATGCTCTTGTTTGTCGGCCAGGAACTAATATTTGCTTCTGCTCTGCTTGCGCCACGATAGATCTGCCAGGTACAGCAAATTAGAGGAGCTCCAGGTCACTGCCACACACCGCTGCACTCCCCTGCGACTAGGGGCCATTTCCCGCTTCCCCAACTCCCTTCGACTCCTGCGAGCACTCGAATGAGATCGCGTCCCAAGACCCGACCGCCGTTAGCACTGTTGGATCTATTTCTGGATTCCTCTGTTGGTTTCGCGTTTGCGTGATCATGGAGGTCCCGCAGCAGAATCGGGGCAGGTCCCCTTCGATCGCCGCCGATAACAATCCAAACATAAACCCCTCCAACCCCGTCAACCCGGCCGGCCACAAATATCAAGATCAGACTGCGACGTTCGCTTTGGATCCCGCCCTCTCTGCGTCCCATCTCCCCCCGTCGCCGTCGCTCTTCCCCAGCTCGAACCCTGCCACCGGCGCTGCGGACGCCTATGCGATCAACAATTCGTTTATGCACAGCGCGGCCACATTGGATAGCAATCTGCTGCACCCAAACCTTGCGCCAGACCCGTTATATACCCAGAACCAGAACTATTCGCAGTCCTTTGAGGCGAGCTTTATCCAGCAGCTCGAGCATTCCTCGAACTTGAAAGCGGATCCAGGGAATAGCAATCACATCTCCAATCTCCTGCCTTCAGACGAGCTGAACTTTGACGAATTCACAATGTACCAGAACAGCACTTCGGCACCCGATTTCTCCTCGTCGCTGATGCTAGACCCCCAGCTCGCCCAATCCTCGCCGCACCTCAACCAGTCCATCAACCCCGCTGATCTCAGCAGAGTGTCTTCTCCCCATAATCCCTCCCCACCCCATCTAGCCCCCCCGGAATCGCACTCACCACGCCCTACATCTCCAGTATCAACGCCGGGAACCTACTATACTCCTCAGCATTCGCGCCACACTTCTCTTGATCCCGCCAGCGCAGCGTATATCACAGGACATGGACACTCGGATTGGCAAGGAATGCTTGGAAACCCGTCATTCCAGGGCCATAGAAGAGCTCCATCAGAACACTCGGACGTCTCTTCTGTGACTCACTCCCCGTATCTGCCCCAAGATAACAGCTTTGACCCTGCTGATAATAGCCATTCACCACTTCTAATGGCACAACCTGATCCTTTGCTATACGAGAATGCCCTCGGAATTGGATCGTTCACTATTTCAGATCAAGATCAAGCATTCAGTCCTGCCCACAGTCCTTACAATATGTCCCCTCGATTAATACCACAACAACCAGGGGGGGATGTGGGACCCGATAACTCTTTCCTCACCACTCAGACACTGAACAATCAGTTTGCCCCTTCTCCCTTGGATACCTATACCTTGAAAACGGATACGTCTGGTCTTCCTCCCTTGCAATCGCAGAATAGCCCAAGTGAAATGGGCCAAGCTGCTCAGATGAAACCGCCCGTTATCAGTGTAGAATTTGCACCCCCGTCGAGGACCTCCACTTTCGAAACAGGCAATAAGCTAGAAGGAGATAAGGATACTTTAAGCCCGCCCATCAGTCGTAAGGCACCCCCTTGATTCTGCTAGCATGGAAGCCAGAAGACACTGATAAACTGCACAGGACGAGGTAGAAGTCAATCTGACCCGTTTGCGCAATCTATGCCACGCTCATTATCGACTTCCGCCGTCAACGCACCGTTCCCCAGCATGCCACATGATCCGCGTTCACTATCACCGTTTCCTCGCAGCACCGGTACCCTCAGCACTCCATCTTCTCGTGAAACGTCGCCGGCGGCCAAGAACCGACGGCAGTCGACTTCATCGATAGATAGTCGCAACTATATTCTTGACCTTGCGGATCCTCAGCGCCCCGGCTCGAATGCGGGTGATTCAAAACGTGTACAGAAGCATCCAGCCACGTTTCAGTGCACTCTTTGCCCGAAAAGATTTACACGTGCTTATAACTTGCGCTCCCACCTTCGGACCCATACCGACGAACGGCCGTTTGTTTGCACTGTTTGCGGCAAAGCATTTGCGCGCCAGCATGATAGAAAGCGGCATGAAGGGTTGCATTCCGGGGAGAAAAAGTTCGTTTGTCGTGGAGATCTAACACTCGGTGGGCAGTGGGGTTGTGGACGCCGCTTTGCTAGAGCCGACGCCTTGGGAAGGCATTTTAGGTCAGAAGCCGGCAGAGTGTGTATAAAACCACTATTAGACGAAGAAGCTGCAGAACATGCACGGAAGTTACGAGAACAGCAGCACCAGCACCAGCAGCAGCTCACGGGACACTTGCAACCCGTCCATCAATCCATCACAATACAAGGCATGGACCCCCAGCACCAGGCGTTTACTCTTCCTGCTGCGCTCTTGGCGCAGTATCCTGCTCTTCAGAATTTACAATGGGATCAAATATCCTCCCAACCAGATGATAATACCGATTTTGGAGGTAGCGGTGGACGCCGAAGCTTTGATGCCAGCTCTGGTGGCGAGTTTGGATTCGGTGATGATGAAGAGACCGGATTGAGTAGCGGGTATGTGAGCGGACAAGGAACAGGACCTGGTCCCGCGTCACAAGACCAAATGCTAGGCATTAATCAGGGTGGTGGTGCTGGTGGTGGCGGTTGGCATCCTCATCCCGGTGGGTGGACAGGTGATTACGATGGCAGCAAATAGGCCATTATATGCGTTTACCTACCACTTGGCTGCTTTCTCGGACCGACATTCGATCGCGTTTGCTTTACCTTCCTGATTTATTTGAACTTTTATTTCAATTCTTGTCTTCTGATTCCCACATGTGTCGTTTCCCCTAGTTCGATGCACTTTACAACATATCCTTGCCAATTCGATCGCACGACGTTTTCCACGTGAGGGGGTGAGCGGTGTTTAACAATGACATAGAGGATGGCACATACATCTATCTCATCTTGTTGGGTACAGTAGGTTTTATACTCATTCACATTTTTTTGGCCCTCTTCTACTCTATTCCAGTTTTCAGCTTGGGTTATACCCTTTCACTAGTCACTTGTTCCCTTGAGTATCTACACCGGCTTACGGTTTTCTGACATGTCGAATCTAACCTTCCTTTTTTGTCTTCTTTCCTTTTGGTTGATGGGTTGGTCTTTTGCGGTTATATATGTTGGTGATGTCGCCATACATTTGGGCCTTTATAAGTCGTCAAGACACAATAACAAGATATAATAAAAACAGGTTCAGAGTGATGTTTTCTTTCCCCTATCCCTAGCCTGGTCATTGAATCTAGAAAAGAGGGCTGATTTTCTATTACTTCCTGTATCCATTGACGAAAATGGGGCTTCCTGTCACTCTTACTTTGAGTGTGACAGCAAAAGGTGGTTGAGCAGGGTCTGTCTAATTGGAAAGATCTCAGGAGCCCTAACTCTTCATTGTAGGACGTCGCCCCTTTTCTTGACAGGGGAGATAAACCGAGAATAATCAAAAAGTTGAACATAACTAATAGGAAGACAATGCCACCACATGCTAGCAACAAGTCTAGATGATATCCCCAACGGCGACCCAGGCAAGTTATATACACCAGGTTATCCATGGCCTCAAGGCAGGAGGATACATACAGTACCGGTTCATCTGTTGTTCACTCTAAATCTCAATCGCAAACTTCGGGAACGCTGAAGGTATTGGGAATATAATCCTACATATAAACAACTATGTGTTACATTGTCAACACCTGCATAACTCATGCTGAAACAACTCTAGACGATTTTCATCGTGGGTAGGGATGTAAAATCACGCTTCAAACACCGAATACACCAAATGTTTGCAGATGTAAACAACACCTCCCAGCCCTCTGTCTGCGCAAGTCAACCAGTTTCTCCATTTGCGTTAGCCACTTTCGCACAAACTCCTCTTCTGTGAACCGCTGTGCTGACTTCCTGGCTCTGGCCCTCATTGCAACCCTTTCCGCCTCCGGCAAAGCCAACGCCGCTTCAAAAGCAGCTGCAAATTCAACCTCCGTCGCTGCCCTGAATCCAGTGGCCCCGTCGTCCAAATCAACCACGATATCCATCTTGGGGCCACCGGAGTCATGAACAACGCTGATCAAACCTGCCGCTTGGTACTCGACGATTCCAATGCCGAAATGCTCATTCCACATGGCGTTCGTGCCGACGGACGCGTGGCGTAGATTATCTAGCACTGTAGGCCAGCTGGCATCGCAAATGAAGGTCGTGTTATCGCGGATTTTTAGTTCGTGTGCGAGGAGGCGGAGGTTATAGATATGGGTTTCGTCGGGGCTAGAGTGGCGCACGGAGCCAATGAGGATAAGCTTTGGTTCTGAGTTCGAAGTAGAAGGCGAGGATGGGTTAGGAGTGCTATCAGACGAAGCCGAGTTTCGAATCCTGAACTGTTTAAGGAAGCGTGCGAATGCGCGTAGAATGAGAGCGTGATTCTTTTCTGGCCGAAATTGGGCAACGTAAAGAATTGACGGCTCCCGAGATTGTCGTTCGCTCAATAAGTCTATTTTAATCCCTTCGAGATCTGAAACCGCCACGGGAGGGAAGATGACAACAGGCTCGCGATTCTGTTTTCTGGTCTTCCTGGCTGGGAGCCACAAAGCGTTGATGTGTCCGGACGTCCAGGAAGAGTTACACATTACGACGTCAATGGTGCTTCCAACCCAACCGTATAATCTCGCGAAAGCATGCCAATACTGGCGTTTAGCCAAGCCTTTCCAGCCCGTCCCGGCACCAGCGTTGAGACCTTTGTGGCCAGTTTTATCGTCCAGTGAGTCTAACATATCTGTTGAAATCGTGGGGTAATGGACATAGGCTCCCGTGGGGACAGACGGAAAGAGGAAGTTCGAAAGTGCCAAGGCAAACGCGTAGCCCATCGTGTCAACGAATATATCCGGCACCAAAAGAGTGAACGCATCGTACGCGAGAATCAACGAGCCGAGCGACTGCCCGAGAAGGGTAAAATGAGGGTAGGTGGTGCTGAGAACATATCTACGAGTAGAGAGATAGCAAAATATGACTGTCGGAGGGTAGAGTTGAATGTTAAAGCGCCTCTTTAAACACAAGAGATTAGCTGATTTCAGAGACAATCGGGGCAATCACATGCATACTTCTATATTCTTCAGCATAGCTGTTTTATCTACATCTTGATCGCCGGTGTATATGACACAAATGGCTTTGGGCCATCGCTTTTGAGTTGCCCTAACAGCAGCCCACAGAACTCGTTCGCCGCCGCCGCCCGCATTGCTAGAATCACTTTTAGTAACCTTCGAAGGGCCGCAAGAATTAAGTTTCATAATCTTACCAAAAAGGGTGAAAAAACCCTACAAATCCGTCCCAACCGTTTTCTTCGATACTCCCACCGGGCGCGTCCGATGCATATCTCTCAACTTTCTCCCAGTCGTCGTCTTCAGCTTTGGATTGCCTATCTTTTCGAGATCGATAATCCTCCTCCTCAACTCGGACTCGTGCTCGAATGAGTTCGCGTTTGCCCTTGGTCCGTTTCCTTATGCGACAGCCGAGTCCTCGCAGAGCGAGGCGTATTGGATATCCGGCTACAGTCGGGAAGAAGAACGCGAGCGTGAGGATCGAGAGGAGTGTTGTGATTGAGGAGGGGATGAACATGAGCATTTCGAACCAGAGAGCAACAAAAATGCCACAACTATCAGCTCATGTTTGGAGAGAAGATCAAGTCCACGTCGGAACCAGCTGTAGAGGTTGTCCAGCACCAAAGCGGCAATCGACAAGAAACGGTTCAGGAACATGGCTGATGACATAATTAACTAGCTGTCTTATCAGCCTTATCAGTAGTCACGTGCGACAATATTGCTTGGCACTTTGTTTGGTCTGTTTGGCCTGTTTGCACTGACAGCATGTTTGCTTCCAGAGAAAACGAATTCGAGGTGAAGCACGTCGACTCATATCTATCACGCCGCGTTGTCAATTGCTCGGATTTTAGCAGCCTCCTCTTCGGCCAGCACTTTAGGCGATGAGACCGCCTTTCGCTTTTGCGCCCCGGCCCTCCTTTGCGTTTCGTACGCTAAATCGATCCCGACACAATGGAGACCGCAGCCGCCATTTTCATGCTTCCAGACCAAACCAAATCATAAACGAATCGATTCTTTTGGCCCATAGCGTTTTGGAAGGGGTTCATTCTGCTACTGGCCTTCCATGGGTAGCATCAATCCCTCTCACCGCCGTCCTGGTTCGATTGACAGTCGCGATGCCTTTGCAGATCTGGCAATTATCGCATGCTCGCCGAAAGACACAATTAAATCCATTATTGATTGCATGGGGCCGTACTTTCCAGAAGCAAGTTATGGACGCAGCTGTTGCAAAACGATATTACCTTTCTCCCAAAATGGCTGAAGTCCAATCCCAGCTGCTGCTCCGGAAAAAGATGAAAGAATTATACAAGAGATGGAACATACGTCCGTGGACTCGGTATGCGCCTTGGGTTCAGCTGCCAGTATGGCTGACGATGATGGAGAGCATCAGACGGATGGTTGGAATGTCTGGTGGCTTGTTAAACATAATTCAGTCGTGGGTAGAAAAGCACCCGGAGGCACCAAAGGTTCCTATAGTTCAATCGTTGTCTACTGAAGGTGCTTTATGGTTCCCCGATCTTCTAGTGGCTGATCCCAATGGAGTGCTTCCAGCAATCCTCGCTGCGACTGTATTTACAAACGTGACGTGGGGATGGAAAACACAATCTCCAGAAGAAATCTCAAAAATGGTCCTGAGGAAAGAGAGAATCAAAGCACGTGGGTTGGGAATCTTAAAGCGAACTTTTCAGGCTTCAGCCCTGCTTTTATGGCCTGTTATGACCATGTCAGAAGTCCCTGCTGGGATGTTGATATACTGGATCTCGAGTACCCTCTTTGCGACAGCGCAAACGAGAATTCTGCCTAAGATAATCGCGGCGAAGCCAACTCCGACACCTTGCAAAGAAAAGGTAGTTCCCGTGAATTTCAAGTTGGAACCGGAGCCAGGGCCTCAAAACCCGGAAACGCTCAGGAAGCCGAGCAAGATCAGAAAATTGACTGGCTGATTGCGCTGGCTTGTGATCCGAATACCACGTTTGAAACGAGTGACAAGCTAGGCCTTCGTCCACCGGAGTTTTGGCCATCCGAATAAGTCAAATCGACTCTTCCGAGCATGGCTGGCTGAGGTCTACTAAGTGCTCGATGAGGCCAGAAGAGTTGGAACCCGCTTCTGCCCGTAGACCTGTGGGATGTCCGTACTCTGCCATTTAAGAATTCGAGATGGCCATTGTGCACGGTTATATAAAATACCGCAATGTCCATGGCCCCGCTGATGAAGGGGATAGTGAGAATTGGCCAAGATGATAGGATTTTCTACGACCTGGTTGGTCAATCACAATAATGTGAGCGAGGTTAATCCATTGGAAAAATCTTGTGTATAAGGAGGGATTTAATGACTGCATAGTAACAGTATCTCTTGAATGGGGTATAGGAATTTCCGAGAGGTATCCGCAAGATGTAGTTAAAATATACAAGCCACGCCTACTAGTTACGTAGCATGATTTCCCCGTGCCGACAGACTCCTAAGAGCAAGGAAAAACTATCCCAGAAAAACAGTCTCTTGCACGAAGCGTTACTAGTAGACATTTGTGTTCGAGGCTGAGAAAAAGATTTAACAGTTATGAGGTATTGTTCAGCACAAGTCTTTGAAAACTCAATCCAACTCGGGATATCAAGGGTTGCTTGACAATCCGATTTCTTCTGATTCTGAAGTAAGCGGCGATTGAAAGGGAAATACTTTCATAAACATGAAAGTTGGGAATCTAATATATTTATCAGAGCTTAGCGGGAATTTCATGCCCGGGGGCGCTGGCGTCTGAGTTGACCGTAACAGCCCCAGTATTTTCACTCTCGCCAAAGAAAATTACTTCGACGGTTAGATCATCACTAGTGAAATGTCAGTATTGCAATGCCTAACGGGATGGACTGTCCTGGGACATACCGATATCTCCTGGAGTAAGGACTTGGCAAGGTAAGCAATGCGCAAACCATGTCTTTGTCCTTTCCCCCAAGGGCATTCCTAACCAAATGAGTTGCCGCATTTTTATCCTCAACGACAAAACGGCTCTCATCCTGAGGAATATTATACTGCGTTTGTCGGAATGGCGCGCGCTGTCCACTGGCATCGTCGCGGGAGGGCCTTTCGATTGGCAGCTGGCTCCCTGAACCCCACCAGCTCTGGAGCCATCCTTTGACGCCATCTTTGCCTTGAGCTCCGGCACGCTGCTGTTCTATCCATTGACCGACAAGCCCAACAACTTCTTCATTGCTAAGCATTTCCCATAGACCATCTGTGGCTAACACGAGGAAGTCACCCTTTCGGGGGTCGACTTCAGTTGAGGTAACCACCGGCTCAGCCGTAACATAGGGTGGTGTTTTAAGATACTGGTGCGGTGCTCGGCCGAAAAAGTGACGCTTAATTTTGTCTTGAGTTTCGCGTTTCCATTTGTAAAACGCGTCGCCAAAGGCGCGAGTAGGTTCGAGATTGCCCAAAACCCGCCCATTGCGCACAACGTTATCTTCACCGGGGTGTTCCCGGCGCAATCTCTGCGCTTCTGACGCTGTAGATCCTGTTTGATCCTCGGAGAGTGGAGTAGCAGTCCATTTTCCGTTTGAGGACCTTCGTCCTAGAACCGCTCTAGAATCCCCGGTACAAGCAACACGTAGCATTTTTGATCTGCTGTCGTAGAATGCTAAGAGAGCACATGAACCGGAAAGCGCAGGCGCAAGGAGTTCCGCGGCGACCCTCTTCGAGTTGGCCTTCAAGACTCTATCAACGCTTTTGTGAACAATTTCGTTATCAAGGTTGACAAAGCCCTTTTTCATCGCTGCTTCGATGGCTTCTGGGGAAGGGTATGGGATACCGGGATTTGCGGAGGCGGTTTTATATGTAGAGTTAAGCTCGCGCGCTACAAAGGATATGAGTGCCTGTCTGAGTTTGGCCGATGTGGTCCAGCCGCTGCAATTAGTTAGCCAACCGCTATGCCCTAGCTACTCCTTAAACGCTGAGTACTTACGAGTGACCGTCAAAAACGCCCCAGAACATCCAATCACTAGACGATCCATCCGCTGTAGAGGCGACAACGATTTTTTCTGCGTGATCATCCTCGATCGGGTCATTACTGGGAAGCTGGACGACATCATAGCGAACAACACCCCTTCCGCGACCGACCAGATAGGATTCCTCGCTTCTGCGCAGTTTCTCGGTTGCTTGTTCCGGAGTCAACATTCCTACAATTCGGTTTCCAGGTTCGCTCGTCTGTTTCGAAACAGGCTGCTCGCTAACCGAAGTGGACACATAGAGTTGGTCTTCGACGATCGGAGAACGGCCGGACTGGTTCTCAGGGTTTTCACCTGGTACTGTAGACGCTGGCGTACCAATTACTTCTGGAGGGATATCGCTGGTCCTTTGCTGAAAAAGGGACGTGGTAGCGTTCAATGATGCCGGAGAAAGTTCTTGCTGATTAGGATTTCCTTTATACGCGTACCAGGCGCCTGAGGCCACTAACGTCGAGATAAACGCCAACGAGAAGTTCCGAGAAAACATGGATGATTGTAATACTGCGGGTTTGAAGGCGGTGGTGGATCTGGAGGAGAACGCCGCGCGCGAGGCTAAAACATGGTTGCTAGAGAGGAGCGGGGCGGAATGACGCGTAGCAAGCCTCCGCACAGGATAAAACCGAGCTGTACGGAAGGCTTGAAGTACCGCTCGACGCATAAGAGCGGCGTAAATCAACCCAGACTGAGGTTGAACAGACCTTTGACTGGGGTTGTAAAAATAGTGCCTGCGATCGAGTTGGGGTGACGATTTATTGCGGAGAGCGGCGCTAAGCCTAAAGCTCCGCCCGAGCGCACGTGACTCGCCGCTGCGCCAGAAAGTGATAATGATGGAGATGACCACAGTCCAAGGGTTGAGCTGTCCTTCGTTCGAGTTTGCTGCTGTCAATTTATCAGTGCGATCTTTTGCGTATTAGAGGCATGTCTACGAGAGCTCTGAGAAGGCTGCAGAAGCAGCGAGAGCTTGAATCGCAAGAAGAGCGTGAATCTGATGCCGATTCACCGGAGCTCAACGCACCCAAATCGAACTTCAACGCCTTTGACCTACTTGACGCGCAAGATGCGAATGATGAGGAAACGGACGCGGAAGAGGCGCCTTTAGAGGCTGTATCTGACTCAAAACATACGCATAACACAAAGACTAGCAAGTCTAGAAAAAAGAAACAGAAACAAAACCGAGCGAAAAAGGGCAGAACAACGACGGATCAACGTCCGTCTGAGCCGACCACTCCGGGAGATGCAGACCTTGATGATATTGATAGAGCGCTTAAAGAACTTTCTGCGAAAAATCATGGAGAAGTGAAGGATGGGCATGCAAATAGGCAATCAAGATATGCGAGCGATGAAGCGGTAGCCTCACTTTGCTCCCTGTTTGCCATTGATTCCAAAAAACTGAATGCGATGACCGAAATGAAGAGATTGTTTGGAAGCGTCGCAGTAGAGTCCAGATATGCGGATGGCGGGGAACAATCTCCAAGTCGCCGACGGGTGAGAAACCGCCAGGCACTTGACCTTGGGAGAGCCCTAGCAGGGAGATTCAACCCGGCAAGCCGAGGGCAGGATCTCTCTGGAATGGCTCTCCGCAAAAACATCCTCATGCAGGGCAAAGACGAGTGGCCTCGAGCGACCAGTGGCGGACTTGGCATGGAAATCGTAAACAAGGAGCCCTCTGGCGTCACAGAATACAAACTTGTCCACAATGCTGCTTACAAAGATGCTCAAATACAATTTGAGATCTGTGTCCGGTCGATGCAGGCTGAAAGAATGATTGAACATCTGCAATTCAATCGTGAGTCCAAAATATTATCTTTCGTTTGTGGGCGCAATGGCTAACGGAATTGAAGCGTATCACCTATCTACGTTGCTGCAAGTATCGGACATTGCCAAACATCAGGGCGACCATGCCGTTTCTGGTGACTTGCTAGAACGGGCCTTGTTCAATATTGGCAGGTCCGTCCAGTCATCTTTCGGGTCTTGCCTGGCAGAAGGAAAGGCCAGGTTGAGCTTCGACGTCAAAGAGAACCGAGAGCTCTGGCTTGCAGGGTGGAGATATATCATCAATTTAGGAATGAAAGGCACATGGAAGACCGCATACGAATGGGCGAAACTACTTCTTAGCCTGGATGCTGGAGATCCCTACTGCATATGTTTGACGATTGATCAGCTTGCTATCAAAGCCAGAGAGCCCGAGCATTTTATTCAATTGTGCCAGCATCCCACTCTAAAGAAGCGTTGGGATCTACTTCCCAATATTCAATGCTCCCTTGCTTTAGCGTACTTCCAAAAGAAAGATGCAAAGGCATCGAGAGAGCAACTCCGGCACGCAATCGCCAGATACCCGTGGGTATTCTGCCGATTAGCTCAAGAGCTGAATATAAATCCCGTACCTAAATCCATATGGGGGGCGCAAGTTCCCAACCAGGCTTTCGAATTGCTAACCGAACTTTATATTAATCGTGCGAAGGACATCTGGAACACTCCAGAGGTGATAACTCTTTTTATGGAGGTGGCCGATAGCATTGGTGCTCCAGAACCAGCAATCGAGGCTCCAGAAATATCACTGAACGTAGCTCGACACGTCATCCTTTCGGATATACCAGCTGTTCTAACGCACCTCCCAAGACAATTCACTACGAGACATATTTCGGCATCAGACCCACTACCGCCAAATGAGCTACAGGAAGAGCGCCCTGCCAGTTCACACTGGTTTTTCGATGCCGTGCGGGGTGCAATTGGTTTGGATAACGCAGAAGAACTACTAGGCAGATTTGTACCAGGTGGAGATGAAGGATTTGAGACCGATGAGTGGCCGGAAGTCAACAACGATGACACGGAGCCTGCCTTGCCTATTGAGCTCGACGAAGGGCTGGACGAAATTGTCGCATTTATGGAAGATCATGGGTTCGACCCTGGTAATTGGCTAGATTCAGATGATACTCCTTTCGCCGATTGGATTACCACGTTGAAAGCCCAGGTTCGTCCGGAAGAATGGGACGCGATGATCGATGCCGCAGGTGCATTGTGCGACTCGTCACTCCTGTCTGATCTGCTTAGAGACGAATTACAGCGGCAGTCTGAAGGGGCATAAAACTTGATACGAGGATGCGGTCCTGCATGCCTAAGTCTTGCAAACAAGTGATTATTGATTTGTTAAGTATCTTACTCCATAGAATAAAAGTAGGGCGAGCGACGGGCGCCAAGGGAGCGGATGTGAAAACTCTTTCGTCGCCGGGTACTCTCGGCTCAACCTCTAACACGAAACGATTTGGTTAAATTGCGTGCATATTGGCAGGCCAATCGCGCCGGCCACATCAGTCCCAGTGCTGATTTGGCTGAACTCCTGTCCGTCATCACGCGTTGTTTGCGTTCAGCCTCGTAGGGACGCATTAAGGTTTGCGATGACGCCCACCAGCGCGGTGGCAGAAAACTTTATTTGCACTGCATTTTTTGGATTTTGTGGCGCCTGCCGCCTTCTGCCATGTATCAGGCCGGCCAGCGCGAGGAAGAAACTCATCGAGGATGTTACACGCTTCCGCCACTTCTCACGGAAGAATCTTGCGACTGACCCGGAAGCACTTTCGGAAAATACTCTCCCATGAGAGACTCCTTTAGTCACCCCCTGTTCCCCCTCGATTAAGAGCGGTTCTGCCATATATATATACGGAGCACGATTACCCCAATGCATAGGGAGATAATGATGGAAGAATCAATTCTGAACTCGGTTCCGCTGACATTGCGGGAAGCGGCCTCTGGTATCCTCGGTTCAATATCCCTGGCGTGTTGGATATTCCTTCTTGTTCGTTGCCTTTGGTCTCCGTGCATTGTGAATTTCAATCGCTGACGGAGAATCAATGGCTGCTAGGTTCCACAATTAATAGAAAACTATAGATGCGGAAGTGCAGACGCAATATCACTTACATTCCTTCTCGTTTGGTTTCTGGGCGACTTGACAAACCTGATTGGCGCACTATGGGCTCGCTTGGTCCCAGTCATCATCGCCATCGCCGTCTACTTCTGTATCGCGGATGGCGTCCTTATCAGCCAATGCCTCTATTACAACGTCCAAAACGCCCGCAGAGCGGCTAAACATCGCCGTCGCTCGTCGAGTACGGTTTCTGATACCCCGGATCCGACGACGCCGCTGCTCAGTCGGCGGATGAGCGAAAACATGGGCATTCCCGGCTCACGCCGAAGATCCTCGGCTTCCTTAAGACGCATGAGCAGCCACCGGTCTGCCGTTCAGCGAGGAGATTCTCTTGCAAAAATTCTAGAGGAGACGGAGCCGAAGAATATTTGGTTAAAGAATACACTTAGCGTCTTTGGGATTTGCGCAGCTGGTGCTGCTGGTTGGGTCATTGCATGGCAAACAGGAGTGTGGAGACCTGTTGCCGTAACCGGGCCCGAAGATGCTCAAGAAGTTGCGCTCGGAGCAACGATTCTAGGGTATATCAGTGCGATTTGTTACTTGGGGTACGTTTACTGTCTTCGCATTCTGGAGCATTGTAAATTGACGACTGGCAGTGCGAGGATACCACAAATTTTCAAAAATTACCGCGACAGGTCCTGTGAAGGTAGGGTCTATATCTGGAATCGCTCGATAGAACATGGCTAACTTGAAACAGGGCTTTCCTTGCTGTTTTTCTTATTTTCTCTATTGGGTAACGCATCATATGGCGCCGGAGTGAGTAGTTACTATATCCCACGGCTACGATGTAACCACTGACCTGTAGGTTAGATCTTATTTCATTCGACTGAAAAGGAATATTTCATCACCAATCTTCCATGGCTTATTGGTTCTCTTGGCACCATCGTGGAGGACATTACGATTTTCGTCCAGTTCCGAATATATGCCAACGGCGAAAGAGCGTCGGCTATCGTATAGCCAATAGCGGGTTTGTCTTCTTTTGGTTTCTGCATATGTGTACCATAGAAAAGGGGTAATAGAAGGAACACTGGCGACGGTGCACAATCACTTTTTATTTGGCGATAGCGCTAGCTCATGACGACATGACATAACAAAACGACCATATCATAATGACAATAAAAGTTGTGCTACCCGACAATTGGCCCTCTCATGATCCCCATCGGAAATTCGTAGCAGAACTACCCGCATACGCCCAAGACGTGCATCCATTTTGGAATATTGTGTACAAAGAAAAAGAACGAAGACGCCGTTTAGTCGAAGAGACCGAAGCCCATGTCCTCGTCCGATTCTTCCTCTGTAAAGTATTATTGTTAGCGACAACCGGTCGCTTCTGCTTGATAGGACGTTTTGCGCCACTGGGGTTTTCGAGAATCTTTCACGTACCTTCCTCCTTCTTCTCCTCAGCAGCTGGGGTAGCTTCAGTGGCAGCAGCGCCGCCACCAGGAGCACCACCAGCAGGAGCAGCAGCAGCGGCACCGGCCGAACCGACGTTCGTCAAGAGGTCCTTGACATCCTTGCCTTCAAGAGCCTTTCAAATCCAGCAAATCAGTCTGTATTCCAATTGTCGAGTTGTATCATGCCTTGAACTCGGATATGTACCTTGGAAAAAAGGGAAGTCCAGATTGGCTCGACGTCTTGCACGTTGGCGGCCTTCAAGAGAGTCTGGAGCTTGTCGGCCTAGAAATTCGCGAAAAAAAAGAGAAATAAATCAGCATCCGTAGAATTAAAAGACACCACCAGCGGGCTTTGATGCTCAAAGGTGTCTTTGGACGTTGTGGTTTCTGGCTATCAGTATCGTACCGTGATCTCGACACCGTCATCCGCAAGGATCAGGGCCGCGTAGGAAACAGCGAGCTCAGGGTTAGACATTGTGAAAGTGATTTCCGACGGGAATGGGATACGTGGGTTGAGGCGGAAGAACGTCGTTGGGAAGAGGTTGTCGACAGGTCGGTCTTCAAGTGCTGTTTGATTTTCTGAATCTCTCGGGTTGTGTGCAAACTTCGCCTCGCTTAATCCGTGCCGAAAGGTGGCCCGTGCACCGGCCGAAATAGCGTCATGTGTCGCCCCGCCGTCTGATAGGCTTTGAGAAGCTTCACGGCGCATCATCAATTGCATGGCTTGCAGCTTTCATTGATTGTTACGGGCTCCTATTCTCTCGCTACTGATGAAGTAACAGAGCAGTACACTATGGACTCACCTGCTGTTACTGCGCCGTTCGATCCCCGGGAACAGCCAATCCTTGATCAGCTACTGCTGGTCCGGGATGCACTACTTCTCCTAAAACAGGATAAGTCCACCTATATCAAGTCCCAGGATGTCCTCCCGTTCTATGATAAAGTTATTGAGCAAGTTCAGTTGCTGAACAACATTCGTCCAGGGAGGGGAGAGAGGACAGAGCATAGCAGAGGTTTGCCAGCCGGTGTTGTCTTGGATTAACGTCGAGTCTAATGGGAAATATCACAGTCGATAATGTTTTGGATGATTGCTTCCAGCTTATTTCCCTGTTGTTTCTTACTGTTGGTAGAAATAATGAAGCTCCAGCGACGTGAGTTGTCCATCCATGACCATCCAGACTCTGAGCTGACAGTGGGGACTTCTTAAAGCTATTCAATGGCTTCAACAATAAAGGTGACTGCCCCTGTTCCGCTAGACGGAGCCCTACCTTACTAATATTTTGTTGCAGCGCCTGCTTGATCATCTTAAAGAGGCTGCGTTTTATAGTCAGAAAGACCTTGATTCCATAGCCAAAACTCTTGGGCATATGGGAGAGACTGTTGAGCGTGGTAAAGACGCATACTCTCCACATCTTTTAACTTTGCTGCAAACTCGATTGGATAATTGCGAAAGACAATTGGCAGAGTTGCGGCATGAGCTTTCCTTTCTTTCCCCTCAACTAGCTCCGACACACGAAACCCTGGTTTCTATATTACGATCTACTGCTGCAGCAAATACGAGGTCTAAGGTTCGTCCCTAGAATCACTACCTTTCGTCCCAAATTCTTTGAGCAGATAGAACTGATATCTTGGAGTTTAGTTTTCGTCTTCTGAGGTTTTAGGCTTTAAAGAAAGATTAAACGAGATCAAAGGTAGCATGAAAGACGGAAACTTCTTAGCCCCTGATGGGTCCATCCCAGAAGGCCAAGAGATAGTAAGAGTCCTTTTAGAAAGATGTTTGAAATGGGTGGATATTGTTCTAGACCGGTATGGAATTGAGCTCTGCCCTTGTATTTCCTCCGGCTAACGCACCTCGTAGGCAAGGAAAGATTGATGAGCGTTTCAAAGATCAGTATGATAAACTGGTAGAGATTCGAAACCAACTTGATCGCCTTGCAATGACTCAAGCATGGTCCCTGAGAGAGACCGACCTTTATATGTTCCAGAGGAAGCTCAATCACATAGACGAGTGCCGTGTCAATGGCAACTTTCTGGACTCATCCGGTCAGCCTGCTGACCTTCATGCACAAAGGGTATGCAGAACTATCGACTAACCTGATGGCAATGTTTGCAAACTGATATGCCGCTAGACACTACTCTATTTGGTTCGCCGAAGTTATGCTCTAATATATGGGCTCCTTATTTCGTCCGAGCCTGTGTCAGAAGCCCTGTTGCCTATCTATAACCAGCTTCAGACGCTGAGAAAATGCTTGATGGAAGTCAAAGAATCAGGAGGGGTCTCAAACACGAGAGAATTATATCCGTATAGTATGAAGGTAAGGCGGGAGCCGGCACTGACATGAGCTATGTTAGAAGCTAATACTTTCATTTTAGCTTAATTCGATCGATAATATGCGGGTGGATGGCAAATTTTACATTGGATCGGATCTCCCAGAAGGTCAGGGAAGCGTTAACGAACTGCTTGCCCAGTGTTACGACCTCTGTTACGAACTACGGGCGGCCGCAGATGAGGGAAGCCCAACAAAACAAGACGATTTATAACTCATTAATATACTTTAAATCTTCAGAGAATGTGTTTCTTGGAGTTGGTGGCAGCTACTATCTCTCGGTGTAGCAGAGTTCCTTGCATGCCACAATCGTTGTATTCTATGATGAAAAGGTATAATATTTTGCTAATGAAAGCCATGTTCGAGAATAGATGTCCTGGACACCTTCCAAGAGTTGTATGCCTGGCTACTGATTATATAACGTAAGTCGTGTTTAAAACGGCATGGGGCTAAACCCGATTGAGAGTATTTTCCGCAGCCAATCGGACGTCAGATAAAAGACGATTGGTAATGGCCGTACGAAACTCCGTAAGATTGAGGAATTGGCCTGTTCAACGCTCTCCAACCCAATCTCTCGTTGCACCGCGAGCAATTGCGGATTTACCCAAGATGATGTGGCGGCACGGTGCAGCTTCAGCTCGGGCTGTAAGTTAAGGCTTCCCACATCATTGTTTGCTATTTCTGACGCTACAATCCAGGTTGCCCAACGATCGCCTCTCCGCCGATATCGCACTTTTGCGACGGAGGCCACCTCTCCCGCCAGACCGCAAAATACCAACCGCTCCCCTCCTTATCCTAAGATTCTGAGTCGATTGAGTGAAGTGCGACGGGTATTAGGCTCAGACAGACCCCTCACTCTCGCAGAGAAGGTCGTATACTCCCATCTTGACAATGCGGAGGAGTCACTCCTCACGGGAACCGAGAATGGGAAGAACATCCGTGGCCAGGCCAATTTGAAAATCAAGCCAGATCGTGTGGCAATGCAGGATGCTTCTGCGCAAATGGCGTTGCTTCAGTTCATGTCCTGCGGACTTCCCTCGACTGCGGTGCCGGCTAGCATTCACTGTGACCATATGATCGTGGGCCAGAAGGGCGCGGATGTTGACCTGCCGGCCTCGATCGAGGGAAACAAAGAGGTCTTTGATTTCTTGGAATCTGCGGCAAAGAGATATGGCATCGAATTCTGGCCTCCAGGCGCTGGTATCATTCATCAAACTGTACTGGAGAATTATGCTGCTCCAGGCCTGTTGATGCTGGGGACTGATAGCCATACACCTAATGGAGGTGGTCTAGGCGCAATTGCGATTGGAGTTGGCGGGGCTGATGCCGTTGACGCCCTGGTGGATTCTCCCTGGGAACTTAAGGCACCAAAGATCCTCGGTGTAAAGCTGGAGGGTGCGTTGAGTGGCTGGGCGTCTCCTAAGGATATTATCCTCTCTCTTGCTGGAAAATTTACGGTAAGAGGTGGGACCGGATACATAATCGAGTACTATGGACCAGGTGTCGAGACGCTCAGCTGTACTGGGATGGCTACTATTTGCAACATGGGTGCCGAAGTTGGCGCTACCACCTCGATCTTCCCATTCTCTCCTAGCATGGTACCTTATCTCCAGGCTACTAACCGAGGACATATCGCCGAAGCTGCATCTAAGATCGCATCAACCGGCCCTAACAATTTACTCCGAGCGGACCCTGATGCTCAATACGATCAGCACATTACCATTGATCTTTCTTCGCTTGAGCCTCATATCAACGGTCCCTTTACTCCAGACCTATCGGTGCCTCTTTCATCTTTTGCAGAGACCGTGCGCAAAAATGATTGGCCTGAAACCTTCGGAGCTGGATTGATTGGAAGCTGCACCAACAGTTCGTATGAGGACATGACCCGCGCTGAAGATCTTGTAAAACAAGCTTCCGAAGCGGGTCTTCGCCCAAGAGCCGATTTCTTCATCACTCCTGGTAGTGAGCAAATTCGGGCAACTTTGGATCGCGATCAGACTTTGAATACGTTCTCTTCGGCTGGTGGAACAGTGCTGGCGAACGCCTGCGGCCCGTGTATAGGCCAGTGGAAACGGACAGATGGCGTCAAGAAAGGCGAAACCAACGCTATCTTCACATCATATAACCGAAACTTCCGCGGCCGTAACGACGGAAATCCTGGCACTATGAATTTCCTTGCGTCGCCAGAGATTGTAACCGCTTTAAGCTATGCAGGTAACACCACTTTTAATCCCATGGTCGACAGCATTGATACTCCAAATGGGCCGTTCAGATTCCGTGCTCCCCAAGGCTCAGATCTTCCGAAGGCTGGTTTTGTCCCTGGAAACCCCGACTTCCAGCCCTCGGTCGCCGTTCCAGATCCAACCTGTGACGTGGTAGTTTCTCCAACCTCCGACCGTCTGGCTATTTTAGAGCCTTTTGCCCCTTTCCCAAAGAAAGATCTCCGATCGTTGCGTGTTCTCTACAAGGTCAAGGGACAATGTACCACTGACACAATCTCCGCCGCTGGCCCTTGGCTTAAATACAAAGGCCATCTTCCTAACATTTCTGCCAACACTCTCATCGGTGCCGTCAACGCTACTACCGGTGAAACCAACGTTGCTTACGATGTGGACGGCAAAACCTATTCTATTCCAGATCTTGCAGGAAAATGGAAAGACCAAGGAATTGAATGGCTAGTTATTGCGGAAGACAACTACGGCGAAGGTAGTGCTCGAGAGCATGCCGCCTTGCAACCACGATACTTAGGAGGCCGTATCATCGTGGCTAAAAGCTTCGCACGAATCCATGAAACGAACTTGAAAAAACAGGGCGTCGTTCCCCTGACATTCGCAGACAAAACTGATTATGATAAGATTGATGCATGTGATTCTGTTGACTCCGTGGGCCTATTCGACTTGTTACAGAATGGTGGACAAGGAGAAGTCAAGTTGAGAGTCACGAAGAAGAATGGAGAGACTCTGAATATTCCCGTTAAGCATACGCTTAGCAAGGACCAGTGTGGTTTCATCCTTGCTGGAGTGCATTGAACCTTCTGGCGGCAAAGCGAGGTCCTACAATCTTTTTCGGCTAGATGTACTTTTTTTA